TCGTCGGCCAAAAAATTGATGCGCCAAAAGCAAGGTCGCCGTAAAGCAAATCTGATGAAAAAGGCAGATGAATATAGTAAGATGTGCAATGCCGATGTGTGCGTGGGGATTCGTATGCGGGAGACGGGCCGGGTATACATTTTCTCGGCAGATTCTTCGGGCTTTTGGGCCTTTCTTACTTCACAGTTGGTAGGTTAGATTATGGAAATGATTCAAGGAAACACAAAGCTGACCAGTTAGAGCTCCCACTACCCGGCTCCAACTCTGGTGACAAGTCATGATTTCGAAAACGAAAAGAAAGAGCCTACCATTTTGTTATCACGATTCGAAGTGCTGGGTGCTAGTTGAGCAATAACTCTGTGGGTATTCTGATGTCAAAATCTGGAGTTACTGTATCGAAGGCTCAATGCTCAATATACCTTGAGATTGGAAAGGAAATCTTTCAATTAGGCAGGCCTTTTCTGTGATTCTGAAATAGCGTGAAATAGAGGCATGATGTTATAGTTTCTAGAATCGTTTCTCCAAAGCTTAATAGAATGCTTTAAATATCTATCCCTCCCGGTATGTTCAGGTGCGCTTAGCTATATCCTGTTCCTAGTTCCCCAAGACCTCAACAGACTCTCTCATAGACGGATGATATCCAAGGACCTACCTATAATATTTGTTAGGCCATGTCGCTTCTGTTCTGGCATATAAATGAGCATGTGCGATTCGGGGTGCGGAATTATTTGTACGTTTTTCAGTGGCTTTACGGCTCCTGCTAGTATTCTTCCACCAGAGGGTCATGCAGGGCAAGGTCACTGGTAGTTGGCGGACTGATAGCCAGGACTAAGATTTCAAAGATCCCAGTGGGATTGGATACCCAGAGTTTGGCTTGGGATTATGAGCGACGTTACCAGATCCGGGCTCTGATAAGTGTCCAGGCTTTACTGGCGGTTTCTAGACTTGCATAACTTAAATTGAAGCTTGTGCCTTATGGCCCTTTGTGGAACTTTTCCTCTATTGATATATGGATCATTATGACCAAGCTCAATGGAAAGTGCGTCTGCTTGGTATATCAACGTTGGGCAAGAGGTGAACAACAAGTGATCTACAAGTTGAACAATTAGCGGTGATGGAACAAACAAACATCCATATTCCGGTTGTGAGAATCCAACCTGTGTGAAATTTTATCAAGATCACAAAATGGGCGAGGTCACCAATGTTTGTTGAGCTTGAACAGTCTTGCGAGTCAAAGTTGACAGACAAAGCGCGTGGTCAAAGGACAAACAGCTCACTGAACTCGAGCTACATCGTTCAACTCGTTGCTCGCCATGAGATTTCTGATATAAAGTAAAAAGATCTGCTGGAATCCCAAAAAATGCATAGGAGACTTGTCGCTTTCAGTCCGTGAAATATGGAGAGCCTGCAGGAAAAATCCCAGAGCGACGGGGACGAAGGTCGTGGTTCGGGAAAGACTCCGAGTCATGAAGATACCCCTAGGCCTCAGCCTGTACCACAACCCTGTCATGATTTGGTAGGTAAGTCAATATTCCGAGCAGGGTGTCCACAACTAATAATCACAGGTTAATTCGATGTCAAAGGAATCACTTATCAATGAGCCTTTGCGACCCGCCCTTGAAGCACTGGCAGAGCTCGATCGCAAGGACCCGAAGCTCGCTATCCAAGCAGCTCGTATTCTGGGCATATATCGACGCCTGTGGGAATCTTGCGTCTCCAAGCATCTTGAATGCAAGGAGCAGGCTCAGAGAAATCAAACTCTGGAAGAATCGAGACTCCATCTGAGTAATGAGAGAGAAAAGCTTCAGCATCGCTACAATGAGCAGCTATCTCATCTGCGGTTTTTTGACAACGCTCTGCATTCGTCCCGAGAGAGACTGACTGGAATTCTCAGCGATTGGAAACAAGGCTCCAATGGGGAGAAGGCATGGGTGGCTGACGAGGAGAAAGCTAAGTAAGAGGGCTAAGTGTTGGTCAAGACAAATTATGTGAGAAACTATATACGAGCCTTTGTGTCGTGAATCCACACTCTGGAGCAATATTCGAAATCGGCGTCTATGTTTTCGAGAAACTACCTCGGGCCTTGCCGCTAGTCCACTTATGGATCCAGTTATTCTGCTTTCAGATACAATGGGGACCTTAGCCGGAATTTCTACAGTTACAATTGGATCAGCTTGCGTTGGCCCTCCCTTCTAGATTAAACTTATCGGTGTAAATAATGAAAGCCGATTTCGAATATTGCTGTAGAGTGTGGATAAAATGAATTACTGTACTTAGAGGTATGAATATATGTTTTTCATGTTGATTTTTCGCATATCGTGTCATTTGTTCTCACAATATACAAGCTTGAAGAGGCCCAAATGGTGACCGGGTACTGTAAAATCCCGGGAAACGGACGAGACATCACTTAAGATTTTCCAGTGGGCTTTGGATGTAGAGAAAGGCCAAGTCGCCAATACCTATACAGCCAATGGGATATTACACGATATCAAGATTTTCAATTGGCTCCATGAGGGGTCACTAAGGTGATTGAAAATCACAGCCACGCGACAAGTGAATTCTGCGACTTGATCTTTAGTATTCTTTATATACGTGTTGTAAAGCTATCCTGGTGCAGTGTCCGTCAGACCTAGATAAATGTAATTGATCCAAAGCTATTGTCAGGGACGCATGAAGAATTATATTGATTCAAAGAGCCGACATCTTAAGCACTGGTACAGTAGACAACTGAGATGATCACGGGTTTCTCTTAAGCATCGAGAAGTATTCTTTTCACTTCAAATTTACCCATTTCGTCTAGAAAGATCATATGACCCACCGTTCCTGTCGAATATGGGGCTGCGTGAAGATCATGTGATCATGTAAACTATTTTAAAAGTCTGCTAATATCTCGAAATATGTGTGAACACACGGAAAAATAGAGGACCAACTAGACCTAGTACAGCAGCCGATGGAGGGGACAGTACACGAGCTCTGACAGTTTCTCCGCTGTATGTACCTTGTTAAGGCCCATCGATACGGAAGGGATGTGGATCGCTGGCATGTAAGGTCGAGATGACACCGTTCTGTAGGGCGCGCATGGCTTTTGTTCGATCCTGTAGTACCAGGGCTTGCTCGCTGAAACACTGCAACAAGGTATCACACTCGCCTGCCAAAAATCCTTTCACCTTTTGAAGTAGCCGATGCTCTTCCTCGAGCTGTATCATCTCCGCCGACTTAACGACATAATACTTCCACATACAGAGATAGCAATCGAGAAAGCTGAAAACTGAATTGGCTCGGTCGGTGTCATAGTGCAAAAGCTCGCGAATCTGCGACTCTAAGAGGCCTGGAGGAGCCGACGTGCTCTATGGAATGTTAGTTTACTTCATCTTGGTGTGTGGGAAGCAGTTCTACCTCGGGATCAGTCACTGTGGAGATGGTGCATTGCTTTGAATCCGCCATGTTGTCGTTGGGAAAGTTTTGAGCTGAGAGGAATTGTCTCTTAGCTGGGTGGCCGTCCGACGACATTGATTGGAATGATTTCTGTGGCCAATTGGGGGACGCTGAGAGCCTGGGGGATTTATAGACATCGATGGGACCTGGATTCCAGAATCGGTCTGATTTTGCTCGTTACTCACGGTTGAATCACAGTCTTGGAAAATCGAAACTTCAACGTACACGCATATTCATAAGTCACAATGTTGAAAGAGGCAGATAGGAGAGCCTTCGGCGTGTTGAAGCAGACTCCAAAGTGGAGTCTGGAGCTGTGCATCCTTCAACCATTAAAAATCACCGGCCTACTATGACAAAATGGAGGGCCAAGTAAAAGGAAACACAGTGGCCATATTGGACAGGCTTATCGGGCTTGGACAACACAGCTGGTCGGACTGATTTACCCCATTTTAAAGCCAGGAAGTCTAGAGACCAAAAGGTCGAACTGCTAAAAACTATGAGTGTGAGATCTGAGGGTGGCGTGGAGTGCACATATTCCCAGACCGTAAAAAGCTCTCACGTAGGGTTTAACTATTTGTTATACACATAAATAAGGTAGTCAATCATAAAGCGATTCAACACACGTTTCCGGGACCGGTCCAGTTCCGCCCGAGGCATTCCATGCAAAATCGAGTTGTTCACAGATATCGGAATGCCCACCTATCCAGCTTGAGACACCCAGACCTCTATAGACTAGATAAAGAACAGGTTAAGATCTTTCCAGTTTGAATTGACAAAACCAACCAATCCCACGAGCTAAACCGTGCGCCAGCATGTCCAAATTCCAACCTTGTGATTGTAGCAATTGTAGTCCATTTTCCCGGGTCATATTCAAAGGATAATAGCAAATTCCTGAGATTATGAAACAGGTGTTCTTTGTGACAACAAAGGTAAAGTTTGCATTCTCAATGATCTCAAAATCGACGGTCTTGCCATCGCTAGAACCGTAGTATGACAATTTTGATTGCTCAATTGACTTGCAGAAAATTAGTAAGGAGATCAGTTCCTCTGGGATTCTATGTCATACCTCGATCAAGCGGCTTTCCTTCATGATCTCATGCCAGAGTGGAAGGGCCTTCCTATCCCAAAGATAGATGCTTGCACTCAAAGTGGAGTCTATTATGACCACTTCGTGCTTCTCGTTGATGCGTGATTTCGCCCTATCAAGAGTTTGTCCGTTGAAAAATTCATTAAGAGGGGTATCATCGAGCATATATACCACGCTTTGGTGATGGGACATTTCGTTTAGCAAGGTAAAGGCAGAGATTAGATCAAAACAGTAAGAAAAGAATAAGTGCGACAAAGTACGACACAAAGACAATCATTGCGAGACAAGTCGTTTTATACAGTACATATGTTTGCGCAATTTATGGGTGGGCAAGATTGAGAATCAGAGAATTTTTTACTTCAGTTTCCAGGCATCAAATAAACTCTACATAAAACCGTATAGACCCATCGTGCTCCGGTACTCGATACTCGAAACCCAACTCTACTCAAGACAAGCGTAGATACATTTCATGCAAAGCCTATCTGGAAAGAAGTCGAACAATTTCGGAATGTCCTCCATGCTGTGCCCACCAGAGCGACGTGCGTCCTTTGTCATCAATTGTGGTAGAATCAGTATCAGGATGTCGCAATAGATTTTCAGCGCTTTCGCGCATCCCGTTTGCCGATGCGAAGAGCAACGCAGTAAATTTGTGAGGGCCAGGCTCATTTACTGAAATAGAATCGTGTTGGAGAAGAAGGGAAACAGTGGAAGAATGTCCAAACATGACGGCTACCTGGAGTGGAGTCGTCCCTGTGGGGCTCTTTTGGTTGACATCGATTGACTTTTGTCGCAGAAGAAGTCGAACTATTTGGTACTGCCCTGCACGGCATGCGCACCACAGTGGGGGCATCACTCGTCGGGACTGTACATTGAGCTGTATGTACTTTACATATGCTCATTCAGTTGCTGTTTGCATGTCCCTTGGTTTTATTCATATGTCAGCTGTACATTGAGCGTCGTGTTACACCAGATATGGAACATGTCTACTAATTCACCTATGCTGTGGCAGTGATGCGTTTGTCCTCAGGAGGTACAGGTGCTGCTTTGTTTGGAGCGGGGTAGCACTTCTCCCAGAAAATTGTTCATAAGCCCATTCAAGGCCATATTTCGATCAAATTCCAAGTTCTCAGCGCAGGCTTTTGACATCATTGACATTCTAAAATTACACAACCGGCACTCAGTTTCAAAATGCCACGCAAGGGACGCAAAGCTGCAAAACTATGGTCGCTACACCCAGAGCTTCACGACGATGTAGCTCAGTTATTAGACGAGGAAGGGCTTCAGATAGACTTCTTTGACGCCGATGACGAGGAAACCAACATTAAGGAATGGGACACAAACGTTATGGGTCGATTTATATGCCAAAACAGCGGATGTCACTCCAGTGGTTGGTCGAGCAAAAAAGTCGCGATTACGATTCGCATGTACTCTCCACGGCGATATAATGCACGAGTGTATCATCAGCGATGCAAAAATTGTGGAGCAGTTGGTCGGCTACTCCTGGATACCGGGTGCTATGCAGAGAGAGTGACATACTGGCTGAAAAAATGGAATGGAATTGAGGTACGGCCACCCAGGTTTTCTGGCCAGAGCAGAGGACCACACGATAGTGAACTGTGTGAAGGGTGTAGAGTTGGTCATTGTCCCAACTCGAATGGGGATTTAGCATTGGTGCTAGCGAGGTAAGTTTGGTATATACTAAGAGTTCTTATACAGTAATTAACTCTTCTAGGTTGTCTATCTGAGCGCTGTGCTCTAAGGCATCGCATTCTTGGTACACAGGGTATCCTCGATCTGAAAATCCTTGGACCAATCATCCAGACCCAGTGGCCACAGCTTTGAGATAAAACCACCAGAGTCGACACTTCAACAAGATTGATCAGCAACCAAGTGTTATTCCTTGATCCCTGGTTTTTGGTGTACATTTGGGGAGCAAAACAGGACAAGCGGCTGGGAATAGGCGATCGTGCCAGATTATCAAAACAGTGATTCTACGCAATTCTATGGGAAATTACAGTATTGTTACACTAGCCCAATAATTATGGTATTGGTATTACTTTACATTTCTGTCGACACTATAAACGCGGTGATCAAAAGCAAATTAGTGCATTTCGGATCCTTCTTTCCGGGAATTAAGTTAAAAGAGGTTTTGGTAAAGCTGATTTCGAAAACTACTGTATGGCCACAGCGTTGTCTCTGCTTGGTTCCTCCACTTTTCATTAACAGGTTGATGTCCGTTTATTGTTGAAGGCTGCACGGCTCTAGGCTCCACTCCATAGGGGCTGTTTCAACACGCGGAAGAATCTCCTATCTGCCTCTTTCAACTTTGTGACTCGAGAATATGCTCGGAAGCTAAAGATTGAATCATCCAAGACTGTGAATCAACCGTGAGCAACGAGCAAAATCAGACGAATTCCGGACCCATCACGATGTCTATAAATACCTAAGGCTCTCAGTGTCCCCCACTTGGTCACAGAAATCATTCTAATCAATGTCGTCGGACGACCACCCACCTAAGAGACAATGCCTTCCGGCTCAAGACTTTCCCAAAAACGACAAGATGGCGGATTCAAAGCACAGCGCCAACTCCACCGTGACTGATCCCGAGGTAGGACTTCTTCCCAAACAGCGAGATGAAGTAAGCTAACTATTCTTAACGGCTTGCCCTGGTCTCCTAGAGTCGCAAATCCGCGATTTCCTGCATTTTAACCCTGACCGAGCTGATTCAGCTCTCAAATTGCTCGATTGCTACCTGGATATGTGGGAGTTCTATGTCATCAAGTCTGCGGAGATGATTCGGCTCGAGGAAGAACATCGACGACTTCAAGAGTTTAACGACTGCTTGGTAAGCGAGTGTGATACCTTAATGCAGTGTTTTGAAGAGCAAGGCTTGGTACTGCAGGATCGAAGACAAGCCGTACGCGCGCTTCAGAATGGTGTCATCTCGGCCTTGCATGCCAGCGACCCACAGCCCTTTCCTATCTATGGGCCTGAACAAGATCCAGCGATGGTTCATGAGTCAAATGGACATCCTGGACGAGACGTGCAAATTTGAAGTGAACGGAATATGTCTGAATACAAAACAGAAGCCTGCAAAGTTTCTCTTTCCATCCCAGTTAGTCACCAGTTTTGATGAGTTCAGTTATTTGAATGAAAAGATTTCTCAATGCACCGCTGCCAAGAAGCTCTTAATTATATTGCTTTAGCTGGGGGCAGTATCGGGGCAAATTTACAGTGTATATCTAACGAATTTCAAAATCAACTCCCAAAACTCATTTTTGGAGTGGACTGTCGTTTTCAGTTACTTAGTAGCCCTTGTGGAGCCGTTGGAAATCCGTCCTTCTCTTTATTCCGCTTTGTTTGTACATAATGTACAATACTTCCGGAAACCGGTGTCACCAGTTACACTCTTCGATTCTTTCTCAAATCCTCTTGCCAAGATACACTATCCCACATATAGATTAGTTGAATTCTTGCAAAGTTTCAGAACGTTTTCTATACAGGCACGGGAAGAACATAATCACAAGACGGTGAAAGGAATTTCCGAGGTGTGGTATATTCCTGGAATGTTCAAATGCACGGAAACATCCACAAGTACATCGCAACCTGGCAAGTTGTCTCATTGTACCACCCGTTCGCCGCAAAATCAGGCTGTAAAGACGGAGGATCTTGTATACTTAAATACATCCTTATTCTTTGTCCCTTCGACCATCCTCCTGTTTAGATTAATGCTTGGAAGGCATGTCCTTAGGTCTGGATTCTATGGTGGTCCGTAAGAAAACGGCGTTTTGGCGCGTTCTGGTCACCTGATAACAAAGCTGCAGGGATGCCCCTCACCTAGCTGAATGACTGGCAACTACCGTGAATACAGCTCTCATATATATAACCATGGCATATTGTGCAGTTTGCGATTTCGATCATGTCAGCCGTTGAGTTCCATGGGAGAAATGATGAACTTCAGATTGGGACCAACCAAGGGTCGGTCAGGGTGGAGATCTACTAGGGTAGGTTTGATCGTGTATCACCAAGGTTAGATTCGAATTAACGCATTTTATACACAAGGACATGCTACTGAAGACATCGATCGGATGTGCCTCCAAAACCTTCGTTGCCCAGACTCTCTAGCCGTGAAAACCCGCTTGAAGTTGGCCAAGGACAGATTACTCTGTCAATCATTTGAGTGGGTTCTCCAGGACCCGCAATACCGTACTTGGCGACATGGGAATAATTTCTGTCTTCTCTGGATCAAGGGTGGTGCTGGGAAAGGGAAAACAATGATGTTGATCGGGCTTACAGAAGTACTCTCAAAGAGATATGATACATCTACTGTGGTGACATATTTCTTTTTCCGAAATGCCGATAGTGAACTGAACACCCTAGAGTCGGTCATCAAAGCCTTGATTCTAAGATTGATAAGCCAGCGAGTTGAACTGAAAGACTCTTTGCGATGTCGATGGGACCCTCAGAACGACCGTTTCAGCGAGGACGTTAGCTCATGGCGAGGGTTGTGGGATATCCTTTGGGAGATGTTAGACCAGTGTGATTGCTTAAGGGTATATGTCATTATGGATGCCCTTGATGAGTGCCAAGATAGCGGTATGGTCAACTTCTTGAAACTCATTATCCGAAATGGTCTTGATCAGCCTACTAAAATCAAATGGCTCCTGACAAGCCGGCCATTAGAAGCTGCAGAGCGCACATTATTAGCTGGACATAAGCAAATGCAAGTCAGTTTGGAGCTCAACCTCGAACATATCTCTCAATCCGTGCAGACCTATATCTCCTACAAAGTTGATGAGCTGAACCTTCGAAACAGATACGGAGAGGTACTTATGAGAAGATTGAAAACTGAACTTTTTGCGAAAGCCGAGCGCACCTTTCTATGGGTGAGTCTGGTATGCAAGAGGCTTGAGGATATCTGCGTAGATGAAGCCTTAGCCACTATTCAAGATTTACCACCTGGGCTAGACCTTTTTTACGATCGAATTTTGAATCAGCTTTGCGAAGGCCAGCCAGATGAAGTCCATAATTATCTGCGGCTACTGAAGGCAATGATGCTCATATACCAACTTTTGAAAATAGAAGAAGTTCCCAGTGTGACTGGTCTATCCAGTGGAGATGATATAATCAAGTTATTAGTTAATCATTATGCATCTTTCGTCAGAATACAGGGAAACACCATTGAATTCGTCCATCAATCCGCTCGAGATTATCTAGCAGAGGAGAACGGATTGGCCATACTTGACTCGCATGGTCACTATGAATATTATAATATTGTTATTGGCTGTCTATTTTACTTAAGTGAACAGCTAAAAGTCAATCTTATAGACCTACGACGACCTAATGATTCGACCAACAAGTTTGCAAAATCACTGAAAAGCACGAGGAAAAGCGTTCTACTACTATCTTATCTTAACTATGCAACAACATTTTGGGTACAACATCTCCAGAAAGTCCCACCAAGGGCTATATCGCAAAGCAGAGTTTTTGAGGAAGGGCCGGTTGGGATATTTCCAAAGACCAAGCTTTTGGAATGGCTGGAATGCTTCAGCCTATTAGATAGGCTCCCCAAAGCTATTAATTTGATCAAAGCCCTACATGATATGACCAAGGTAAGTATCTTATATTTGTTGGTTTCCACGTCTTTTGCTGACAGTCTGTCAAAGGAGGATTCTTCGGCTTTGGCACTTATGCAAGACGCTACACGTTTTCTGCTACGGCATTACTATAATATGGCTCGTTGGCCGTTACAGGTCTATAGCTCTGCTCTTATCTTCAGTCCTGAAACATGTATTGTGAGGTTAAGAAACCTGGACAAAATTCCACAATATTTCCAAAGTTTTCCAAAGACTGAGAGCACCTGGACTTCTCTCATACAGACACTAGAAGGCCACTCAGGCTGGGTCCAGACTGTGGCGTTTTCTCCAGATGGCAAGCAGATCGCGTCAGGGTCTAGTGATAACACCATCAAGCTTTGGGATATTGTAAAGTCTCACAAAACCTCAAAATTTCTGGGCCGTCGTTTGGGTAGTCGTCTCAAGCTCCGACCACAAAGACAAATCGAAACATCGGGGCCGGTGTTCAACCTCAAATTCTCTGAAGATAATCTATACCTCATCACAGGTACTGAACGAATGAGGCTTAAAGATGCTGTGATAGAAGACCACAAAAACCGTCCACATTCCTTACAGACTTTCATTATGAAAGATCAGTGGATATTTTATGGAGTGATGCCATTTCTTCGGCTATCATCAGATATACAGCTAGCATGCTATGATTCGCGAGATGATAAAGTAGCTATTGGATTGACAAATGGTCAAGTATTAAGGTTTGAACTCGACCGAACTACTCTGCATTCTATGTTAGCGCCATGGGCGGTCTAAAGTTGAGGCCTAGGAATCTTTAATGAATCCATACATGTAAATCATTCAAAACCAAGTCAGTAGTCACCTTCAGGAACCAACCATATGACAGAGTAGGTATGTCATAAAATTAAGGTTCTTTTCCAGTACGATGCTTTCTGGTCCAAAGAAGGTCCAAGGGAATGTTGTTAGACTGGTCGTTTGCAGGTGGGAGACAGGAAGCGCAGCTTGAAGCAAAAGGCGACTAGTGTATTAGTCTGTCCTGGTCAAACCAGCCCATTAATTTAAACTTCTTCTTTTTTTCTTCTTCCACGGACATCTTTCATTTTCTTCAAGTGCTGCACTCCTATTGCCCTTATTAATACATTGCCGCCGAATTTACAGGGATAAAACAAATAACTTACGCCAAGTACGGTTATTAAATACCATCGATCTATATTCATACATATTGAAGTAATATAAATATTATGTATTACGCTTGATATGGATTAGCGGTCCTTGGCGTTAGGGTTCGAGAAAGAGTCAGAGTATAAGTGGTGACACCAGTTTCCGGAAGCACTGTACGTCTATTGTGATCTCAGAAGCATCCAACCTCAACTATTTGACATAAAACTGATGGCATGAGGTGTCTGGTCTGTTATAATTGGCCAGTACGTTTGACGGGAATTCGGAGTTAACTTAATTTATACTACACGCGATAATAATGCCCCCCCCCCCAGTTATTTGGTTGCAAGAACCTGTCCTATATTAAGCCATGTGCTGGTGTGCGCGGGGAAAGTATCACGACGAGAATTCTAGGAAAGACAGCTAGGGAACGAAAACAAATAAGCTAGCATGTGAGGAACGGTTGAGATAATGAATAAAGAACTTGAAGCTTCTTAAGTACTGTAGCCACTAAATCTAGAATGCGTGCATTTGAAGTTCTGCTGGCGCAGCCTAGGCTGAGTATTTTCAATACCTATAAGGAATTCTACCCTCTTCATTCTAGAATACCCTACGTGACCAAGCGCGTGAGTAATAAACGAAGATCAAACTGAAAAGAATTTTCAAGAATAAGACCTATCAATCTTTTGTTCAAAAACCAAGTACTGTATGCGAAAGTTTGAGAGTCCGGTTGTATGGAGCTTAAATTGGACCTGGACTTTGGACCATAAGGATAGTGATGGTAGTCTGCCAAGTAGAATTTCTTGCATGTTAACCATTTACCCAGGAAGACGCCGTATGAGGAGGTTTTGGCATGTATGGAAGTGGAGTGTAACTTCGAGGCTCTGACTGGTAGGTAAAGCTCCTTCTCGTTGGATCGAATGAAGGGGGGTTTCTGCTCTTGTCGATCTTGGCCGTCCTCCTTCAAGGTTGGTTTTGGATGTTCGAATCTGGGTGCCGGATGAGATTTTATGTCTTGCCAAAATACATGTCCCTCACTCAGAATCAGATGCTCTGTTCCTGTCCCAGTGACATCATTCTCCAATTGACTCAGACTCTCTGACATCCCCATGCCCTTTATCAAGGTACTTTCATAGATAGGCAGGGCCAGGACCAGTGAAGACCATAATACCAAACTAGTGACGGACTTCATATGGTGTTTACCTATGAATGGAATGATATGAAGGAAAGAGGACTTGGGGGGAGAGAAGGTAATGAAGGAGATGTATCCGGGCTAAACCCCCGTCGGTGGTTTCTCGCTTTTAGTTCGGTGATCACCAGCGGCCATGCCATGTGGTCACTATAATCATGCGATTATGAAACAGGATGATCAATTGTATATACATCCAATAGGTACCAATATGCTCGCAGAGCCCCTTAATTAGAGTTAATCAAAAGGAAGCAGGTATTCAATTAAAGACATCTCTATTTAACTTGATCCTCCACAAAGAAAGAAATTATGCGCAGACATACTTGGCTTCCACCCACTTTCACAAAACACGCAAACGTTTATTGCTTGACTCTTGACAGTAAATCCCAAGGTGTCTTTTCACTGGTCTCGGTTGAGTTGGTCGAAGTTTTAATGTACAGCGATGAAAGTCAATGATCAGCGCCCGGCTAAGCTCTTCATTCCAGAGGACATTCTCACCCCGAAGGTCATCATGGATGATTCCTAAAGCTTTGATTTCTTTATCCGATTTGTGAATCTCTTTGCGAAGCCATGGCGTCAGCTCCATAGTCGCTATGCTCTCGCCTCCCCAGCCCATCACCAGCATATGGCGAATATCTCCGGCCCCATGGAGGAAATAAATTTTCGCCAGGTTGATTGTACCAAGGAAGACAGGTACAGCAGATGCTTGAGCCTTCTGCAAGATTCGGTAGACCTGTACTTCGCGTGAAACTTCTTTCCACAGGTATGATGTGGTTCCCTTTCCAATGACGGTGTACCCGTATGTGGCGCAAGTTAGTTTAAATGGCGCACCACATGCCCCGCAGCTTCCAAGGGATATACAGCGATCAATATTCTCATCTAGTTGTGCTTTCAAAGAAAGCAGCAATCCCTCTGAAGTAATAGGATGTGTACGGTCGCCCTTGTCTTGACGATGAAGAGTCACGTTTGGACAAGACTCATCTAAATCACCGCCGCTATGTAACCCAAGTAAACATCGTTGGGTACAGAATTGTGAATTGCGGTATCGGGATTGATTCCCCGGGTCACTTCTGGTATTAGGCGCATGAGCGGGTTGTTGAACAGATGGCGAAGATGTAATTTGGCTGAAGCCCCTTTTCCGTGAGGCTTGGTTCGGCTCAGAGCCTGAGGAGTCTGGTGATTGCGAGCGATGACGTGGAGTTGAGGGTGCACAGCTAGCCTGGGATCTTGTAACTCGGCGGCCTTGTGTTGGAGATTCCGATGGAGATGAAGACGCTTGATAATCTGCACTTGGATCCATAGTTGACTCTGGGCTGGTGTAGGTGGTACTATCGGAATGTAATTGGAGCTGTTGCAATTCTGGTTTTGCAATCTGAGAACGAGTATGGTCGAAGCTGGTTTTCCACAGATAGGGGTTTGAGTATACATTGTTTCTCCATTCTTGGCTACGCAGAGGGGAACGGAATGCCATCAAGCACAGACAAAGGACCCGCGCAATAGAGGTCTTTGGCTCCTGAATATCCTGTTGAACTTCGCCCTTTAGTTCTCTGTTTGGGTCACAGAGAAAGTACTGCAATGTACCAGGCTTGTCGTAAGGGACGCGAAGAAGGACACGGGAAATTCCGTTTGTTAACCAGGAATACTCAAGTCCTTCCTGGATCATCACATGGTACTCCTGGACAAGAGCGGAGCAGACAAGCTTTTCAGCATTGTACTTCAATTTCCTCGCCTCTTCCTGGGGTATTTTGTTTGATCTAACCATTTCTCTCCATAAGTCCATTGGTCGAAGCCCTTTGTGGAGTATTTCGGTAGGAAGCTTGTGAGGTGGTTTGTATTCGACTGTAGTGAGGAGAGCAGTAGTGTTCCCATCAACCCGATGAATACAAAAGTGATCGGGCTTTGGATGGTGAACACTTGACGGCTGAAGTGTATTCGCTTCTGTGTGTGAATTAGGATTGAGAGAGTTGGTGTGATTGTCGAACTGGATTCCATCGCCAAGGCCGAACTCGTCTCGGGCGGCATCGATTTTGCATAGCTCCGTAACTATATCACGAACATAGCATTCCACTGCAATTTGCTCATATAGCTCGACACTCCGCTCACTGTTCATTGGGTCATGGCAAAATCGCCGAGCATCCTTTTCAAGGGAATCCAAGGACGTAGGCAACTGTGCTGGAGCTTCCATAGCTGGCTGGAGATATCTGCATACAGCATTGTAGATTTCCTGCTGCTCATTTGGGCACTCTATCCATGGTTCTAGTCGCGTCGGGCAGTACTTTCCGGTTGGAGGGGGTATTTTCCCTGTTGTTGATCGAGACGGCGATCTGACTTTAAGCGGTCTTGAGAGCAGGTTGTGACCATGGCGCATTAACTCCAAGAAAGTGAGCGGTCGGGTATGTTCTTCAGCTTCCTTCCTTCGTTCCTCAGCTTCCTTCCTTCGTTCCTCAGCTTCTTTCCTTTGTTCTTCAGCTTGCTTTCGTCTCTCTTGCTCCCTTCGATAGAGAGCTTCGTAATCTGTAGAGCTGCCGTCGGCCATCATTTCATCAGGGATAGCAATGGCCTAATGTATTGAATGTATTTCTTAGTCAGTATTTGATAGGGTAAATCATGTTAGTGCACATATCTTGAAGTATGGGAGTGGCAGGGACTAATCGATGCTGATGTTTAGTATGGGGATGTGGATCAAGTAACTGCCAGGGACAAGAGTAAGCGAGTTATCAATATAGGCGGTGTGATTTCTGCCTCTTAATATAGACCGCCTCCAACAAAGATACACTTACGGAGGTCGGTCCGGAAAGTTCTCGCCAGAAATTATAATTTCTTTTTCTTGATATATTACCGGCCCTGTATGTCAGGTGTATAGCCTGCTGTATATTGGATGTATTGCCGTGTTACGTACTAGGCTAAATATTGCTTATAACACCCGTGGACACGTAGATCTTTATCTTTTACCCCGCCTACAGTCCGTACACCCCTTCACACTTTTATCCCACCTACACAGCTACACTTTTGTCCCACCTATACAGCTACAATGAAGACCAATATTGCGCAACGTGCTGTCATTGTATACCTAAGGGCCCAAGGACATGCCCCTAAGGAGATCAGTGAATTTATGAATATTCCACGGCGTACTATAGGAGACATATGGAACCGTGCACTCGAACGAGGTTTTCAGCCGAATCAGCGACCATTCAATATATCAGATGAAATGTTAGCTGATAAAGCACGTTCTGGGCGTCCATCTAAGCAAACAGATGAGCTTAAAACCACACTTGGGGCGAAAATCCGTGTAGACCGCTATGGGCGTGAGAAAACATGTGAACAGCTAGCTGCAGAGCTACGCAGTGAATCAGGTTAGTTATTCTAAGATTTGATATTTTATTTAGTGTGTTATTTAATATGTTATTTAGTATAATATTTGATGTGTTACTTGGTGTGTTATTTGATATGTTATCTCATATGTTACTTGATATGTTATTTCCTCTAATATTTCTTCTATAATTAGGGATTAATATATCAAAAACAACAGTTTGGCATGTACTACGAAAAATTGGCCTACGAAAAACAAAGCCTACACGTAAGCCTGGGCTTGCCGCTGAGCAGAAAAAACAACGTCTTGAATGGTGTTTAAAACACGCCCATTGGACTATAGAAGACTGGAAGAATGTGATTTGGACTGATGAAACTGCGGTTGTTTTATTACACCGTCGGGGTGGATATCGTGTATGGCGTACTTCTAGTGAGCGGTTCGTCCGAAGCTGTATTCGAGAACGTTGGAAGGGGGCCTCTGAGTTCATGTTTTGGGGTGCTTTTTCTTATGATCAGAAGGGCCCCTGTCATTGTTGGGTACCTGAAACTACAGCCCAAAAGCGTGAAGCAGAACACCAAATCGCCGAATGGAATACTGAATTAGAGCCTATTATGCGTGCAGAATGGGAGCTTAATTCAGGTATACAGCGATTAGGGCTACGCAATAAGCCTGGAAGACAACCTCAGTGGAGATGGACTCAGAAGAATGGAAAGCTTGCACGCAATTCGAAAGGTGGAATCGATTGGTACCGATACAACACCGTGATTTTAGCCCCAAAACTACTTCCATTCGCCCAAGAATGTGCTCGAATTCGAACGAAAACAATAGTTCAAGAGGATAAAGCACCAGCCCATTCACATCACTACCAACAGCGAATATTTGATATAATGGGGGTCCAACGAATGATCTGGCCTGGAAATTCGCCTGATCTAAATATGATTGAACCTGCATGGCCTTGGATGAAGAGATACACTACGCGAAAAGGAGCACCTAAATCGCGTAAAGAAGGGATTAAAGTATGGGAGGCTGCGTGGCGTGATCTACCACAGGCGCAAATTCAAGCTTGGATTGAACGTATACCATGGCATATACAGCAAGTCATTAGACTAGAAGGGGGCAACGAATACGGTGAGGGGCGTGATAAATTAGGTGAAGTAGCCCCTAGCGGGTTAGGTGATAACGCCTATAACAGCGGCAGCGGCAACGACAGCGACAGCGACAGCGACAGCGACAGCGACAGCGATATATGGGAAGATATGTGAATATTTACTGTTTCAAGCTGTTATTATATTTCAGTACTATATATTTCCGTTTTATATACATCTTGATTACGCGATATATTTCAATATTTACTGTATATAGCCTAGTGTGAGAAAAAGAAATTATAATTTCTGGCGAGAACTTTCCGGACCGACCTCCGTACAGTGGCGTTAAATGAGTTGGAAACACCTTCGCTACCGCCTTTTATCCTGCCGAACTATTTTTGTGCCGAAATAACTCAATAAATTCAATAGCTAGTGTACCATCCGTTGCTCTCAATCACCTCCGTCACACGATGAGGCATGGTTATAGCTAAATTTTTTAACGTAGGTAGTTCAAGATCAGCCCAAGCCTCCTGTGCAGCTGCAGCCAATAGTTCTAGTTTCGTCTGTATCCCGTGCGTTCTGAAGCTCACTATGAAGCTGGTAAATCCTCTGCTTTAATAGGGCCCATAGGTTCTCAATTGGGCTTAGATCAGGTGAATGAAGAGGCCAGTCCATAACCTCAAAGCCCTGATCCCGTAGCCAGTTACGTATAGAATGAGCGGTGTGTACAGGGGCGTTATCTTGCATAAAAATTGCACCCTTAATACCACCGATTAGAGTAGGTAAGATACGTTGATATAAATCAAGTATTACCCACTAATTTACACCTCCACGAGGGGAATCAGGGTCACCTGATAGTGGAATAAGGCCTGTATGGCGCCTAGAGCCTGAAAATGCTGCCCAAAACATCTGTTTAACACCCTTATAAGATACCTCTTGGATATCACGTAGAGCAATTTGATCCTTTGGGCGCGTAAAGGTATGTTCGCGACGAGAGCCTTTACCACGCTCTACTGTAGATTCATCAGACCAAAAGACCTTTTTCCACTTCTCTGGGGTATAGTCACGTACGCGAAGTGCCCATTGAAGTCGTTTAGCCACATGCTCAGGCTTTAATTCAGGACGTTGAAGAACAAGCCATTTCCAAAGGTTCGATTCGCGTAATAAACGCCAAATTGATTGACGACAGACCTTATAATCTACTTCAGCTAGTAAATCATCATATTTCACACGTGGATTCTCTTCACATATTGATCTCAGTCTGGAGTTTCCCCCTCCAACTAAGCGAAGTTTAAGACAGATATTTAATTAGCAATACGTCGATGAGGCGGCCTGGGAAACACGCTCTGCTTTGGATGTGATTCAACTTTCTAACATACTTTGCTGCACATTAATCCCTAAAACGTCATTTTGCTCTTGTAGCATATGAATTATGGCGAAGTGCAGATACTTGTTTCAGGGAGAGGCATGTGGCCCAATCATATTCTAGCTCTAGCTCAGCTGAAAGGGTCATTGGCGGGTTCGCACGACGCAGAGTTATTCTCACCCGGCCATCACCCCTTGTCACCCTATCTATAGTGCACTCACCCCTTCTCACCCCCAATGACGTAGGGCTAAAGCAGCGCTCACCCCATTCTCACCCGGCGGCAGCCACCCGACTACTGTCTGTGTTAAGCCACACGCCGGCTAATAGTGAGTAGTATAGTGGGTGCGCCAAGATTCGGTTTGTCTTAGGCCAGGAACTGACATGAGTGTAAAATGATAAGTGGAGGATGTGAACCCACATAGCGTATCTGGGTCCCCCTGGGCGCTAGGAACCCTCTTTCTTTTGCTTCCTCACGCTACGTCTTGTACTTATTTAGAGTTTACTACAGCTTTCTTTAATATTGATTGTTCATCTGAAAGACACTCTCCTCATCAAGAAATACGTGAGACCCTCAAATTGGCGTTTAACAGGCCGACAAACGGAGATCCCAGGAGCCCTTTGATCCTGGGAAGGTGATATAGGTTCACACTTAAAGTACATCGCTAAGTGTACGATAGCTTTCTAGAGCTCCTAGGAACCCTAAGATTGTATAAGATTTACCTATGTGGCTAGACTCGTTCCACTTTCGTCATCGTGAGAGATATGCTCCCAGGAACACGACCATCCAGTATTAACTTAGGCCTCTCAATGGTCCGGTCCCGGTCCCAACTTTTGGGACTGGGGACCGGACCGGCGGTCTTTGGTCTTTTTTTGATATGGGCAGGACCCCACTACGGGGGACCGCGGTCCTCTTGGCGGTCCCCCATGGGAGACCGTAAATGCATAAAACTGCCAAGAGTTACCCTTTTTGGATGGATAATTTGCCGATTCATCATTTCTTTTAAGTTACATGTATTATTCGCTGTTTTCACTGTAGCCCCTTTATTTCTTGGTAAATAATCCCCTTCTTATTAAATAACGTAATTCCCGGTGTCGCCGTACACCCTACCCCACTAGAATTTTTTAAATTCAAATATTTCAATCCAACACGAATAAATTCAGTCATAAATACGATTTTTACATACATTGATCTTATGTCCAACCTCTCGACATCCACTACACCTAGGCTGAGCCCTAGGGGCTGGCTGATTCGGCTGAACAGGTAGTTCAACCTGGGTGTGTGATTCGACCATAGGTGCTTCAACAGGCAAGTCCACCTGCGTAAGTAGCTGTAGGCCTTTTTCAACATTCCAACCCTCTTCACAGGGTATCTGCCTAGCTGATCGACTGCGCTTCTGTCGTTTCTTCTCATTTGTAGCACGTAAATTGGCGTTTTCTTGTGCTAGTAGCGCAGTGTTGCGTAGCGATATACAGTGTCCCTTGATGATTTGATCTAGCATCAATTTCGACGGGCTTGGAGGGCTATTCGATCGCTGTTTTAGAAGATCTTTCAGCGTTGAAGCTTGCTTCTGTAGCTGAACCACAGTTCTAGGTGTTTTGGATGTAAATTGACTAGATCTGCTGCTTGGTCGGCTACCTGGTGGTGTAGGTGTCCGTAGAGAAATATTCAATTTAGAAAGAACTCTTTCAGCATCAATTGGTACATACTAATCCAGTAGCTAAAAAGCTATTTTGGATAGTCTTTGGCCGAAAAGCCTCAACACGCGCACGTTGGAAATCAGCTAAGAAATCAAGCTTGTCGATATGGTTATAGCCTGTACGTGCAAGGTCGCTTATAAAACGACCATATGTACGTTTTAATACAGCAAAACAACCAACATCTAATGGTCGTAAAAGATGTGATGAGTGTGGTGGCATGCAGAGTGGGATAATATTATTCTCTGAGCAGATTCGGTCAAATTGAGGTGTAAGATGGCTACCATGGCCATCAAGAATTAACAACCGAAATCGACCACGGACACGTGAACTTGTTGATGGAATAAATAGCTCTTCTAGCCCCCGTAAACCAATCTGATCAGTAGTCCAGCCATTAGCTGAGATTTCAAATCGCCAATCTTTTGGAAGGTTATCGAACCAGCTAGCGATAGCAACCTTTTCCTTAAAAATCACACATGGTGGTAATGAATAGCCATCTGCACAGATAGCTTCAATTGCCGTTACCCATTCACGGTTTCCAGGTTGTAAAATAGATCGCCGACCGTAGCATTCTTGTCGTGTTACAACCTTCTGTGCTGAAATAAGACCCATTGCAAAGCCTGTCTCATCAAAGTTATAGATATCTTCAGGTTGGATCCCATTCTTATCAATAACTTGTTGCACAGTTGTAAACCATGCTTGAATCGATTTAGGGTCTTCGTTTCGGGCACGTTAGTAGTCGTATCGCCTAGAGAAACGTGTCCGAATCTCTTCACGTCGGTTTATAAAGGTTGATGGCCAATTCTTGCCGACTGTAGGTGGGGGGTGGCTTCCGCGTGCAGCTAGTAGAATATTGGCCATTGCTCGTACAGTAGCTGGCCTAGGCGCACTCCACGGGTATCCATAGAGATAATCCATTCAGTAAGCGAATCCTCCTCAAGCTGAGTCAGTTTGTAGCTAGATTGGCGTTGATCAACGCGTGCTTGTACAGTGCCGACCGCCATCGCCTTCCATATCGAACAACACACAGAAGCTATTTTAAACCCTAATCACATGACATACTAGTCCCTATCTGGCTGGCTGTGTATTTCAAGACCTGTTTCAAAGGTGAATCGTATGACTCAAAACAGTGGAGATCTAACAAGTGTATCTGTGCATGTAACTTTACAAATCTAAAAATACCGGGTCCATTATCAAAAAGGCCCAATCTTTATCCTCGCCAAACAAAGCCGACGCTGTCTCCTTCTGTATGATTTCCCAAGTGATTATATGGCTGAATGCAAGGATAGCTCCATAGCTAGGAAGGAATATGAGGATAATATGGCCGGCTTACCAGACTTTCAGTAGTATCCCCGTATCTTTCGAACATCATCTTTCCAAAAGAGACATTGTTCAGGCTTCGGTTCTATCAAGCATTTCGTAGTGGATTGTTCTATGGCGACGCCGTGTCTTCATCATTACCGCATTAAAATAGCGTGGCCTACCTGTCCAAACCTATTTTGGGTTATCAGATCATTCATTATCATTATTTTTATTATTTTTATTATTATTATTATAATTATTATTATAATTATTATTATAATTATTATGAAAATCATGTAGACAATTTCTCTATGGCCTGCCGTACTTCGTTGGCCTTGAGCTGTGCAGCATTTTGTCTGTCTTGCTCTCCCTCACGGGATATTTCCTCGGCCTCTTTCAGCTTCCCTTGATCAGAGTAGAGATGCCCTAGTCCATGAAGTCCCCCCCAGATAGCAATGTTATTAGCAGAGAATTGCCCGTTACGTAAGATATTTGCATGTGGAACAAGCCGTCGCTGTAGCTCCGTATAATTGCGATCACTAGAATGAGGAACCGTGTATCCGACAGATATTATCGCTAGTTCCAAAAGCTGCATAGGATTCAAATTTCCGTCTTTGCTGGCCAGGTGGAAGCACCAATCTTGTACCACAGGATGCATTGTATAGCTTCCTTCTTGTTGCGTTGTGTGAAGAAGAGAGAATTCTATCAGAGGCTTCATACAAACCTTAAACTCAAGTTCACTTGATATAGCTCTTTCAAGCCAAACTGGAATATTGGAGCTATGAGAAGCATTTTTGACTAACTCGTACCAAACATCCCGATTATCAAAACGGGCGAGTAGCAGTAGGATCTCTGCTGCGATCGGGTCGCGATTCTGAATCTCTTGAAATGAGATCATCCGTGTTTCTAATCTGTTGCTGGTACTGACGCCTAGGGGTCGAGAGTGACTGTAGTTTAGACCATGACTCACGGTAATATCTCAAGTACTGAGTGATGCGAGTGCCAGTTTCGCGCATGAATGCCGCCGCGATATCAATGGCTAGTGGTAGTCCATCAAGACGGTCGGCGAGGGTATGGGTATCTAGATAAATCAATATTTTTTTTAATCGCCGATGTCTAAAGTATCGTCTAACCTGGATGCCCCTCAAGCTCCTGACCGGTGTTGCTTTTTGATAAGCCGCTGTTTTTCAAGAGAAGTTGAATGGTCTCCGTCGAGTGAAGCTTGTTGATTGGAAAGGACTCGCCTAGTTCACTGAGCCTTGGGAGACGAGAGGTGATGAGAATAGAGCCATGATCTGCTATAGGAAAAAACTTTCCAATATCATATGCTTTCTCAACACCGCTATCGACTGGAGAGTATTGATCGATATTGTCCAAAATGATCAACCAGCGCGAGTTACCCTCTTTTTCGAGCCACCGTAGCACATCTCTAGCTCGTTGTTCTAGCTCATCGTCATTGGCCGCCTCGTTTTTCAGGGCCTGCCCTGGTAATCGAGGCAAGACGGAGCTTAAAGACTGCAATAACGTGCCTCGATCTTTGCCGCTAAGCCAAAAGATAGCGCTGAAATCATCTTTATGTTGTCACGCAAAACGGATTGCCAGCTGTGTTTTCCTATTCCCCCCAGCCCATGAAGAATCGCGACTTTCCGCGACTGGGGCTTCGTCGGATTTAAATACTGCCATAGGTGGTCTAGCTCGTCTTGGCGCCCCACAAAGTTTTCAATCACAGGCACGGCAGTGAGGTCTACAGGAACTTTGAAGCGATCAACTAAATAAAAATTGATTGAGTAATAAATCCTAATATTTAGAGCATCTTACCAGAACCTTCCAGAATATCTCGTGCTGTTGGGGTACTACCAATTTGATTGATTGGAACTATCAAAAGCAGCTCCTTAGCGTACGCCGCCGCCACTGCTGCCGCATATCCTTGCCATTCTTCGTTCTTATGTGAGTCAGCATAGTCACAAATGCCTCGGATCACTACACAAGGAAAGTCATTCATAAGGCCTGCTGCTTCCATCTCCACACAATGTACCCCTAAATCCTGGGCTAATTGGTCTCGTCGCCTACCATCTTTCACCACCTGGTTTGCGGACGCAATAAGCCCGTAGTGGATCACTGGTTCATCGTGGTCTCGACAAGATCGTTGAGTCAGTTTCGATCGGTCACAATCCACACATGTATCAGCTGCGCCATGATTATATTCTGCCTGGTATAGGCGGTGCTCCTGGGCGGGACGAGTAAAAGTTGTAGCTTTACGAGATGTGGTTTTGAGATAGATGTTGGAAATGAACTCAACAACTCGACTATCTTCCGTAAGGTGGTGGGCTTCTAGCGTAGCGAAGGCGGTAAGCAGAACCTTCGGGGGCCGGTTTAACATCCCGGTCCGCTGGAATTGACCGTCGTGTAACACTTTCCCAAGATCATATTGGATCACGCCTCCAAACGTATCCCTTGGCTGGCTCACCACGATATCGCCTAGTCGGATGTCTGCGTTGCTACTTGGTATACCCCCACCGATACCAACCATCAGCCCGAATCGAATAGAGTGGAAGCTTGAAAGCAACTGCATGGCCACTGTTGCGGCCGACACGTTGCCATATGCACCGCCTGGTAGGCAGGCAATGACAATCTTATGTTCCCCAATATTTCCCAGAATATATGTATTTTGATCAGTTGATGGACTCGGCAGGCTTGGGTGTATTGTGTCCATCATCACCTTCGCAGCCGCCATCTCGAGCGGCAAGGCGCATATCCACCCGACCGTGTAATCGTCGTGAGATAGGGTGGCCCGGGCATCCATGCTGGATTATACGCTTATCTTCCACTATGAGACTAAAAGCCGTGTTGAGGTGACGGTCGTCGATGTCTGCAATCGTTTCATCATGGAGTAAAGGTCTGGGAGGAAATGGACTTTGGAGGAAAGCGGGGTTTGGAAGTGAGGCTGACGTACAGTTTTGACAGAACACGGGTGCAGAACTAGCCTAATTGGGTTAGTTCATACCACTATCAAATGGAGAGCTCTGATTGGTCGAACCAGAATGGATCACATGACCGATCAGATGATCTCCAGGCAGAATTTATGTGCGTAATTATCAGAATGAGAGAACCAGACCTGTTGATACATCCCATTGGCGACCGCCTACTGCATTAGACATTGTAGTCTGTCAAGTTTCTCCCTAATTAGTGACTGTACAGTATTCGCTCAAACAGAACACACATGATCTCACTGCGCTAGCCCCGATATAGGGTGCCATGTAGGTAAAAGCTACGTGTCAGTATTGTGGTATTGTTGTTGGTCTGGTGCAAGCTAGATCAAATCATATACGTTGACAGCAATAAAAGGAGTTCCACATTAGAATGTGCAGTCAGTCATTTCTGCCCACGCAAGTGTAAAGCCTTCGGTCAAATGAGGGTGAAGCGCACTGATTGCTGGCGTTAGGAATCTTGTTTCTTTGAGAGCCAAGAGACTTTCTCGCAGCTGAGTATTTTCCAATGCAACATCATGCAAGGGCGGTGGAACATTGCCCTCCAAATGCCAAAATAAACAGAAAGAGAATTCCCAATGAATCTATAGCCCACACGAGATCTGTGGATATATATATATAGAGGCGGAAATACATCCAGCTGCGTCTTTTCTACACTTGGAACATGACTGTCAAGCAGGATACCGACGCGTCAGCCAGCACCATGCTGGCTGACCCCTCTTTACTGGAGAAAATCGACAAGTTATTTGCTTGCAATGTGGGAGAGCACATCAATTTACCACAGTTGGTCGTGGTTGGAGACCAGTCAAGCGGGAAAAGCTCTGTACTAGAAGGTCTGACTAAGTTGAAATTTCCTCGAAACAGTGGATTGTGTACCCGATTTGCGACGCAGATTAGATTTCGATGTCGACACCATGGTCCCGAGTGCTGGATTCGTGCTCTCTCCCTCTACCCATCCTGAAGCGTCCCCGGAGGAGTCGGAAAATTCGAAACCATATGCGACAGTCCAACTCAAAGCTGCATTCAAACGATGGCACAACGCCGTTACCTTGGATTGCATTGAAGACCAATTCGCCGCACCTGCAAAACCAGTGTCATACCCCATTACGATGGCCTAGTTTTGAATCAGCAGGCAACTATTTCATGGAACTTCACCCTATTCACTTGAAGATCCTACCTAATTGATGTCAAATTTGAAGACAAGCCCCACAGCGACGCAGAAGTTATCTACCAGCAGGCGACTGAAGGCTGATCAGCAGCAGATCTCATTGCTGCAAATAATGATCTGGTCTCCTAAGTACAAGCCATGGAATTCCTACAAGCGAGAAGGAGTGCTTATGGAAATTATGCGACGCGCAAGGCAAATTTCAAGCAGAGCCTGATGCGTGCGGTAACCTAGTGCTCAAACCCAGCACCCATGCTGGAGCTAGCATGGAATCTATTTGTCGAGGTTGAAAAGGGAAGAATTGAGGTTTCAATCCCCGAATTTCTCTATCCAGCCAAATCTTTGACCTGGCTTGCAAATTTGGTATAGATGATCTCTCGGCTTCGCTGAATAGATCTCACGCGCTGTGCCAGCCCTCACATATCTCAGCATTGCGCAATTATTGAAAGCTCAGCTCGGTCATATGCACTACAAGAGAAATCCGGCGATCAATGATCTATGTTGTAACGCAAACGCCATGGAGCAACGCTGTGCAGCAATTGACTCTTTATTATGCGTTCATTGGTGTCTTTCCAGCCACTCGTACACCCGGTCTGCGATCTCAAGGTTATTCTTCTCCATGAAGAACATGTGTCCGTTACCATGGATGCCTTCCTTGCCTAGATCTGCGTACTCAACGTCTACGCCAACTTGCTCCAGATATTTCACGGTGCAATAATCGTATGGCGCATGGAACGATGCTTCACCAGTAACAACAAGTTCGGGGATTTTTCTCAGGTTCGTCAACTGCTTCGCTGGGTCCTTCTGCATGATGCACTGGTCGTGATCAGTGTCGATTGCTGGCTCGATAATTTTCTCAATATTTTCGGCATTTTTGCCTGCAGACGGTTCGTATCCGATTGCAAGGTCGGTGAGACCGAAAGCGAAAGCTGGGTCATTCCCAAACGGCGGCCGAAGCGTGAACGGTGGACCAGACGGCTCGAGCTGGACAATACCTTTTACTAGGTCTGGCCGCATGTCTCCGACCCTCCAACCTACTCGACTGTTAACTACTTCAACTAGTCATAGTGTCTCGCTGAGTTTACCGTATGCACCAGCCTGTGAGTGACTGATAATGAAACAGTCTCCTACGAGATCGACTAGAGCTGAATATGCCTGCGCATTTTGTTCTTCGCTTATGAAGCGATCAGTCTGGAATTGCATTTGGCTCCTGTAGAAAGCATCAAAAGTTGAGTCGCCAATGCGGCCGGTGCCAGGCCATTGGGTATGAAGCTTCGCCTGTGGCCATTGGTTGCCGTTGTTTGCTACGTCGGTGAATATATCAGAGACAGAATTGGGGGAGCCAATGTACCCAATACTTCCCTGTTCGGGAAACCAGAAGGAACGGCCGCGGGCAGGTTGGTCTGAGAGGTAGACTGTGTAACCTTTGGAGATAAAATAGGATGCCCATTCTGGCCGCCCGTCTGGAGTATCAAGGAAATTGGTGCCGGTCTGAGCCGCGCCTGCAATGAAGATAATGGGAGGTGGTGGATTCGCCGGGATTGGCTCAGGGGAGAGCCTCTCGACGTAAATTTGCCCTACCATAACCATTGATGAAGAATTGATCGCATTTTCCTGTTTAAAGATCTTAGATATACGTAGAATTGGTGGGAACCAGGACTTGCCGTGACATTCGTGTATCGGCCACCAACGTAGAGAACATCGCGCTTAAACAGAGTGTCCTTAAGCTGGGACCTATGAGTTCGCACATTGCCTCCTAGAAAAGCAACGTGCATCAAATACGTGAGAGAAGCCAAGGTACGAAAGCTAAACATATCACCACAATTCTGCAAGAAATGCAGGGATTCTGGAAAGGATACGCTTGGAGGGAGAGAAAAGAACTTCCAGTTCGAATTTGTAGAGGATCTGTGGCTTTCCGCCTTCCCGCCTTCCCGCCTTACCACTTCTTGTTGTTGGTGCGCCTCGGAGTTTGCGTATCCACCTAACCTGTTTTGGAGGAATTTACCAAAAACCCTTGCAATATCTCTTAATCCTACCACTTCGTGCCAAGGGTTGCTCACCATACCGTCCAAATGCCCGTTCTTATATAGCCTTATACTTGTAATACAACCATGGTGAATGACAGACTCAACAGAATTTCATCAGTTTTATCAAATCAGAGAACTCAGTACGCATAAGTATTGGAATTTACCATTATGTGATAGGACCGCTGCTCTGTGTCGGAGGAGGTGACTTATTGATGATCTGAATGATTCATTCAGCATGGATTGATTCGATTAAGGATCTCTGCTGCTCCCATTGGGAAGATCACTGTATCGCGGAAGGCACACCGGAGACTTCGAGAGAGTTAACTATTAGTTTGGACAGGCGGCAGGAGCATGACGAAGGCGGTTTTCTCTAACCCTAGTACGGTGATGCTGCTGAACCTTTTCCCTCTCGGGAGTCTGTTCATCTGTAAGATTAGGATTCTGATCAACAGGCTTGCTTGAATTGGTCATATAAGAAGTTAAAAACTATGCTCTGGGGGAGCAAACTCGGTAATAATATTTGCAGGATGACTGTGGGTAGAACGGAGTCTTTCTTTGCCAATTGCCTCCACTTGTCTACGATTGGGAGCGACTTTGCGATGCCTGGCAGAGGGATCGGAGAAAGAAGCTACATGCGTTGACACAAGGCGTTCCTGGATCGTTGTCCAACAAAATAGCGCAAGGAGCGCCCATGTGGTGGCGCAGTATTCGAACAAACATCAATATGTATAGGCGCAAAGCAATCATTCCTTTGAAGATGGAAAGGGCTCTTCTGGATCACCGAAGATGATTTGTAAAGTACATGAACAAGTCAAAGAAAAATTGCGGAAGGTCCACCACCTTCTAATAGATCAAAGATCAAAATTATAAGAGTGATATTGAAATCCCTTCATACCTACGTACCGGCTATCCGCCGAACTCGGCCAGTATCAGCCACACCTGCTGGGATCGGGATTACTCTAGCAGCCTACAGGAGTTCGTCGATCCAATTGAACTGTTACTATATCATTGATCGGCAGCAGCACGTTCATGAAACTCCTTTGTGCAACGCCCAGACAATGGTGAAATAAAATCATCTGAAATCTATCACAAGCCCCGCTGGCGTAACCGCAGCCAGCCCGACCATTCATAACCAGCCCCTTCCAGGAGAAGGCTGGCTAGCACTAAGCAAAGATTTGTCTCTCATCTGTATTGCAGATTGCTCCTGATGCCCCAAGCTCCCACTGCTCGCAGAAGAATGCGCTTCGGGTGAACTCCACGATGGAGTGTCTGCTGGATTGATCCCATTCCTGCCGATTCTGATCTCCCAGTGTCAGCTCCTCCTCACTTGAATCTGTATTTGCCTGCCAGATGTCCATGCGTCCTGTGATTCTTTGACAGCTTTTGTCGCTGTTCTTGATATTGTGGGGCTCTGCCGGTTGAGACAGACTGCCTATAATCTCCAAGCTATTGTTGTCATTCTCCCTCTGAAGCCGCGCAGCTTGTCTCACTTTCCTACAGATTCGCCGGTAAAGATGCCGCGTAGTGGGCAGTATGCTAGCTATCATGTAGATGGAGGGTTCGACGAGGGCATAGATCATGGGACCCCCTGAGGCGTACCAGGTTGGGTCAGAGAAGAGTGGAACAGTAAAGAAGACGGAGAAGCGAAGTGCACATGTTATTATGCCCCTATTTTATATCAACATATTTTCTTGTTCATCTTTTTATCTAAGCGAGACGCAGGAATAAGCGGAGGAAAGGCGTGAGACTTACAGCGAGGCAGCCAGAAAAGTAAGGATCAGGCCAATCTTTTCCGAAGTATGCATTTGTAATTTGAGAAGAATCGGCCACGGGAGCACCAGTATCATCACATCTGTGACCAAACTCGGAATGCTATAGCTCTTATAAAAAAGCATGACGTCCCCACAAGTTCCATCGTTGACATCAGCTGCCTGGGTCCAGAAGTACCTGAAAGGCCGGCAAATCGAAAACGCCAAGATAATGGAAACCAAGCATTGAAGAACTATAATCACGCCAATGCCGGCGATGATGCGGCGATAACGCGAGACTTCGAAGACTTGATAGTAGAGGAAGAGAGTGGCAAGCTTAGCGAACATGACGGCAGGTGTGTAGGTGAATTCGAGAACTTTGGATAATTGCAGCCAGGTCTGAAAGATGTTCAGTGGGATGGCATTGACATGAAACCCTGCGCCGCCTATTTTCACCATTACTATCGAGCATCAGTGTCCATCATTCACTAATCAAATCTTGCAGCTTGAGTTAAGCCACTACATCTTCATCTTTGCCCTTTTCCTCAAAAAGTGGCAAATGCTCAATCTTTCCACCTCATTTATATCGTCAAAAAGTCCTTAAAGCCCATAGCCCATGCGAGAAAACAAAATGGTGAATACTTACAGATTCCTGTCGTCGCACTCCCCAAACAAAACACATAGCACAGCGTATTACATATCAGCATGGGGCCTCCTACGGCCTTAGGATTGAAATACCGGCTCACGTAGAATACCAGCATGAGAAATGTATCAATCACAATGAACGCAATGCTGACCCGCTGGTCCAGACTCGGATCATTTTGCTCAGCCAGGAACTCTGACGAACTCACGCTCGAGGCTGCCATGATGGAAAGAAAAGGTGTTTAAGAGACGGTATATGCAAGGTCATGCACAGTGGGTGCCGTACTGGTGAGTAAAGGAGGGGAAATCGGACGCGGGTATTTCACGTCTCTGACGCACAAATCTTTGAAAAATGAGCTCACATACATATATTTCTGGAGGCGGCGAAGGATGCAGATGTAGCACAGATTCCGGGAGAATTTCCAATTCGGCTAGAGGGACAAAGGAAATCGGTCACTTCTGTTCACGTGGGCGCCCCGATTGCTTCAGCATGTGAATGGTTCGTCATAGTCGATACCAAGAACTTGAGCTGCAGGAGGAAGTAAGGTTTCGCAAAACCCATGGAACAAGAGGGGAAATTCCGACCAGGAGCCAGAAATGTTGTCAAAGTAACTAGAGTTTAAGATCCTGTCTGGTTATCAACCTTATCTAAAGATAGCCGCTTGGGCTCATGAACGAACTCATCTCTGTCCGAGGACCATTCAAAAGGATAGGGACCCTCGCCATGGACTCGCATGTATAAAAGATATTACTGTGACATCTAATGTCATTTTCATCCCTATGTAAATGAGCGTAACAGCTAACTAGTTGGAAGATACGCTTCAAAACCGCAGGCAGTAGGGACCTTAACCCATGACTAGGTAACTAACGTAATCTTCGGGCGAGTGGGTCCAGATGGTCACAGATAAAGCTTTTTTTTGCCTCGAAGAGGACTAAGGAGAGAGGCCACCATTTACAAGAGGATTTTTGGAAAATTTTCTCAAAGGACTCGAGTTCAAGTTCATCATCAACAAAACTCTTCGGGCTATACTCAATATTGCAACAATTCCGGAATAATATTTATTGCGTCGATAGAGCCAAAGTTTCCCATAATGTTCTAGACTTCATAGTGTCAAAGCTTATTCTTCCGGCAAACCCCCCGACCGCACTGTCACTTCTCCCCGGTAGATCGCTCTGGAGACTGCCCCACACCTCCATGTATTAGGCCAGGACTCAAGACTCTCCTTCCCGGGCTTTGTGCCCAGAATTCGCAAGTGCCGCTACGTTTCCTCGCCACATATAGTATATAACATATCCGTCCAGCTTTGATGCCATGTTTCCTCTCGCTGACAGTCAATTGTGACATAGTCCAAGCGTTCGGCTGATTTTGTAAGCTTCCCGATCCACGAGGAATTTCATAGCACCATACCTGATTCACGAGCTTCCACTGATGGAGCGCTTTCGTAGTAGATGGTGCGAGACGAATTTGTCGACACCGGTGAGCTCCACTTCTTTTCAGAGGTCTTGTCTGGGCTTTCCAGCCTGTGATTGATGTGAGGGGATCTCGAGCGAGAATTCCTCCGTAATACAGAGTGCGTGGCCCGGCCGCGTTCACGCTTGCGCAGAATATGATATGTACGACTGCCTATGGTATGGTCGCGATAGTCGGGTAGCTACTCCAGCAACCGGATATCGATGTCAATGATCGCTGCTCCGCCGGCATAACAGCAGTCATGCATGCTATAGAGCACCGCCAGTATGCTATTCTTCAACTGCTATTATTGGATCCGCGAGTAGAGCTCAACGTGGAGAACAATGTTGGGCAAACCCCTCTGCATTTTGCTGTTAGCAAGGAGGACTATTTGTCCGTTCAAATCCTGGTCCAGGACCAGCGGGTAAATGTGAACTACCCTAACTTCGGAGGCGACACCCCCCTATTGTTGGCTGCCCGGAAATTCAGTGATCATAACTCCACCAGACTCGTTGAGTCTCTCCTTCTCAGTTCAGATCTCAACGTGAATTACCAAGACTTCAATGGTCGCACAGCTCTTTGGCATGCTGTAAGTGGTAGGAAAGAGAGATTGTTGCGACTTCTTTTACTGTACGCCAGAATGGTCTGAAGCTCAATACGGCTGATAGATGGGATGTAGCGCCAATAGCTTGTGCAGCCGAGGCTCCGTTCTTCAGCGCTGCCTATCTCTTGTTGCAACAACCTGGCATACAGCTCAATGCACAGTCTCGACGAGTGATACCCCCACTATGGTGAGCATGCCGTGCAGGGCAGTACTAAATAGTTTGACTTCTTCTGCGACAAAAGTCAATCGATGTCAACCAAAAGAGTTCTACAGGAACGACTCCACTCCAGGTAGCCGTCATGTTTGGACATTCTTCCACTGTTTCCCTTCTTCTCCAACACGATTCTGTTTTAGTAAATGAGCTTGGCCCTCACAAATTTACTGCATTGCTCTTCGCTTCGGCAAACGGGTGATGCGAAAGCGCTGAATATCTATTGCGACATCCTGATACTGATTCTACCACGGTTGATGAGCAAGGACGTACGTCGCTCTGGTGGGCACAGCATGGAGAACATTCCGAAATTGTTCGACTTCTTTCCAGATAGGCTTTGCATGAAATGTATCGACGGTTTCCTTGAGTAGAGTTGGGCTTGGAGTATCGAGTACCGGAGCATGATGGGTCTATACGGTTTTATGTAGAGTTTATTTGATGCCTGGAAACTGAAGTAAAAACTTCTTTGATTCTCAATCTTGCCCACACATAAATTGCGCAAACATATGTACAGTACTACAAGGCAATCTCAAAAGAATTCTTCTCGTGGCAGATTCTTTACCTAAAGCAGTACATATGTCAAACTTTCTGCTTTATGTATCATTAATGTCCAGCTTAAAATATAGCACTCAGGAATGTCAAAACCGCCAGACCAAGTGTTGTGATTGCAAGTGTGTATGAGCCCGCCGTGAGACCTGCTTCCAGGTTTCCCTGAATTGTAGTCGATACTGCTACGACGTAAGCACTGAGTAAGAGACTACCTGCGATACAGTCGTTCTCGAAATCGGCTTGACTAGTACACTCTTCGACTGTCTTTCTTGGTCCTGCAGCCAAGAGTTTAGCGCAGAACATCTATTGGGCTAGACGCATCAAGCTGAGGGGCCCCACAGTTTAAATGTCGCCGTGCAAGCTAGATCACGGCGGACCGCAACTTAGTGGTGTGGACTCAATAAATAATAGACGCTAGGGCCTTGGCAGTGGGGCCGAGAAAGAGAGTCGAAGAGTAAACTGGTCAAGGCGATTTCGAGAATGACTGTAAGATATAATAGATAGTGTATATGCCAGCCTTTAACCAACTGAAATCCATTTATTGTCTGTCCGTATGGAATCATCGTATCTTGCCAAGCATCCCATGCAAGATTCCTGTACAAAAAATCGCATTAGATTAAAGTCGAGGAATTATAGGAGCGCGGCATACCGATAAAAGGTGACAAAACTGCCGGCCTCAAGAAATTTGGCGTCATCTGATTTAATTCCGTTTTGCCAATAGCACTCTACCATTGAAGGTAACCACTTATAGACGTCTTGCCGCAGTCGCAACGCTCGAGAGTGCTGAATAGGGCTGTGAAATTCCTCTAACACTGTATCCTAGCGTGAATTAAGGCATTCAACTCCAGGGCCGTGGCATTTCCCCTGAATATTCACACCGCATTCCCAGAGATCAACATCCGAGCCTGGTTCTTGTATGGTGTTCTGAATCCCTGCAATTTCAGAGTCATAATCGACATTTTTCACGTATACAGAAATTTCGTTTGCTCTTTTGTCGTACTTAGCACATCGAAACTCAAGATGGTTTGTCAGTATAACAGCTTGTTTTCTTTCAAAGAGACATAGGTCTCACCATGACTTCCTTGACCCCTACGACAGAATAAAGTGAATGCCGTTTCCACCAGCTGCATTGCCTGCGCAACGCCGGTATCCCGAGTACTAGTCCCTCCTTCCCTAGGCACATATCCTTTGCGATCCACCTATTTCGCTTCTTCATACAGATCCATATACATTTTTTGTGGCCTTCACGATCCGCTTTTAAGCAATACTCATGAATGATGCTTGGCCGACTATTTTCAGTGTAGAACGAACCCTCAACTGGGTTTACTGGTGGGGGTCCTGCAGAACTCTGTAATACGGGGCTTAGTTCTAAAGACTGCATAGCAAAGGATAGTAGGCTTTGAAAGTTTATATACCGGAAAACGAGAACAGGGTCGCATATCTATAGGATTCAGACCTTATATGCTAATATTCCGAGATGGGGCTCCAAAAATTGGATTCAGTAAGGCAGCTCGCTCTGCGCACTGACTTCAATCAGGCGCATTAAATTGCGTCATCGACACTGTTCGGATTGGCAACCCGCCAAGGCAGCACTTAGGGCCCAGTGTCTCAAAATGCAAGACGCTCTTTTAGTCCTTTTATCTGCAATGCAAGATAATTCTACCTGAAATTCTACCTAGTGTCATATCGAAACGTAACGGCATGGCCGGGATACCCGATCCAGACTTGAATGTGCGTTGCACTACAGGTACAGCCAAACAAGTGAAAGCCCTATCTATGTGAGCGAATATGATTCGGTCAGTTTAAGTCTAGCTTTTCATTTCTTGCGACTCAAGTAAGTGGAAAGCAAAGGATTCATTAAATTTATTTGAGCTTCTCTGCTCTATTTAGATATACACACACATACCAGGGTAACTGAGTTCCCCACTATACGATCCGTTATCAGGCGCTCTTCTAAATTTCGATTGGATCTTGCAGAATGGACAAAAATCACGATATATCTGGAGGAGTGGATGTGATAGGACAATATATAAGGCTCTATCCGATAAATATTGGTTCCATCTGCTAGTTATAAATATCGTGGGGAAGAATCGTCGCCTGCGTGACTTAAAAAAAACAACATGCTCAAATGGGTACATACTAATCGGTTCGGTTTCGGGCGATAAAACGATTCAAGAGATCATCCAACTCAGCTGCCAGAAAGAGCGACTCATTTTACAACATCTGTTCGCTTAAGCAAAGGGTGTCCACAGCACATCAAATCTGCTCATTAGTAGTCAGCAATTACATTATTTCCTAATTAGGATTAGTGTTACTATGACCAAAATCAAGAGATGCGCTAATCCCCCGTTTGGACCCAGGAAACCTACAGCTGCGCCTAGGAACTATCTGTGGTCCTCTGAGGATCTCACGTATCGTTGGATGAGGAGCGTGTCTTCCTAATGGATAATCAATATAAGAACCCTATAGTCGACTTCCCAGAGGTACTGAAATACTGCCAAGAACAGGGGTCAGGGGTAGATTAACTGTAATAGGCATAGTGCGTTTCGAAAGAGGTTTCGAGAAAGAATCTCTGTGTGTAAGTGGTAAGACTGATTTCGATCCTCCCTGTACTCCTCTAATCCAGCATTTCAACACATTCGTAGTCCGTCTCACCTCTTTTCTGACATGGGCAACATATTTTTAATCTACACGTTTTCTCATCCAATCATTTTCATTGCTTCATCTCTAACACCTGCTATCCCGTCCAAGCTAAATTGAGCTGCCTAGAGGCCCAAGCAACGAAGTCATAGCTGCCTACCAAACTTCGTACAAGTACGACTGTCAAGCAACTAGCGCCATATTTTTCAAGGCCAGCGCAATTCAATCAGTTATACTCTTCAGAGAGGCCAGGTGCAGAAGGGTTGTAGTGAAGCCTCATTGGCTTATTCTTTTTATCACGCCTTATCTGTGAGTCAAATTGATATCTCCCCTTACAAGTTTGCACTATTTACTAGCCTCGCTAACTCAATCTTAAGTGGGGATGTTGTCGAGAATTCTTCATGGACTGATCATGTCCGCTGCCTCTGTGTTGGGCACGGGCTATTATCATTTGGACGACATTATTTGCTACCAGGACTTACAGGCTAGCGCTCTCGATGCCTATCTCATTATCAGGATCTTTTGGGAAAATTTCGGAATCTGGTTTATTGCAGTACTCCTGTTGGTTGTGACTGAAAGAGCGTGGGGTAGGGGTTCCATGGGACCAGACCATCGCGTAGGGCTAGAACACGTGAAACAAGCACTTCTAGGTCGTCAGGATGTTCACTGCGCAGTGCTTTTGCTCGAAACCTATACGAGCTTCAAGTCAGAGAAGCCAGAGGGCTGGAAGCGTAGGCATGTAATGATTCAGGCATTAATACAGGCAAACATCAATACGCCAGACTCAGATGCTATAGCTTGCCCCGACATGAGGGTGTCACGACGGAACCATCGGAGCGCGTGGATGCCATGCTCCCAAACCGCCACCCACGTGGTGCTTTTTGCGATTCTTTTTCTCTGCAATGTGATGAGTACCCCCTACAACCGCATTCGTCAGCATCTTGGTATATATTCCAGGTTTTACCATGGAATTCGGGAACTATATTCATTTCGGAAAACTGTTTATGAGAAATATCCAGATGCCACAACTGAGAAGGTTGGAAGCGATGGTATTTGTATAATTTGCCAGGAAGAGATGGACTTGATCATGCCAGCAGTCAATGGTGGAGAGGCTGGTTTCAAAGCCGCACTCGATGTTCGCAACGTCTCTGGCCAATTTTCGCCTAAGCTATTGCCTTGTGGTCGTCATGTGTTACACTTTGATTGCCTTTGTATATATTTATTGACGTGGTCGCATTGTCCAATATGCCAAACCGCACGGCCAGTCCCTGCAAAGACCAGCCATATAATACTTAGATGGTGGGTCATGTGGCTCTGGCAGTATCAATACAGGAGTTCGTTGTGAAGAGGTGTTCTAACGGGAATGTATGGGATGGCGACCGCCGCGATTTCGCCTCAGCAGGTAAGTTTCCTCCTCTCGTTCGAGGAGCTTGACTAATCATCCAGTTTAAACAGAATCACCCATGGTCTGCCAATGCTGATTTGAAATACCTCCCGCGGACAAGAGACATTGAGTGATATGTGGGTCGCCTCCTACTGGCCATCCATTTGGACTTCTTATATCCTAGATCTTTGGTGGCTAGGAAGGATGCTGCGCTAACTAGAAGTGATGCGATATAGTATTCGCTGTGTCCGTACAAAACTTCTCGCTCCACGTTCGACAGAACCTACTACGGTCTTCCTACCTCCCTGGGTCGGAAATTCAGTATGGGATAGAGAGATTAAGTTTTATGAGATAGATCCACATAACATGGCGTTCCACCATTTTCCACCATCACTCAGATCAATAGTAGTGTATTTACGTTGCTTTTTGCTTGGAAGTATACCCTCAATTCTGGTGCAACTCCGAAGCTGGCTATGATGTCGTTTCCATACCGATGTCACTTCTAATCTAAGGGCTTTATGCTGCCCAGCACTAATTAAGTGATATGGAACCCGCTTTTCCTCAATTATACCCGGACCTCATTCGAGCCGCGCGCATAACCAGTACCGGTGATCTACGAGCCCTGTGCAGCCTGTTCGTTGAAGATCGGGTCTTCTCCACCAAAGCCGTGTCTAAATCTCCTACCTGGACCTGAGAGATTCAAATTAGGGTGGGATTTGGTCTTTGTGCGGTTGGTTGTGATCCAAAAAGAACCGTCACGCTAGCTCATATTTCGTAGTTTCAACTTGGGCTCGCACCAATTTGGCAAGGGGATTCATGGTAATCCGAACACCACGGCAATGCAATGATGGCAGCTCGTTGCTCTATATGGGAAGCCTAAATATGGTGGATGGATTTTGGACCCGTTTCCCATATGTATAGTATATCATTTGGAGTGCAACTCTGGAGGCTGCTTGTAAATTCAAAGGTTTATGCGCATATGATAAGCAAACATTACTTAAAATCCTGGCAGCATACCCCGATATAGAAAGAGATGAATAGAGATATCAAGCCATTATTCCCGTCAATAGTCTATCATAAGTATGAGGAAATTTGTACCCGGTCAAAAGATGGATGAGTGCAAGAGCGTCTTGCTCAGACTCTTTTAAGCCAAAGAACTCCGCCCTGGCTGTCCCTTCACTGTCCCACAACCTGAGAGTACTATTGCTTTCATGGTGTGTCATTTCGATTTCCCAAGAGGACTTGTAATGGTCCGTTGTTATACAGTACCTTTCAGATCCCCAATGAGAAGATTGATGCGGTAAAAAGTAGCGAGGAGGATATATGGCAGAAGAATCCTTTTTGACGAATACAGCGATCGAGGGCATAACGGGAGTATAATCTAGAGACCTGGGTGGGCTCGAGCTCAAACTATAAGGTGACACGATTCCATCGAGGATCATCATCGAACCAACGAGCCAACTGATTCTGGCTTCGGGTTACCCATACTAATGATGACTCTGTTGAGGGCACATTTGATAAGACCCATTTCCTTTCGATATCTTCTTGCAGCAGAGCAGCAGTCTTCTGCTCTATACGGGTGAAGCGATTATTGCTACGTATCATAATGTCTCAATATGAATTCATCAATGCGAGCACACGAGTTTCCAAAAGCTTGCCAGTTGTTCAAGCCTCCGATATCTCATTGAAGTATTCCTGCTGGTCTGAAGAGCTCAGAGTACCGAAATTCTCATGTGAAAGCAGCTGCAACTGCTTGTTGTCGAAAAGATGTCTTTCGGACTGGAATCGTGCTCTGTCTCGAAAAGCCTGATCAGAACTCATGCAATGGACCCTGGAAGAGGCGGTCGATGTTGAAAGGGTATTGGATTCATCTCGGATGAGGTTTTGTGGTACACTTTGAGGGCGTCCTTGGTCTAAGGCTCCAAAAAGCTGAGGTTTGCTGAAGTCGATGGCGTCTGAATCAGGATCTTCAATGTCGCTAATCATGATGGGGTTCAATTTCCTCGACCCTATGGGATCATTCATATTCACAATGATGGCTCGTAGCTGAATGTAATTTTCGATGCTGTAACTTTAACGCTATGCGAAATTGAAGCTTGAGAGAGACGTGACTGAAGCCTTTTATAGTCTTGAAATCTAGTTTGAACTCAAACCTGATTTCCGTTCATCAATATGAAAATGAGTAATCAAAGTGATTTTCCTGGGAGCTACTGTATGTTATGTACCTAAAAAGCTAAACCGTTCATTCTTGCGGTAAACTAGCAATCAAAATTCTTGAATTTCCAGGAGCCATAACGATACAGGGAGGATCGAAATCAGTTCCACCACTTGCACACAGAGATTCTTTCTCGAACCCTCTTTCGAAACACTCTATGCCTATTACAGTTACTCTACCCCTGACCCCTGTTCTTGGCAGTATTTCAGTACAGTCGTAAATAACATCACAAACATAGCCGTTGTATTAGGCTTGTATGGCTTTCGGAGCGTCTAGAATGTTGATTCTGCAAATAAGGCAAGTCACGGCTCGATTCGGGCCAATCTGGTTTCCTGCCTTAGCGCCGTGTAGTCACCTGATGGTGAGGCTAAGAACTTGTGCCCCTCCTTTAGCTGAGAGTCAACCAGTTCCTTCACAAAGATACAGGCAACACACAATTATCATGACATCCGTATCGTTTCTCGGCAACAACCAGGGGATCCAGGTCGGAGATAATCATGGTTTGATGGAGTTCCATCTGCCTCCAGGTAAGTTAGAGGAGCGCGATAAGCTCGCCGTTGTGGCTAATCGCCGTATCCTAGTGCGACCGGAAACTCCACCTAGCCCTCTATCAACTGTCCCGTTCGCGCGTGATCCAGAATTTGTCAGTCGCGACACTCTACTTCATCAGATCCACGAGAAAAGCTCAGTACCAGGATCAAGAATAGCACTGGTCGGCCTCGGCGGTGTTGGGTGAGTATGGAGCGACCGACCGATATCTTTTCTTATGGCTCACAATTCAAAGGAAATCGCAACTCGCCATTGAATACTCCTATCACGTCCGATCCCAATCGCCGGCGACATGGGTTTTTTGGGTCCATGCGAGTAATAAAGCCCGGTTCGAGCAAAGTTTTCGGGATATCGCAGACCAAAGTAAAATCCCGGGCCGTTATGATCCTAAAGTCAACATATTTAAACTTGTTGAGAATTGGCTTCGGGGTGAGAATAGAGGTAAATGGCTTCTGATCCTTGATAATGTTGATAATGATGAACTTCTCTGTCCGTTTTCGGTGGTAGGCAAGGAAGATCCGATAAGCAGCCGAGTAAACGCCTTAACAAAACCACTATTGGAATATATTCCTAGGAGCCAGAATGGATCTACCATTATCAAAAGCCGCAACAGAGATATTGCATTAAAGATGGCCGGTTATAAGGACCTAATCGAGGTTAAACCGATGGAGGAATCCGAAGCGCTTAAGCTTCTCCAAAGGAAGCTTGGTCAACTAAAGCAAAGCAAAGAGAGTCAACAATTAGTGAATATGTTGGAGCTTATGCCGCTAGCGGTCATACAGGCCGCGAGCTATATTCGAAACCGGGCGCCTCGCTATTCGGTATCACAATACCTAAAAGACTTCCAAAGGAGTGATCATGAAGCAATAAAGCTTCTGAAAAAAGAGGCAGGTCACCTCTATCGGGACTGGGAAGCAAAAAATTCAATCATGGTGACATGGCAAATATCATTCGACTATATACGCCAAACCAAGCCATCAGCAGCAGATTTACTTTCTCTCATGAGCTTATTCGATCGGCAAGGGATACCAGAGAACCTTCTCCGGCATCAGCCTAAGGCCAACGACGGCTCGATTTTAGAGCTTCCAAATGACTTTAATGATGATGATGGGACGTCTGAATCTGATATGGGACCTGAGTTTGAAGATGATATCACGGCCCTGAGGGATTTTTCGTTTATATCTGTCAGTGAGGATAATAGTTTCTTTACTATGCATCGGCTAGTGCAACTAACAATGCGCGCGTGGTTGAAATCTCATCAACAAATAAATCGATTCCGGGAGAGATTCATTAGTACCTTGTGTGATGAGTTTCCCACAGGTGAATATGAGAACTGGGAGACGTGCCAGGCGCTATTTCCTCATGTAAAATCTGCAATATCACAGCGACCAATATCACCAGAGTATCTACAGCAATGGGCTTTATTGCTCTATAAAGGTGCATGGTATGCGTGGCAAAGTGGCAATATCGCGGATATGAGAGAAATGGCAGCGAAATCAAGGAACGAAAGAGTGATCTTACTAGGTGAAGAGCATAAAGAGGCCCTTGATAGCACAGGCATATTAGCAATAGCATACTCGCTTGATGGCCGATGGCAGGAGGCCGAGCAGCTCGAGGTGCAGGTAATGGAGACTCGCAAGACGAAGCTCGGCAAGGATCATCTTGATACGCTGACAAGTATGGCCAACCTGGCATCGACATACTGGAATCAGGGCCGATGGCAGTAGGCCGAGCAGCTCGAGGTGCAGGTAATGGAGACTCGCAAGACGAAGCTTGGCAAGGATCATCCTGATACGCTGACGAGTATGGCCAACCTGGCATCGACATACTGGAATCAGGGCCGATGGCAGGAGGCCGAGCAGCTCGAGATACAGGTGATGGAGACTCACAAGACGAAGCTTGGCAAGGATCATCCTGATACGCTGACGAGCATGGCTAACCTGGCATCGACATACTGGAATCAGGGCCGGTGGGAGGAGGCCGAGCAGCTCTTTATGCAGGCGATAGAGACTCGCAAGACTAAGCTCAGCGAGGATCATCCTGATACGCTGACGAGTATGGCTAACCTGGCATCGACATACCGGAACCAGGGCCGGTTGGAGGAGGCCGAGCAGCTCTTTGTGCAGGTGATGGAGATGAGCAAGACGAAGCTCGGCGAGGATCATCCCCACACGCTGTCGAGTATGGCCAATCTTGCTTTCACCTGGAAATCTTCAGCTCACGATGTTAAAGCCATCAATTTGCTACGAGATTGCTTAACCAAGCAGAAGCAAGCACTCGGCTTGAATCACCCTACTACTTTGTCTACTTCTGAAACATTGGTAGAATGGGAAACGGAGCGCTTAGATATGAATGCCTAGATAAGCTAGATAATTAGTCAAATATCGTATGTTTACCCAGGCATTTCTGCTTAACGTCAACTTACCAGAGCAATCATTTCCATAATAGTTAGACTTGAAGCTCGCTACTCCTAATGGAATTACCCTTACGACTTTAGTAAAGTCGTTGCCAAGAGCTTAAGGGAAAGCATAAGGAAAGTTGCCAACGATCGAGCTGTGCAAGGGCCTGCGAGATGGTGGTATTTTAAGCAGGAGCAATACAAATAACTTACACAACAGTCCGTCACATGGTAATGTATTTCTTAGTGATTCAACACTTGAAACCGAGTTAAACCGGAAGTAGATTAGGGGGTTCCGGGTTAGGGTTCGAGAACAAGTCTATAAGAGTAATATGGTGAAACTGATTTCGATCCATCCTGTATCTGGGAACTTATACAGCACAGTGATCATTATATATTCTTATTCAAAAAGGTGTATAAGTCTTGGCTTTATCACCAAATGAACAGACAACTACTATAGCACAACGAAGGGGTGCCTGCACGTCGGGTGTTGGCAGCCTGGGGCCCGAGGTGTTGCCAAATCGAGTCCAACTTTAACAACGCAGGCTCCATTGCTGCATGGAAGCTCAAAGTTATGTACTAGCGGGCTCAAAGCGACGAGGGTGAGCTTGATTTCGCAGATGTCCCTACGAGGAACTTTGTTAACGTAGATTTGACCAAGCTACCCGAATCCCAACTCGAATCGCAACATCCACATCAACATCAACATCAACTCAACGTCCATACTCCATTTGGGTCCTTGATGCCGGCTGTGAGAGCCTGAGTTTTAGGAAAATCCATCAAAATCCTACAGGGCTACATACATGTATACAAGGGAGCATCTACTTTCGTCATACTACAGGACAGGGAGTCTCAACGGTTCATATTTCGAGGTTTTACTTCTCAACCTAAGTTGCGTCGATCATGATCACTCACTGTTCAACGTTTAGAGGTATAAACTCCAGGACCTACACTCTCCAAGGAACTTCCTGCCCAATCCTAGACTTCATCGTTTCTTCAGCGATTTCTGAGTGCCTAAAAGTCAATGGTTCATTGCAGACTTTTGCTTTCTTTTTATACTCTTCCCAACCTTCCTGCCTTCCATTTGGACAACCCTTTTTTGTCGTTCCCAGCCGCAATAAACTGACTAGCCTTATTCACTGATCTTCTTCATTACTGGAAAATGTGGGCTTACATTCTGCTTCTCGTGCTAACGAGCATGTCTCTCGCCTTTCCGACCGACTTCGCTGTTAAACGCCGCACTTTCGGCCTGTCCGCTTCCAATTTGGGCAGTTTTTTGGATGTGGCTGGTGAAGCTTTTGACCTGGTTGACACAGCCCTCGGCAGTAGTGCTCATGCCTCGATGGACATCCCTGCCGGTCTAAGCCCCCAGGGTGCGGCTGCACTGGGAGGTAGTGCTCTCGGATGCAGCGCCAGCACCATCGACGTTGGCGCCCGCGAGGAACTTAGATCCTGGCTGGCTAGCCAGACTGGCATCACCGGTTCCCTGAAACCCTTGCTCCAGTCCTGGTGTGAGAGCGAAGGCTCCACAACGCTGGATACTGACGTTGTGGCTGCTCTCTCCGTCCACATCCCTACCTGTGCTCATATTGCCGCTAAAGGATCGTTGTACATCACCGTCGACGGCATTTTCCCCGCGGGTGACCTTCAAGAAGCTTCAGTTCTAGGTACATCTGACCAAGAGTCCCTGTCCGCATTTCTATCTGCTTATGACAGCCTTGGCGCTGATATCCATGCTGGGCTCAGCGTCTGCGCAGCTGGTGGTGCCGCTATCAGCTTGGATGCTCATTTCAAGGCCTCCCTTCTCGCTTGGACTCAGGCCTCTAACTGCCCACTCAGTGCTAATCTGCAGCGGTCCGTCCTTGCTTGGTGTCAGGGTAGCCGTGGCGGACATCTCACTACGATCAGCTCCTCCACTGACTCCACTCTAATTACTTTCTCGGTTGGGGCTTCGGTTGGGGCTTTCGTCGAGGAGGGTGGCCCTCTTTCCGCCCACGCTCAGGCCGCTCTGAAGAACTTTCTTGATACCAGGCTGGCGACTGATATCGACGCTAGTGTCCTGGCTGGGCTGACTGCTTGCGCGGCTGGAAGCTATGCTACTTCCATCGATGTTGATATCCGCACCGCAGTCGCTGCCTGGCTCTCCAGCTCCCGCTGCTCTCTGGGCGTCGAGCTGAAGGCTATTGTCTTTCTTTGGCTATCCCAAGCTACTTCTGCTGAAATGCCTCTCAGCCATCTCAGCGGCCCGGCGGCTGATCTTGCTGGCCTACTCACCGAGGATACTGTGGGATCTCTCAGTACCATTCTCCGCGCAGTACTAGGTCTTGTACACGCCGGTGGGAGCCTGTCACTTCTGTCCTAGGAGACTCGTGCTGAGCTGGCTGCTTTTCTAAGTGGCTGCACCACCATCGATATTGGCGCTAGCTTACAGCTCATCCTAATTAAATAGTTCACTGGCTACAGTATCCTCGATGCTTCGTCTCCGTCCCTCTCCGTCTCTGGCTTGCCATCTTCTACATTTAACATCGCCAGTACCAACACTACCATGAGCGCTGTTGCCACCCCCTCTGTGCCCGCACAATGTGGTTCTTTTATATCATGTCTTATACCTTCCAAGTCTTTACCTACCGGTGCTGCTCTTTCAATTCCTCCCTCTGGTGGCCTCACTCCCTCGAATCATGCTAGTGGCGTCACAAGTACCTCAATCACTCCTAGCCAGCCCGCTATTACACCATATAGCATTCCGTTCATCATCACCAATGACATTAGTGTTCCCAATACAGCTTCTCCTGGAGCTGAAATTACCGACACACAATACTTGTCTACAACAGTGGACAGTCCTCTGCCGGACAATATATCTGGTTTGGGGTCAGGGTCGGGATTAGGCTCAGAATCATGCTCAGGATCGTCGATATTGTTCTATACCACATATACTCCAGCTCCAACTCAGTCTCCTCTATTCCCTGTTGGCGGCTTCACCTCCGACTATATCACCACTACCATTACCGTTACGAAGACAGTCTGCGAGTGCGAGGGAACAAATTCTCCTACACCATTTCAAAACGTCTACACTTGACTCATTTATTTAGCCTTTTTTTTAAGACAAGGCTCTTAGAGAAAGCACGTTATATAGACCTTCAATATGTTTAGACTCAATGAGAGGCTTGGGCTGAGCATTTAATATAATTGCTCCCAAGTCTGATCTGTATGTTTATATTTCCAATTCTGACTCTAGGCCTATCTAGAATGACCTAGATAATTACCATCCTATTTAGGCATCCTAGTCAACTATCTACGATATCATTATATTATAGTAGCAAATATCAAGTACCAAACATGGACAACATTTTAAGAACACAGCTCGGAGGGAGCCATTATTTGGCCATTTATATATTGCGGCTCCGCTTTATCGTCTTTGAGTCGAATCGAGGAGCGAGAATTTTGAACAAGAGTCATGGAATCTGACTATCAAATAAGGTAAGCATGACGATGGGGCCACATCGATCTGTAATGCAATCCTGCCATTGCCCGCTAAAGCCTATCGCCCAGAAATTATTCAAACTGGGCAAGCTCTTATTTACTGTTTTATTATGAATATAAATTATGGCACAGCAATTCTAGACATACCTAACGATAGATTTTGTGTATAAAAAATTTGAAGAAGACATGAATAAGCTTAATTCTGCTGAGCAGATGAATGGCTTCTTTGACGTCAGCCCGCCATTGGTGTAGAAGAATATCTAAAGAGCCTATTGGTGGATTTGATCAGACCATCCGGAAACGTAAATACGCTGAGAATCAAGGATATGGAAGTCCTCTACCTTTTATTTCATAGAATATCAGAATCTAGCTAGATCTCTATGTATCCATATGCCTTGGTTAGGGCACTAGGATTATATGAAAATCAGCTTGCAATCGTTCCTCCCAGAACCTAGTGTAGATAGGTAGAGAGTCTCCAGTAAAGTCAACTCAATATTCCTTAACGCGTCTCCTACCTAGTACAACGGCGAACAAAGGTATCTTCTAAATCACTTGATGTATGCTCTACTCCGCCGGAGAGGACTAATTTCTGGCAGGGTGCGAATTCTGGTGCATTAACAACGTCTTCCTCGGCCTCCGCTACGTGGGTTGTGACTGGAAGGAATGTCCTCACAATCACTTACGCGCCTATCCTTTGAACTCAGTTGATCGACCTGATGGCTTTACTGTATCTTTGAAAGCGTAGTCCACTGTGTGGTTCCCGTCGATGTGAGTAGCTATGGTGCTGTTTCTGGCGATAGGCCTTGGATTAGACGAATCCCCATCGCTACCTTAAGGCCCTCGGACCCTGACCTTGTGAATTCTTTGTTGTTCTTGATTAAACGGAATAGAAGCAGAATTTGCTGACATACTCAAAGAGGACATTCAGCCCCCATTCTATCGATTGTGTCATCAAATTGTATTGTTGGAATCAGACCTAGGCCAGCTTTTGCTATCACTAATAGCATTTTCTTGGTCTCAATGGGGATTTTAAGGCAGTCGAAAAATTTGGAAGACCCTCTTACACCCCCGAGCGCACCAATAGCATACTCTACTAAGACCGTATTAGAGATGACATATTCTATACATGAATCACCCGCAAAGTATTCGCTCCTTAAAGCTAAAACAGAAAATTGTCGAGCAAGCAATCAGAAAATTGACCTCTCACAGTCTTTGTCCATCTATGCTGCGCTCCTACATTCTCTCTTTCTGCCGCTGATGGTCACTGATAAAGGTGCATCTATATCAACAACTGTAATTCTGTCCCTTGCTTTCATCCAAATATTTTACAGTCAATGTGGGCAATTGAGCTGCATCTTGTAGAGGAATCCGGTATCAAAAGCCAAGTAGCTTTTGATATTCACCTTAAGAGGTTTCCTTTGTTCATGGCGAATGGGCTACCGTTACAATGCTGAACGTGAGAGCCAATCAAATGACAGAACGTCTAGATTTTGCCGCCGAATATTTACGAGCCTTTTGATGATTTGAATGATGGCATATCAGAAAAGCCTCGAGATTCGAGATCGGTTTCGAACTGCAGAATTTCAAAATACGAAGGGAAGGCCCAACCCCCCAAATCTGACTCCATCGCAATTCAGGAATGCACACGAGATGGAGAACAAGCCATTTTATTCAGGAATGAGATAAGAGCTTTTCAGAGGTGAAGTAACGGACGCTATGGATAGTCACTCTTGATGCGTCTTAGATACATGTATAAGGGGCACACTGATATTTAATTGAAAAGTACTGAAATCATAGGATGGGACATAAGACGTGGAGCTTATTTGGAGAGAAAGCATGGCGTAAAAGTCTAAAGATGTTCACTCACAAGCGCAATGGAGACCAGTATACCAACCATAAATCATTTCCCCCAGTACTTGGATACAGGGAGGATCGAAATCAGATTCACCACTTGCACACAGAGCTCCTTTCTTGAACCCTAATTACACTGGACACCTTGTCCCCGTCACGCTATCGTCATCACCAACCCCTACTCCTAAGCGTAATATTCGCACTAAGCGACTCTTACAGAGTATAAAGCCAGAAGATAACTAAAATCACACGCATCATTTAATTTACTGTTCAAGGCTACTACCCTGAAATTTTGAGAGATCGTAGAACAAGTCTGGTACCTGAAGATGTTTTGTTCAGAGCTTGATTTGTCTATTTATTAATGTTCAGCCTCTCACTTGCCCATTCCAGCAGAATTTCAGAAGTCGCCAACGTGTGAGGGTGGTTAGGACTGAGCTTTTTGCTCTGCTTGGCCAAGCAAGGTTGTAGTAAATCAAGAGCGTCGTTCATTCTGCCCTGACGATTTTCGGAAGAGAGCGAGCCTGGCCATACTGAATAGGGTGTCGGGATGATCCTCGCCAAGCTTCGTCTTGCGAGTTTCCATGACCTGCACAAAGAGCTTTTCCGCCTCCTTTGAACGGCCCTGGCTCTCATATACCAACGCCAAATTGGCCATACCAGATAGCGTGTCAGGATGATCGTCGCCAACATTGGTCTTGCGAGTCTCTACCACCCTTTCTAAAAGCTTCTCGGCCTCTTGCACCCTCTCACATTTCTTATATGTCAACGCCAGGTTGACCTCGCTTGCTAGCGTGGAGGGATGATTCTCGCCAAGTTTCATCTTGCTAGAGTCTATCACTTGCACTAAAAGCTGCTCGGCCTCCTTCCACCGGCCCTGGCATATATATGTCGCAGCCAGGTTGTGCATGCTCATCAGCGTATCGGGATGGTCGTTGCCGAGCGTGGCCTTGCGTGCCTCTATCACCTGCACCTGGAGCTGGTCGGCCTCCTCCCACCGGCCGTGCTCGGCCTCCTTCCATCGGCCCTGCCTCCAGTAGGTGGCCGCCAGGTTTTGCATGCTCATCAGCGTATCGGGATGGTTGTCGCCGAGCTTGGTCTTGCGTGCCTCTATCACCTGCACCTGGAGCTGCTCGGCCTCCTTCCACTGGCCCTGGCATATATATGTCGCCGCCAGGTTGTGCATGCTCATCAGCGTATCGGGATGGTCGTTGCCAAGTGTGGCCTTGCGTGCCTCTATCACCTGCACCTGGAGCTGCTCGGCCTCCTCCCACCGGCACAGATCACAGTAGGCCGATGCCAAGAAGGCTATGCTCGTTAGCGTGTCGGGATGGTTGTCGCCGAGCTTGGCCTTGCGTGCCTTAATCACTTGCACCTGGAGCCGCTCGGCCTCCTCCCACCGACCGTGCTCGGCCTCCTCCCACCGCCGCTGCTTCCAGTAAGTCGCCGCTAGATTGACCATGCTCGTTAGCGTATCGGGGTGGTCGTTGCCGAGCTTGGCCTTGCGTGCCTCCATCACCTGCACCTGGAGCTGCTCGGCCTCCTCCCACCGGCCCTGCCTCCAGTAGGTGGCCGCCAGGTTGTGCATGCTCATCAGAGTGTCGGGATGGCCGTCGCCGAGCTTGGTCTTCCGTTCATCCATCACCCGCACCTGGAGTTGCTCAGCCTCCTCCCACCGGCCTTCAAGCATATAGGCTGCTGCTAACATAGCAGTGCTATCAAGGGCTTCTTCACCATCCGCACCAAACATTGCCACTCTCTGTTTCCTTGATTTTGATGCCAGTTCCTTAGCGTCTGTGACATTACCCATTTGCCACGCGTACCATGCACCTCTATATAGTAGCGTAGCCCATTGTTGTAGGGCGTCCTGGGATTCTGGCCGCAGTGAGATCGCCGATTTCACATGTGGAAAGAGCTGTCTGCACCTGGTCCAATTTTCATATTCACCGGTCGGAAATTCTTGGCATAGATTGGTGATAAATCGCTCCTTCCATTGCTCCATTTGCCCTTGGTTCGAAAGCCAGACCCGTGCAGTTAGTTGCACCAGCCGATGCATTGTGTATACTGTGCTATCTTCACCGGTATAAATGAATGAATAGTCTCTGAGAGTTGCAATATCGTCCTCAAAATCGTCATCTAGGTAGGATTCAGACGAACTATCTATATCCTCTTCACTAGAGCCCTTCGTAATTTCATCCGGAGAACTCAAACTATCATGTTTTCTTTCCCTATCTTGAACCCGTAGAAGTTTCTCTGGGATTCCCTGCCTGTCGAAAAAGCTCATCAGAGAGAGTAAGTCTGCCGCAGACTGCCTTATTCGCTGGATATGGTCGAAAGATATTTGCCATGTAAGTAGAATTGAGTTCTTTGCCTCCCAGTCTCGGTGAATGGGACCTGCCTCACGATGAAGAAGCTTAGCAGCGTGACGATCACTCCTCCGAAGCTTTTCTAGGTATTGGGACACCGAGCAACGGGGTGAACGATGGACAATGTAGCTAGCAGCTTGTATAATCGCGAGTGGCATAAGCTCAAGTTCCTTCACTAGCTGTACCATGTCTACACTCGCTATATGTATATCCAGCTTGTTCTGTAAAAGAACTTGCGCTTCAGCCACGTCCATTGGTTGTATATCAATAAGATCCTTCTTATGGCCGGTGATGTCTAACGCAACTCCTTTGTTCCGGCTTGTGATTATAATAGAGCCATTTGATCTTTCGAGAAGGTACCTTAGCGGTGACTGTGTCGAGGCATGACTTTGGGCGTTTGCTTGAGTCTCCGTGCTAGTCGCCGAAGGTTTGCGAAGGAGCTCGTCATCATCTACATTATCCAGGACAAGAATCCATTTTCCCATCATTTTATCTTGTAGCCAGTTCCCAAAGAGTTGGAATATATTAGCGTTGCGGTCCTGACGCCCGGGAATTTTAGCCCGGTCTGCAAGGTCGCGCAGACTTTTCTCGCAGCGGGCCGCATTACTCGCATGAACCCAGAAGACCCAGGTGTCGATCGATTGCCGTCGAACTTGGTGGCAGTATTCGATGGCAAGTCGCGTTTTCCTATTGCACAATTAGTCTTGAATGGACCGTCCTTAGACCCCTGTATGTCTGACCCGACGCCGCCGAGACCAACGAGAGCTATTCTGGACCCCGGGGCCGACAATTTCTCGTGAATTTGGTCGAGTGCACCACGATAGACAAAATCCGGGTCGTGCGGGAACGGCACGGTCGATAGAGGCTCTGGGCGTGGTGCCGACCGCTCTTGAAAGGGAACCCGCATTTAGTCAACTTAAACCAGACCTATTTTAAGTGCTCCTTTGGAAACTTACCTGGTGGAAGATATTGATTGGTTATCGACCCTTGATTGATCCCTACCTGGGAACCTAAATTTGTGTTGCTAAACGATATGGAGGCCATAGTCAAGAGGCTATGTATGTAGTGTTTCAGTTCTTGGGCAGAAGAAAGGCGCTGAACTCTTGGGCATGAAAAGCCATCCTCAGCCCAACCATCAGGTGACTTCACCGCGCTAACTTCACTCAGATCTGTATCTCAGGGCACTCCGAACCTCGGCAGCATCCGTACTATGTACATTAAGTTAGCCTAGTACTTTGTTCTCCTCTGCCGGTGGGGGTTCAGCGTGGAGGGCCCAAGCCGGGTGGTGTAGGCGCACAGGCGCTGGGGTAATTCAAGGGTCTAGCCCGTATTTGCCTTGTAAGATATTTTACATTTCCAGTCTTACGTGCAGGGATGATAGGCTGGCTGGCTGCACCTGGCCTAAATAACTTTCACCATGGTCTTTACGCTAGGGTTTGAGATAGTTTCTCTGTGTAAAACATGGAAGACAATTTCGAATTTAGCTGTATAGCCGGGCCCGGTGGGCATAGCGTCATTAGCAGGAGGATCCCCAGCCCATCACTTGGACATAGGAGTGGCGGAGGGAAGTATTAGGTTGCTAGGTTCTCGAGGCAAATCCCCAGATCTAGTGTTTGACATGTTTGCATTTCCATAGAAAATTCTAGTTCCCTTGGTTGCAAATACAGTTATGAGACAAGGCACCGTATTTAGTAAAAGTAAATGGAAGTATCGAGACTGGTACGGGAGTATTGATATTCCGGAGCTATTCTTAATGTGTTCTAGGGTCTCTTGGCGGTGGGCCTAGAGAAATATTCAAAGAGTAGAAGCGGTTGCACCAGTTTCGCAACGTACTGTATATGCCTTCGTGGTGTTTGATCAAGATTCTTCCAGACCAAGGCGACCCATAAGAAAGTGCCTTGTGCGTTGCTTAACAAGTGACGTTTGACAGTTTCAGTTATTTTTGATCGTATTTTTTCTGCTTGGCCAAAGAATCCACCTTATGTTGAATGAATGCATTTACAGCTTCGGACACGGATGCCTCATTCAGCTCCAATGAGATCGGAGCCACCTGGGTAGCAGAGTCAAGACACTCAGTAATCTCAAATTCGTTACGGCTGGAGACAACCCATCTAATCTCTTGATTAGTTATTAAGATTTCAACGATCAGATCCAAAAGGTCTTGAAGGCCATCTCGACATTCATCCAAGGCATCAATCACAAAATAGGCACTTTTCAATGTTGAGTCTTCGAGAATTTGCGTGAAAATGGCGACGAGGGCACTCCACGCATTGACATCCTCAAACAGGTCTTTCCCTGCAGAATCGTATCGAGCTCGTACATAGCGGAGAAGTGATGGGTTCTTCTCGATAAGTGAATATATTAAGCCACGTAAGACAGACGTGGCGCTATTAATACGCATATCGGTGGCTTGGCAGAAGAAGAATGAGATGGTCGCACTGTCCTTATGTGATCGGGTTAACTCCTCGATGATCCCACAGAGAAGCATCGTCTTGCCTTTGCCTGGATCACCCCTAATCCAGAGAAGACGGTTGCTTTCATTATCTTGCCATTTTCTGAATGCTTCATTGTCAAGAATCCAGCGGTAGGAGTCTTTGAGCAGCCCACCGTTGGTGTTTTTGATACGCTCTTTATCATCATAGGGGTTGGTCGTTCGTAGGTCGCGCAGACATGCTTGATCTAACAACGTTTCCGGTTGACCTTGCGGCAGTCCCGAATTAGTCACATATAATTGCATTGACGATTCTGTACGTACTTAGATTCGTAGTGATGGGTCCATAGTTTTTTGCGACTTGAATTCCAGAGTTGACGCCATTGTAAGAAGTATTGGTGGCCATTATGCGGAGCCAGTGGTTTGAAAAAGGCTAGTAAGTCAGCGTCAAATGCCCAGCTTTTGGTTTACCCCGCTCTCAGGTGATCTATCGAGATGCAGAAGAACCGTTTCATTCCACCCTAATACCTCTCATTAGTCTAGGCAAAAACGGATCCTTAGTTTTAACTATCGCTCCCAACCTGAATAAGCGTGCGAATACGCCATGGGGAACTTATGTTAGCCCTTGAGGAAGGAAACGCTCATCGAAGTCTTAACGAAAATAACAGCCCCACCAATAGTGTATTGAAACGTTACACAGAATTTCATGGTCTTATTATAGGCTAGATGAAATGAGGAATAGTGTGTTTCATAATAGAGTTCAAGAAGTAAAAGAAAGGAAACAAAAGATGAAGCTGATTTCGAGCGGCCCAGTATCCCAAGACCGAATAAAATGCTGTGTCCGTCTAGCCCTCTTCATGTTGTCTTTTAACCTCATCTATGAGGCATCGGGAATCGCTGGTGTAAAGGAAGATGGGTACGTTACGAAGTCGGTTGAGCTCCACACGCGCTCCCAGGAGCAAGAACGGCTTCCGGTAGTTTTTCAAAGCATGCGTATGTAAAAACCATAATCTATGGTAATTTATCTTCAAGGTACCTTGGCTGCCATATCTCTAAGTACATATACTGTAAGCGTATCTTAACATTCCCTGGAGCATATTCTTTGTTGAATTCAATCAACCATATTATTTCTCAGAGGCTCGCTTCGCTTAATTTCGTGAGCTGGCGTGCAAACTAGCTTAACTGTATTCGTTAGCTATGACAAGAGCCCCATCGCCCCCTGGAACAGAACTGACTTGGGTTGTTACACATACAGAAACTCTGAAAGTATGAGCACTAATCCATGTTGGCTCTGATTTCTGCAATGGCGTGATAGATGTGGTATGTAATCCTGAACTGACGGCCACCCCATCGACTTGAATATCTCAATACTCACATGATTTAACTCCTTGGAGCAGTAATTCTAGAAGCAGCCGTAAGATATACTGCTTGCGTAAGTGGAACAGCCTGTCTTATGGGAAATTATGATATAAAACGATATGTTTTGTAATGCTCTAAATAATCGCTTTTATATTATCCCTTATTGTACCTATTTGATTTTAGGATTTTAATCCCGTCTCTGCGTGTGCCTAGCTAAGCGGTGTGAAATGCTTTATCATTAAATAATGGCATATATACCCAATGATGCCCCACTTAATTATCTTTTTAACAGATGACCTCTCGAGAAAGTAAGATCGTAAATTAATGAAAAGCAAGAACTGATCAATAACTACCATATTTCTAATACAAGTAACTCTCTTTAGGACAATAAGGATCTCTCTTTTTGGTATAAGATCATAAAGGAAAATTGCTAGATCGAGGTATTAGTTGATTCTGCCAATTTAAACTAAAAAGGTATTGTCCTCTTCTTTATACAGTTAATAGAGGTCTGGTCTTTTAAAGCTGGATACGTAGGTATTCTGATATATACTATATAATTACCTTGATGCATGGAGCGCCTCAGGCAAGATCGGAATAGTGGTGGAAGCGTACGCTGCATCATTTTATAATTAAGTACCTGAACTATGTTTATAATAAGTGGCAGAGCCCTATATTTAGATTATTCTTTATATATACACTAGGAATATATATGTACACTGCACGCCATCCTCAGATCTCATTGCCACAATCTATACACACACACACACACACACAATTAATTAACGCCAGCCAGCTAACTCATATGGGCAACTAACAATAATATATGCTGCATCTCCTTAGAGCTCATAAATAGAATACTCTCATTATCTGTAATCTCATTTGTTCGAACAGTAGGAATTCTTGTTCATACTACGTATTATCTTTTCCAAGAGGAGAAACTTGAGTCGGATATTCAGATGGCGGGTGGGGATGTGGTGAGTTCGGGATATGAGAAAGATAATTAGTGGGCTATTGCAACACATAAGATCGAAAAGAATCTGCTCGGAATGATCTTTCATACCGATGACCCCGGATATTATATCGAGGACTTGAATCAAAAGACCAGTTAATTGAATAAAAGCTTGGGCGAATCTAATCGAACTGCCTAAAAGTGAAATCGAAAATCACAAATACCTCCAACCGGCGCTATGCAAGTCGTATCAAAAAAAAGAAAAAGAAAAGAAAAAAAGGAAACCAAAGCCGTTCCGGCGTATTCATGCATTCCTTAGGGCAAATTTTGTGGAGGCATTCCCATATGTGGACCCATCGCTCCTGGTGGGGGAATTCCCAGATCCGGTCGAGCAAGTCCATACTCTCCCGTAGTGGTGGAGAAGGTGCAGCGGGAGCGTAAGCGGGGACACCAGTAGTCGATTCCTCCAAGGAAGGAAGTTGAGCTACTAGACCTGGTCGGTGACCGGGGATGGCTCGGGAGGTTGAAATTTCCCGTGGACGAGTGAGAGAGGTACTGGCGCGACGGGTCCTGGTAGTTGGGGGATCAATGGCATGGCTTGAGAGGGAGAAATGAACGACACCAGCGCGACGGGCCATCTGTTGTTCTCCTAGTTGCCAGTGCATGGCTTCAGCCGCACGCCATGGGATAGCCATTTCTTCAGCGACATTTGACCACATTTCCGCCTTGAATCTGTTATATGTTCGTCAGAATGTCAACTCGCGAGTCATCATGACACACTGTGTCAGTGAGGGTAAAAAACATACCCTTCATACAACCCCGCCAGCTTGTTCTTCTTATCTTCATCCCATTCGCTTCGTCGTTCCAAATAATTCTGATAGTGAAGACGACAACTGATCGCACTGCAACCTGGTAATCATGTACTGATATCCTCCCATTCCATCCCACTTCCTCTCAACTCAATGATCAAGGCATCTTCCTCAGCCGACCACTTGGACTGCCTCTTAGCTGATGGCTCCGCCGTATGAACAGGTTGCAACCGCTTAGAAGCCCCCGTAGGGCCAGATTTGGTCAAAAGAGGCTGGACCGGAGGAGCGGACACAAATGGGGCATCGGGAGCGGTACCTGGTCGTCCTGGTAAAGTCCTTGGAGGGTAGAGGGGGGGTAGAATTGCCAGAGGGGACTTCTTCCTCATTTTGGGACTTGAGTAATAGTGAAATATCCACTTTAGCGAGCGGTAAGATAGGCCGATTTTGTAACGCAATCGTAAGTGCGATGGGTGAAAAAGAGTCTTGTTGAATCAAGAAGGAATATTTTTGTTTGCAATTTGGACGGGAACCACACCACACATACACCAGTTGCTAACCAACAGGAGCAAACGGGAAGAGAGAACAAAAAAATAAGAAAACCTTTGAGACCAGAATATAAAAACTTCAACAACCGGTACCGTCTCATATAACAAATAATGAGTTCAGAGAAAGGAATGTTGAGGATCCAGTGACAACCCGAATGAGAAGCTACCGTAGATCAGATGAGAAGAATCTGGGAGCGACAGAAAAGTAGAGGAGGGAGAAAGAGTAGAGAGAAGTAGGAATAAAGCTTGAATATAAAGCTTAAATTGAGAGGGTACCAGCTTCCATCCTCCAGTTGCTTCACTCTGGACCGACTCTAGATCCTGGGAACATGAGACTGCATAAGGTCTACCAATGTGGCTAGACTCGTTCCACCTTTGTCATCGTGAGAGACATGCTCCCAGGAACATGACCATACAGTAAAAAAGCATCGGCTCTTGGCCATATCAGCAATACAATGGAGGGCCGATATGGTGGGGGCTCTGAATAGGGGGCCTCATAATTCCTAGTATCTAACAGCGCTTTGTACACAAGTAACTGTAAATTCTGAGTCTATATAAGGATCACTTCGGAAGTTGTTGTTTCTCGTGACTAAATTTCTAAATGGCAATGAACTGATTTTACCTATCATCGTCATGGACCAGGTAAGTGTATTACTTTATGGTCGAAGTATTTTGCTTTTGTTTCTTTTGAGTAATATGACTAATGAGAAAAGGATATTGAGGATGAGGATGTTGTGGTTCCCTTACGGCTGATATCTTCTATCATATGCTTCAAGATTGTGGAAGCTACCAAAACCTATTTTGTTGAAGCGATAGCAACAGTGAACGAGGCCAAAATCAAGGAGAGGCTACCGTGGGTATTCAATGGGTATAAGCCTATTAAGGTTGATCAGGGGCTAGACAGCAGGATCATATGTGGGATTACAGCTACCTGGAACGCAACAAGTGGTCAGAAATTAGATGTTCGGCAGATCTCAGATGCTCAGCCAAGTGTGAATAGTGAAACTGAGGTTGATCTGCATATTGGTCTGTGGGTCGAACGTGGAGTGGTTGAGAAGTTGGCTCCTTCCCTACTTGACAGTAAGTGCTTTAACAACCCATCGATATTTTGAGTATGGGAAAGCTAATCCATGTAAACATTAGATGATATTGTCGATTACAACAAACTTCCACAAAGCAAGAGAGAGGCTGGTCTGAAGTTGATGGAGCCGTCATCGTCACCGTCACCGCCGCCACCACCGCCTAAGAGGCAGGCTGGCATGAAGAGTGCGAAGCAGAGGAAGAAGAGGCCCATTGGAACTTCAAGTTCTCATCAACCACGCCGTTCGGCCCGGATTCAAGCCCTACGAGAATCCTTGGCATTGTAAAACCGAGAAAAAGTCTCCCTAGGTACAGCAATATTCGAAATCGGGTTCCATAATTTGCATAGACACGTTTAATTTAACTAAGTAGGCGGGTCAACATAAACCGATTCAATTGTAGCTGTAGAAATTGCGGTTGAGCCCCACATCATATCTCAAAGCAGCATGACTAGATCCAGAATTGTACTAGTGGCAAGGCCCTGGATAGTCTTTTTGTGAAAAAAAATGGAAGCCGATTTCAAATGTGGCTGTACCTCCCAATCTGCATCTTTGAAGACAATCCAAATGGAACGTGGAGGCGTACAACCTGGGACAGACAAGCCATGTACTGTAGAAGCCGTTATGTATGGCAACACGCCTCTACAATCGATAGCGAAAACAGCTGCCACCCCTTTGATCGCTTTTCTCTCCTCCGGCCCCACTGCCAAGGCCTTAGCATAGATCTTCTATTCAGGGCCATTGAATAATACATGGTGTATGAAACTGTATCTTGGCCCGTAAGATTAGATCCACTTCGCAATATTGGGCGGTGAACCGTTGATAGCCATGGTATAGTAGTAGTAGTAGTAGTAGTAGTAGTAATTTCATTTACCCTGGTACGTACTGGTGTGACATATCGAACTTCTCCGCCCTATGCGAATTTGGGGCGCATAGATGCTTCCGAGTAGCCGTAGGTTGTTGGGAAATTAATAATTGTAGGCTTGCTGCATTCAGCTGCTTCGGCCATTTCGGATGCGGTAAGGCCTGAGTCTATCATGTCACGCACAAAGTAAAGCTTTGATTTAGTAAATCTTGGGGCCATATTGGGTGTCCAGCCATAGATAAACCTAATCATAGGAAACCTTATAGTAATGACTCTCGATAGGGGTGACTGAATGCGTTACCTGGAAGGTGAATAGGAGGGAGAGGCAAAAAGGTACCATCGTCTGTGTATAGACGTTTTGTGTAAAATACATCCTCTGACGTGTTATGTACTTCTGTTATGAAAATGCGGGGTCCACGTTGCGAAGTGGTATGAAAACGGCTGATCTTCCACTATACTATAAGTCTAGTCTGTTTCATATTAGAGTTTACGACTCAATCAAAGAAAGTGTAGAGGTAAAACTGATTTCGAAAAGTACTATAGTAGTGTAATAACTGAATTTCAAACCCTAAGATATGTACAGAGTATTACTGAGTGTTAGAAGTCTCCTGAACTGTACGAATCAGACACGAGAAAGAAGGGTTGGAGAACGGAGGTTGCGGTTAGACATGCTGACCACGTCGCCTAGTCGAATGTCAGGACTCGGCATATTTGCTCTGCGTGCCAACCCAAATGCCAACCATCAATTCAGACCAAAAAGATACAAATGCCTCAGGCATGTGAGCATGACCACTCCAGCTGTGTTCCATTAACGCCTGGCCTGATGCTTCCAAGCGGGTACAGTAGGCGTTATGACCAGATTCGGATTTAGAGAGAACATTGGAAGTGTGAAAATTGTCTTAACAATATCTTGGCTGCTACATATTGTAGTGGGGTACCCTGTCCCCTACTACACGTACCGTGCTAAGAATTACCGTTTGGTTACATCTCTGTTTTGTCATGTTTTCAGTCCCGTCTTTGTACGTACAAGAATGCCCGTCGTTATAGTCTAGAATACACACTCCTACACATCTCTCATCCCACCCCTACGGGGTAGTCCGGCCACAACGTACACGTTGGTTGGTGTTATCCATTCATGCTAGCTGGATCGACCCGTGTATCTAGAATACACTGCCTAACGGTTCCCCTCTTCAATATGTATCATTTCCGGTAGAATGGTGGGATATGTACAGCACATGAAAAGCCCACAGCTCGGAAAGTTAAGTATCTAGGCATTCTGCGAGGTATCCCTGAAGCCTTGTGCAGTCGAGACTGATCGGCTCCTAATACTGGCTCTCACAAGACTCATCCTCATAATAGTGATCCTCACTGGAAGTTTGAATCAGAAATACGCAATCCATGTTCTATATAGCACTCACTGTCAACCTAGTTCTTTGGCCCCAAACACTTGTCTAGGGCAGGAATCAATAGGAGGGGAAGCTTCATTCCCCGTCTATAGAAGAACAAAACATGATTAATTAGTGTGCACATAAAAGACCGATAGAGGACGGAGTTCTTAAAGACATAACCAGGGTAAAGTACATGAGCTTACTACATCTTGAATTGCATAAACGAGATAGTCAACCGAGGCCCTCTGGATAATCATTGCCTGAATTTACAAAGCGACCTGGAGGATTTTGATCGCTCAATTGTTATTGCTCCAGAACAATGAGTCTTCAGATACTCGCATTGCAAGCCTTCATCCCATCTATTCAAATTGACATTTGATCTATACGTTCACGGTGTTTGTCAGTATTTGCTAATCATGCTTCTTAGCAAGAAGACGAGGGTAAAAGTCTTCGAAAGCTCAGCACTATCTCTCAATGGTCGCTCGCTACTCACCCTGTTAAGAAATCAAACTCGTCCTTAGGGCACCCATAAACCCGGCATTGTTGGCGAAGCTCTTCGATAGTTTCGGAATCAGGGCTTTGTAGAAACTCGACAAGTGGGAGTCGTACATGTATATCAAGCGATTCTTTATTGAATTGTCGGAAAATCAAAGCCAGCTTGAAAATTGTAATTGGCGATAGTATTTTCAAGGCCAAGTCCACGAAGATCCCGACTAGAGTTTGCTTTTCCTGCCTGATCAACCAGGCTTGGCAGGAATTTTCTTCGGTATGCATCTGGCTGCTCTGCATTTCCCGGCACTGCTCATCCAGAGACTCTATACCCCGTTGGACCCCTGTCCGAAGTCCAAGTAGTATCCTCGCAACGAGACTTAAATCAGGTTGCCTGAAAGAATGAGGTAGGATAGGTTGCTGGGCTAGCAATTCTAAACATATCGCCGCAGGTTTCTCAGAACCCCACTCGTCACTAAGTCCTGCCATCTGAACATTTAACATAATAGCCATGTTTGAAATGGAACTTGACTTACTATGGAGGTCCAATAGTTGCTTTCAAGCTCTGTCACGATTCAATTTAAATCTTTGCCCTGGTGAAAGGCATGTTTTTATAGTCATTTTGATACAAGTTGCCAAGTGGGGTTGCTTAGTCCGCCCCTAGCTACTAAAATTACCTTCAACCTTGTCATGTAATGAATAACATCGGAATTGGATCCTTCCAAAGTTAGTGTCAGTTCTGTTATAAGATATAGTTTCTGGATATCAACCAATGAGAAATAACATATACAGTATGGGTTTCAGCAGTATAGGTCTTCAGCCTGGTTTAGACTAATGATAGCCTTGGAAATAATATGGATAGTATGGTTCTTGAGCCTGGTATAGAATATTCTCAAAACATGTAGCTCTGAACGTCACTTAATCTAGCCCCGTATCCCTTTCCTTATTGGCTCTCATCCTACCGATCGGAACGACCAGACATGAAATCAATACTGCAAATCCCTGTCAAGGATAGGGCTCCTGGGACTGCTAAGCTGCAGGATCTAACTATAGTTGTACTCTCGCGCCCTGTTTGCTGAATTGGAGCAAATTATTCCGACCCTTCCTTTGCTTTGTCTCCCAGGACCGGTCCAGGAGGGATCCAATATTTTACAGTTCCTAGGATCTGATCTGCTCTATCGGAGTTTGCCTTTCTTTCTAACCAAGCGGCTGAAACGCATCACCTATTATGTCTATACTAATTATGACTACCCTAGCTATAAAATAACCCTAGGCCCCCTGGCCTCTTACGTGACAGGACTCAAATATATTCAGATTCATTGTGACAGCTGATCATCCATCCGGGGCACTTCATCTCGTTCATTTTCTTAAATCAGATTCGTATCTTGAGTGATAGGGGCTATGACGAGGAGATCACGGCGTCCACACACCAAATCGTTCAACGGCTGTTCGACTTGCAAGCAAAGACATGTCCGCTGTGACCAGAATCGCCCTGAATGGTACCTCAACTCTCCAACAACCAAAACCAGATAACAGAATAGGAAAAGCTAACTCAGATCGCTGATAGTCATAATTGCAACAAGCGTGGTGTCCGCTGTGGTTATCTTGACAGGCCGCCCATAATGGGGAAGCATTCTTCCTCGGGATATTCCACTCCTCTCGTGCATCCCAATACAGAAGCAGTGGTCGAACAGTGGCACCGCACTGGCATACCCCCATTTATAGAGCTCGTACAGTGTGTACCGACCGGATGGTCCCGCCTCTCAAAGGGAGATCTTTGGTTGGTACACAATTTGACCAGTATTTCGGTTCATTTACACCGGCAGGGGCTGGGCGATTGCACAGTATGGACACCAAAATTGCCAACGTATGTTACGATCCATTTCTTGATCTGTTAATGGAGGATTCTCACCATACCGCTAGGCTTCTATCTATCGCAATGTCCAATGATTTTGTTATGAGCTCCATTTTAGGATTCTCCGCATTCCTAATGGCACACCTGACACAGAAACGTGAATATAAAGTGTTGGGATTTCGATACAGATCTATGGCTTTTAACGGGTTCCGAAGCGCACTGAAATCATTTCCCTCTACAAATTACGATGGCTTACTTGCGGCTTCTGTTCTGCTCTCCTGGCAAGCCCCCGATCGGTGAGCCGTTCTTGGATCCTGTAAAATGGATGTTAACTTAGCTCACCAACGTTTCAGCGCGAGCTGGATCACCATGCAACAAAGCATCTCTACAGTTTTACAGTCAGTAGAGTCGCTATGGAAGCCGCAATCAGAAATAGTGCAATTGGTGAGATCGCATCGTGCCTTGCCCCTACCAAGCTCTTGCTTTCAGCCAAACTGCCACTTTTATTATCTGGATCAAACGATTCGAGCGCTGCAGACGAACATAGACTTGGTTTCTCACATCCCCCCAAATTCCGACCAACTACGCCGACTGATTCAATTTTTGAATCGATTTCGCTCTGAGTTCCTGAATCAAACACCTGACATGATCTTTGAAGAACTTCAAACTCTGCGAAGATGGATCTTCTGGCTACCAATCTCGATGTTCCGGGACTCGGGCTTGGATCTCATTACGCTGGCAGTTTTAGCTCAATTTTTCGTTGCTTCCGTGGTTCTTCTTCCATTCTATCCCAATGCCATTGAAACGGGCGACGCTTTTCTTTGTGCGCTGTCAATCGGACCAATAAAGGAAATATCCCGCATCTTGGCGGCGAGATGCACCCCTGACCCCTTGAGTATTAACCATCCTCTGGGGGCCCTATTGATGCAATTTCCAAAAAGCATACTCAAAAACTATTCTTGTTGCGTATTTTCACGCCAGCACAGCTTGGGGAAAATTTATTCGTACCATGCAAACCCATACGCCATGCTTCAAGCGTATCCTTCGCAGGCTGACCACCCAACGTCGGTGGCGCCGTCGTTCCTCACAGCCACTCAGTTAACCCAACAAAATATGCGGTCTGATGTTGCTCCTATTTCCACATTATCACAGTCGCCTATCTACAGCCAGCTCTCGTATACTGCGTTTAATCGGCAGGTGGACCTAGAAGAGTTCGATCCCTCAAGTGGTCTGCATTATCCTCTGCATGTGTGCGATACTGGTGGTATCGACGCTGTCTACACCACCAACACACTGACACATATTGGTGGATGATGGCTTTGCTGCGAGCAGGATCTTCGGGAATACAGATCTGACGTCCACCAGTTACGAGCTAGCCATCACATGTTTGTAGCGTGTCATTGGTCACGGCAGAAAAAGGTATGCTGACGGACGCGATATACTGTATGTTTGTCTGTTTTTTGAATTTGAAATTCGGCCTGTCATTCTATATACTGTATGCACAAATATGGTAAAGCAGCTCGGCTGGGAGTTGATGAAGTATCTTCGCCTCAGATATTTCTGGAAGTTTTATAACGGGTTTAAAACGACGTGGACAGTGCAATGAAGCTTCCATTTATATTTTTTCGTTGGCCCGCATATAAACTAGACCAAAGTAGGTCCCAGGAGCACTTTGATCTTAGGAAACCCAAGCTACTCACTAACTTCATGGGCTGTGTGTTGAATCGGAGTGCACATTCTAGCAGCTCACCCTTTCATCATGACAAGCAATATGTTGGACGATTGCGTTCGAATCGTACCGTACGGCGATAAGCCACCGGTCCCGGGAGACAGTTTATAGACATTTTTATAATACTTTGCTAGAATATAGTATCTGAATAGGGTAGGGGATAAAAGTTACAGTCAGACCTTACTTCCTAGTACTCCCAGGAGCCCGATACATGCTTACGAGGGTGCTATAATGCTACAATGTTGGTTTCCTGTCTGATTTATGAGGTTGGGAGGTATAGCAATGTGCGGGCTGGATTAAATGAACTTTCACTTGTGAGATAATTACCATACTAAAAATAAAGAAATATGGGTTAATCCTTAACCCGCCTGGCTGTCCCCGCTCCATTCTTCGGACAGTTCTTTAGCTAGCAACCCCTGACAAATCATATCTGAAGGACAATAGAACCTAGTCCAGAGTTAACACCAAGTGATCTCCTTTTCCTTGGTGCTTCGTACGTCTTAGAAGTGATTAGTACCGATGGAATTTCGATCATCATAACACTGCACAGTAGGGCCACCCCTGGGTAGTTCAACCTGCCTCAGCACATCCGTTGCTCTCTTCAATCAACAAATCGGCCTGTCTATTCAATATTGGTACAGTACCGCTGAATTGCCTTATTTGTCTATTCAGCTTTGCCTTGCTCCAATAACTAATTTGTTGCACAATATCAATGTAATCTCGGTCCTGGGAGACATGTCACAGCGTGTCAGAGATCGAGCAAAGTAGCTTGGGCGTTTTGATCGCAGATGACGTAGTGGTTAAACTCAAGCATCAATTCGTCACAAGCAGGGACCGGGCTCCTGGGACTGCTGCGCGGTCTTGTGAGGATCATAAGTATGCGTAGCTGAATGATTAATGCTGAGGAAGCTATTGTCTCTTCTAGATACAAGACATAGCGTGAGGAAGGAAGTAAAGAAAGGTAGCTTCCTCGCGTTCAGGGAGCCCCTTTGTAGGTCCCGTAGATCATATCTCCAATCGTCCTGTGAGCTTTATGTATATCCTTGACAGGTCTGTATGTAATGTTATCCTGCCACTCTATGAAGATGCTGGTATCTATAAAACGGACTCTGACGAAAGGTGTTACTGTATGATTTGTCTCCCAAGGAAAGTAAATTCTCTCGCGGCATACTGAAATACCATTGGGCGAGGAATCGGTTCCTATGATGAGGGGTTAGCTGTTCACGCAAATTCAAGAAACAGGACATAAGAGTGGTGGGGAGGATCTCAATCTCATGTTTCAAGAATGAAGCAGCTCGTGGGACCTATGTTTGTCGGTGTCAAGGATTGACATAGAGCAAATACGATGTAAGCGGAGGATGTGGTCCCACATAGCTCATCTGGGTTCCCCTGAACGTGAGGAACCTATCTTTCTTTTGCTTCCTCGCGCTTCGTCTTGGATGTAGCCGACTATAGCTTTCTGGGGATTGATTGTCAGTTTCGATTACACGCGCCACATCTAAATGTACAGATGCATGGTACTCCTAGGAGTGAAGGTATCATTGCCCGTAAAGGGCTTTGGGCAATAACCAGGAAAGAACTCACATCGCTCGTCAGGATCCCTTTCACAATGAGATGTTTTCTGGCTTTCATCCCTTTCATTGCAACCGGACTCTTGTCTGGGTGCAGAGAAAAAGCGTTGCACCATGTTCACAATTAAGGTTTTGATATATGCTCTATTTACGTTCTTTCAACTGATCAATTTCTTCGCTGTCAGTATGCACAATGGAGCAGTTACGAAAAACGCGCCCTGTTCTTGGTTGATGCTAAATGAATGTCTAAATAACACTGGACCCAGTATCTGAAATCGATATCCGCTCCTAGGAACAGTGTCTTCGCATAAAGAGCGGGAAAATAAAGTTACCGTCTCCTTTGCCGGTTTTATTTAAGATGTTAAAAGCCCACCAATCCAGCCCCTGTCGAAATTTCCTTCTCGCCAATCATAATTCATCTCCCAGACCAAAATGTATGCTCGGTGTGGAATATCACTTGACCACGGTCGGCAGGCTGGTACAACACAGATCAAAGCAAGTCATTTGATGCCGCTCATGCATGCGACCCAGCAACAAGCCCCATCATCAGTCGATATACTATTGAGAGATCGACCCTGCGATATACAATCTACTCCGAACGAGAATTTTAATATTGCCCTATCGATTGCGATTGCTTCGACCAATATTGCGCGTGTGAAACAGCTTCCTTACCATTCTCAAGTTGGCCTTTCTAGCTCGATAAAGAGCTCAGTGGTGGCGGCGCTTGAATATCAAAGACACGACATTCTCCGTCTGCTCTTGGATGATTCCCAGGTCGATGCAAATGCCAAAGACAGTAAAGGCTACACACCACTGCATCTGGCCGTCATTTATGATGATCCGGTAGCAGTCCGAATTTTACTGGAACACCCGAGGGTTGAGGTCAACTGCCTCACTGCTGCAGGAGACAGTGCTTTGGTACTAGCAGCCAAGACTTTCGACGGAAACAGGGCCAGGAGTCAGATTCTGCATGATATTGTGTCCATGCCTGACGTTTTGCTAGACCAGCGAGACCGGATGGGACGTTCAGCGCTCTGGCATGCAGTGAACACAAGCAACATTCTGCTCATAATGATGCTATACCAAGACCCACGGACTGAGGTTGGCATGGCAGATAGAGAGGGTATCACACCATACGTTTGAGCTGTATGAAAAGAAATGTTGCATTGTCAGACTCTTTCACCGGCTTGATGCATACAGAGCCTGCTGGTTGAGTAGGGGTAGATTGAGTATCAAGTGGCGTTGGAAGCTGATGCTTCCGCATCAAGCCCTTGTCCAAGGTTGGAACTATCTTGGTGGAGGTCAGTTTATGCAGCGACTTGGCACCTTGTAATGATTTGCTATCTGGAAAGGCACTACACTGTATCAATACCATTATGTTGAAAATGTTTGAAGTTCAGACCAGAGATCTTGCATAACAGGGAGCTTGCCCGCATTAGCCAAGTAGAGCGAAGTCAAAAGGAAAGTCCTTTCTAGATACGTACAGTCCACAGGGCTGAGTGGCCAGCTTGTCAATTCTCGGCAAAGGCGGCAGATACCAAAGTGAACCCCCGTAAACCTTTCCGTGCCAGCCGCCATGTTTTTCGGCCCGAATTTACTCCGGGTTACCTTGATCCCCACGTCCCCCTCTGGTGAGCCTTGTAAACGAACATTATTTTGTGCAGGCCGGCCTTGTTGGCCACAACCTCACTAATCTTCCTCCTGTACGGCCTGCGAATATTGTACAGACTTGTGTCTTTGCCAGACTGTTGATTTCCCAGGATACTCGATCGCGTTCTCACAATGAGGGATAAAGCGCTCTCTCTGGGCAAGTCGTGCATACACATGGATTATTAGAAACGGACCTTCCCTGGTGACTGGTGAGGGGATTCCTGTACACCCGTCGATAGCTGCTCTTGATGCTTGTATTCACCTAATGAGGATATGATTGGACCTCCACGGTGAATTTCGCAGCTAGCAACTAATCAAATGGTCCCAGGTAGCCCAAGATTTGAGCCAGACGAAGTGTAAAGATTGAACAAATGTTGAAGAATCTTTTTCACGCTTTCCTCAACTGTTGTGGCGGTCATGGACTCACATCTAGGGCAGACGTACGGCACAGGATATCAGTCCCTCAGAGCTTCATATCCACTTGTCAACCGCAAAATATGACCGCAAACAGCGGATCATCTCGGCACACTCCGATCGATGAAAACCAACGAATTCCTCTGCTGGTCAATTTCTGCGGTAATGCCTGTCGCTTCACTGAGAGTCTCAACATATTGTCCATGCGACGTGCATTACGGATGTTCCAGCATCGCTCGTCCGTTTAATGGAGATACAGCTGAATTGACACTATAACATTGCCTAATTAACTAAGTGTGACTCGGAACAAATGCCGGAGAATATAAATTGATATCACAGGACACCACAGCTCCTAGGATTACTCCTAGCGGAAGCTGCGCATCACGAAACATTGTCTAATGGAGCAACGTCAAATTTGATTTCTGCATTCCAGCGTAGCATCATTTCTGAATCAATCACTGAATGTGAATGTCGACTTTGGCAGAAGCCCCGGTGCACTTCCTTGTGGGATACGTCTACAGAGTACACTTCGAATCATCTACGGAACGAAGGCTGCTTTCATTCAGGCCCAATACATGCCTTTCATCTACCAAGCCACTGGTGTAGATGATAGTCATTTGGTGTGGTGGTGTTGTCTATCACCCAGCAGGACCTCGGTCATGATACTCAAGGACCTACTGTTCAAAACAAGGAGGAGCATCCGAATTCCTGGGAGCTGGCTGTCGCGAGACCCTTGCTTCTTGGTGAAAGCCTCACGAAATCGCAATATAAATTCAGTAGTCACCGTAGTCGCAACATTGATTTGACACACCTCAAATACACAGTCCAGACATTTTCTGGTGGCTTAACTCAACTACTCTTTCAACATGACCACCCTGCCCTGCTGGGACCCCCTGACCCTTTGTGAAATGGGAGCCGGCCCTCGCGGTGATGGTTCGTTCTGCTGTGGGATAACAATCCACGGGACGCCTTGCAAAAACACCATACGGATGAAAGAGCTGAAGACAGGCCGGGATGACCTGAAGCGTCTCTCTTTTTATCCGTTTGATTCTTCGGATCTACAACCTTTGCTTTGCAGTATCGCCAAGAGCTTCCTGTGTACACGATGGCACCGAGCGCGACAAGCAGAGTCTCTAGGGAAGCAGTGGTACAGTACGTCCCAAAACTGGTGCACCTACCTGTACTCTTTGATTATTTCTAGAACCCTAGTTACTAAGCAACGCTAATCCACACTAGGAATTCTTCCGGCCCACCCTTGCTATAGAGCTGTTCCTATCTCCAGGTCTAGATTAAATCTATACTAGTGTGTCTTGGCATTAGAGTTCGAGAAAGATTCGAAGAGTGTAGGTAGGTGCACCAGTTTCGGGACATACTGTATGATACGGCGAAAGTACCAGTTGGAGACTCCTCTAAGGATTTCGAGCAGTTCTGTACATATAGAGAGGTACCAGTTCGGCGACGAGAATCGAGACCAGAAGCAGCGGTACTTAGCGGAGCTGATTTCGAACGGCACTTGACCGACTGTATAATTGAGGGGATCTTTTGATCTCTCGGAGAAAATGACGGGACGGGCCGAGACACGAACCCCTGAACCGCCCGACCGCGAGGAACACGAAAATTCACCACCGCGATTACCGAGACCGAAGCGATCAGCCGGACCGCCTAAAAACTATGCCCAGGAACAAGAACTCGCTACCGAGCAGAGTAGCGCGCGATTGCAACGGAAAAAGAAAATCCAGGGCAAGCCAGTCGCCCAACGTGAAGCGGGGGCCTGGGAGTCTTCCGCGGAGAGCGAGGACCCGAACGCCTCGGAACTGCTAAAGGAACTCGTCAAACTCAGAAAGGAGATCAGAAGACGAGACGAGTTACACAGGGAAGAGCTCCGAAAGGCCAAAGAAGAATTACAGAGAACCAAGGAAGAATTTAGCGCCGCCCTTGCTGAGGTTCAACACGAGTTACAGACTCTGGCAGAGAGACCCCTTCCAACGCAACCCCCCTCCGAGCCATGCGCGCACAACGGCCACGATGAGATCCTCCGTGAAATTCAATCCCTGCGCGAGGAAATCAGCACCCCCGCTCCCATAAGCTCCCCGTCATATGCAGATGTCGCGCGCACACCTCCCAGCAGCTACCCAAGCAACATACGAACCCTTTCAACGTTGAACACGACTCCGACCACCTACACCGACACGCTATATTGTACAATAGATACTTCGAAGATACTCGAAAACGAAAACCAGAAGATATCTGCGGGCTCGATCAGGGCCGCAATCGAGACCGAGATCCGAGCAATGGATGGTCACACTCTCTGGCGCTGTCGCGCGGTGACAGTGAGTCCACGAAACAACAACCGGATCAGAATCGCGTGCCGCGACGAAGCCGAGCATCAGCTGGTCAAGAAAGTGGCGGAAGCAAAGATCGGGGCCGGTGCCCGGGTGCTTCGCGACGATCTCTACCCGATCAAGGTCGATAGTGTAAGGAGGACGGCAGTGTTGGATGAAAACCATGACGTCCTGTCAGGAGCGGCAGCGGCCCTGAGCGAGGAGAACGACACAAATGTTGCCAAAATCATGTGGCTGAGCAGCAAGGAGGCCGCAAAGCCCTACGGATCGATGGTCGTGTACTTAACCAGGGGGAGTGACGCACGGAGGCTCCTGGCCGATGGCTATTTCCACGTTGGAGGAGAATCCGGGACGACCAGAGTTTTTGAATATCGGCCACGACCAGTGCAGTGCTACAATTGCCAGGAGATTGGCCACAAGGCATTCCAGTGTAAGAACGTCCGGAAGTGTGCGAAATGCGCCACAGAAGGCCATCGTCACAGTGACTGCGACCAAACGATTCCAAAGTGCGTCCCATGTGGAGGCCCTCATGAATCGTACAGCAAGAACTGCCGGAAGCTCTATCCATCACGCCATGAATAATTCTCTTCGAATAATTCAGCTGAATGTGAGGAAGCAGGGTGCGGTGCTTGAGAGTTTAATGAACGACGAAGACACTCGGAACGCGGTGGCACTAGCGATTCAGGAACCCCAAGCGAGGAGGATTCAAGGCCGGCTCTTGACCACCCCGATGGGTCATCACAAGTGGACAAAGATGGTACCCTCCACCTGGAGGGAAGGGAGGTGGGCGATCCGGAGCATGCTCTGGGTCAACAAAGAAGTGGATGCGGAGCAAGTCCCTGTGGAGTCTCCGGACATCACAGCAGCGATGGTCAGGCTCCCCGAGCGACTGGTCTTTATGGCATCAGTCTACGTAGAAGGAGGAAATGCCTCAGCTTTGGACGATGCGTGCAGTCGTTTACGCGACGCGATCACAAAGGTACGACGGGACACAGGTGCGGTGGTGAATGTCTTGATTGTGGGTGACTTCAACCGACACGACCAGCTGTGGGGTGGAGACGAAGTGTCGCTGGGAAGACAAGGAGAAGCGGATCCGATCATCGACCTTATGAATGAATTCGCACTCAGTAGCTTGCTCAAACGCGGCACCAAGACATGGCACGGCGGGGGACAAAGCGGAGACTGCGAGTCTACCATCGATCTCGTGTTAGCTTCAGAGAATCTGGCGGAATCCATAACAAAATGCGCTTTACTCGAGACAGACCACGGCTCGGATCACTGCGCCATTGAGTCCGTGTTCGACGCCCAGTGGTTGGGTCCAAAGCACCAAGAGCGACGTCTGCTGAAGAATGCACCATGGAAGGAGATTAATGCCAGGATCCAAAGCGCTCTAGCCATTCTTCCATCAGAGGGCACGGTGCAGCAGAAAACAGATCGACTCATGGCCGCGGTGTCGGAAGCGGTGCACGCTCTAACGCCGAGGGCGAAACCATCACCCTATGCGAAGCGATGGTGGACAACTGACCTCACTCAACTCCGTCATATATACACGTACTGGAGAAACCGCGCTCGCTCCGAGCGACGGGCGGGTCGAAAAGTACCTCGGCTGGAAAGCATGGCCCAGGATGCGGCCAAACAATACCACGATGCCATCCGCAAACAAAAGAAGAAGCACTGGAACGAGTTTCTCGCAGACAACGACAACATCTGGAAAGCCGCCAAGTACCTCAAGTCGGGGGACGATGCCGCGTTCGGGAAGATCCCGCAGCTCACAAGAGCAGATGGGACCACTACCAACGACCACAGGGAGCAAGCGGAGGAACTACTATCCAAATTCTTCCCGCCTTTGCCAAACATCATCGAAGAGGAAGGGGTGCGACCACAAAGAGCGCCGGTAGACATCCCTGCCATTACCCTGGAGGAGATCGAGCGGCAACTGTCAGCGGCCAAGTCGTGGAAGGCACCTGGTGAAGACGGCCTACCGGCGATCGTTTGGAAGATGACGTGGCCCATAGTCAAGCACAGGGTCCTCGACCTCTTCCAAGCCTCGCTGCAAGAGGGCACACTGCCTAGACAGTGGAGACACGCGAAGATCATACCGCTCAAGAAGCCAAATAAAGACGACTACACCATTGCAAAGGCATGGAGGCCGATTTCACTCCTTGCGACACTCGGAAAGATACTCGAATCGGTGGTCGCAGAGAGGATCTCGCACGCGGTGGAGACGCATGGACTGCTCCCGACGAGTCATTTCGGGGCCCGGAAACAGCGGTCTGCAGAGCAAGCACTGGTGTTTCTGCAGGAACAGATCTATGCGGCGTGGCGCGGCCGACGAGTGCTGAGTTTGATTAGCTTCGACGTCAAGGGTGCCTACAACGGAGTATGCAAGGAACGACTGATCCAGCGAATGCAAGCCCGAGGCATACCAGAGGTGTTGCTCCGTTGGGTTGAGGCATTCTGCTCGGAACGAACGGCAAACATTCAGATCAACGGACAATTGTCGGAGGCCCAAAGCCTGCCACAGGCGGGACTGCCGCAGGGCTCGCCCCTGTCTCCGATTCTCTTTCTCTTCTTCAACGCCGACCTCGTGCAACGACAAATCGACAGCCAGGGCGGAGCAGTCGCTTTCGTGGATGATTATACCGCGTGGGTGACTGGACCAACTGCACACAGTAATCGGGAAGGAATCGAGACGATTATCAACGAGGCACTTGACTGGGAGAGGAGGAGCGGAGCGACATTTGAGGCTGACAAGACAGCTATCATACACTTTGCTCCTAAGATGCGTAAATTCGACCATTCGCCATTCACCATTAAGGGACAGACGGTGGTGCCCAAAGACCACGTCAAGATCCTGGGTGTCTTGATGGACACGAGACTCAAGTACAAGGAACATATCGCGAGGGCAGCGTCCAAGGGGCTTGAAGCAGCGATGGAGCTCCGGCGACTCCGGGGTCTAATCCCAGCAACCGCGCGGCAGCTGTTCACGTCGACGGTGGCACCGGTCGTGGACTACGCCTCCAACGTCTGGATGCACGCGTGCAAGGATAAAGCCATGGGGCCGATCAATCGAGTCCAAAGAGTCGGCGCGCAGGCCATTGTGGGGACATTTCTCACGGTCGCGACCAGTGTCGCAGAGGCAGAGGCTCACATAGCTCCCGCACAGCGTCGATTCTGGAAACGGGCCGTGAAAATGTGGACAGATACTCACACCTTGCCGGAAACCAATCCTCTCCGCCGGTGTACAGGTCAAATCAGAAAGTTCAGACGATATCACCGCTCGCCGCTTTATCAAGTAGCCGACACGCTGAGGAATATCGATATGGAAACGCTGGAAACCATCCACGCGTTCACCTTGGCACCGTGGGACGCACGCGTGCGCACAGACGTCGCGGCAGTGCCGCACTCACTGGACGAATCGGGCGGGTCTATGCAGATCGCAATCAGCGGCTCGGCGCGGAACGGGCTAGTAGGGTTTGGGATCGCGATCGAGAAGCAGCCTCCTCGGTACCGAAAACCGAGACTGAAAGCCCTTTCCATCACACTGGGTGTACGATCAGAGCAAAACCCATTCTCTGCGGAGCTCGCCGGAATGACACACGCACTGAAAATGCAAGTGGCACTGAAGAATTACAGGATTACGCTACTCACGAGCAACAAAGCGGCGACTCTCACAGTCAGGAACCCTCGACAACAGTCGGGCCAGGACTTTGTGGCTCAATTGTACAAGTCGATGGAAAGAATGCGAAGGAACGGCAACCGGATCGACATCGTTTGGGTCGCCGTAAGCGAGAATAACAGATTGTTGGGCCTGGCTAAGGAACAGGCCAGGACCGCGACCCACGAGGACGCTCTCGTCCAAGTACAGGTGCCGAGGATGAAGTCAACGACCCTGAATCTCGCACAGTCCCAGGTGAACCCGGGCAAAAGCCTGCCAGAGAATGTCGGGAAACACGTGAAACACGTAGACTCCGCGCTTCCAGGAAAACACACTCGACAGCTTTACGATCGCTTATCGTGGAAAGAAGCAAGCGTGCTCGCTCAACTCCGGACGGGCATGGCCAGACTCAATGGATACCTCTCTCAGATCAACGTGGCTGAGACAGATCAATGTGCGTGCGGACAAGCCAGAGAAACGGTAGAGCACTTCCTCTTTCGCTGTCGGAGGTGGACGGCGCACCGGACAAGACTACTACAATGTACGGACACTCATCGAGGCAACATATCCTACTTTCTCGGCGGCAAGTCGCTGGCCGACGACCAGAACTGGACGCCAAACTTGGAAGCAGTGCGAGCCTCCATACGGTTTGCAATCGCCACGGGTCGACTTGACGTCATATAAGGCCCAACAATACGGACAACCTTTTCCCCAAACTAACCCCTTCCGACCACCTTGTGCCGACGACGGTAGACGCGCTTCAATTGCCGAAGATGGGATGTTGAACACTTGAAGAAGCGCCTTCAAGCCAGTCTGCCCCAAATTACTAACCCACAAGGACTCCTGTGACGTGAATAATTGAGATGATAATACACTGGGACTGTTTTATGTATGGGCTCTAAGGAGACACAGCATATATGTCTGGGCATGTACATTAGATTAGTAATAGTTGCCCTTTCGGCTGAGCCGCCGGGCGTTAATGAATTGTGTGTGTGTGTAATGAAAAGTCGTTTGAAAGTGCACTGAGTTTAATCTGATGCATGATATTTTATGATACAGCAATATTCAAAATTGGCTTCCATTATTCGCACAGACATGTTAAATCCAGTAGATGGGTCAACATAAACTGATCCAATTGTAGCTGTAGAAATTGCGGTTGAGCCCTACATCATATCTTAAAGCAGGATGACTAGATCCAAAATTAGACTAGCGGCAAGGCCCGAGATAGTTTCTTTGTGAAAAAGATGGAAGCCGATTGCTGTAAATAACTGTTTCATTCTCGTCACTGAGCCAAAAATCTCATATTCTCAGTGACATAGCCATGCAATTCATCGGCTTCTAGTATATTGACTCTAAGAAAGCATAGAAAACTAGAGTCCAGTTCAGGTCAAGGATTCCCCTACATCTGTCCCAGCATCCGGATCCAGAAGCAGATGCTGGATGGACAGGATATTTTGATATCGAGGAGTTGACTGGACTGCTGTCGGGGCCTGTGTAGGAAGGTGGTGTGCGCCTGCCCCGCATGCGGACATGTCCATATCTGATGTCTGAGCGTATCCTTCGACCGAGGATAGATGAGCCGATGACGAATTTCCAGCTGATCCACTCAAGTGCCTGTGGTCATTCGATGGATATGGGTGGAACCGAGAGTCACCATCTTTGGGTAAACGGCTTGCCATCCTATTGCCACGGCCACCCTGAGATACTTCTTTATGACCACTACGATCCAAACCAGCTTCGGTGCAATTTTGACCTGAAATTGATTAGGACCATCTCAATCAAATAAAAAAAATTCATAGAGATGGGTGGGGGAGCGGGTTGGTGAATTATGAAACTTACATGATGGCCTAGTTCCATCGCAGGTCTTCCGCTGTCGACCGCATGTGATACACCCGGCTCCTCTTTTTCGTCCCAAGACACCCTGCCGCTTCTGTGTCGATTCAGGGTTGCGCTTGCTGCCGCTATTATTCACGGGTTCAGGTCCCGGCGCGATCGTCGTGCCTTGGTCGTTTGGTTCTTCACGACGTTCGCCGTTCAACGAAACGGCAGGAACAGAGTCTTTTTCATTCGTTTGCCCGGCCTGGCCGATGACACTCCACGCAAAGTTGTACTGTCCAGCCACAGAATTTCTCTTTGCGGCTGGGCAAGCCTGGGAACCTGGAACGAAAATTTAGCTTAATGTGCTATCCTCTGGGATAATGCAGCCTGGCTCACCATTTCCTGGCATGAGTGGACTTTGAGTTTGCAACATTGGAATACCATCACTGGATACAGTATCCATTTGAGGGCCTATTTCTTGGTGATCTCCTAGTCACACGAGAGAAATGATTAGCCAGATGAGGATGAGAGTTCTGTGTCCATTCCATTCCAAATCAAAGATTTGGCTTTTCCTTGCCTGATCAAATCATCACAAACACAAACTTAAGTGTTGGTACGGGGCCGGGGGGGGGTGTTCCTACCTGCGGAGAAGGCCGATGTTGCTCCTGAGAGATTCTTATTTTCCTGATATTCAGCCGAACCAAAACTCAAATTGATCGACTGCCGTTCGACATTCTGCGAGCACACAATCGATGTTTGTGCCTGTGGAGAAACCATCAAACTCATTCCCTCCGCCTGGTTCGCATTACCATCTTTTGAATCCGTATGTCTTCCATCAACACTCTCCAATCCTCTGTTCAGCCACTCGTTGTCATCAGCAGCAACGCCAAGTGTCTGAGAGCATTTTGCAGTGTTAGTAGAGAACCCTTCCCCTTTCTCTGCGGACACAATGCACGTGGCTTGTCCTGGGGTTGACTCAGAAATCGTCTTCATCGCCAACGTCACTTCTGCAGCGTCAACGGATTTCAAAGAAATATCACTAGCTAAGTGATCCGGTCTTGCTGCCGGACATCCCTCCGAGCCTTTGCATTTTGAAGAAGCCCCTTCTTTTTTATTGGTCAACTTGCCAAAGCCTAACTTGTAGAGCTGAGACTGTAACGAGGCGTAACTCCTGTCATTTCCAGAAAACCTGTAATATTCTTTTTCGATGCTATCGTTTGATAGGTGTCGATTTTCCTTGTACCACGCGAGTAATCTTTGGCCCTCTTTGTGAGACCAGGAGAGACGATGACCACCTTTAGCTAAGCAGAAGTCAGTTTCTGAGGAAAAATTAACTGTGGTGAGCTCACATCTTTTCTTGATTTCTGACAGCGTAGAAGAAGCATCTCCTTTTCCACTCTTGACCGCTGGTCTATTTTCTGGGATTGAATGATTTCTAGATCCGCTTACAGGCGCATCTAAGTTACTCAACTTTTTTTTCAAGAATTTGAAGTCGTTCGGCCAACATTTCGAGGACGTCCTTGGTGGAATCGTATACTGAATGCTCTCCGTCAGCATTTGGATTTGTCTCCAAGTTCATGATCTTAAAGACACACATTGCGCACTTAGGTTATTCCACTGTGATATTTGCTCAAATGTGAGCTGCACAGCATTGACTTCCAGAAGCAGGTCGCCTGGATATGAATGCGGATCAACAAGCTGTCGAGGAATCGTTGTTCTGATGAAGTCGTAATTGGTCTTTGATAATTCTACTATCGCGTTGTTTTTCTCGATGCGTACATGATATTCTCCATTATCTTGTAGGACTGGGTCATACACGAGAGATTGTACAACATCAACCCAACGGATGGAAGACCCGCTGACATTTTCACTCTGGACGACCTTCGGGCCAGGTGAACCAAAAAGAAGATCAAGCCTAGTAGCCTTTTGATCGCTGGAAAGTGGAATGTTCAAAAGCCGTGCGAAATTGGTGCCGGCGTATAGCATGGTTCGGTATGATTGTGACAGTTTTAGTCCTGTCTCAAGGTCGGCTTTCGTAGCGGAAAAGAAACAGGCTGCGATTTGATTATCGGAATTCTCACCCATAGGGCAGGAAATCTGATCAAATATGACATTGCTTTGTGTAGAGTTCATTGTAATATGGGGAATGGACATGGGAAATGATGAGGAAAATGGGAGAGCTGAGATCGTAAGCATGGTTCGAGGGGAAGCGCAGCGTGGAAGGAGTTTTGAGCGGTAATTATACTTAGTGAAACGCTCAACAGGTGCGGACGATTGCAGGTGTTATTTTAGTCTGCAGGTCAATCCAGACACCAGCCAGTCCCAAGCATCCTCGAACGGAATCCAAGCGATCGGCAGTGGTAGATTAGCGCGTACTATGATTGGCTGACTCTCTGGAAGCGATACGTTCCATGGATTGAGGCCGGGATCCGGGCGTGATTGACTGGTTGAGAGACAACGTCTCGGATACTGTACTCTTCCTTCTTTCCATCATAGACAATCATTCCCACTTGCATATCAGTTCTCTCGACAAAATCACACGGCTTGATTGGTTTATCGCGTCGTAAACAACCTCTCACCTTTGAACCCGATTGGATCGTATCCACACTTGCCTGCCGTGAGAGGGGAACCCAGGCATAAAATCTACGCGGTCAGCCGAAATAATCTGGTTTTGGGAGACCTATCAAGACCACTTCCACTCCTGTATTTGTTTAACGATAACGACAAATCACGTATTGCAGAAATTTAACGCTCTCCAAATTTTCTAAATAAAGCAATAAATTTATGAGCAACAAATCGTAAAGTCTGGCATAATGCCCTCTGGAATAATTAAAATGGAATTTTTTTTTCCACCAGACACAGTACAGTATACTTTCATTTAGCTCCTAGGAGCCTCAACATAACTAGGTCACGACTCTGTTTCCGTAATTGTGTGAAAAATCAACAATTTGGTGAATCACAGTCTAGAGACAAGACCTAGTAATAAGCTAAATCAAGGATAGACTAGTATGTTTCATAATAGAGTTCAAGAGAATATTGAAGAGAAAGTAGGTGAGTCTGATTTTGAGCAGTTCTGTAACATTTGTCTTCTTTCTCGGGCTGACGGGATTGTTCAAGTTCTGGAAATTGAAGAGAGCGATTGAGGAAGATCCATAACCTTCAACATCTGGCAACACTTCCGAAGATTTTTCTTGCCGCAATAAAAGCAAATTGGCCTTTCAAACAATGACACATCATTTGCAAGTGCACTGAATCCAATCTAATGAGTATGTTGTGATGAATAATCGTTTCATTCTCGTCACTGAGCCAAATGCTTATATTCTAAGAGACATAGCGATGTAATTCATCGGGTTCTATTATACTGACTCCAAGAAGGCATAAAAACTAGAAAGAAAATCTTTTTTTTAACTTGATCTAAATACTACACAAGTTTAAAGCAGCCGATTTGCTCTTGGAAACAGTATGATTCCCGGGCAGCTCGTACTCAATTCCTAAGAATCATGAGTGATCCAGGATAGGAGCGAGGGAAATGAGTCTGTCACCACATCGTACTATGTTGCTGCGCGACAATAGAGGGTTGGCTATGAGACTGTCTCGGCCACGGCAGTTGAGCTTCACTCAGCTTAAGATTGGCCCAAGGATTCTACACGCTCTTTTTGCCCGTGCATGCACACCCTTTTTTTCTCTCAGATCAGGCATTGATGCTTGACGGCGCTTACGAAAGTTGCCGGGGGTCTGCAGAGTAGAACCCTGGAAGGTACATGTACTCGGTACGATGTGCCCTGAGTTCTTCTTCACTGCGTCGTCGATATCGTGTAAGTCTGGGAGATAGGTATTTGAAGGATCGGAATCTCGAGATTGAGGAATGAAGCCGAAATCTTTTTTTGCAGAACATCCGCATGTAAAATGACTATTCTCAGGATTCAAAAAACCGAGCGTTTCTCCGTCTCCGCTTCTTCCTGCTGGATCCAGGTCGTATCTGTGAGAGTGAAAAATGAGCATTGTCTTTTTGGATAGAATACGGCTTAAAGCTTACCCGTGAGGTTCTTGAGTGGCGCTGAACTGCCGCAAGTCAACCAGCTCCCCCATCGGGGTCCTGGGATGCGTCTTGGTATATAACGACCTTTGCATCAGAATTACCTGCATGGAGACAGTTTCAAAATCTTCAAGATTCGCATTCCGCGCCTTCGAGGACCTTTTCCGCTCTTTTGCATAGACGCAACTCCAATCCACTTGCGGGTAGATCTGCTTAAGGTCGTGGAGAAGCAGATTGACATGGGCTTGTCTAAAGTCAGAAAGCATTTGGTACTGATGGGCAGCAGACACTTTCTTGGCCCTTTTGTGAACTTTCTTGCTCAGCTTGTCCTGAGATAACTCCGACTCAATGCGATCTACTTTAGTCCATGAGGGCTTTTGGCCTGGAATGGGATCGGCTTTGAAAAAGTCATAGGCTTTGTATCGCTCCAAGGGGCGACCAATGGAGCTGCAAAATCCTAGAATTTGGTCAGCTAGAAAATTTTACAGAATTCCCAGCCCGCGAAAGGTAGGCTCACCATTCTGCACGATATTAAAATCAGAGTCAAAATTGGAATATCTTTGACAATCATCTCCATACTCAGAATCGAGAATCTGAAAAGCCATTGTCAAAGAGATTCGCTGTATATTGCATACTCTGTTTGAGGGTGAGAATGATAAGGCTCTCTCATTGAAAAACACTGAGGACATCCATTCTTATACCAATTGTGCGTGCGGTCAGGTTTCCTTCGCCCCAATAATATTCTTGCGCTCAGCCCCATCAATCGCATAACCCGGGTTAATCAAGGTTCAGATTTTTCCAGCTTGCTTGTCCAATGGTCCCCACCTGCTTTCAAAATGTGGAGAAAATTTTAACCCGGGTGGAAATGCAATCAAATCAAATCAAATCCAGGTGGAATGGGATCAGAAAATAAACACATCAAACATAAACACGTCAAAACTCAATACAGACAGAAAAATACAAACAGAAAAATACAGATGAAAAATGACGAAGTAAACATGTCGGAGCAATGCGACACCGTATGGGCTAGTCACGTTCATGAGCGAATGGTAGTGAGGACAAGATCAAGCGGAACGTGGTTTGCAAACTGGCCTCGGGCGTAAGAAATCCAGGGGGTTGCATACCTGCATGGGCTTTCCACTGCATGGGCTCTCCACCCTAATAACGTGCAGGATCCTTTCAAAAACACGTCACACCGCACTATGACTATAGATAGACTAGACATATGGGGTTGCCTCACCTATGGAAATCCGCTTTCTAGCTATCTATAGAGGCAATTTATGACATACTGAACTTTTACAAAGCTACCACGGCAGCGGATCAAGTACAAGACACAAATTCATGGAAGACCGTATCATTCCAGGTGGAAACTTTCAATTTTTAGAGGTCAAGCTAATAACTTAGAAGCAGCAATTTTCCATGATTAGATAGACAATGACATCGTTTCACTCCCCACAATACCTGCACACACTCACATATTTCATCCTCGGGGAGAGATCATTGACTTGGCGGAGAGGCGCATATTCTTACAAAACGAGAAATTTTTCTTCTGAAGGCCAGACAGGTCGTGCAAAAAGATGTCACGAGGACATCAGCCAGTGAATCTCCCTGTCGGTTTGTTATTAATCATATTTCTTTTTAGTCCACGATGAGCTCACAGACGGTTTCATAGCTCAAATACCTAGATATCAGAAAGTTAGCCTCAATCAAACACTTTGAAGAATTCTACCGTATAATGTAAAATCATAACACAGTCGATAGCCCGGACCTGGTTTTCAGTGAAATATTATAATGGGATCTGCGGAATTCTTCGTTGTGGTTCGTGGCTTCAAGGGCGGCCAAAATTCATACATGATCTCTTCCAGCTACATTCCAAGATTATCCAAGCGAAGGAATTAGTACCTTGGGAAATACTGGGAGCAACGGAGCATTTGGATCGAGAGAAAGCGCTCTGTACCTTATGGCAATAAATCACAACAAGGGCTCTTCCTCTGAATAGTTGACTTTCATTCAATGCATGATAGAATGTCATAAGTGATTTATCCTCGTCACTGAGCCATAATCCTCACATTCTTAGTGAGGTAGCCATGTCATTTATCGGTCTCTAGGGAATTGACTTTAAGAGCGCAAAGAAAGAAAAGCCTTTAAATTGATATAAATACAACACAAGTCCGGACCACCCAATCTGCTCTTGAAAGCAATGTGATTCCCGCGCAGTCAGTATGTACTTCGGTCCCAATAATCACAAGGACTCCAGGAAGAGTGTGAGGGAAATGAGGTCTGTCATCATATTATACTGTGCCGCTGCGCCACAGTCGAGATTTGGCTATAATACTGTGTCGGTGACGGCAGTTGAGCTTTGCTGAGCTAGGGACTGGCCCAAAGATTCTGATCATAATCACCCGTGCTGGTGTGACCCCACAATAATGTTCTCGATAACTCGATCGATGCGGCCCCTGGGATGGGAGTAGGCTGCCAAACTTCAGGGCAAGTTGAGCGAGGTAGGAGGAATGAGATGCATGACCTCCACCACCGGTGGTGAAGGTGGAAGCAGGGGCACGAACAAATTCGATATCGCCTGCTTTGCCTCCTCGCTCAATCCACAAAGTAGCTCTCCGGCGCCATCTCCCTCCAATCCTTCCAGAGCCTCAGCATTGGCACGGTACACGAACTTGTTAGCTGCTCGTATAAACTCCTCCTGTAGCTTCTTCAGTTGGCTTTGCTTCCCCGACCAGTCCCAGGTGTTGGCAGCGGTATTCACTGAGTAGATCTCTTTATGATAGTCCACCAAGGCCTCGATTGTCTCCGGGGTCAGCTTGAATGCAACCTCATTCCGAGAAACCATGTCAACATGTACGACGTAGGCCTCGATATGGATCATCTGATAGTTAAAGAGACCTTCGATGAGTGGATCCTCATCCTCCCGTAGTTCCGCTTCGGGAGCTTTGGTAAACATCATGGAGCATAGGGTCCAGATCGCATTTGGCGACGACAAGGTCTCTGTCAAGCACCGGGTATGTTGGGTGACGTTGTTCAGAGGACGCTTGACCCGATTTACTTTCTTAAGAGTCGCCGTCAACCATGGCGCAACCTTCCTATTCAAGACGACATTCGGGGAGGAGCGTGGCGCAAAGGCCGCAGCGGAAGAGGGAAGTAACAGGGTTGGCATTGTATCTCTCTGCGAATGAGTAGACCTCCAATTCGAAGAACTGATCAAGGAACGAAAATACCAATTTGTGACAGATCAATCTTGTGCTCTTGGCGAATGTTTTTTGGAACCAGAAAGATTGTGTCTGCGTAATATTAATGTGCAGTCAGATGGGCAGGAGGAAGAGAGGATAGAAAAGCATATCATATGCATTTCTTGGCAAAGAGAGATGCGTCCCAGGAAGGGTCACGATCAGGGGCATTATTCTTAGCGTAGAAGACTAGGATTTTATACCGCAAAAGAAGGACCCCGACCCACCCACTTATCCCAGGAGCTGTTGGCGAGGTATCTGAGAAGTCACATGGCTCTCACAGAAAAATACAATTGATTGACATCCTTGAGTGTTTGGTCATAAGCTTGGATCGAAGAAGAGTGGTTTCAGACAAATGACGTGGAGCATATTCGTGGCTTTTTATTGTTCTAAATCTACTTTGTACTTATCATCCCACGGTAAACCAGTAATTCTGAACACGGTAATGCGTCTGTGAGAAGATCTGTCTCATCACTGATTGAATGAAATCATGAGTTGGGAAGATATCACATACTTGCAGATACTTGAACTACAGTATTATCGGTCTTAAAATGATTTTCAACCTTTTATCCAGGGGATTTTTGGTTGTTTGCCTGAATAGTCATGTCCCTTCCACACGCCGCGAACGCCGCAGGTTCATTAATTTGATGACTACATTCATTGTATCAAGCCTCCGCCAGCTTGGTGAATTATCTTCATTTATTTATTCTACTGAGGATCGTACTTCTGGATTTGATAGACCTATGAAACACATACATAGGCAGACACACGAATAAAATTGGTGTATCCAAGTATTTGACGATGCGGTGAAGACAACGTCCCAGTATCATTTCAGGTCATTTTAGGTGAAAATCTATAATGAGCGAGAGCTATTTTCATGCCCGGAGCTACATCTTTGACCACTGTAGTGAAAGTTGCGGGCGCTTTTCCTTGTGAATGTTGCTTTGCATCGCGGACAAACCGATTTTGGAGCTTGGCCGTTTTTCTCCCGCTGGTGTCTCAAGAGATTTCTCTGGCACGAAAAGGACTTTCCATTGCAACCATGGTCCCAGCATTGCGGTCTGTCCACTAGTAGCTCGTTGCATTCGGGGATTCTCTGAGGTCCATTCTTGAATGTCATTCCTCCATTTGAGTCAACCCGTGGCATGGGAGCTACATTTTGTAAAGCCTGAAGCGTGAGACTTCCAAGAGAGCTGCTGGGCTGATAAGAAAAATATCTCGGCAACCACTTCGGAGAAATGAGTGTAACTCTGTGACTTTAAGTGGGAAGATATGGTCGCCGCACGGCCAGTTGGATTGTGCTAAGCCCCAGAGAGAATACTGGGACAGTCGGATAATCATTGGGAATATAACTCACAGTTAGAATCTTTCATTATAGTCAGATTGGCAGGAGACATTGAGAGACGAACCTGGCTCATGATAAAGGTATGAGCCGCCATGATGTGCCGTAGGATATATGTTCATTATGCAAAGGGTGAGAGGAAAAAAGGCATTTGAGCGCGAATCTGTGAATCCAAGGAGAAAGAAAGTAGAGGGAGCAAAATCACCGCTATAATTGATATGTGAACAAGGCAGAATTAGCCCCAAGAACATACTCATCCATTGACACGATAGTGATCCACTAGAAGAGATCAGGGCAGACCAATCCAATGGATCGCCTCCCTGATCCCTTAGGTCAACCAATCGACTTTGACACTGTAGCCCGAATACTTTATCATTTTTCAATAGCCCACATATATAATACCAGTATTCAATACGCTCGTTGTATTTGGAATTTTCTGGGCTACCCACCCAGTGCACTCGGCTCAGTCGTAAGCGAGGTGCTTCAGGTGGTCTCCCATTGCCAAATTCTACCCGTGGCGTGACCAGATTGGTGGACAAGTATCCAAAAATGACGCTCGGATCTGTCACAGCCTACCGAGAGAAAACCGAATGACGCGCGCAGCTCAGCAGAGGATGACTGCCTACGATATCACCCTTAGATTGCATTTTTCTGAATCTTGTGAGATTATAGCCCTGATGGACAAAGAGTGATGGATAAAGTAGAGAAAATTGAATGTGTATACTGGATGTGACCAAGTCCTTCAAGCCGGTTGTGCTGGTGCACCTCGCCGAAATAACCACACTCACAGTCACGTATCTGAAATAGCATGCCTGAATCAAATTAAAAGTGGGTACACTAGATAGGCCTTCCCCGGAGACACTCATGTTCGAATTATTCTTTCCAGGCCATATGGGTCTGTGGAAATTGGGGCTACCGTCTTTTCCCTGTCATTGTACTCCTGATCTCGGCCTTTGTATCTCCGTACCAGTGTAAAAGTTTCCCAGCTTCGCATCTAACCAATCAATCATTCTCTCTCTGATTCTATCTATGGACATGCAAATAATAATCCCGAACCGCAGCGGTAGCAAGCTGGTTAATTCTCTGCTGAGAGAAAATGATTCTCAGATACCAACATAATTTTTGAAGGTTCTGAACCGTGGTCTCGCATAACAAGCAATGTGTGATCGGGGTGCTGAGCATTCAATTGCGGACAGAAATTCGGGACTTGAGGTCTGGCCCTGACACTTCTGAAGGACGATTTCCTCTCTGTCGATCTGGGAATCGGGTGGAGCTTGCCTCTGAGCGGAGCCACCAGGGGCAAGCGCAGCACTTCAGGACAAAACTGCCGGAGAGCTCGTGTGATTTATCACTTGGAAGAACACGAGGTATCTAACAAGCCCTTTACTCCAAAGTCCGTTACCGTTTTATAAAGCGAGTTAGTATCCCCATCATGGAATCAAATCGTGGTACACAATCCCAATATGTTTCTTCATCAAATTTTCAAGTGGATTGAATCCAACGTCCGTCTTCCCACCGCCATTACAAATTGCTGGACTCCAGTCGGAGAACCAGGTAAGCACCCAGGCTATTTGAGAAACAGGACCACCGCTGACGGATCCTTTGTAGATGAGCAGAATTTTTCTAGGACACTATCCAATCGACCAGCATCACATTTGGTTGGAGCCAACCCAATCCTTCCCGACCCATTCAAGGGTATATCTCTGGCCAGAAACAAAGCACCCAGAGAAATCGTCGTCGAGCAGCCCAGCTCCCATGATCTTGTTATCCACAATCCCACGCCACCACTTGGTCCTGAACGTAAATCTGAACCCGTATGAAATGGCCGTCACGCTCTATATAAATCTTCTCTATCATCATTCGAACAAGTCAACTTGATTTTTGACATTCCTGTTTGTTTTATTGGGGTGGGCGAGTTCATATCATCTTGTACTATAATCAATGGAGCCGGGATCAGGAAGCGCAACCAGATGAGATAAATAAATATCTGCCAGTATGCACAGAGTTTTATAATAATGTGTACAAATATATAGGCTAGTTTTACATTGCTCTATCATATCTAAATAATCCATATCAAATGGAGGGCTTTAACTGATGTGGTGCTAATGATCAAAAGCGATTCATGCGTCTTGGCGAAATCCAGTCACATGAGTTGGCTCCGATTAGGGCTGGGTAGCCCGGTAAGAGTTTCGCACGAAATACCCATACAGTACCGGCTCCATTAATGTAGGTCTGCGGGTCCGATGGTGGTACCGGACAGACCCACCTGTTCCCAGAAACGACACCAGTCCGTATTACGTGGTTTTTCAATACAGCAGAATACCATGGTTTTCAAGTACCATTTAACCAGCGACACCCGCCCTCTTGATCTGAAGCACCTGGAACAAGTCACGCCATCTATTCATTTTGTACGGCGCCCCCTTTTCCTCGAACAGCAGAAAAAGCAGAAACATCAATAGATTCATTGACTTGGTAAAATGAATTTATGAAACAGGGAATGTCCTAGATATGAAAAACGAGACCGGCCACCCTGACGCAGGACTGGCGCTTTGGGCGCGAGACAAGTCAAACAGCCAAATCTTGACGCACTAATGAGTGGATAAGAGGCTGCTTGCATTTCTGAGGTCGGCGGCGCATGACGCGTCGAACGGGCTGATCCTGCTGCTTGTCTCCGGGAGCAGGGCCGGCACCAATGGTCAACCAAGTATGAAGAACCAATTGATCGCTAGTTTCAGTTCGTAGCTCCGCTGTAATTTACATTGGGTCTTGTGCCTAAGTGTTCCAGCCATGATCCTCTGCCGATCCTTCGCATCCGATGTGACCTACCAGGAGAAACAGCAGTAAGATACCGGCCATACTGTCCGATTGTCGGGGTCTAGGTCAAGCCCAGCGATCAATAGATTACTGACTTTGTTGGGCTGATCGGCAATCCGTCCTACCTCGCTTCGATATGTCCTTACGACTGACCCACAAAACATTCTCTAGGAGAGGCTGTCCGAGCGAGCAACGCGTCAATGAGTCTCGGGCAATCATGGCCTCATATGGATTCGGGGATGTGATGCATTCGTTGCTCCACCCACCCACAGGATTAGAACGACTGGTTTTGCCCGAGCGTATCCAATGACTGGCCAGCGATTGACCAGAAGACATGCACTGACCCTGGCTCGGCAGACTTTGTTAGGGTCTCGGATCAAGGGGATGAAGGCGTGTCAGGGTTTTGATCCGGAAATTCAATAGTCCATGGCAGTTTCCACATTGGGAAGCTTCTCGGGAAGGTTCCCTCTTGGGAAACGAACCGGAAGCGAAGGCGGCCAGCGCACACCATCTTCCAACAACATCATGTCTCACGAGCGTCGATTCCCGTTTCCCAACGGGGATGATAAGGCGTACATTAGGTACCTCGAAGAGTTGGTAATTATGGGACAGGTTTTGAAGACACATCAGTTGACTGGCCCTGTGAGTCAACAGAAGTGGATGAGGCAGCTAGACCACTTCACTGAGAACATTCTCAAGCTCGTTGCCTCCGATGATGCATGGAATGAACGGCGGCAGTCCTCCGGCGTTGCTACACCCGCCCGAAATGCAACGGCCTTGAATTTGATCCTGGGTTGCCAGGTAAACGCCATTTACGCCGATAATCTTCCCGCCGGAAACCCGGTCCTTGCGCCGAGCCCTAGCGGTGATTACCATGATTTGGTCCTGAATGGGTACAGATATGGGGAATTCATGATCAGCTGCAAGGAAGACCGGGATTTCGCGAAGACAGTGGTAGCCTTCCAGAACCTGGTGTTCTGCAGTTACTGTTTGGTCATTTCGGAAATCATGAAGTCCAAAGGCTCCGGCGCAGATAAGTCCACTCCGGCCATCAATAAAATGATGAGGGCCTATCTAGATGGATCGCAGGACGACAAGACTCTGAGGAAGTATCGTGGCGGTGCGAAATGGTATAATCGGTGTATGGCAACCCTCTTGGCAAATGGCTGGGGGTACAAGGCTTGGGAGATCTTTCTACTCGGTATGTGTCGAGGCTTCTCGGACTTTCGGCCACGCTGATAACCCATCCGACAGAGAAACGGTCATTGTCAATGTTCGGCTGCTTCAACGACAGTGACGCCGGCAGTGATGGCCTTCTAAGTGCCCGGGTAGGGTTCGGGAGAGTCCCCTGCTCGGAACCAGGCTGGATGCCATACTGCCTCCCCTGTATTGTGCACTTTCTCACAGGGCCTACGGTCGAGTAAGCAAACTGCCCCTTACGGTCGAGCCGGACTAATGCGACATTCTAGACTTTCGCAGATCTGTGACATTCTTGGCTATGGAGCGCCCGATGAGCCTCCACTGCAACCGGTTCGCGTCGCTTTCGACCAGGCTATACATCAGCTTCTCAACCCATCTGTGCCCACTGGCTAAAGAAATCCCTCCTCGCGGCAGGCGAAGGCTACCTATTCCGCCGGCCTTACACAGCCCTCTCCACTACTAGATAGTCTAATTTCGGAACGCTGTCCTCTTCTTTCCAGACGAGCTTGTCCCTGGTGAGCTGGATGAGGGCAATTCTGTGTCGGTTTACCCGGAAAAAGTAGCCAACAAGCAGCCTTTGGACGGCGTTGGAGTGCCTGGGGTCTACGAATTCGGGAATACCAGCGATCACGTTGATGGGAACGACGATGGAGCTGGCGGGGACGGGTTGGGTCTCTGAACTTCGGTACATCGTATAGGTCCACCCCTAAAGCTTGTTAACGCGGCCCGTCATATCTGACCTGCAGTCGTACCTCCAATTGCATGTGCCTTAGCAGTAGCTCCACAAACCGCTTCAAAGTAGCTGTCCGATAATAATATCTATTGGCCTGTCCCTCCAGCTTGTAATCCTCTCCTGCGATAAGCTGTCCACCGGTCCATATGGCCAGCTCTTCTCGTGCCTCCTGAGCAGCCTTGGATAGCAGGTAAGGGCCCTCTACACACACTTCTCCCTCGGGGGGTGAACTTAATGGTCCCATCTGCCTCGCACAGGTCAGAAGCTAATCACGCCATTGTAATTTGGAGAGCCAAGTAAATACCATCTTGTAGTCTTTTGACCGCCGGCCGTCGTGCGACCATTTTCGGATGCGGGGCTGTGTGACTGCGGGTAACGGGATGACCCGCATCACGTGGTACCTTTCGAATCCGATCAATCGTGCGACGGTCCCTTGCTCGACGGTAAGGTTACGTGAATTCACAGGCCATTGAGAATGGTTTGTGCTCTATTCCAGGGATTAAGACAGAGAAGCAAAATGAACGGTGTTTCGTCCATGTAGTATAAGGCTGGTGTAGATCAAGAATGAAGCCCCGCCATCGGAGTTAATCTCGAAGGTATCTATCTGTAAACAGCCCGATGACGTCCCTCTGAAAGAACAGTCAATTTTCATTTGAAACAACAACAGTTTATTTATCAACCAAATCACATGTGAAATCGAGTCAGTCATATTCATTTGCAGAAGGAAAGTCCTTAACGCCTAAAGATTCCTTGACTCCAGCCGCAGCTTTCTGGCATAGCACTCATGGAAAGGGCCCGGGGTCAATAACCACGAACGTCAAAGAACCATTCCCAGTTGAATATTCTCACAAAGTATCAAAATGCAGGTGGAGTAAAAGGCACACAAGGCACGAGTCAAATATCCGTGGGATGTACTAGAGATGAAAATAACAGCAAAGGAGACAAAGGTCCACAAGAGAGCAGATTGGGTGATATGCAGTCATCTCAGCTTTGTGTTCTGTTGAGATACGCAAGATGATTTTTCAAAATCTGTTTTGCATCCCGAGATAGCTCTCCCATCTTCACAGTAATAATATACCGTAAGTTAGCCTTGTCCGATTCCGTAATATAAGGAATACCCTGCCATTGTTTAAGAAGATTGAAAGGGAGCTGGCAACCGTGCGATCCTGTGAAAAGGAAGTTAAGCACATTGCATAGATCTATACAAGTTAGTGCAGGGATCCTAGCGCATCGCGTCAGCTTCCTTACCATCACGCTCAAGGTTTGCCGGCCCCATATACCGAACAGACTCTGGCCACCAGACGGGTTTCTCTTTATAATGTGCCCTTATATCGCCGACCATGATACCACGCCACTTCCGCAGGACCCCTACGGTAACTCCTAGAGGAGAAAGATTCTGAAGCTGAGCCTATAGAAGTCCTCCCAAATAGAAGGGACCAATCCCTTTCCCGACATAAAGGAATGCAAGCTACTCATGGCATTCATTGCGTCTGAATATTGGTCAGCAATTGCATGAATAGATGTATTCAATACTGACCTTGTATAAGTGGGCTCCCACCCATGAAAACCTCGGACCATTCAATGCAGCAGTTGTTGATCGCAGGGGTGAACTCTGCACAGCCAAAATGCCCCGTTTGATATTTCGCAACATCTGGGGCTTCCCCAATCCTAGAAGCTCGAGTGCCGAGGACATTAGTCTCGATGTCGTATACCAAGTCTGGAATGATCTCTGGAAACCTCGCGTAACATGTGAATGGGACTCGACTGCGTTTTTGAGTGGCAATTTTAATGGAGAATGCCCTTCTCATGTCAGTGCGGGCTGGATTTATGGGTAGAGAAGACTCACAAATAGAAACGCTTGCCTCCACTACAGTTAAGAGTGTTAATTGCAGCGGTTAATTCACAAGGACCAAGCTTACCTGTTTCCAATCATAACCCATGGGATCCCGATTTGCGGTGTCTTCACCATGGCTGCAGAGACACATGGCGCTAGGAGTCGCCTGTCGATATGAGCATTGAGTGGCGCTAGATGGGCACTTAGCGGCGCGAGATGGCCGCTTTCGTCCATAGAAAACCGGGAAGTAGCGTGATCCGGCCTGAATCTCTTAGTCTACGCAGGCAAAGACGGAAGGAAAAACTTACTGTGCCTCACCATCTGGCGAATACGACTGCGACTCAACAAAAATGTCAGAGGGATCAACCAAGGTTCCGTCACCCTGGTTCTGCATCCTGATAACGAAATGCCATTCCTGGTCAAATATCGAGCGGGAACCATTGGAAATGTCTTCTTCAAAATTGCAAATCTCCATATGCTGATCAATCTGACCGCTCGATACCTTGGGCTTTTCGGGGGCGCTAGACGGAACAGTCGACTCAAAAGTGCTTTCCACACGAATTAGCAAACACCATCATGTCAAATGACACAACACTTACTAATTAGATGATTGTGGCGCCGCATAGGGTTCTTGCCATTGAAAGCTGTTTTGTGATGAAGTGATGACGAGATCTTCATATCCGCATCCATGAACCCAGTTTTCAGGAGAAGACAGTCCACCTGAGTTCATAAGGGCGGGGTTGAAGTATTGAGCAGGTAAGTTCGCTGGAGTTGGCGGTCTATTGGCAAGGGGATGATTCTCATAAAATTGATGAGCCCAATAATCTGGAATATTTGGCAAAGTTAGCTTGTGAATGGGCTGGCGAAATATGTGCCTTGTGCATGTTCACGCAGTAGAATACTTCACAATGAATACGCACCATGGGGAGAATGACTATTCTGCATGGCGAAAAATAATGATCTGGAATGCGAGACTTTTTTGAGATCACTTGAAGGAGTCTTCTGTTCTTAAATGACTGGGTTAGTGGGAGAAGTCGTGGCGAGAAATCGAACTCAAGGAGGACAGGGGAGATCCACCAGCTGTGGAGTGGTGCATAGATGGGTACATAGCAATTGCTGCACTATTGCTGCAAAAGTGATGGGCCATGCATGTGCTCAACTCGATTCATTCCAGGTTACCGCACATGATCCAGAATCGAACGCGCAACTCTCCCCTCAGCTTCCTGCTCCGCTAGGAAGGTAGTTTTAATCCATGGTATTCCGCTGTATTGAAAAACCATGTAATACGGGCTGGTCCCGCTTCTGGGAACAGGTGGGTCCGGTACCGCCATCCTGCAAGGCTATAATTGGACCCCAAAGCTTGGCAGTACTAATGTCTACGGAGGACGTCGGTATTTGGATGTACATTCTTCGGCCAGTCACGATCTGTCTGACTGGTGGCCAGGCAGATCCTTGCAAAGGGTGCTACGCAAAACCGGGCCCGTTAATGTACAAGTATATGCAGGTTCAACTCTAGCAGATTATGAGACGCGATGGGGCCGAGCGATTTCCGCACGTTTCTCCACAATGCTACCAATCCCGAGGAGATCCAGCTCAATTGGACTCATAAGGGAGCTGGGTCCAAACGAGCCCACAATGGTCAAGTATGTCCTAGGCATAGGCCTAGAACACACCCCAGAGCTAGCGGCATAAGTACAGTCACGGACCTTCTCTGTCTCGCGGCCATTGCATTGCTTCTCTGAGTTCTTTGTCAACTTTTCTTGCATATATGTTGGAATCAACCACCCAGTATTCGTGGGTATGACCTGCATCCTTTTATGTGACTTTATTTTTATGGCAATTACTATTCTTTCATTCTAGTGACTTGCTCCTCCTTATCCACGCAATCATTCCATTTGCATTGTTTTTATTCCCTTATGCCGGGTAAATGCTATATGGCGACGTATAACACCATTTGAGTTCTCGAAGTCAAGCTATATTCAGATCAACCGCTGCCTCAGTCAAGTCGAGCAAAAATTCTCTCATTCATCGCCTGAAAAAGCGATAAAGGACCAATGGAGTTCACAGACCGGGCACACCCGCCCTTGAAAATTAGACGCACTCTAGATCCCCCCAAGAATGCAGAAAATCAAATCTACTGCGATCATCCAGATTGCGACGGCACAAAGCCGACATTTCGTCGTCCCTACGAATGGAAGTGAGTATCTCCTTTCATCTCCTGCTTCTCTACCAATCTTCGCGTCCTCACTGACATTTTGCGAAGCACACACATGGATAAACATGAGCGCCCCTATAAATGCCCTGATCTAGAATGTAAATGGGCTACCAAGGGCTTTACCTACCCTGGTGGTCTAGTACGTCACCGGCAAGACGCCCACAAGAAAACCACAGAGACTAAGAACAATCTGTTTTGTCACCACACTGGCTGCAAGCGCAGCAAAAGAAATCCATTTAAGCGAAACGGAAACCTTCAAAACCATATGCGTCGTTGCCACATGGGCACCAATGCTCTACTGTCATCGGTCGTGACTGAACCGGATCTGATAATCACCAGCAAGCTAAAAGAAATTCGAACCATTGCCAGCGGGGCCAAGCGCAAACTCGACTCGCCAGGTGGGGACCTTCTCGATGAGCAGAACGAAGATTTACATGGAGAGGTTGAGAGACTAGATTGGGAAGTACAAAAAATAAATCGCAGGCTGGAAGAGCTTGAGCGTATCGTGGTGTGTGCGCAACAAGTAACGTCTCGGACTCCTCAGTCTGAGTCCGAGAACAAGTCTGCGGTACAATGATTTCCACCTGTTCCACGAGTTGAAGCGCCCAAGTTCTCATCAATCTTCAATATTCTATCTTCATACTTACTTACTTGTGAGATACGATCGTCTTTCTTCCTTCTCTCCAGGTCCACATTCCCAGTCTTCTTTCTTGCATTCCTCGCGCCTTCCCTTTCCTTTGGCCTGTGGTTTTTGGGTTATTATTTTAGATCTGTGGATTTGTTCAAGCTTGTATTCAGTAGTGAAGATTGCGTCGTGCTCGACTTCAGCGGCAAGATCGGGATTGGAAATAGGCTCCATGTGCGCGATCACACCACCTTTGAATCGATTGAATGCGGCATAGATTTCACTGTGGTGGCAATGACAGTCAGCGGTTTAGTTTGTGCAGAACGCCGATGCGAATACAGTGCTTCCCAAAACTAACACAACTACTCGGTTGTTTCTCCAGCCACAACGCCAAAGCTAGTTAGTGTGTTCTAGTACCCTGTATTTCAACCTACCATGTCACAAAATCAAGTGGGGTGGAGGATCGGGACAAATGAACGGGCCCAATCCCTGGTGCACGTATGCTGCATGACAGAGGGCGGTATTATTAAGGGGTCCGTGCCCAGGGCATCAGGCCCATTGATTAATGATGGCCAATCGCCCCACCTAGGTTTGTGACATGGTAGGTTGAAATACAGGGTAATCATAGGTTGAGCCAATCGGGCCTTGTTCCAAAAATGCGTGGTTCCGAGGGATATTCATCAATACACCGCTGTACTTATCCAAAGTAGTCTCAAGCTATTCAATCCAGTTTGCATGTACTAGTATTTAAATATTCGAGTTTTGAGTTTCTGCTCTTTTTCTCTCCTTCTCTATTTCTCCAAGTTCGTTGCCTGAAATTGAAATGGACCTAAACAATCTATCCTTCAATGAACACGCAACAAACTACTACCAGCATAGCGTTGGTGGACCTGTGTACAATGTGCAATCTCAACCGGGATATATCCAAGCTGCCGGAGCTCGGGAATTTGATGTTAGGACTCGGACCACTGAAAGTCAGGCAATTCAAGATGCTGTTAGTATTGTTTTGGCCAGAATTCATACCCACTGCTCACAGATGTGAACTTGTAGAAGTCAATTGAGTCATGTGATGCATGTCGACTACTCGAGTACCGATGTGATACAGCAAAGCCAAAATGTGGCTTTTGCGCAGATTGGAAAAGGGCTTGTTCATATTCCTCTGCATATTCTCTTTTCCGTCGAGCACAGAGGGTTAGTACTATCCTGAGCAGGACTTTAATCCTTCTTACTCTCGCTGACTTGAGTGATTAGGCATGCCAGCATTGTCGAAAAAGGAAAATCAAATGTGATGAAGAACAGCCGAAGTGCACCTCATGCGTTGAACGAGGTGAGGAATGTGTTTACAGGGAGCTTCCGGAACCTCCCAGGTTTGTTATTCCCGAGGGTTTCAACGCACTCAGTCAATGACTAATACCAATGGATTTTGTAGGAGACTGCAGCCTGTGTTGGATGCAATCGATGCTCAACATAGCAAGACCTTATCTCGGATTAAAGAGCTGATTACCATGAACGAAAATATCAATGCTGACCTTGAAGCAACGGGGTTCTCTACGCAGATTTCATACCTGACTGGCCTAGTGACTGAGATCCACGAAGCCTGTATACAGCAAGCTTGCTTTAAAGTAGGCGTGAAAGAAATGCATTGGAAGGGATCTATTTCAATTGAGCACGAGGCCGCAGCGCATAAGCTCTTGAAGTTGCCTGCAGTTCAAGAGCTACTTGGTTCTCAGTACGATGAAGATTACGCAATGACACTGGAAGAAGAGAGAGGCCCAATTTGTCTTTTCAGAAAAGGCGAGAACTGTTTTTCGGGAAACGCGTCATTGGGTAGCCATGAAACCGGCTCTGGCTACTTGAATCTCGATGAAGGGACGGCTCGGAGATATTTCGAAATCTATCTTGACCGAATACATGAACTGCATCCCTTCCTTGATAAGCAGGAAGTCTCAATCCAGCTTGATGATTTCATTAAGTCTTACTGTACGCGGTCTCTGGTGGAGCACTTGAATGCCCCCCAGCAAAAGCAGCTATTGCAAGTCGGTACGACCGTCGAGAACGCTCGCATACTCATGTTACTTGCCCTTGGGGCAATATGTGAAACAGGTCCAACTCTCTCAGATGTGGATACAGAAAAAGAACCTGATTACCGGCAGCAATACATCCCCAAAATCTGCAAGTTGCCATCCCCCAGCCATCCTACTCACTCGAATTCCAACAAATATAAAGCTTTCCCTGGTTTGAAGTTATACGGACATGCCACAGCAATCCTGGGCTATTTTCAAGGGGGGGCCGAGTTATGTCATGTTCAAACGTGCTTGCTTGCAGCGCTCTATAGTGGTCAATTGGCCCATCCATTCCAAAGTCACAGTTGGATTCACCAGGCAGCTCGGGAGTGCCAAATCCTTGTGCGCCAGTATGTCTCACTGTGGAATTCTTTTACTCGTCTAAACTAATAGTGAATATTGTTATCTAGGTCACGATACCAAAGGATGGAAGAGGGTCGCAAAAAGGACATGTATAGCTTTGCCTATTGGACAGCTCTGCAGCTTGAGTGGTTGGTCTTCATACTAATTATCATTTACTTGATTAACCATTAATGTTTGTATAGTGATATTCTAGCAGAGCTCGATATCCCAGCAAGTGGGCTCCTGCAGATTGATAGCAGAATACCAACACCAAAGGGAATTTTCACCCTTGCATCCTCTGCCGATGATCGAATGATGAGAATCCACTCTACGCAAATCTATCTTTGCAAATTGCTCAACAATATTTTTGCTGAACTGTACAAGGTTGGAGGTCAGTATAGTTCCTATTTACTAAATTTTGATCTTCTTTACTGATTATATCTTAAAGAACCAGCACAGGATAGGAGTCAAAGCAACTGGTTAAGAATACCAAACATCCTGAGCGAGGGCCTTGAGGCTTGGCGCACGAGTCTTTCTGGTATTATTATCTGGGCAGACTGCGACCCTCCTGCAAATGAAATCAAAGATGCTTGTATGAGAGGTAAATACTACAGAGCTCGGTATCTTATTTATCGACCCATTTTGTGTCAAACTTTGAACTTGAGCGCAAAAAGCGCAAGCATGAAACTAAGTGATTTACCTTTGGCGCTGTATCATGCTTGCGAGGCCTGTGTTAATTCGGCGATATTGAGTATCCAAGCCTTTGATGGAATTGACGACCAACTCATTGTCCCTGATATTTTCAGTACTTCCCATGCGTAAGTCTTCCTTGCAGGGAAAGAGATGTTGGAATGATAAGCTAATCCAAATCTAGGCAATTTGGTAACATGCTGATCCTTTCAGCGACCTATATGTCCTTTCTTTCTCACCTTATTCCGCGCACTACTCTTGATCATCTACTTCGCCGTACAATCAGGTTTCTCCTACGTAGCAAGAACATATCCCCAACCCTTCGAGCGGACGCTCGAATCTTGACAGAAATTCATGAGAGGATTTTTAGTCCCAAGGCCCCCTCGATGTTTGGCCCGTTTAACCCAGAATGATTCTATTCTTATATCAGTTCTTTTTTTCTTTGTTGACCGCTCTTTGCCTCGTTTTGGTTTTATGTGAAATCTTCATCTGTTCCTAAGTTATCTCTATTCTTAGAGCCTCTGTTCGGTATTTTTATATGTTTATTCTTACTTTTATCTATGGGTACTTCTATGTATAATGTTGGATTGAGCCAATCGGGCCGCGTCCTAGAAATGGAACGGTTCATAGTGGAGAGGGCAACGCTGTTCTTAGAGGTGCACAGGTTGATCCAGCTTCAATAGACCGAAATCCCACTGACAATTCTACCGTCGTAGACGCCGGGATTGACCTTAGGAATACAATCAGAGATGTCAGGGAGTACGTACTCGAAAGCATTTGAGACCTGCAATCTTGTACGAATAGTGCCATAACGTGACATAAGAAAAAGAAATACGGTATGTATTGGTGGGTATGATACGTATGGGAGATCGCTCCCCTCTACAAACGGTAATTACCAGAACGTGTATTATTGAAGTGTCCAAAACAGACGAACAAAATGGGCTGATTGGGTCTAGTGTGATTCGAATACCCAAAGTAGCTGGGCCAAGAAATCAACTCCCTTGTCGTGCACACCCCTCTCCTTGTCCTGCACCCCTCTCCTTGTCCTGCACCCCTCTCCTTGTCCTGCACCCCTCTCCTTGTCGTGCACCCCTCTCCTTGTCGTGCACCCCTCTCCTTGTCCTGCACCCCTCTCCTTGTCGTGCACCCCTCTATCCTTTCCACCTGCTCTCCATTATCTCCTCTTTTCTTAAGGCCTATTCTTATTGGCCGGAGAAGTGTAAAGAGTTGCAGCTTGGGTGTATAACTGCATATATACTAAACAATGACAGGTGTGCAGATCTTGATTCAAGTCGACGGTGAGAGTTTCTATTGGCAGCAAGGATTCGGTTGCCTCCAAAGCCGAAATCAAAGCAGCCTTGAGCGATTACTCACCCTCTCCAAGGCGTTTACTCACTCAATCGAGTGGGAACTTCTGAGTGCGGATCAAAAGGAGAGACCCAACGACGCATTACAGGCATGCTCAGCTCGCCTTTTGAGCAACGCGAAGAAGATCAATGACGATGGGCTGGGATCTTTCGGCATCCTTCCAAATTCAAAAGAGGAGAAGAATTTCATTTCAATCGTTCAAGAGATAATGCACCCGACAAATACGTGCCAGGGGACAAATAGATATCATGAATCCGCATATTGGAATACATTACGGCTGATAGCTGAATACACGAGCCTGGCACATGTCTTTCTGGTGGTCCACTCGTTGTCCAAGAAGATGTTTCGGAAATTGGGTGTGAATGGACTTTCCAAGTTGGTTCAATATGTTTCGGAAGTACGGGATCGACTTTTATGCCCGGCTCTTCAGGAACAGGTCGCTCATATTCGATACGGTAACTCTCCCAAGATCATATCAACAGAGATTCAATTGACCTTTTCAAGGGCGGACCTCGTCGAAATTGACCGATCCGGGCCAAGTTCACACGACGACGACCACAGAAAGCGCAACCCCGGATCTCATATATGGAGGGGATGTGCAGACGGTTTCGCTTGAGAATTCATCTGCATTGTGCAGCCAGAGAAACGTGCTAGGTCTGTCTTTCTCCATGTATAGCTTTGACTCTTAAACTGATATCAATCCTCAATATCAGCGTCGGTAACGGCTGCTGAAACATCGCCTTTGAAAAGAAAGCGAGCTCCAGATTGTGCTTTCACTGCAGGTCTCAATAATTTGACGACTAATATTTTCCATCGACGAAAAAGTATGCCTCCGGGAGTTTCGAGTCTCTTGGAAATGAATTGCTCACCAGGATTTCTAACCTCGATGCATCTTGGCTCACTTCAAACTGGTCATCTTGACCAGAATGCAATACAGCTTTTGGGTATTTTCTCATGTATCGGTAATGGTCTCCCGGCAAATTTTTTTGAACGTGCCCATAACAGTCTTATCTGGGGTTCCGATGGACAGCCGCTTTGCCCTGGGACAGGCGCTCCAGAAGACCATGAGCGAATACTTCGTCTTCTCATAGAATTTGGGCTCGTCATACCTTTACCAAACAACGGCGGCGACACAATAATGATTCATCCTGAGGTACCCCGGCTTCTATCCAGCTTCAGCAGTGATGATGAGAGAAACGAATGGAAACTTTTAGCCATCAATGCCGTACTTCACGCCTACCCCAAGGATGCCCAGCTGTCACCCGTTGAGTACGCTCGAGACTTTCAAGCAAATGAATATTGCTGACAGACAAGAATTAGCTATACAGTATCTGGCGCTTCGCTTATTCCAACTCTCAGTCGTGCTCTATCTTATATGATTGAGACCGATTCACCCTCACTGGATCCTTCGATCTTGACACTTGCTGTTGACGCTTGCCTCTCCGCCTCAAATTTCGGTGACAAGCCATGGAAACTGGTAGCTGTAGAATATGCAAAAGTCTTCGCCAATGAGTTGGATTCGAGGGTCATCAAATGTCGTATACAACTCCGCGAAGCCGCCATCGCCCGCTTATACAATCTCGAATCTATGCCAAGTACCGAGGACATCAAGATATGCCGAGTCGATAACCGATCCAATGCCGATTTTGGTAGACTGGTCGTCCTCCGAGCGAGGTTGCAAATTGAAAAAAGGGTGTCAACCGAAGTGGTAAACCAGACACTTGATCAATTCTGCGCATCCAACCCAATTTCCGATTTGGAAAGATCTGTGCAACTTGACATTGACTTCCTTCGGGCTAAACTTCTAAGGTTTCAGGGAGAGTTTGCTCTCGCGAAGAGTCTTCTTGTGGGCCATATGCAAGCTTTCCGATACCGGGCAGTTAACATGATCACGATCCACTACTTTGAGACCCTTTGCGAAGAGGGTCACCCGTCAAAAGCAGTAGAAGCCCTAGAATACGAATATAACGAGCTTCGGAAACGAGAGAATGGCCAATCAGGAAGCGGGAGGAGGCTGACACTGGCTCTAGCCGGAAGTTGCTTAATGAAATATCTGTTGGACAAGCATTCAGATGCTGGTTCGTTAGAAAAATCTGAGCGTTTCTTCACAAGTATCCGATGGACAACAAAACAAAGTCTCATCACAAAACACAACTACTATGTCGCTCAGGCTAGCCTCGGTATGATTTACCTTCTAAAATCCGACTGGGAAGGATCCCTGTGCCATTGGAATAGAGCTTTGGAAGCGGCTCGAAACTGTTTCTCTCAGATTGGTCACGCAGAGATGGTGACGCAATACGCCCAATGTGAAATCCTGCACAGACTTGGTCGCACTTCAGAAGCCAAAATGAGGGAGAATGCTGCGAGGAATCTTTTTAAGGAACACGGACGGGGTTATCATTTTCTCGGGCAGGGTACCGCTTGGCTTGATCAACTCAATATGCTTGCCGAGGAGGCAGGAAGACCAGCTATTGCAGTGTAGGCACATATATAACAAAAATCGCAAATCTGGCAACGACGCAATAGGCCTACGGGGTAATTGAGCGTGTATTATCTGCTATAAACATAGGTATTATTTCCTATATTACGACGCGTTTAATTGTTCAAGCAGAGCTTCTACCAAGTACAAACTTCCTATGGCCAAAACCTGGGCTCCTGAACCAATGTTTTTGGTCCTATCGATGGCATCGCGAACATTTGCCTCCTTGTAGATTAAGCTTGAAGGCCATTGCTGTCTCTGTCTCCAAACTTCGGCATAATCATCCAGTCGTTCATTTGTAATGCTGAAACGAGCATCGGCTTCGATTTTTTGCACAAAAACAGCATGCTGGATAGGCCCCAAAAAACTTCCTAGTTTTTCAAGTATTCCTTTCCAGTCACGGGTTCGAGATGGTGAAAAGTGAGCAAAAACAAGGACTCGAGGACCACTAGCACTGTGTTAAAGTAGTTACAGTCAAATCGCTTGATAGGAACTTACTTTTTGTTTGAGAGACGTTCATACCACTTTGCCGCAAGCTCTATGCTGGTTTCGTTGTGTGCTCCATCCAAATACCAAGTAGAGCATGCAAAATTGATGACGCTGAACCGTCCAGACCAGCTGTACTGATCAATCCCGGCATTAATGTCATCCTCGTTAAGTGAGTGGCCCTTCCTCTGGAGGAATGCATAAGTGATTTGCGCAGCCAAAGCGAAATTTTCTCGTTGCTCAAGAGGTATCCTTTTCAAAGTATCATCACTGATGAATTGAGAGAGTGTGGCTGTGATATTACTGATCAAGTGAAGGGGCGCTTTTAACTCTTCTGCACGGTGCCTTAACTCATGCTCTGCTTCAGATACTTGTGGAGCAGAAAACGCGGAGACATTCTCTTTGAATATGCCACCCTTGTGCCAGGCAATGTTTTGAATAGATCCTCCTAGATTATCGACATGATCCATACCGATCCTGGTTATGGCAGTGATTATGGGACGTTCAATGAAGTTGGTCGCATCGAATTGCCCGCCATGATGCGCTTCACATATGACAACATCAACGCCTTCTTGAATGAAATGATGAAAAGCTACCACAGCCATCATCTGGAGAAATCCGGGTTTCCTTGAGTCAGGACTGGAATGATTTGTGCCAAGAGAGAGGCCCTGTTCTACTTCAACGATGCGTTTGGTCAAAATCGCATCTGAGATCGCTTGAGAATCGATTCGGATTCTATTATTCGGTCTCAGACTTGGTGATGTATAAAGACCAATCTTCCTGCGGACTCCACTTCTGTTCGCGTTTTGGCGTAGGAAGCAATCAACAAGCGCACATGTACTGCCTTTTCCTTTCGTTCCGGCCACGTGAATGACGTTCAGCTGATTGAGTTGTTCCGCCTGTTTTTTATAAGCTATGACCATCAATTATGACAAAGGGACATACTTGATACCCAAGTTTCAATAGCCAGTCTTTCATGCCGTCGACAGGTGGTGAGCCCTTCAAAGCAGTATTGTTGGGAGCAATTGGATGGGTCGACGACAACGTTGTTGCCACTATTCCAGATGGAAATGGCCGCCGGTATTTTTTGAGTAAATCTATAGAGCTAAATCTGTTGGCGTCCTGTATACCAAAAATAGTAAAGGACTTACCTCATTGTTTATACTCAAAAGTGTGATGGAGTTGGTGAGTGCAGGATCTTAAATGGTTGGTTGCTACCGGACTGGAGAACGCCGGTATATTAGTTAATCCGTAGAAGCAAGAAATAAGCGGGGGTTATTCATACATTCACTAGAAAAAGGGTTGCATCCGCTCTTCAACCACTCATCATGCCACCTAAACTCCACAATATGCTTGAAATTCAATCAAGCCGATGAGCGAATCATATTCGCTATCAATTTATGGAAAATGACAAATTGACATTCGTCCACGAGCCTGCACGTCGATTTGTCTTCTCCGCCTATTCATTACCCTCAGCTGGGGCTGAGCGACCTTGCTGGTGACTTGGCTGTGACGGGACTTATACTTATTCAAAATGGGGAGGTCCATCATCCGCTTCGACCAAAATCTATATTTTTTTTTATATTCGCTATTAGAACTTCATCTTCGGACTCAACTACTCTAGACCCACATCGCCTGCCCTCCACGCGATGGCTTTCCAGATTGGCTGGATCTGCTCCCTTCCGATTAAGGCTGCCGCCGCCGCCGCATTCCCATTGGTGCCGGACTTGGGAGTAGTGCCAGTATCTATGTCTGTTTGAGCACTGCATTGCTCCAAATTCATGTTCTTGCCGGACCTTATCCCTATCAGCCTTACAAGGAGGTGGCACAGATTGAGCATATCAATCGCTGGGTATTTGTGGGCGAATTATGCGTATACAGAGATCCTAGTGGAGTTGATAATACTGTTTCGATAGGTGGAAGGCCTGTGATGTTCCAGAGAAATGATTCGGGTCACCATCTGTCACTCGTCCTACCAAATTTCCGAAATTACATCTTCTACACGTCGACACTCGAGAGTCGCAATCTACTTCTATACAAGTTGAAAAGGCAAAAACACTCAAACTCAATCACCCCGAAATCACAGAGATTATTTTGGATGGGATTGGTAAAGTGGCAACATCTGCACTGGATCTGCGTTCGTCGGCTGATCGTGACAATGGCTGTTCAAATGCTGTTGAAGAAATCGGAACCTTGATTGGCGTCAATCATGGGTTCCTGGTATCTTTGGGAGTTTCTAATCCTCGCCTAGAAGGAGTGACAAAGACCATATTAAGTGCGAAATATACGCTACCCAGTATTTGATTCAGTTTCACACTGTGGGTCATGATACTTCGCGTAATGTGTATTGGCGCTGTCAAGGTTTTAGGGAGCTCATGTGCAGCGTACACACACACATACAAAATTCATTAACGCGCGGCAGCTAGGCCGAAAGGACAAATATCACGGATCTAATGTAAATGTTCAAAAATATATGCCGCGTCTCCTTAGATGTCATATATAAAGCAGTCTTAGTATATGTCTTCTCATTTGTTCATATCATAAGAATCCTCGTGGGTTGGTAAGTTTGGTGGTAGAACTGGCTTGAAGGCGCTTCTTCAAGTGTCCAGCATCCTTTTTTCCAGCAATTGAATTTCAGTCGGGAGAAAGGGGTTGTCGAGTCGGCCCGTTACAGTTACAAACCGTACTGAGGCTCGTGTTATTTTCAAGTTCGGCGTCCAGTTCTGATCATCTGGCGGCGATTTCCGCCCAAGAAGAATGATATGTTGCCTCGATGGGGTGTCGGTACATCGCAGCCGTCTTGTCCGGTGTGCCGTCCGCTTCAACATGCATGCAGGACGGGCGTTTCGGCAAAACATATTTCCGAAGCGCGTCGTGTCGATCGCGCCGCATTACCTTGTCCACTGCCCTTTTCAAATTCGTGCGTTCAGTCACGAGCATCATGCATTCACAAGGCACACCATGGCTGCTAATCATCGAGCCGAAATCATAAAAGCCCATATTATCGGTCATGGACTCGATGCCTGGAGCACATCATTCGACTCGATCTGTGCCGCAAGAAGCCTATCTGCGACAACTGACGCATTCATTCATCTCATGCAAGAAGGGAAGGAGCACTATTATCCTCATTTGTATTTTCATATCTAATTTAAAGATCTAACAGACATCGAAAACATCCTGCTTGATCTGTTGTTCGCCTTGCGAAACGTTTCGACATCTCGACTTCTTCCATCGAATACAAGTCATGGAACTCTTCAACATGATCTCCAAAAGTTGATATCCGCGGTTGCCTCCGAAACGTTCGATCTCGCCCATATATTGCCTTTATTAAATGCAGTCGTTGCGCGCAAGCCTGATAGCGATACCTAGGAATGCGTATATAACGCAGTCACCGAGCCCACTCCTCCCCACGATCCCTTGTGTCCTCCCTGTAGCAAACACCATGGATTCACAAGACGAGTTGCTTCGCCAATTCTTCCAAGTATAGAGTTCTTAGATCAGAATTGGGGTCTCTGTACGTTGGACTCTCTGGTTTCTGATCCAATTTTTTGGTAATATCGATGGCCTTGCGGCAGCATCCGATGCGGTCTTTAAAAGATGCACTGAAGGCATTCAGCAGCATATTACCAAATCAAATCCATCGATGTATCGTCGTGCAAGATTACAGAAAGCTCATTTAGAAAGTCAGCACTCATGCGGCCTTGCTTGCGGCTTTAGACGGATATATTACTGGACATCAGTCTCTAAGAAGCGCAGAAATCCTCTATCAAGATATCTCTATCAACAATCTCTTGATCAATAAGGACAGGGATAACCCTTCATGGCCATCGTTTCTGATTAATCTTGATCTGGCTATCAAAGAATAACGTAACGGGGTCTCAGGAGCTAATGGCAAGCCCGACACGAGAGCCTTCATGGCGATTGGCTCACTTCTGGGCGAGAAGCATTCCTTTATGCACGATCTTGAGTCGTAATATTTTGGATATGCATCCACTATGAGGGGCCTGGAAATGGGAGGACAGTTCCAAGATTTGCCAAGTGGAATTACGTGGATACAGAGGAATTACCTGACTCGAAAAAAGGGGGCCATTTCTGACCAGAGGGACTTCCTGAGGTCCGCGAATGAGCATTTTACAGACTACTATCACCCACTCATTTCATGCGTCAACAGTGGAACCTTTTGAATTGAATTAATTACATACAAGCAGCGAATAAGAAGTAGCAGCACGCAAAGAGCTTCGCTGATCTCCTAAGTTTCATAAACAATGGTCATGGGGAATTCACTGTTAGTGGTTCCGTAGACCCTGAGTGTGGTTGGGCTGACGGCGGTGGTCGATGCTGGTCACGCATGGGCGGACTGCTCCTGATTAGTGCCTCGCCGTCTCCATACAGAACTTGAGCTTTCTCATCCTGAAGCTGAGGTCCATCAGAGGAAGGATTTGGGTCCCATCCAAGCACGGCTGATCTCGCCGACATCGTTGACATAGGGTCTGAATAAGAAATTTCGCCATTTTTGATCAACTCGGGTGTCGTTGGCCTTGGTCTTGGCCGCTCATTAGGCTCCCTTGAAGCTGGTCGTTTACCAGTATCTTTTGCACCATGCACCGTTTGACCGACCTTGTTGACATGTGATTGTAGCTGATCCCAGTCAATGGCTAAATGTGAGCTCAAAATCTCCATGACGGCCCTAGGGCTAGCTTGAATGTTTTTCCGCAACGACTGATCCGAATAGTCGAAATTTGGATTTTTTTTCTGGCCCTGCAGAGTCTGAGCTGCTATCCGAAATGGCCCAAAATCTGCCCACCTCTAGGACAACGCGTTCCGTAAGACCAAAGTGCTTTATAAGCGACATCATCTGTTCACCTATCGTAACCAGTTAATACATGGCACCTGAGAAAGATAGAGAAGAAGCCAATCCATACAGTGCTTGTGCAGGTTGTAGAATCTTAATGCTGGCATATCCTTGAAGAAAGGATCAAGTTGCATAGGGCCCTCTGCATTGTAGACTGGCATCCAGACAATCCGTTGGTATAACGATCGAATCTTGCTATTTTCGCGCTCAGCACGACGTGTTTGTTCCGCCTCATCAAGCTGCTGAAAGATCTGATCCAGACAGTGCTCTATCCTTTCTGTCCTATCTTCCAGCTTATTGAGCCGTGCTTCCAGGGGTGAGCCCTGGGCGCTCGTACGGTGTGGATACATGGCGTGGTGCGGTGATGATCTCGGGGAAGTTGAGTTGCGTATCGTAAGTTTAGATGTAGACATATCGAAATGGAAGGATATGGGCCCTTGGAGGTATCGACCAGTTGTTGGTTGTTGTTATTATTGTTGATGCCCAAGTGTCGCTGCACAGATCGAAGGAAGTCAGTGGCAAGCTTCGGACTATTATGTATCCGGTCCTGATAAGAATTCCCGGAGTGGGGAGCCTGAAGGAACGCCTCACCAAAATACCAAAATGAAAAAAATAAACAAGCTGATGATGATCTAGGCTGCAGGAGAACTGAACCTAGGAGGGAGAAAATGATTGATGATCATATAATCTCAGCGATTCAGCTAACTATTACACAGGTAAAGTTCTCTACAAAGCTCTCCGCGAAGAGCTTTGGTCCAAACACCAGTCGGGTCAATACTGAAATCCCGGCTCAAATCGGCCTGAATTGTAATTGGCAAACTGCATCGGAAAGTGCGAGCTTGACATGAAAATGAAGGTATTCGCTGCCGTCGAGGTTGAAACTCGGGAAGGGGCATACCGGGCTGCAGGGCTGATCACACTTCTCGCCACAAGCATTTCTGTGTTCTCATTTTTTTCAAGTGCTAGTCAGATGTATCGATAAGAGTATATGATCGACATCACTGGACAACCCTCGGGAAAAAGTGAATTCTCTTGTATATATATACAACACACGCTACACACACCTACTTCACGTGAAGCAAATGCTTCGAATATCTGGATTATATCGGAGCCCTCGCATTTTTGCCATATGCCAAAAACACGACATGTCTGTCAGCTGCCCCCGCTTCCAATCTCATTTGACATGTTAAACTCTAGCTCCCTGGCTCGCTTTTTGAGCAAATCGTTCTGAAACTCTTTAGTATCTCTCTCCTGCATAATCTGCTCAAAGCGGGCCTGCATGAGAGCTTTGTCTCTGGCGCATCCGTGCATCATGCGTATCAAATTCTGGTTCTCTAGTTGCAGCTTGCTAAACTCATGTTGAATCTTCATTAGAGACATCTCAAATCTGACTTTTCTTTGAGCGGGATCTGAGACTGAATGAGCACGAAATTTGAAATCTTGTTATTATTTACCTTACTGCAGCCGGTTTGCTCGTGCTGATCACAATATGGATATGATTGTATATCCTTTCGGTGACATATGCTGGTTTTGTAGAGAGCTTCTGGTGGAATTGATGATATAAGATTGGAAATTCGGTCCGGAGTGATACTGTCGATTGGTGAGTTCAAGGACTGAGGACGTTGACGAAGATTCTGAGAGCTTGGGAAAAGTCACTAATTAATAGTTAACAAGACTATTCTCTTGCAATGCTCTCTACTTTCATGGAATTTCTGGTCTAGATGTATAGCCTTTTAATGCCCAGATTTAAGCTTTTATATGATGTATAGGTTGCCTTATACTGTATCTTTTGGTGACCACATGCAAATCCTGGCTGTTAGGATCCGCATGTGGTCACCCACCATACTACTCTTCAGCCCGTTCAGGCCATTTGCCCTGAATGCCCTGAACACCACTATTTGACACCTGAATACACCTGAATACACGAATACCCCGCATATGCCTGAAGTGCTGACGTGGCCTTCCCCTGCTTATGATGATTTCTGCCTCCAGGCTCCAGGTATATTGGGCGTGTTATCACTGTCATGACTGTCTGGTCTAGACTGGGCTACCCTTGCTATGGAGGCTGTTCCTGTCTCCAGGAATATCAATACTCCGGGTCTAGATTGTATCTGTCTTGGCATTAGGGTTCGAGAAAGATTCGAAGAGTGTAGGTAGGTGCACCAGTTTCGGGACGTACTGTAAAAGAAGTCGCAATGATCTCTCTTTCCTACCACTTACAGCATGCCAAAGAGCTGTGCGACCATTGAAGTCCTGGTAATTCACGTTGAGATCTGAATTGAGAAGGAGAGACTCAACGAGTCTGGTGGAGTTATGATCACTGAATTTCCGGGCAGCCAACAATAGGGGGGTGTCGCCTCCGAAGTTAGGGTAGTTCACATTTACCCGCTAGTTCTGGACCAGGATTTGAACGGACAAGTAGTCCTCTTTGCTAATAGCAAAATGCAGAGGGGTTTGCCCAACATTATTCTCCACGTTGAGCTCTACTCGCGGATCCAATAATAGCAGTTGAAGAATAGCATACTGGCGGTGCTCTATAGCATACATGACTGCTGTCATGCCGGCGGAGCAGCGATCATTGACATCGATATCCGTTTGCTGGAGTAGCTGCCTGACTATGGCGACCGTAGTATCATAGGCAGTCGCAACGGAAAGAAGACCGCGGCCTCTGAAGTCACAGCAATAGCCAACATGTGCTTTGTGTTTGAGGAGCAAAGCCACCGCTTGTGGATACCTCAGCTCAATAGCCAGAAGGAGAGTTGACTTTCCACCGTACTCGGAGTCTACACTCGCACCATGTTGAAGGATCAATCGTTCTGCAATATCCAGTCTCTGATGTGAAACAGCACGGTAGAGTGGCGGCATTCTCACAGAGCCAAGACAACGACAAAGTGCTGTTGTAACAACTGCATATGTTTTTTCTATGGAAGAAGCATAGATTGAATAGGGAGGGCTTGTCGAGATATGCACAAATATGGTAAAGCAGCGCGGCTGGGAGTTGATGAAGCATATTCGATGTAGATATTTGTGGAAGTTTTATAACGGGTTAAAAAGGACGAGGACAGTGCAATGAAGCTTCCATTTATATGTTTTCGTTGACCCGCATATAAAGTAGACCAACGTAGGTCCCAGGAGCACTTTAATCTGAGGAAACTCAAGCTCCTCACTAACTTCATGGGCTATGTGTTGAATTGGGGTCCAAATTCTAGCAGCTCACCCCTTCATCATGATAAGCAATATGTTGGACGATTCCGTTTGAATCGTACCATGCGGCGATAAGCCACCGGTCCTGGGAGATAGTTCACAGGCATTGTCAAAATGCTTTGCTAGAATCCAGCATCTGAATAGGGCAAGAGACAAAGATGACAGTCAGACCTTGCTACTTAGCACTTTCAGGAGCCCGATACATACTTACGAGGGTGCTATAATGCTACAATGTTGGTTTCCTGCCTGATTTGTGAGGTCGGGAGGTATAGCAATGTGCGGGCTGGACTGAATAAACCGTCACTTATGAGGTAACTGGCACAGATGATGGGTCTTTACATACGCATGCCTTGAGAAACTGAGGGCTAGGCGGCCACACCATTTTGTTCGGTCTCGGGATAGAATCCAGAAGCAAAATGTGTAATGTGTTGATTGATCACCGAAGTTATTTTCAGTGACGGTGATTCATTAATGTTTGGTGAGGCTGAACGTTGAACCATGAGAACGAAACCAAAAAAGAATAACCCACAAAAATCACTTTTTAACCTTCATACAAATTATGCAAGTTCTCTTCTCTTGTAAATTATTTCTTATGCAAGCTCTGAGATCGAATTGCCAGCAGCTTAGCACCACCATGGAATATGTTTGGAATGGTTCGTATGGCCTGCCTCTGCAAGCTACCTTTGCTGACAACGTATTAGAAAATGATTTTGATCTGGATCTCCACCAGATCTGGGAAGAGTCTGATCTACCAGCACCGCCTTCGTGTCTTGCGACAGAGTTTGACGAGACCAAGCCCGAAAGCTCGCATGCGGAAAAGACCATGGCACATCGTGCGCAAGATCCCATTGTGGAATACTTATTCTACTCCAACACCAAAAGCAATCATGCTTTCCGGTGGATGGGGCCGAGCCCACTGCTTCTCTCGACAAAGTCCGAGGATATCTTCGTCTACATTTCAGCCTTCTTGTCAGAGAAAATAGGCTGGTTGGAAGTTCGCCTTACGCAGCTGGATCTATTTACCAGAGGCGTGGTGGACGAGCATCTGTTCTTCATCCCTCGGATAGAAACAGCGTCCTGGAAGTTTCAGCATATACGACAGGAGATACTTGACACTGTCTCTCATGCCACTTGCGTGATACTGGGCTGTCACTTTCGGTTATCCGTGTGGCCGCGCTTAGAGCCATTTCCGTACTCCGTTTCGTCCACTCTATCTCCCTTGGCGGCATTGCCTACTACGCGTTCTCTGTATCCTTCGGATTTTGTATATAACCTTTAGGCTCACTTTACGTGACAGTTGTACACGCCTACTGTACAGTTTGTTCCGTCAATGGCAGACGCAAATTTCCTTACCAGTCCTCTATCCTAGAGATCAATATAAAGGCATATAATCTACTTATGTATATTGCTATAAATCAAGACTATTTGAGCTTTGTCGCCACTTGTCATAGAGAATTTGTATATTTCGATCCTCTATTTGAGATTCTTGCTAGTGGGTAGCTTGAATGGAAGCATCACCATAATGACAGCCCGGAAAACTCCTGAAATTCAACATTTCCTTTCCCGAGGCTCATATGGAGAGCGGAAAAGACAATTGTCCTATTGTCTTATTACATGACTGATCGGTGGAACGGTCACTCTTGCTGGGATCGTATCATTGCAGGCATACGTCTCTCCCAAGAGCACCAGAGAACCAGGTACTGCTCGACAAGATGGCCATCCTCATTCACCAGCCGCTTCGCTATAGTGTTAACGGGCCATTTACGACCGACCTAGTACTTGATTAGCTGAGCTCAGTCCATTTTATTATGCGTCATCACCTCATTGGAATAGGAACCATCTTGTTCGACACTAGGAAGGTGGTTTGTCCCAGAAAGACCTGACGCGCTGCTCGCGCTCCTGGATGGCTCTCCATCAGACATCACATACCAAAGATCCTCACTTGTCTCTGAGAGCTCGCCGGCGGCTTCCGTGGAGGCAGTAGACCGTGTCTGAAAGGATCCTGTTCCTTCGTAGTCACTGCACCATGACTGTACTTCAAATGCTTCGTTTCCGTGGTGAATAGACATCTTCAGCTGCCTCACGACGCAAATGCTGAGACAAGGATAAAAAAGACAAAAGGTGAATCCAGGAGGCTAGGATGGGTTCGATTTTCAAAGCAGCACAACACTGCAGTATGAGCTAGGACAGGCCAAATTCGATTGGCAAGGGTACTGGTTAAATATTATTTCTTCGTGAACGGAGTCGTTGCGTCATTGAAATCCCCAAGTCTTTACGATCCATGGTGATTGTTTGATACTGTACCGGGCTATGGACTTTTTGATTGGTAACCTTTGGTCTTGACAAAACGGACGTCTTTTGAAGCCGAGATGCGTAGAGGTTCAACAAACACTGTTGAATCATGTCGGCGTGTTGACACAAGCCACTTCCACCTCAAAATAGACCTACAGCTGCTTCACCGATGGTCGTTCTGATGCCCCTATATGGAAGTCTACGAATGGCGCTCTTTCCCCGCTGGATCAACGTCCCTGATTCAACATGAAAAGTCACGCCACTACGCCCAGCAGTCAACTGGCGGTTGTGTGTGAATCCCCAAGCGACGACGCTTAGGACAGACAACCCTCGGTCTGCTCATAAATACAGACCTAAATTGTTCGAAACTCAAATTCCTGGCCGTCATATGCTATATCAATCGCATCTAATCATTGTTCCAATCAAGCTGCGGCTATCAACTCCTTTCGAAAGTTATCTTACTGCGGGTCTATATCACTTATCGACATCACTCGTTCGACATAATTCAAATGAAATATGCAGCGAATTCTGAATTCAGCGCAGTCTCAACATGGACTCACAATGGCAGTTACGCCATCGCTTCACAAGACATGCGAGGACAAGGATGTCTTAACGCAGCGAAATACTCTTTTGACCGACAATGCTAGTCCAGCATCGGTGGAAGGTACCGAATTCAGTTTTCCTGCCGTGGAGACATTTCCACTTAGGAGATATCCAACATCGGACGAAAGAGGCAATCTACATGGTCACTGTTCTTGGAGCATGAGCTGTCCGCTCTCCAGGGACTGCGAACAAGGTAGACTAGGCGTCTTACATGTACCCTGCCCAGACTGGAGTGCACACTGCCATCCACCACTAGGGCTGGTCGCGCCTCATCTGCCTCCAGAGTGTTTCGGCCATATGCATCAGGTATTCGGAGCCTGCTCCAGCTCAGGCCTTTACTGTTGCAGCATCTTTCAAGGATGCAATACTCGAGACCAATGGGGATCCAGTGTGTGCGTTTATGAATCCCCGTCGGTTACTCAAAGCTCGCTTGATAACGACCGCAACATGTCAGGTGCTTCAAGGAATACGCACGAGCTGACTCATGATGGGATTCCCCACAAACCGTTTGCTTGCACTTTTACGGGCTGTCGTAGCCGCTTCAAACGCCGGAAAGCCCTCGAGCGACACTCTGTGGTTCATCTCAGAGTAAAGCCCTATGCCTGCTGGGTACCTTATTGCTATCGAAAGTTCCAACGACGTGACAATCTGAACGCCCACTACTTGACACACGGAAAACGTGGGGGCCGGAATTTGTGCGTGGCCACTCTGGATCCAGCGAGTCCTGTGTTTGACACTGGCTATCGTGGTCGAATCACCCCAGAGGGGTGGCCATTGGATATTCAGTGGCCATATCCTGTTCCGAATTGATTACGCACTTTCTACCCAAATATGCAGGGGGAAATTCATCTCGACTGGTTGGAGATTTCCCATTTAGTGACTAATCGGTCACCTGACAAAAATGTGGCCAAGAGGGACATTGGAGCATTTTTTTGGTTTTTTCCCAACTTATTACATACCAAGGATAGATTGTTTGCATCATCAGCTAGTGAGAGAGCTTGGTCATCTTGTTCATATTTCGCATTCGCTCCGATATTCAATTTTCTCTCTTTACATTAAATTCAATTATTTGCTCTCGTCGAAACGCCGATCCAATCATCAAAACATCTCTTCTTGGTTTGCTAAGCCCATACTTGTTGATTTGCCAGACCGTGAAGGTAATTGTGAGATAATCTGATTTACGCTAGCCTTCATGTATCAATCATGAGATACAGGGCTGCTCGAAATCAGTTTCACTATGTTCTTTCATTTATTTAATTGAACCCTACTCGAAGATATATGTACGCCATACAGTACCGGATTTGTCTAGACTGTGGCAGCCTGCCTTGACTGGCTTCTAATTTGAGAATCATTACTGAACTAGACCCTTTTGAGAAATATATGGGTCAGGCCAAGACTTTGAAGAATTTCGAAGAAAACAGAGTGATGAAGCTGATTTCGAGCAACCCTGTATTGATAGACCAAGGAGACACAGCATATATTTTGGACATGTACATTAGATAAGTGATAGTTGCCCTTTCGGCTGAGCCGCCGGGCGTTAATGAATTGTGTGTGTGTGTGTGTGTGTATTGATAGACCACTTCAATCTTGGAGTTGATAAAACTGTTTATTGCATGCTACCGTCGATCTACGCAACTGAAAGCGCCCTGGTTGTGGGGGAAAATGTCGTTGATGTGGCTCCTTGAGAATGTGTGCAAGCATGTTAAATGTAGACCACCGTCTATCTGTTGACGACTCACGTTGCTTCGCCACTTGGGGTTCGTTGTTGATAACGTAGAGTCACCGATGTGGGCCATGCTCAGTTGATGGTCATGCCCAGCTTTGCGAACCTTGGCAACGGATGTCAACGATTGGTGAAGTCCATGCACCAAAACCTTCTTCCTATAAACAGAAATAAATGAGATGACCTAGCATTGAACGGCCTCACACGCCCGTAATTGGCCATTGTGTCTTTTAGATGGGTTGCCGAAAACTAGACTCGACTCTGGATATGTACAAGACATCCCGAGGAAGCTCTCTTTCCCCTAGCGCTCAGGGAACCTAACTGCGCTAAGTGGGTCGGGTTTCACCAAGCGTGTTAATCTCATGGCAATTTGGCAGTGGGGCCCGAGAAATGAAAAGCGATCAGAAGGGTGGAAGCTGTCTTCGCCATCGACTTTAACTGTATCTGAGGTAAATTGATAGTCTGTGGCCCTAAGCTGCTCAGCGTGCTGAAAAAGTTTAATATTTTCCTGTACTGTACTCAAGATGAGACGCTCTTCTAGGGGTGAACTGCGACCGGCAGCTTTGGCGGAAGCTGTAAGCTGGCCGCGCGAAACGGAAGAAGATAATAAATCAAGATTTCAGAGTCGGCTCAAGTCATCAAATAAGTACAAGATAGTCATAATGCACCAAGGGATCTCCAAACAGGAACCTCGTGAATTTGTGCGGCCCGCTTGATAACTTAATCTCAGGAGTCCAAATTCATTGCGACAATACCTTGATATGTGGTTCGCTCTAAGTTAGGGGCTTTGCAGTAGCTCCACACACATGGTGGCGTCTTTGTGGATACCCAGAGTTTCAAAATAGTACTTCCACTCTGCTTTTGGGACCAATACCTTCGCCTCCTTAATATGATCGCAAGCTTTGGCATAGTCACGTATCTGTAGAGTCTCCATTCTCAGTACCTGTGTCACTGCCCACCGCACCCTGCCTTCTCTCCCATCATGGTATTCAACGGCGAAGTCCATATATGGGCTGTGCTGCGCTGAACTCTCTATGTGGGATCCACAGAAAGCAGTGAACAGTTCGATATTGCGGAGGAGATCTTGGCTCAGTATGGATGGCTACCAGGGTCTCAGTGAACTGAATCGTCAAAATGTTTCTGGGAAGCTAAATTACCTGTGGCAAGTTGACAAGGCCGGCATAGGCATTCTCAAATTGCCTCCTGCGGACAAAATCAACAATAGGAGTGATACTGAGCAACTGATCCCGTAGGCAACCAACTAGCAGCTCCAACTTGTTGATCTCGTCCGCAGAAGAGCTGATGTAGCTTTCGAGTTCTGCAATTCTTTGGATGCGACGTCGATAATCCCGCGCGGCCCTCATGTTCTGTCGCCGCTTTTTCGCCGCAAAGTTTGAGCCAGATGAGTCAAATTCGACGGGTATCGCACTTTGCCCGTTGTCTTTCGGTTCCGGATCTTCGGGGTGAGACACAGAATGAAGGGAGCACATTGTACCAGTTGGAAGCCGTGCTGTACTGCTGCTTGGCATGTCCGATAAAATTAAATCTTGGATTGAACTGGCAAAGTTAGCTGAGCTCGGATACAAGGAACGATACCCACATCGAACGAGAAGGGTCGGACGAAGTCATTTTGAAGACAGTCTGCTAGAATGAAGATTGAACAATGGTTCCATCGAGAAAATATCAGAAGTTAAACGACTATTTATAATGGCCTGCGTCGGTTAGCTGCTTCTGACTATAGGCTTCCGCGGTGAGGGACCTTTCGGGCTCCCAGGATCTCCGTCATTGCCAATTAGACCCCAAAGTTTTTAGATAATGGTTTTGATCAATCATTGAGCTTAGCCGGTAAATGTTGGAGACATCTCCAATCAGATGCCACTGCGAATCCAGATGCTGAACAAAGTCGTAGTACTCATATAGATCCTAGGACTCATCGGGCTACGGAGTACTAACAATGTGTGCTGCAAGTAAGTATCTGGCTCATCTTATGTCTTGATTTACGAGTGCGGACACGCTCCCAGGAGCAAAACGGCTGATTTGGTCTAAGCCCGCACCTTTCCCCTTCTCGGCCCCAATCTCACCAGTCGGTCCAACCACGCAGGAAATCAGCATTGCAGCACCCTGTTAGTGTCAGGACTGACATGGAGTGTATACGACTAGTGGAGGAAGTGGACCCACATAGCGGATCTGGGTTCCCCTGAACGCGAGGAAGCTGTCTTCTTTTGCTTCCTCGCGCTAAGTCTCGTATCTAGAGTCGACTTTAGCTTTCTTTCATATTGATGGTTCATCAGGAAGACGCTCTCTTCATGAAAAGATACGTGAGACCCTCATGGTCAGGGGCCGGGTTCCTGGAAGCAGTCGTAGACCCCCTGGCATTCAGCGGACTGCCTGCGGGTTCGGCTCTACCTAACATGCATAGTAGCGACCGATAAAAGTCACGTGGCTCATTTTCCCGGAGTACCGTTGATAATGTCTTATTTTCGAAAGTCCCATTAGTTGCCAGCTCAAATCACATGATTCGACAACTAATACAACATTTCTCCCCCGACCGCCTCTTGCCAATCAAGCGTTTCCTCGGTCGTCATTCTGGCACATGATTATTCATCCCTCAATCTCAATTTTTTTGGTCATTTCAATGGGCGGCACAGAAATTAGAATGTCGAGCGGCCTTGGAAAGCAAGTTCCCATCCCTAAAAGACTATTATGATGATCTCAAAGGTCGATGCCAAACACTCGAGGGCAACGAAAGCATCAACTCCGACGCCATCATCGCGAAGCGCATAGAGCAGTGGGTGCTTAAGCGAAGGGGCAATGCGTTCACCTCGATGGTTACAAATGACCGCCCGGCATACATCTTTGATCAATCCCGCTACAAATACCATACTGCGGTTGACATCGACCGCAAGGAGATCATTCAAGCATGTGATGTGAACGGAGTCGCGGTCCATAGTCGTGAACGGACGATTCGCGACTTGAATGACACCGACATGATCGCTGGCGTCAATGCATCGAATCCATTTCAGAAAGCACAGGTCGTTCTGGATAACCCTGACGCGGACCGACTGATTGGAGAGATGATGATCTCTGAGAAAAGAGAATTCTTTTGGTGTTATCTTCATGGGTTGATGCACATATCGGGACTCGAAGTGACATTATTTGCAAGTTGCTTCTGTGGTCCCGATCTAACCATTGGAAGATACGGTGGCTGGCCATTGACAACAGAGGAAGGTCACAATGTACATATCAATATTTCTTGAGTGTAAAGCTGGCACTGTGATGGTGTCTCTGGCTGTGCGTGGTAATGAATTTAGTCATTCTTTGCCCTCGCAGAACAGAATGGACCACTTCTACGACTACCTGTTAATCGTAGATCAATCAATATGTATTGGCTGGAGAAGGCCTGAGGCTTACAGTACGTCCCAAAACTGGTGCATCTAACCAACTAGTTAGGTTAACTACCTGTAATCTTTGATTATTTCTAGAACCCTAGCTACTAAGCAACACTAATCCATATTAAGAATTCTTCCGGCCCACCCTTGCCATGGAGGCTGTTCCTATCTCCAGGGATATCGAGACTCCGGGTCTAGATTCTATCTATAATAGTGTGTCTTGACATTAGGGTTCGAGAAAGATTCGAAGAGTGTAGGTAGATGCACCAGTTTTGTGAAATACTCTAAAGCATTGTCGATACGTAGAGCATGAAAATCGGTAGGGAAATGATCTCATGAGACCCATGTAGATATGGACAAAGAGTGAAAAAATAAAGAGATCAGAATTACCTGTGAAATCCGTTCTCATATTCACATTTGTAGTATTTGAATCAAAGCTTACCACATGATCCTGGCTTTCCAGCCTATAGCTCCCATCGTCTGCAGTTTTGCCTTTTACAAGATAATCCACGACAGCTCCGAGGCGAATGCTAAGATCGTAGCTAATTTTGACGAGCTTTGCTGCATGCTCCAGCTCCTGGGTGACCCGTTCTAACCGGTGTTTGGTTGTCTGATGGTCTCGTAGAACTTTGGAGTAGGCTTTTTCTGCCTTGAATGCACGATTTTCGAGCGTGGCAATAAGATGAAGATAGTCCTAGTTGGGGATTAGAAAAAATCAAAGTTCAAATGTTCCCGATCCGTCCATTGATGTACATACAGTAATATTCGAATACAACAGCTTACTCACCGAGGTTTCCATGTCTCAATTCACCGTGTACAGTCAGGTACTCCAAGCTGAAGGCTATATGAGGCCAGAGGTTCAAATTATTTCGCAATATGTTCACCTTATATAGCTCTCAGGAATCACCACGCAGCTTGCAAACTCTTTATCTCCGTGAGTAGGGAAAATCAATCGTCTGATTAATCAGAGAACGCACTTTGTGCAAAAGTGGGACAAGAAAGCAAGAGAGAAATAGCTCGGTTCAGGAGCAATACACACGGTGAGGGCCACAGTCCCGTTCATCTTGAGGAATTGTATGGTTGCTGACATTTTCCGGTGCTAGAAGACACGTTACCTACTCGCTACCGAGATATCTCGGCCTCGCTGCAGAGCAAATGGCACTTGCACCCTCTAATGATCTGACCAACACTCATCAACACTCATCAACACTCATCAACCTTTCCATATTCAACTTCAGACGAACCAAGAAAATCTGAGGGCGAGGCACCTTTCTTGTCCCCTGATTACAGCCTGCGACATTTTTGTCATTCGATGGGAGTGTTTTGTTACTCATTCAACATTACTTTCGATGCGACAGACCGAGTCTAGATGGCTTGTCGTGGTAATGCCTGGAGCAAAGCCGATGGATGATTGGCGAGCCGCACATAGGCACTGCTTTCAATTCATGGTACGACTGCGTTGAAAGGAGACCATCTACTTGGCAAAGCCTTCCACGGTGAAGAACCTGCACTGCTGGCATCTGCAGCAACGTGTAGCGGAAGGCATAAAAGCAGTCATTTCGTCCGGTCTAATGTTTCTTTCTTCACACATTGCGGCAGCGGTGTGTCTCCTCTGGCCGACGGGCCTGAGGCTCCGTGACGACGGCTGTTGCTGACCTGAGCCCAGCAGCGTAAGAATGTGCTTCGCAGATTAGGTCCTGCGTGACCAAAGCTCCTCGCAGGATAGGCTCTGCGATACAGTATCAAGTGTGCCTCGCGGGGGGCGCTGCGTTACGAAGTGAACTCCGCAGGGGGACGCTGTGATGACAATTGATTCCCGCAGGAGACCGCTGCGTCAACAATTTCTCCGCAGCCTAGGGCCTGCGTTACCAAAGCACCTCGCAGGGACAACTGCGAGACCAAGAGACTCCGCAGGGACATCTGCGAAACCAAGTCCATCCCTCGCTGCCCTGAGCCCAGCGAGCGTATAATTTTGTGCTTCCATGCAGCAATGAGCCCTGCGTTATCAAATTTGTGCTCGATGTGGCAGTCTTTGGGGCCCCAGGCTGCCACAATCCCCTAGCGACGTGCAGGCACCTCTCCGTGGCGCTAGAGACTAGTAGTCACCCGTTGACCGGGTGGTGAAGCCAAGACCTGCGCATCACCCCGTAGCCGCCATGTGTGGATTCTAGACGTAAGACGAGTCAACTTAGGGGAAATGTTAATTGACCTTTTCCATTATTTTTCAAGCTGATCTTAGAAATGTTCATTCGTTGTTCACGTAGATTGTAAAATCGCGCAGTCAACGGGGAGTCAACATTAAAATGGCTTGGCGTGGACAAAGCGTCTACATGCCGTCTGTGTCTAGTTGATGCTTGTTGATGCTTGTTGATGCTTGGTGCTTGGTGAAGATTGGTGATGCTTGTTGATGCTTGGTGCTTGGTGAAGATTGGTGCTTGGTGAAGATTGGTGAAGATTGGTGAAGATTTGAAGATTGAAGATTGGTGATGGAGCGCGTTGATGACCATTCGAAATGACGGGAGTCACAGCCTCCGCTTATCGACGCGCTTAAACTTTGATAGATTCTCGGATCGCCCTGCTGTCAATCTGTCGTGTCCTGCTTCTCCTCTCCGTCAAAGTAAAAATGAGACCTGGACGTTCGTGCGTTCGGGTCTCTCGACGTTGAAATTGACGCGATACATTCGCCAAGACAACGCTGACCCACATAGCGCGTCTGCACCTACGACGAAAACTTTCATTGTTATTTGCCCTACTTTCGTGTCCTGTTAATTATGGCATTCTATGACTTATCGTCGAGGGCCGGTCGAAGCCAGCGTCATCTTTCTTTTTCTTTAGTTTGTTTTGTTGAACCTTAAATGCGGACACGAGATAATTTTTTGGCTAGCTTAAGGCGGTTTTCTTGATTTTGGCTTCTTTCCATTCGATGCTTTAAGAAAGGCTTACCCTAATTTCAAGAAGGATGGACCATGACAAGCGTTTTTGAAGGTTTAAAGAAGGAATCAAGGTGAAGCTGATGTCGAGGGGCCATGTACGATTCTTGCTTATAGGTACATGAGTGATCACGCATATCTGGAAGCAACATGCCTGACAAGCTCGCTTAAATTTAATGGCCCCGAGCCAATTCCGACGGCGCGGTCCCATGCCTCATTTGCACCAGCCTCAGACTGCGGCAGCGACCGCTGCTTGTGACTCAAGAAATACTATCGATCCTTAAGACCGTTGGGCTTCAATGTTTACGCTGATATGCAGTCGCTCTCAGAACTTCTCCAGCTACCCACGTTTGCCTCCATCTCTTCACCTTCTTGATGTTCCCGAGATACCTTCAACAAAGTCCTCGCTAGACGGGAATGACTTGAGACCCACCCTTCAGGCCGAGTCCCTCCCAATGTACCCATTTTGGCTAACTAATGAGTTTGCTTTTCCTTTCGATTGACAACTTTTGCTTCTATCTATACGCTGCTCGCTTGAACCCATTGTGCCCCTCGCTAACGGCCTTATCTTCATCATTTGCAACAAAGCCAGAACGATCCACTCGGGCGACTGAAGCACAGAGGCTCCAGCTTATTTCTCCATCATCCAGGGGCCTTCGGTCTGAATTTTTAGGAGCAAAAAACCTCAATTTCTTTGACCGCTTGGAAAAGCCTAATGATTCAGTACAAAAAGGTAATTCTGGGCATCAAAAGGTGCAATCGCCAGGGTCAGGGGGAGTGTGACTGAGCTTTTCAAGCTTGTCAACCCTCACGGCCTCTATGAAAGGTGCCATGACCAGATCACCGGGAATGGCACTTGTGATCATTGTGTTCTTGTTCCAGGCAAACTTAATTGCACATGATTCTGGGGACCAGGCAGAGGCGAAATGGCCGGTAGCCTAGCGAAGGCCTCTGAGATCGTGGTACACAGCCGGGCCGGGAAGAACTCCAGTCTCCTAGCTGTTATCATATTGAACCCTCTCTCCATTGGCCGTCTTGACTTGGTATCAAGACCTTATTTGGAGCTCAAAGCAGAGCAAATGAAAATCAGACGCAAGCTGAATAGCACTGACCTCAGAAATAATCGGCTAAACTTGCAAGTACGATCATTGAAAAAGTTTCACCACAGGCCTGGAGGCTGTCGGACAAGATAGTATCCAATGTGTTATGACGGAGAGTCATGAGACTTGACCATGGACATGTAATTCAGCATGGTGGCCCGATCACCGTCTGAGCAACCAAACTTTAGCGATGCGTTGGGCGCATTCTTCGTCGCATTTTCTCTATTCGTTGATTTGGATACGAGAACTCTCGACGGAATGTATGGCAGCTAACAAACGAAAGTGTTGCGGGGTTTGACATGTTGACCCATGTTGCTCATTCAGCCTGTCATCCAGAATAGATATCGCGAGGGGAGTCAAGACGATGGACAAGGCTCGGATTGAAGATTTTGTGGCTCATTAGTGCCCAGTGAATTCAATACACGTCCCACAATCACTGGCTGATCCTCATGAATTGCCATATCACTGGGATCAATGATGGATATGGTAAGCGACTGAATTCCCGATCACCCATTCTCGCGAGACTTTGCATAGCACAGGTTGTCGTGGATTCTGGATATGGAGACGAGATGAATCAATATCAATCAACTTCACTGGTCACCACATTCACATCAGTTGCTGGTCAAGTGCAACTCACCTCAATAGTACTATTTCCGAACCCCGACTGTCACCCTGTATATCTCAGCGCTTCCAATCGCAAGCATGCCCAGTCAAAAGAAACAAGGTGGAATTGCAGCAGAAGTGTAAGCAAACGACGCGCAAGGTGAGCGTGATAAATACAAAGGTCTCAGGAGATAACCATGATGCTTCCCGAGCGTGGGCTATTCATCACAAGATAAATTCTGTGCATGGGCTGGGCCGATCCTTTCGCATATTCTGTTGTCAGAGTAGCTACAAGGCAGTCTCTTCATGACCTATAACAGAGCTTACGTGTCAAAAGAGTAGAAGCCAAAGCGATGCCGGACCGTGTCTCAAAGCAAATGAGAGCCAGACCATCAAGGAACTTTACAAACGACGAGTCCCTTGTTGCGGCCCCGATGGGCAATTTGTGGCAATATGGCCATAAAAATGCTTCCTGGAGTCAAGGGCCATGCGGTGCGCAGTCAGCCTGATGGCTCCAACATCTTTGTAAATATGACAGAGCTTTCCATATACTCCTGCTATTGAGTTGGCCGATGAATAAACACTGACAAGACCATTGTCTTCACTGCGGGGAAATGACAAAGCTGCAGAATTAAGACTCAAAGCACGGAAGCCACTCATTATTCCCACAGTCAGACATTGAGTTATCGCATTCTGCAGCCCTGACTAGACAGCAGCACAAATTTGTCTCGGATATGTGTAGGGCGAGAGTCTATATCTTGAAACTCACCGTAGTTGACATTCTGGTGAGGAAGAAGCCCTCTCTTCAAAAGACACCGTGCCGCGAGATTTAGAATAGCACTTGGCTTTATTGGTCACCAAGCAGCATTTTCTCCGGCCACTCACGCCTGGCCCACAGATCTGATTACACGGATAAGCGATACACGTAGCATACAGCTCGAATTGGTATAAGGCATCCATCTGAAGGCTGTGGGTGGGTATGAGTATGAGCCCAATCGAGCTATTGATGAGGAACACAGGGCCACAAGTGTCACGAGTTGGATTGAAGTATGAGCAGACCGACTCATCCCACTCAATTGACCTTTGATCAAGCTGAGTGCTCCGCTCAGCAATAACAAAACTCCGTATGGTGAAATAACGTTATCCCAATCCCATGTCGCTCATTTCTATCCGACTTGATACGAGTTCGACAAGCTAAAGTCGGTATGCTTGGTGACCGGAATAATATTTTGATTGATATCAGGCCTGGGACCCGATGCAATCAAAGGCACACCATGGGATCTAGACTTTCAGCTCTGAATTTGGCATGAGAGAGAATTCTCTCAAAAACTCACACATTCACCAGACGGATCCTCGCAATAACGCAGGAACGGAGGCGGGTGATTGAACAGAGTTCAGTGGAGTCTAGTGGTCCTTGAATTGGTGATGTTGTGTCAAGCAGGAATGTCGCTGGTGGGAGATGGATTGCAAGTTCAGATCGTCAAATCTGCGCCGCTGTTGTGATGCGTATCGTGAATATCTCAGTCACCATGAAATTTGTTCCGTTTGGTAGCGGCTCTTGTATAGCTGCGTTCGGTTTCCGAATATATGGACGTTTGCATCATTTGAGTTGCGAGATGAAGAACGACGTGCCCGAGCGTCTAATACCAATCACCATGATCGGCAAGGTAGGATGCATGCAATTCGACACTGCACTTGAAATTAAATATTGGTATGCATGTTCTGCACTGAGATAATACTCAGAGTCAACGGGACGTCACTCAACTTACAGCTTTCTATCCCCGCTTGTTCACGCCCCTGGGCACTGACGAGCAAAAAAATTGGACTGCTTTGTCTCGGACATCCATCAGAATCCCAGTATGCAGGAGTTCGATTTAAGGCTTAACTCACCAATGGCTTTTTGATAACCAGGAAGCTTCATTGTCGGATAGGTGCATGAGCCACTCGGACTTGACGATCCAAGTATGATGGAAAGCTTGGGTAGGCAGTGTCAATCGTTCGTCTTTGAAGGTCAGGGTGTCAAATGGTTGCCAAAAGGGGCCTCTTTCGAATAGTAGAGATTTTTCAGTACCGTCTTATTAAAGCTCAACTCAGCTTTGGCAGACGACAGTGTCTGAAAGGTATTTCAGGCAATGAACACGACCGATCAAAGGCAAAAAGAAAATGGAATACGGAAGAGACGTCAAGAACCGACGCAATGGAGGTGCTAAAAAGAGATCATTCGCAGCAGAAAACATGGCCCTCTGGCAACAATCCCCGGGCGCTAGGTTTTCCTTACCATTGGCTTTAACCGGCTTCGTTGATAATGCATGGCCCCTTTTTCGAGCAAGGATACGTGATATGCAGGGATGGGGATCCTTTGTCGTAAAAAGGATTCAGTGACAATACGGCCTTCTAGGCACGGATGAGAATTCACGTAGGGCCATTTTGGTGACACCATCGTAATCGGCCGATAACGGCTTTTTCAAGAGGAATGATCTCGGTCATGCCACAGGACGCTTCTCGAGGTTGGCGGCGATTAAAACTTTGCAGCAACCGGCGTCGCATCGCTTCAACTATACCATTCTGTCTTTGTCTATAGACTAAAGCTAGTAGCGAACATACCTGCAGCGTCGGCCATCACAACCATTGCTCATCGGAGGCTTAGATTCACGCATGTCGAATCATTGGGAGTCACTTGGTAAGACTCATCAATTGAGTCGAACCCACAGCTGGCATATTCGCTTTGCCTGTCTCCGATAGCCGGAGATGACGCAAGTTATGTAGCCGCTATTAAAATCCCTGGTGTGCTTTATGTCAGCAGACTGTATTGTATTAGGGCGCAGGAGAACTTATCGGAGGTCACATATAATGCAGGCAAGACTGAATTGTGAATGAAAAGACTGCAGGGCTCTAAAGGGATAACAGCCGTATTTATAGACTTTGCAGCTTCACAGAGCCTGGCATGCTTGGTTAAGCTGATAGAGCACCCCTGAAGTTGAGCCACTTCAATCTTACACTTGGTAAAACCGTTGAATGCAACCGTTGATTCACGCAGCTTAACAGCGCCTGCTTGGTGAATAAAACTGTTAATATTGTGAGTTCCACGGAATTGTATTGTGCGCAAGCATGATGAATGATTTGTGTTGATGATACACGTTGCTTCACCATTCGGTCGTCGTTGATGACGTTGATTCACAGATGTGGGGCATGCTCGGCGTCGTGCGCAGCTCTGGGAACCTTGGCAACGAATGTCAACGATTGGCGAAGTCAATGTGGGCCCGACTCCCCAGAAATGGTCCGTGCGCGAATTCCCAGGCATGGGTACCCGTGGGTTTCGGCCAACGCAACGGATCAGGAACTAGGACGATTTTCTTGGAAGTAGAACTCCCTTTCTCCTTGAGTGAATCTAATTGTACTGTACCCCCTTCGATTGCGTTCTAGGAAATGCCGGGTCACCAGCTATCTAGGTCTTGACATTGCCTTAGTAACTTACATTCTGTAGATCACTAGGCGAACACGGAAATATATATCTGGCCGACCAAAGTGTGTATCGTCTAGTGACGACCGCGACTTCCAGGAATATTCCTCGTCCAGAAACTTATGGAGCAAGCTCGAAGACATATGGACTTATTGATAAGTCAACGATTTAATGACGAGAACACCCGATATTGACACGTGAAGATGTATTCTCTGCGGCAGATCAAGCTAGCTATGTTTATCCGTAGGGATCACTGCGAGTGCGCGCTTTAAAAAGATATAATGAGTAAGAAAACCGTTCAGGCAGCTCGGCGAAGTAGGTGGAGGTCATTCGCCGCAGATATTTTTGCTAGAATATCTGATGGTTGCGAAATGACTTGGATGTACTTTGCTCCAATATAGAAGCTAGGACGGAAAAGAGGAATTTCAGTCAAACTAGCACTACCGGGAGCCCGATTGCTGACAAGGAGTTGCAGTGTTGATCCTGCCTGGCCGGTGCAACCAGTGTGATTGGTGTGGATAAGGAAACGAACGCAGGCTCGAATAAGAACTGTAAATTTCGGATTTTTTTCGAACATTTACCGAAGGCGTCGTGCTCCTGGGATTGCGTCTGACGTTCAGCTGACTTCAAACAGCACCATCCCCTTCACAGCTCAAAGATGAGCTTGAAAGTAGACACAGGGGACTGTGCAGCCATATTATTTCCTTTGTTTTATGAATGGAGTCGTGAACAGAAAATGGAGACTATGCAATTCACTGATACACGGGACTTATTTTCAATGGCGGTGATTCATCAATGTTTGGTGACGCTGAGCGTTGGACCATAAGAAGGAACCAAAAAGAACACTGAAAAATCACTTTTCAACCGTCATATAAGTGATCCGAATTCTGTTTTCTTCTTTCTTGGGCAAGCTATGTGATTGAATTGCCTGCACTATGGAATATCTTTGGAATGGTTCGTATAGCCTGCCTTGCCGAGCGACTTTTGCTGACAATGTAAAGTTAATAGAAAATGATTTTGATCTGGACCTGCACCAAATTTGGAAAGAGTCTGATCTGCCGGCACAGCCCCTATGCCTAGCGATGGATTTTGACGAGTCCAAGCCCGATAGCCTGCATCTAGGAAGCACGGCGGCACAGCGTGTGCAACATCCCATTGTGGAATGCTTATTCTACTCCAACACCGAAGGTAATCATGCGTTCCGGTGGATGGGTCCAAGCCCGCTGCTCTCCTCAACAGAGTCAGAGGAAATATTTCACTACAGCTATATTCGAAATCGGCTTCCATCGTTTACACAAACAAGTTTAATCTAGAAGGTGGGGCTAATACAAGCTGATCCAATTGTAACTGTAGAAATTCGGGCTAAGCCCCACGTTGCACCTAAAAGCAGTATAGCTAAATCCAAAATTAGACTAGCGGCCAGTCCCGAGATAGTTTCTCTGTGTAAAACATGGAAGCCGATTTCGAATATAACTGTACCTTTCAGCCTTCTTGTCAGAGAGAGTTCGCTGGTGGGAAGTTCGCCTTGCGCAGCTAGATCCATTTTCCAGAGCCATGGCAGGTGAGCACTTGTTCTTCATCCCTCGGATAGAGACGGCGTCCTGGAAGTTTGAACACATAAGAAAGGAGATCGTTGGAATCGTGTATCATTCAGCTTGTGTGATGCCAGGCTCGCACTTCCGTTTATCCTTGTGGCCGCGCGTAGAGCCATTTCCGTGCTCCGCATCGTCCACTCTGTCCCCCTTGGCTGCATTACCCACCTTACCTTCTCTTCATCCTTCGGAATTTGTACATAACCTTCGGGAGAATTTTATGTCTGATAAGGAAGAGCTGCTTTCCACTTTACTACAGCAACTGCAGACGTAAATCTCAATACCAGTTCTCGAAAAATCTAGGAGTAGCTTATCCAAAGACATCTTAACGACACATAATCTACTCGTATCGCTCTGAATCAAGACCATTTGAGCTTTGCCGAGACACCGGCAAGCACCAAGATGGGAACACCACCTGTGACGAACAAGGTTTTCAAAAGAGGAAGAAACAGAGACCTCCATTTAGGCCATTCTCCGACCCTTCGGACTCTTCCATTCCTGCTTTATCGCATTGCTCCACTGCTATCCAGGGTGTACGCGGAAATGCTCTCCTCACAGTCAAATCTAGTGCTGGCCTGAAACCGGCACATTTCTTTACTTTCGTGCCCGACTCTAGCCCGATGCTGGCTTAGCCCAACGGCTATTACCCCAGGGAAACAAAGAGTACATGTCAGACGAAAATGTGCTGCTGGTGCGGCGGAAGGAAAAAGAGGCAATGTCATGGTTTGAGATTACGACTCACTTCCCAGGTCGAAATATGTCATGTTCAAGTCCACTATTCAAGCAAATTACTCCCCAAGGCCAGCTCTCGGTCTAGAAAACCGAGAAGGCGTGAATGAGAGAGGCTATGCTGTTGGGGTGTTTCTTGGGTCGCGCCTTTCGAACTTTCGCTGTACGCAACATCCTCCGTAGTCATACTTTCCATACAAACATTGGTAGCAACTTTGTGCACACAGCATTCCGAGCCTATGTGCCGCCAGACATGCCAATGCAGAGTAGGACGCATAGTAAGAGTACCTTTTCGCCCCATTTCTAGCATGATGGGTAAAGAGTGTCCTGATATATCCAGTCCTTCTCCTCCTTTCCGTCTGATGGGATGCTATCGATGGATGGGATCTATTGTTGGAATAGTCCCTGGATCACATGCTTCCCGCGTGCATCCTTGTTGCCCGATCGCTCAGATAATCCCGTACGCTTTCCGCGATGGCGCTTTTGTCAATACGGACTTTACCGCAGTTCTCATACTGAAGGATGACATCTCACTATCTGTGTCATTAGGTCGATCATGCCATTTGAGCCTCTCATTCGTGCAGGTTGGGGAGCAGCGAACATCACCCGTCTCTCAAGAGCTGCCACAGGCTTTTGCACTCGCAGGTTGTATTTTGCCCTTGTCCTTCTTCCACTCACAAGAAACCTGCGCCTATCATCACGGCAGAGAGAATCCCCAGACAAATGCCCACTCCAACTTCAACAAATTTGTGATTGCCCTCTGCCGAGCCCCTCAGGTTGTAGCGACGGTAGCCACGCTGGAGTCGTTTTCTATGGCGACTCACGGCATTGCAAGGTATGGCGTAATGAGAAGGCGTCGATCACAGCCAAGAGAGCACCTTTACAGTTCCAAATGGTTGCATGCAGGCATCAACACAGTTATTGCTGGGGCAAGGGGCAGTAAGCAGTATGATACACGACGTGTTCCGTTTGAAAATTTGGTCAAATAAAAAGCAATTACATATTTGGCCTATTCTACTTCTACTGAGGAGGTTGCTCGGAAATATGATAGGTCAACCCGTGCTGGAGCGTTGTACGATGAAATTGAAGATGTCGAAAATCGGGGTGGGGGTAAGGCGGTATAGAATTTGGTGGCATGGCATTCATTGGATGTGGCCCCGGACCAAGACTTGCCGTGCATAAAGCGGTGATCGGTTTTGTATTTTTCCTGGGATTTTCTTGACCCCCCCTTACCTACTTAAATAACTAACTAATTACCTCTAAAGATACGATCCAGATTATGGTTGTGAGTGATGGTGCTCAGATGTCGAAGTACCTATTGTTTGTTTCGTCACATAGGGCATTTCATAACACCGGGATGCGGGTTACTATAGAAGGCACGAAGTTCTAGAACACTCCTTGCATCCTACATACTGGAAAAAGGCTTCATTCGCTTCTTTGGAAACTAGCGCATACTGCATCTCTCATAACCTATACAAGTCATTATGCCGGCAATCACATACGGAACGCGGACCCACATGGTGCACAAACAAATACAGCGTTGGAAGTGATCTTGATAGGTGTCTCAAGACCGGATGATTTGGGCGCAGTGACTGCGCGAATTTTCTGATAGGGGTTCTCACGGCGGCCAAGTGTGTGAATCATCCAATTGGATGGAGAGAGGAGAGGTATTCTACGATGCGACAAGCGAATCGGATTGTGTGATGTTGTCGAGAGAACGCAAATGCAATCGGGAATTGGCCCATTAGTTGAAGAGGAGTGTCCAATCTCGAGTAACCAAGAGGTTGTCCCTCAACCAGCCAATCACGCCCGGATCCCGACCTCGATCTCGGCGACGAATCGCTCCTATAGAGTCAGCCAATCATAGCACGCGCTGATCCGCTGCTAATCGCTTGGATCCCGTTGGAGGATGCTTGGAATTGGTTACCTTCGGGTTTCGCGCATCTTTCTCAGTTCATACTGCTAAAAAGGATTCATCATGGACTGACCTGCGGATAGAAGTATGAAATACCTGCAATCGCTCGTACCTGTCAAGAATCTTCTTAATATTCGGTACTCCGTACATACAATATGATTAATTACCGCTAAAGACCCCTTTTTACGTTGTCCTTCCCCTCTCCCATTTTCCTCATCTTTTCCACATGTCTATCACCCATATTACAATGGAATCTACCCAAAATGATGTCACATTTGATCAGATTTCCTGCCCCGTGGACAGTATTTCTGATGATCGAATCGTAGCCCGTTTCTTTCCCCCTACAAAAGCCAATTTTTAGATAGTACTAGAACTGTCGCATGCATACCAAACTACATACAGGCGCCCATTTCGCACAGTTTTTGGGCAGTCCACTTTCTAGCAATCAAATACTTCTAGGCTTGATCTCCTTGTGGGTTCAACTGGCCCGAAGGTTGCCCAGAGTGAAAAGATCAGTGAGTCTCCCTTCCATTGGGTTGATGCCGTACAAGCTCTAGTCATGACCCAGACCTCCAAGATTTGGACAACATCATTTACGCATTGAGAAAAAAGCGAGGTAATGTTACAGCCCCGTTAAGAATTAAGCCTGCGCTCGTTCCCGTAAGAAGGCCGCTCATTTTCCAGTTTAATTTTCACCTGGTCAAACGTAAGTTAAATGCGTTCTCCTCCTTCATTCAGTTTGATCAGACGTTTTGGCTGCTCCTGGGAGCTCGCTCATGTCGCCGATCCCGCAATTTCACAAGATCGGTAGGACTGGCCAATTTGATGTGGATCACTCCTGAACCAAGTTCTTTTCTGACTTAGTGTTGACCTATCACCAATTCATTACTGTAATAACCCTTGTGCAATCAATGACGGAAACTAGCACTTTGCAAGTTGCGTGGTGATTCCTGGGAGCTAAAGTAGAGATATGCATGTTCGAAGACGGAGGCTTTCTAATTACCCTGCTGGGCAATGTGGTGGCATGATGATGTCACGAATCTATAGCTGACGAGTGTTCCTTTTAGATAAAGAATGAAAATTCAAAAAAGGGATCGTCGTTTCCATACTACGCAGAGCATAGCACGAGGAAGCTGTCTTTTCTCGCGCCTAGACGGGGCCCAGATAAGCTATGTGGGCTCAGATCCTCCACTAATCATTCTAGGTGTCCCTGAGACAAACCGAATCTTGGCTTACCCCCTCTGCTATTGACTGGCCGGCGTATGGCTTAAACGCGGCGAATAGTCGGGTGGCTGCAGCCCGGGTGAGAATGGGGTGAGCGCCGCTTTAGCTCTACGTCATAAGGGGTGAGAAGGGGTGAGTGTGCTATAAACAGGGTGAGAGACAGGTGAGAGCAGGTGAGAATAACTCTACGTCATGCAACCCCGCACTGACCTTTCAGCTGAGCTCGAGCTAGAATATAATAGGCTACATACCTCTCCCTGAAACAAGACTATCTGCACTTCGCCACAATCCGAAGCACATAATGCAATTGGTATTCAAGCTGTCTCCAGCGATCAATATTTCCAAGCGAGGGCACATTAACTAAGAACCGCCAATTCCTGTTCGAAAAAAAGGCAGTTCTTTGGATATTATAAGGATATCTTTGGTGAACTTAGTTCTCACTATTTTTATTCCTGTTATGTTTCGACTGTAATGAATCTTTATTCCCAGCCAACCGGATTCCCTGGCTGTTGGTATAGTATATCATTTATCAACAATACCACTCACAAAGCCCGTAAACGCTTGGGATATCCCACCCCTGTCTGAGAAAGCCGCCTCTTCACCGGCAGTAGTCTTTTTTGAGTTTGCCGACGTTTTAATGTACAGCGATGGAAGTCAATGATCAGCGCCCGCCTAAGTTCTTCGTTCCAGAGAACATTGCCAGACCAAAGGCCCTCATCAATGTCACACCAGAGGTCCTCATGGATGATCCCCAAAGCTTTGATTTCATTCTCCGATTTATGAATCTCTTTAAAAAGCCATGGCTTCAGTCCCATCGTTGCTAAACTTTCGCCCCCCCAGGCCATAACAAGCATGTGGCGAATGTCTCCAGCCCCATGAAGAAAGTAAACTTTCGCTAGATCGATTGTACCGAGGAAGACAGGTACAGCAGATGCTTGAGCCTTCTGCAAAATTCGGTAAGCCTGGACTTCGTGGGAGACTTCCCTCCATAGGCATGATGTAGTTCCCTTTCCAATGACGGTGTAGCCATATATGGCGCAGGTAAGTTTAAATGGTGCTCCAGACTGCCCGCAACTTCCAAGTGATATACAACGATCAATGTTCTCATCCAGTTGCGCTTTTAATAAATGCATCAATCCGTCTGCGTTGATAGGGTGTTTCAGGTCTCCTGTACCCTGGCGATGAAGTGACACGTTTGGACAAGACTCATCTAGAATATTACCATTCTGTAGCCCAAGTAAACATCTCTGTGTACAATATTGCGCATTGTGGTATTGGGACTGGCTTCCTTGGCTATGTCTGGTGTGATGTTCACGTGCCGTTTGGGGAGATGGAGAAGACCCAACTTGACTGAAGCCCCGTTTACGCCTGGGGGCTTGATTCGACTCAGAGCCGGAAGAGTCCGGAGATTGCGACCGGTGCCGCATAGTTGGGAGCGCACAGCCAGCTTGAGATCTCGTAACTCGGCGATCATTTGTTGGAGATTCTAGCGGAGAAGAAGGCGCTTGATAATCGAGACTTGAGTCCACAGTTGATTCCGGACTGGCATAATCAGTACCATCAGAATGTAAAGGGAGTTGCTGCAGGTCTATTTTAGGAATGTGAGAGCTGGTTGTCCAAAGGGGGAGATTTGAGCGTGCATTATTCCTCCATTCATGGTCACGTTGAGGCGCACGAAATGCCATTAGGCAAAGACAAAGGACGCGTGCGATCGAGGTTTTCGGCTCTTGAAGATTTTGTCGAATTTCGCCCTCCAATTCCCCATTAGGGTCACAGAAAAAGTATTGTAATGTACCAGGTTCGTCGTAGGGAATGTGAAGAAGGACGCGGGCAATCCCGTTCGTTAACCAAGAATACTGAAGACCTTCCTGGATCATCGCATGGTACTCCTGGACAAGAGCGGAGCAAACAGTTTTTTCAATATTGTACTTCAATTTGCTTGCTTCTTCCTGTGGTATTTTGTTCGAACTAACCAATTCCCTCCACAAGTCCATTGGTCGAAGTCCTATACGAAGGGCTTCAGTGGGAAGCTTGTGAGGTGGCTTATATTCAACTGTAGTGAGGAGGGTAGAGGTATTCCCATCGACCCGATGAATACAGAACTGATCAGGTTTCGGATTATGTACGCGTGACGATTGATGTAAATTCGCCTCTACACATTCATCACGATCGAGTGAGTTCTTGTGATTGTCGAACTGGATTCCATCACCAAGGCGAAACTCGCTACGGGCAGCATCGATTTTGCATAGCTCTGCGACTATATCACGGACGTGACCTTCAACTGCAATTCGCTCGTAGCTCTCGACGCTCTGTTCACTGTGCATTGGGTCGAGGCAAAATCGTCGGGCATCAGCTTCAAGAGTGATTAAGGAGGTAGGTAACTGTGACGAGACTCCCTCGGTTGGTTGGAGGTATTTGCATACAGCATCGTAGATTTCTTGCTGTTGAAGCGGGCAGTTTGTCCATGGTTTTAGTCGCACCGGGCAGTACTTTCCGGTAGGAGGAGGTATTGTCCCTGTAGTCGAGCGAGAAGGTGTTCTGACTCGAAGCGGTCTTGAGAGCAGGTTATGGCCATGACATATTAGTTCCATGAAGGCGAGCGATCGGCTACGCTCTTTCTCCTTCCTAGCTTCATCCTCGGCTTGTTCTCGTCTCTCCCTCTCTTGTGTATTTCTCTCTTTCTCTTGTAGATAGAGTCTTTTGTAATCGGGTGAGCTGCTGTCGGCCATTGCGGAATTGTATCATCCTATCATTGAAGGGAGTAGTGACCTCATATACCCATGATAGAGAGTGCTGGAGAAATCAATCATATTGTAAAAAGGGTGGACAAGATTGACAAGTCATCGAGTTAGGCGGTGTGGGTTCTGCCGCTCGGTCAATCAGTGAGGCAAGTCAAATTGCATAAGGTCCCGCGAAGATAAACGCTGCAAACGTTTTCTTATAATGGTCAAGGTAAAGATCGTCTGCTCAGCATAGGTTTGAAGCGACTCATCAGGCGAACATTTGAAGCTGATCCCATACACGACCGATCCCAAACCGGGGAAATAGGAACCTAGTCTCCCCTGAACTAAGCCAAGAGAGTGTTCCCTTATGGTCTAGACTAAATGCAAGGACTTCGATACACCAACCGAGCTTACAACATCATTGCATTTGCGAATTTGTGGAATTTCTACTGGCTTATTGCGCTTGATTAAAATAAAGAGCCAATAACAGGCCAATCTCGAGCGAATGCATATGCAATAATCATGGGATAATGCCCAATATACAGCCTGGGGAAACGACTCCTCGATCTCCACAGTAAACAAAGGATCAATCTCTAATGGTCGAAGATTGGTGACATTCGTGAAGGTGTTATTGATTTTATCCGCCCTTTTAGGCGTTACAGCCACGTCGACTCGCCAGCTCTAAATTACAAGCAGCGAATCGGACGTTGGCATCAAGTTTGATATTCTGAGCTGCGTCTCAACACGTAGACAATTCAATTTCATTACACAATCTATGTTCGGCCACCTAAACATACTGATATGTGATCCAGCATCTGTTTCGAGGTAACTCTGGCCACTATAACTGCCAGATTTCTGGAGAACCGTATAGGGGATTCTTCATTCTCGTTGGTAGAAATGAGGACAAGAAATGCTTTCTTTCTATTTGCTTTATCATGGGCATTATTTGCATAGCTGAGATACTTCGGCCAATGCTGGGGCAGGATCGTTGCATTTCAAGAAATACTCTTGAATGGCAGCGGGCGTCACAGTTCTCTCGGGGACTTGTTTCGCAAATTCGGTAGCAAGTCCATGGTTGAAGTAGTCCTCCAAGGTCGACCGATCAGGGTTTTGGAATTCGTATTGCTTATCAATCCGCCCATGTCGGGTCAGAGCAGGATCAAGATCTGGCTTGACATTGGTAGTAGCTACAAGTAAGTATTCATGAGAGCCTATTCCGTCCAAAACCCCCAGAAGGGTAGCCATAGTCACCCGTCCTTGGCCTTTTTCCACATTGTCGTCATTGACCGTACTGCCATCCCTTATGATTCCTGCAGTATCAAGATCGTCTAAAAGCACCAGACAGCGTTCGGGAAGCGTTCGAAAGAGCTCTTGCAGGCCTTTGTCATTGAGAGTAGCAAGTTGTATGATATGAATCGACAAACCAAATACTGTGGCAATCACACGGCAAAGGCTCGTTTCGCCAGTACCTGGGGGCGCCGTAGAAGAGATAGCCGCGCCGATGAGCGATACCACGCTTCTTGTATAAGTCGATAGTACGTTTTTTGAAGAACCACTCGATATCCGATATGATTTCGTCCTTCATTTCTTTGTCCAACGCCACACTTTCCATTTGTCGCTCATGTCCATCGCACATCCTCCGCCACTCCACCATCTGCTTGCTTTGAGATCCAATCCAGATTGGTATTTTCCCGCGGCACTTCGCGGTCACGTTCCAGCTCGATCTCCGAGAACACGTTCGTTCGCCACGGCGGTAAAGGGTATAGGTCAATTGTTTCTAGTTCTTTGAGCCTGTCAACGTCCATGGTCTTTAACGCTTCCGCCAGTGGAAAGCGCGCGTGAGATCCAATATTGTTCCTCCTGTTTTGGGCGTGCGATAATGCGCTCCAAATTAGATGGGTATGGGGTAGAGTATGGAGCCTCGCTATGGTGCGCTGCGCACAGAGGCGAAGCCGGAGATGCGTGGGAAGTACGTGAGATTCCACTTCTAGTGTTGTTGTCGCCACCGTTCGAAATGCCGACAGAATCCGAATCAACACGGTTCTTTGAACTGTGTTCAAGTGTGGCAGGTGAGTCTTGTCTCGGAGCGGATCATGCCAGTCCGTTGATGCATAGTCTGCGATAGGCGTGACACATGCTTGGTAGAGCTGTCGCATTTGTTCTGGTCGTAAGTGAAGTAGTCCACTCAACGCGATAGTTGTCTTAGTAGCGCGTTTCATAGCCTGCTGAACACTAATACGGAAAGGGAAACAAGAATCCAGTGCGTAGTAAAGAGGGGAACGTTTAATGAAAGCATCCTCTAGGTGCACGGGTCGATCCAGCACCAACAGACTACTCAGAGTACCGTGCGTGATAGGGTGGGATTGGAGATGTAGGAGTGTGTATTTTCTACCTACCCGAAATGGCAATCTTATAAAGAACGAAAGTATAGAACACCGTAGGGACTGTAGTCAGATATTAAACCTGCTCGCTGGCCGCTAGGGACATCGCCTCAAGATGTTTTAGTCGATCAACATCCAATGGATATATGGTAATATGCCATTCCACTGGTTCTTCTTGGGAATTCATTTGAAAACGAGCAGCCATTCCCCAGAACAAACAGATATCGTACCCCCAAAGCTCTTCTCCCTGAATATGCCACAGTGGCAGACGATCCACATCCATATGGCCGGAAAACATCGGTGTGACCAGGAGTCTCCGTACTGGTGGCACTGGTAGTTGATGGTGGTGCCGCATAGAAGGATTCTCCTGTTGCAGCTGTCGTATGCAATTGTAGCGATGCAGTATTCCTTGGCAGTCTTGCGTCATGTAAGCTTCCCACGTGTGGTTAGTGGGGTGCTGTTTCAAGCGATGGCAAAGTTGCCAGATCAAATCGTCCGTAGCACATGGGCCATAAACTTCCACCGGGAATGACTTCTCATATGGTACGGCTCCATCCCTTCCCCACCAATCCAGGTAGACACGGACTCTGAGAGGGGGTATATCATGAAAGAGATCTGGGATGTACTGAGCAGCATCTGAGGAGCGGGACGCTTGAAGGATACTGTCCCAGGGATCTTCATTTAGAAACGACATAATCATTCAGGGACAAGCAGGTTTTTTTGATGGTTAGAGAATAAAAAGAAAGGTAACAAGATAAGAATCTGCTTGAGCTCAATCGATTGTGATGGCACCACGTAGTAGAGAAAGGTAGGTTGATAAAAATAGATGGGCTTTAGTATGGCTTGATGGATATTGAGTAAGGAGAATGGATGGGGAGATTTTCGAGAAGTTCTAAGCTAGTAATTAAAATAGGAATTGTTTGTCTCGAATTGTTTGTCTCGAAAGAAGGCTCGAGAAACTCTCACGATGAAATTCGTTGCATATCCTCGCTGTATGGCTACGGTCTAACAGTTTACAAGTTTTTGGTCTCAAAGAGGTACTGCATGTATTGAGAAAGAATTCATCTTGTCTGTAAACGGTGAACCTACCTCAGCAAACTTTTCGATGTTTGAATTCACATCAATATTGGACTTTATATACAGAGGATTCCCGATTTTGCTCACGTCACTTCAAGTAGCTCCATATGGAATCACCTCAATGTACTTAGGGAAGAAAGATTCAAAGCTTCCAAGGCGACGATGACCGGGGCTAGTCTCATTGGTCAAGTCTAGCTATTTGGTACTTTCCTCGAACCATCTCCAGGATACCTTCCCTAAGAGCCCAATCCCTTAGTACAAGATCTTCAATCCCCTCCTCAAATTTATCTCCTTTTTCAAAGTGGCGTACAACATGCTCCAATCGTTTATCCCAGCTTGTCTCCCCAGTAAAATTTTCCTGACAGAATTCACAAAGACTATGAAGTGGCGGATTTCGTACTTGGATCCGACAACGAAAAAGCGCGTCTTTAAGGTCCGTAGAGGAGAAAGCCTTATCATTTCCGTACGAAGCTACATGTATGCGCTTTAGGTGTCCTCGGAAGAGATCTTTATAAGCAAAGTCCTTTGGCAGATTTTCATCATCATACTTCCAGTGGTCACAACGATAGAACTCAAGGCGCATATAAATTTTTTGGATATGAGGTTTCCAACCCGCAATGCTCTCAAAGACCAAATTGCATGCATAGCGTTCTAATATGCACGGAAATGATACTTTCCGTTTTTTAGGTAGATACTTCGGATTCGCCGTTTCATTTTTGCCTTTGCTCTTTGTTGTGCCTTGTGTTCCTTTGAATATAAGTAGATCTCTGGTCTGAGGACTGACCGACACCAGTTGATAAGATCGAGGGGGCGATGCTTGAGTCATTTTGGTATAGTGAGGTATTGTCTAAAGGAGGACCAAACTGCCCTTGTAGTCTTTGTGAAAGAATCTCGCTCCACCGATATTCTGGGTAGTGGTGGACGTAGCTATCACTAGTATGTTGAAATTCTTCCAAGTCATGATCTTCAGGAGATCGGGGGATGATCGTACTGCCAATGCGGATAAGTGTATTTTGCGAATCCGAGCGTATCTCATTGTCCAATGTAAAAGGAGGAACATAGAGCGGCCCTAAGAAACTCCCTATATTGCGGTTGAAGTCACGGTTTCCTTCACATAATCTGTTCTTCCACTGGGAAGATGTCTGATGATATTCCGGTTGAGATGTGTTATCCCAGTATGGCTGTAATTGGGTGTGGGGTAACAGGGGTGTAGTAAGAAAATGGCCGGGTATCTGCATGTCATTGCGATCCTTAATGCCCCGAAATGGCGGGTTCCACGTCGATTGCTGAGCCTGTCTTTCCTCGCGGTCACCAGAATCTATTTTCTGGTCTTCAACAGCCTCCCAAGGTTCTGAACTTGTGTCGATTGATTCCTGGGATTGCATAGCATGTCGCCGGAGTTTATGCTGCATATTTCCGGGATTAACTTCAAAAGTTTCATCCTTGGTGGGATCAAGGGCACCGAGATGAGTGAGTAGATCATGGGTGAGAGGGTGACCATTTGGTTGTAATTCCAATCGATCGCCTGTCAAGTCTTCGCCTTTTTTAGAGCGACAATATAGTTCCTGGAGGCCGTGGACCAGCCAGGCCTGTTGCTGTTCGAGCATTTCGACATATCTGAATATGTTAGGTAAAATGAATAGAGCTGTAAAATGAATACAGGTGCTCCGTAGCTTACCCTTTTGGATATGGTGCTCTATTGTGGGCAACCTTTCTTTGGCCAAAGACACAGATTTTATCACCGGCTCGGCAAGTGGAACATGGACTCGCACCGTCACACTGAAAGGTCAGCTTGGTCCTTGTTTTAAGTATGAAGTACTCACCTTGCATTTCTTCAAGCGACACCAATCACAGGCCGTACGTACACGCTTGCATACCTTATCAGGTGGATGATTGGGCTCTGTCTTGGAAGACATGATCTTTTTAGCCTTTTCAGATCATTTGCCACTGGTAGACTGTTGAATTTCCAATGCGAGCTATGAGACTGTAAGAGAGCATAGTCAGTGGGAGAGGTTTCTTATATAACCAAAAACGGACCCCAAAGCTGAATGGCTGTGCGCAGAATTAAGGGATAGCAGCTTAAAGCCGACTAATTCCTCGTAGAATGGGATATACTCAATTAAGGGTTCTACCAGGGAACTACTTCCAGTTCAAGTCCACTCTTTCCAAATTGCCGGTCACCGACCAAGGTCTATGAAGTCAAAAAGCAAAATTTCTCATGTGCAGCATGTATTCGATTTGGAATTGAATCTGCGGAGCACTCAATGGCTCAGAGTGGAGACATGTTTCAAGTGTTAACCCAAAAAGCGGAAATGTGGCCTTCGAAAATAAGTATACTGACATGCCTTTTGGCCTAGAATGACGATTAGAGCTTTCTAATTTTTATCCTGGTATCTGATCGTAGCTGTCGCCGAGCAGTCTTCTATCTTGCACAGCCACACTATCAGATTAAGCGGATCTGACAAAGTCAAAACCCGGCCATTTACATTCTAAGATCGACTACTACAGGGAGGATCGAAATCAGTTTCACCACTAACACACAGAGATTCTTTCTCAACCCCTCTTTTTAAACACGCTACGCCTATTACGGTTACTCTATCCCTGACTCCTTTTCTTGGCAGTATTACAGTACAGTTGTAAATTACAGCACAAGACAGCAGCCGTATTAGGCTTGTATGGCCTTCCAGGCTTCTAGAACGTTGATCGTATAAACACAACGGTTATTTAAAAGAGGTAGTATTGGCACCATGTAGATACTGTAAGAGAACTCTAGATAGAGTAGAGCTTCGGCAGGGGCAATGGACGGCTACTGAGGGAGGATGGAGGCGACTCTACGTACTCACCCTTGCTCGACCCCCCTCTGCTCAGTGAGCAGGTGAAAATGATTTTGGTGAAACGTCCGGGGAATGCTAGCTACGAAATAGGAAATTCACGTGACTTGATGATTTTGTAGTTTTTGGGAGCTGGGGGCCATCTCAAAGCTGCGGGCCTCAAAAAAATACTGTTGCTAGACTGGGAAACTATGCGTTGGCTTCACCATGGCAGCAAGCTGCTGCACTTGATCTGAGTGTTTGAACTCGGGGAGGGAGGTTCCTGAAGGTGCTAATCTCACCCTACTCAAGACCGACCGAATGTTCTGTGGGTTGCTGCCAATCGATTCCCTTGTCCTAGCGCCGCGAAAGTCACCTGATGTGATGAACCTGGGGAGGTGCCCCGCCTTCAGCTGAGAAGCAGACAAGCCTTCACATGAACTACCAGCGAGGCACGTTTATTTGATCATGGCATCGATATCATTCCGTGGCAACAACTATGCTCTGCAAGTTGGAGACAACCGTGGCTCGATAGACTTCCATCTACCTCCAGGTAAGTTAGAAGAGCAGGACAAGCTGGTCGTGACTAATCGCCGCATTCTAGTGCGACCGGAAACTCCACCCAGCCCTCTATCGACTGTCCCGTTCGCGCGTGATACAGACTTTGTCAGTCGTGACACTCTACTTCATCAGATCCACGAGAAAAACTCAGCACCAGGGTCAAGAATAGCGCTGGTCGGCCTCGGAGGTGTCGGGTGAGTATAGAGCGACTGATATTTTGTTTTATGGCTCACAATTCGAAGGAAATCGCAACTCGCCATCGAATACTCCTATCAAGTCCGATCCCAATCGCCTGCGACATGGGTTTTTTGGGTCCATGCGAGTAACGATGCCCGGTTCGAGCAAAGCTTTCGGGATATCGCAGACCAAATCAAAATTCAGGGCCGTCAGGATCCTCAAGTCAACATATTCAAACTGGTCGAAAACTGGCTCCTGGATGAGAGTAGAGGGAAATGGCTTTTAATCCTTGATAATGTTGATAACGATCAACTTCTCTGCTCGTTTTCGGTGGCAGGCAGGGAAGATCCGATAAGCAGCCGAACAAACGCCTCAACAAAACCACTGTTAGAATATATTCCTAAGAGCCGAAATGGTTCTGTCATTATCACGAGTCGCGCAAGAGAGGTTGCACTGAAGATGGCCATTCACAAAAACCTTATTGAGATTAAACCGATGGAGGAATCCGAAGCGCTAGAGCTTCTCCAAAGGAAGCTTGATCAACCAAGAGAAAACAAGGAGGGTCTGCAACTGATGAACGCGTTAGAGTTTATGCCGCTAGCAATCGTCCAGGCCGCAAGCTATATTCTACAACGGGAATCCCGCTACTCAGTATCACAATACCTACAAGACTTCCAAGGGAGTGATTGTGAAGCAATAAGGCTTCTTAAAAAAGAGGCAGGTCACCTGTACCGGGACTGGGAAGCCAAGAATTCAATTTTGGTGACGTGGCAAATATCATTCGATTATATACGACAAACAACGCCATCGGCAGCAGATTTACTTTCTCTCATGAGCTTGTTCGATCGGCAAGGGATACCAGAGAACCTTATCCAGTATCAACCTAAAGCCAGTAACAGATCTATTTCAGAGCACCCAAATAACTTTGATAATGATGATGACGACACATCTGAATCTGATATAGGCCCGGATTTTGAAGATGATATCACGACACTGAGAGGTTTTTCATTTATATCTATCAGTGAAGATAATACTTCCTTTACCATGCATCGGCTGGTGCAACTGACAATGCGCGCGTGGTTGAAATCCCATAAACAAATAAACCAATTCCGGGAGAGATTCATTCGTATCCTATGTGATGAGTTTCCTACCGGTGAATTCGAAAACTGGGAGAGATGCAGGCCCCTATTTCCTCATGTCAGAGCGGCTATGTCACAACGACCATTATCAACGAAGAATCTACAAGAATGGGCGACATTACTCTATAGAGGTGCATGGTATGCGTGGCAAAGCGGTAATATCGCAGATACAAGAGAAATGGCAGCAAGATCAAGAGAGCAAAGAATGATCTTACTAGGTCAAGAGCATGAAGAGGCCCTTAATAGCACGGGCATGTTAGCAATAGCATATTGGCTTGACGGGCGGTGGGAAGAGGCCGAGCAGCTTTTTGTGCAGGTGATGAAGACTCGCAAGACAAAGCTCGGCGAGGACCATCCCGACACGCTGACCAGTATGGCCAACCTAGCATCAACATATTGGAAACAGGGTCGGTGGGAGAAAGCCGAGCAGCTCGAGGTGCAGGTGATGGAGACTCGCAAGACGAAGCTCGGCGAGGACCATCCTGACACGCTGAGTAGTATGGCCAACCTAGCATCAACATATCGGAAACAGGGTCGGTGGGAGAAGGCCGAGCAGCTCGAGGTGCAGGTGATGGAGACTCGCAAGACGAAGCTTGGCGAGGACCATCCTGACACGCTGAGTAGTATGGCCAACCTAGCATCAACATATCGGAAACAGGGTCGGTGGGAGAAGGCCGAGCAGCTCGAGGTGCAGGTGATGAAGACTCGCAAGACGAAGCTCGGCGAGGACCATCCCGACACGCTGACCAGTATGGCCAACCTAGCAGCAACGTACTGGAACCAGGGTCGGTGGGAGAAGGCCGAGCAGCTCGATGTACAGGTGATGAAGACTCGTAAGACGAAGCTCGGCGAGGACCATCCCGACACGCTGACCAGTATGGCCAACCTAGCATCAACATATTGGAACCAGGGTCGGTGGGAGAAGGCCGAGCAGCTCGAGGTGCAGGTGATGAAGACTCGTAAGACGAAGCTCGGCGAGGACCATCCCGACACGCTGACCAGTATGGCCAACCTAGCATTAACATACTGGAACCAGGGTCGGTGGGAGAAGGCCGAGCAGCTTTTTGTGCAGGTGATGGAGACGAGCAAGACGAAGCTCGGCGAGGACCATCCCGACACGCTGACCAGTATGGCCAACCTAGCATTAACATACTGGAACCAGGGTCGGTGGGAGAAGGCCGAGCAGCTCGAGGTGCAGGTGATGGAGACGAGCAAGACGAAGCTCGGCGAGGACCATCCTAACACGCTGACCAGTATGGCCAACCTAGCAGCAACGTATCGGAACCAGGGTCGGTGGGAGAAGGCCGAGCAGCTTTTTGTGCAGGTGATGGAGACGAGCAAGACGAAACTCGGCGAGGACCATCCCGACACGCTGAGTAGTATGGCGAATCTCGCTTTCACTTGGAAATCTTCAGCTCACGACGCCGAGGCGATCAATCTGCTACGAGAGTGCTTAGCCAAGCAGAAGCAAATACTCGGCCTCAACCATCCCCTGACTTTATCTCATGCTGAAATATTGTTAAAATGGGAAACAGATGAGGAGTCTCAAACTAATAGTGAATAGTAAAGAAAGCGCTGAATATGGATGCATCGATAATGCCTTTGACAATTTATGTTTACATTACATTTCTGGCTTCCAGTATACTTCCCAAAGCCATGCCCTATCACTAATTGCCTAATTACGCATTTATCGAAGGTTGATTTCACTGCTTCATTGAACTTTACGAAGAAAAATGGAACAAGTAGATGAAACTGTCGTCAACAAGCTCAAGAGGCTGCAAGTTGCTAGTATTTTCGGTAAGATAATTACTCATAAATTACACAGTATTAAGCACGTGATCGTGGTTTCAATACGATTCCGTATTTGAAACAAAGCTAAGTTGTAAATGGATTAGTGTGTTTCAGACTGGGGTTCAAGATAAATTCTACATGAGGGAAGTGGTGAAACTGATTTCGACCCCCCCCTGTAATCACATACCAAGTACAGCTTTGCCTGGCCAGATAGGTTCAAATCATTCAAGGTTTCAAAAGCGAGAGACATTCGCCGAAGGACTTGTAAACACTCTCCGTCGACCGTGAACTGTTCAACTAGGATTCACAAAAGGCCCCCATGCAGAAACCACCGTATTTGCTTGGCACTTAATTATCGACCCGGCTGATGTAATCCTCTATCTTCTTCTCACGCACCTGGTACCAATCGAAATTCCTCAGAGCGTCAGGACCGCCAGGTACGTTCTTCAATTCATTTAATGTATACTTCTTGAGAGTATTACCGGATATAGTGTTGAACATAACCTTCGAGTAATCTGGCGACTTGTCATGGTATGGCACTTCTGATCCAGTAACTTTTATTTTGGTGTCCTGGTTAGGAAAAGTTTAGATTAGTCTCCATAAAGAAAACCAGTGTATAGGTAGCGAACCATTCGATTTCTTGAACCTTGGAAATCAAAATGTTCGCTTCCATCTCGAGAAAGATCCTCATCTTGAGAAAGCCCGAAACAAACAGCAAGCTGACTGATAAGCCACTGTGCCATCATGTTGAGTAGTCTGGAGGTTTTGTCGTCTTATTCTAGGGGGGATTTGTTATGCTTTAAAATAATTTTGGAGTATGGGCATACTGAGACTCATTTAAGGCCCCACATGGGATAGAAGAGAAGGTCTCAGGACGGTCAAAAACTCGGAATTACGAATATCATTTGGCTGTAATGGACTTCGGGCAGGGTTCTTTGGGCTAGACCTTGCTCAATATTGTCGGAAAGCAGGCGACTGGGACTAATAGTATTACCTCAATTCCAATGAAGTAACTAAAACTAACCTAGTATAAGAACGACAAAGAAATAGAGAGCTGGAAATTTTGTTTCCCAATACTGAAGCCAGTGGCTCAATTTAAGAGATGAATGATATATTGGGTTTTATTAAAAGGGATCACACTGATCATAGACTTGGTATAGTAAAAAGGCTGTCGTAATGAATCAGGTTGAGTGATTATTGTGAGATGGTGCTGTATTTGGCCTTGTTTAGGGAGAGTAAATTTATACTGGTTATACCAATATTTTGATATTCTTAGCCAAATCCCCCACTCTCTCATATCTGATTCTTCAATGGCCATACGATACCAAGCCAGATCACCTAAACACTCTATCTACATTTCCTGAAATGTACTGATGCTTTCTAAGAACAGTGATAGGATTGAGTAAGCGGTGAAGATATATAGATAAACTGATAGCTAGGGCACTAGAAGGATTCAAAGCATCGCACAATGTTTAGATCTCTAGTAATCGACCAAGCATCCTCCACGTAAATCTTAACAACTCTTGCCCCTCATGTAATCTGTTCTCTGAATACCATTAAACTGGGGTTGTTGGTCGTGGCTACACCGCGACCTTAGATCCCATCTGAACAAGACCATGATAATAATTCATCCAATGTCGGTAGTAATCTCGCTGCCGCTTGGATTAATTTCTGGTCATTTATAAGTACTTAGCCAAAGATACAAGCATCCGTGATTTTCAAGCTATATAGCGCCCTGCTTAGAGCAAGTTAGATGTATCACGCAATTCCAGATGTACAGGAAATTGCGGGAATCTTGAAAGTTTTCTGGGCTAATACTAATCGGTACCATGCCCAGGTGGCAATGATGAGAAACAAGATTTTATTTGCAGTCCGGACCGGTAAATACTTGGTTTACCTACGGCCTCTAGGGCTCTCATGGTGTCTGGCAAGTATAATTTTTTTACTTCCGTGCTAAGCAGACTACTGGCGGTAGTAGAACTCGAAATGATAATGAAAAGAAATTGGCGATCACCAAAGTCGGGGCCTACCCTGACCCGTATCCCTATCTATTCTTCCTGGGTTTGCGTCACCGTATCGCTTTTTAGGGTGACTGCAAGTGGTAACTAGGCTTAACCCTACGCTTTGGATTTTCCGCGTGAGGCGCTATGAAAAGCTAAGAGGGAAGCTCTGCGTTTTATCCGGCATATTTGGACTGAATTCTAAGTCTTAGATAGTCAAAAGGATTCAAAACGTGAGACCCAATGGACACATGTATAGCTCGAATTCAACCCGATAATTCCTCGCTTACGTCTCATCTTTATGGCCCTAGCGTGAAGTATGAAGTCGATCTGCTTCCTCCTCTCACCTCTTACAGGCTGACTGTAACTTGTTCAGTTGCGAGACTTGAAAGTAATTCATTTGGGCAATGATTCTTGACTTTAAATAAATTATGTTTAAAATGCCTAGTGGGAGAAAGATATCAGATATCGGCTGGTGGTCCTCGAATATTTATTAATTAGCTTCCTATAGTAGTTCCATTGGCTATACTCCCCCTGTCACGTATCAACGCATTTCTAAACGTAAAGGAAATATGTGGTCTCAGGAACGGAACAAAAGAACATTGTGAGCTGCCTTATATCAAATCAAGCGATTCCATTCCTTTCGCCACGGTTTTGTGGTTTCTTGCTTGGCAGTGGTGCCATTGTATTTTCCCGGATTAACTTCTTAGTAAAAAGAGTGTTAGTGACGCTGTCTCCATAGTATCTTAGATATCAGGGCTGTGACTCTTCATTAATCACTCACTGAGCTATAAAAAATCAAATTCGGCCTGAAAGTCCCCAGTTTCCTCCACATACTGGCAGCGGAGCCCTTCGATGATTTGAATCTCAGGTTTTTGAAGAAAAGTAACGAGCGAGTCTGGTACATCAAGAGATTCAGTATTGAATCGTCGGAAAAGTAATGCCAGCTTCAAGGTTGTGTTTGGCTGAAGCCCTCCCAAGGCTGAGTCCACGAAATCCCTGATAAGAGTTTGTTTTTTGCGCCTTAGCCAAAAGTCTTTATTTTTCCGTTCACCGTGGCTGGCGATTTCCTTCCTATAGAGTTCGTCATGCATTTTAAGAACCCTTTGAAGTGTCTTGCGTGATCGAAGCAATCTGATTGCATCGAGACTGATATCAATTTGATACAAAAATTTCTTACGGATCGGCTTCGAAACAGCTAGCAATTCTAAGCATACAGCTGCAGGCTTAGCGACGAGCTCTTCTTCAAGGATGGATCCTGTCATCTAAATAGTCAGCATAGCCATCTTCACGCCGAAGCTTGACTTACTTTGAGTTTCAAAGCTTCTTTTAGTTTTAATTCAATTCATTTGTTTTTTCTCGGGCAAAAGTCTGGCTTTAAAGTACTTTTTCCGTACTTTTTCCGCACTTTTGATACTTTAGATGACTATGCCTCCCTGGTAACTTGGTCTTCTTTAGCTATAGCTTTGAAATAGAGGCCAGCCTATGAACAGGTCTTAAGTTTTTTATACGACGAGAGTGCCCCGCGCCAATTCCATTTATTCCTGATGGAGCTATAATGAAGTTTTAGACTTTACGCCTACCCATAGTTGCGCGGACGCCCATTAGAAAGGAAATTGAATTCATTTAACGAATTCTTCCTCCAAAATGCACTCCAAAACTTTCTCTTCATTTAATTGGAGTGGGGTTTTTGGTCGTTGTCGTAACGTGATGTCTGGTCCCATTTGAATAAGGTTTTCAAAGTAATAATTCATCCAATACTGGAAGTAATCTCGCTGCTGTTTAAGAAGCCCGTTCTCATGCTTTAAATCTTCGATTTGGTGACCACGACTGCGGTAGCGCCTCGATGCATTGGAGTTTCTTTTCCGAACTTTGGATCTGGAGGCTGAGGTGGAATCATCCCATTCAAAAGGTATCAAATTTGATGGACGCTGGACTTCAGAGGCTGACAGAATTGGGGCCTCTTGCGACATGTGGAAGACTGCGTTGGTAGAATCATATTGGCAAGAGAAATTTTGAATGTAGCAAATGCCGCAAGGTGGTCCACGCAAGTCGCACTCCTTGCCCTTCTGCAGGCATGACATACAGCCGCGAGAAACCATTATAAGAGGATACTGGACTAGTCAGAGCTGTTTTTCCTTCACAAGAAAACTCGTTATACATACTATGTCTTGAAGTTATTCTTTATTTATGAATTTATAACCTTCACCTTATAAAGCTGCAGTGTAGTTGTAAGTCATTTGATAAGAAAATTCATGGCATATTCTAGGGTAGTAATGGGTATTTATTAAGGAATGTCAATAAACCTCCTATCACTTGACAAGCCCCATATTTCTAGACCTCTTTTACTTCTGATGGCCTTTGTTCCAAATCACTTCCGATCTAGCAAAGAATTTGAGTTTTCCTGGTAACTTTGTGGGATGCGGACCGATAACAAGTCAAAAGCGATTAGATGTATTATTTCACGTTTTTAGGGATAACTTCAGGTGAATTATAAAGCAGGCCATCAGTAACGAAACAGCATTATAGCTAGCGTGAATCTTTATCCCTTTAAAGATAGAGACTCGCAACATGGGAAGCATCGCTACAATATAACACGATACTGTCACTTAAGCATGTAGCGAGTAGTATCTTCCAGCTCTACTGACCTTGTCTCTTATCGCTACCTTCGCTGACCAGCATTATCTGGACTCTCCAAGCTCTCGGATATAGGGAATAAAGATCCGTCAACGTTCCTTCTTTGGAAACGAATTATAATTGAATTCAAGAGGATCCTGAGCAAAGAGACTGCAGTCTTTTACATTAAAAGTCAGATCATAACAAAAGAGAACATGGCACCACAGAGTCACTTATAGCAGATTTCATTTAGCAGCCCTGCTAAGCTGCCCTCTCTTTCGATGCCTATCCCGCGGTCCAAATGTATCGGCCTGCCTTCCATGCTTATCAGGCTGTCCAAAATCATTTCCATTTTCCAATTTCCAGGGGAGGAAGATCTGTCAATTTTCCATCTTCGACAAGATTGGCTTCTGGAACCGTAAATTCACATTTTCCAACGAAAGCCATTGCTAGCCGAATCAGACGGCCTTCACCACAATATTAAACCCCATTGGTAACAATGAAACAGATCATCTATTCAAAGGCAGCTACCCAGAAGAAAATTCCACAGCGTGCGAGCGATACCATCAGGCTGCTGAGTGACCCCACTTGATTGTCCCACAGGTATGTCAGCAGGCCTATACTGCATAGGTGGCGCTAAGGACGACTGAACCCTCGTTGCATCTGATATGTCATATGCGTAATCATCCATGCTGTTTCTTGGCGTAGGGGGAGCAAAAGTGCATCTCGCGTTTTTGTGAGAGGAGAGAATAGCTTCTTTGTTCGGTAGAATAGAATGCAGCCGTGAATAACACTCTATCAGATATTGTAAGGTCCCCTCGCTGAGAGCTACTAATAGCTGGTAAAATAGTCAGAAGTTGTGGGGTCATGTCTGTTGGATCTTGGGATCTTTTGTAGTTCTCTCGAGGATCAATAAGGTATTCAAAACGCTGAAGTAGTGTTGCTAAAGATCCTCTTGCCGCCGCACCCTGTATTATAGCAGACAGAGAAAAGAAGTTTTTTTTTCTTGGAAAGACGCTTTGAATAAAATAGTTAGCATGAATTCTAATCCAGTTCGGAAGGGCTCGTTCGTACCATCGCTAGATTCTCGATGGCCTTATTCACACCCACATCTGTCACCACACATTCTTCTACTGAACGACAGAGAGAGTTCCATCGTGTACCAAGTCGAAGGCGGAATTCTTTTGAGTGACCACACAGTGTCGTTATATTCAATTGTCGCAGTAGTATAGAGTCCTCCATTGTTAAGGCGTCTGCAAATTCACATGGTGAAAGCCACTGGACGCGCCAAAGGAAATCCATATTGATGTTAAGGGGTTTTGCCCAATCTCCGTCTAGTGTCTGGTATGATCTGAACCGGTGATCCAATATTTTGATTATTTGTAACGCGCCCTTTAAGGATCTCGATGTCATAATGAGAGCTTCCATGGGTTCAATAAAGAGACAATGAAGCAGACGAACCGAAGATTCGCCCTTGAATCGTAAGGAAGAGGCATCTTCAATCGCCCCACGTAGGAAAGGGTCGGTGTCAATCTCATTAATGGACTGTTATGGTTAGATACTTTCTAATAAGTAGCGTTACTTCGGTCGTACTTCTCTTAATGTGGTTAACCATTCCCGATGGCACGTTTTTCTTAGGCAATTCTTATGAATGGCCACGCTGAGTGCTCCATATTACGATGAAAAACTTTCAAGATCCCCGCACAGACCAAAAACCGCTCTCAAAAGGTCGGAGAACCGGAGAAATGAAAGGTTTTGCTCGCTCTGATCACGTAAAGTAAGAGCTAGCGTTTTGATGGAAGTATCTGTGTCATTAAGTTTAGACAAAAAAGACCCCCAACCAGGATATTCTGGTGGAACGTCTTGGAAATTTTCAATCGTCTGGGGTATGCCACCATCCTCAAGTTGAAGACTGCGCAGTTGCTGCCGGGTCATGTCATCCGGATACCCATCAAGCAACACATTGGTAATTTCCCTCCTTAATGCGGTCCGAATAACATTATGATCTTCCTCTGAATGGTTTTGTAAGGATTCAATCTCAGGCACTGCGGATAACATACTTGAGAAGGAACGCTGAGGTAAAAGCGTTTTGTTTGGAAAGCTGATCATGTCGCTAAGGTATCGTAAGTAACAGAGGAAACAAAACTGAGCATATGAGCGAGCTTTGCTGGGTAGGTAGATCATTTATACTATATCTCACCTTACTAGGGAGATTCATCTGGTTTCGATATCCTTAAACTTTAGTTCCGGCTACATTGGATCGATTCTTCTAGGCATGCTTACTGGCGACTAGTTTCGCATATAGACCCTTAGTGTCTAGCTACAGGGATAAGCATACAGCAAGGGTACCGGCTAAATAGATTGCTTCACCTTCGGGGCTTCGATGAGCGACCTGACTTTCTCATTCATAGAAATCAATGCCTCCTTCATCTGGGAAGAATAACCTAAGCTGTCATGCCCGCATTTCAGAGTCAGTGGGAATTATATTTCAGTCTTGAAAATCTGATTGAGACGACGGATTCAGAGTTCTAATAACGCCGAGGACGCATTTTATGAGCACATAGCGAGCAGTGATACTGAACGAAGCTGAGAATATGTGAAAAGCCCAAGAACGATTTAGTCCCTTCTAGCTTAGACTCATGCTGCATAGAAAATAAACATGATGAAGGAATAAAGTTTCTGAAGATTATGGAGAAACCAGATGGCAAATACAGGACAGGGATCGAGCATGATTTTTCGTTTCTCGCTCAACACCAACAATTATTCAGTAGGGTAGATCCTATAAAATCTGGCTAGAGATGGTAATAGATGATTTGCCACTCATGAAGACACTCCAGAGCTACTCCATTTTAAAAGAAGGTTCGAATATTTTGTCGGTAACTTTGTCGGCAAGTCTTTGAAAGTTCACCCGGAAACGTTCAGCTGACTCTTCATCAGATTCCAATAAACTATTCGTCAAATCGTCTAGCTTGAGGAATATACCAAAAATTGGAGAGCACAGCTCGTCTGGTGGTAAAATTCCGTTCACAATAAGATTTACGACAGCAATGACAACTTGAGAATCTTGAACCTCTCCGATTCTAAGCCTTTCAACGATACTTGTAGGGGCATGTAGCAAGCTTGCGTCCAGTTCCTCGCATAGCTTTTCCTTCACTTGTTCTGTATTCACTGACATAAAAGCTGCGCTAATAAACTGGGCAACTTGGTCACGATTGATTTCGGGGTTTCCTTGTGCGGTGACTTGATAACATCAAGGGTTATATTAGCTTGCTTATCTTTCAGACACTTTGAATTGACATACACCATTCCATAACCAAAAGCTTTAAAACATTGCAAGCTACCATGATGTGAAATACTTAAAGTAGTGTTATCACATGGATGGGCCAGGAAAATGTTTACGTGGTGTGAAGTAGATAATTACTAGAAGAGAGCTGGGCAGTACTTAGGTAGTTATACATTCACTAATAGTAGACGGATATGCCCAGGTGCCAACCTGGGTAGATAACGAGGCTATTTTTAATCCAAGGTGGCAAAGAGTTTTGAATTTTTGGTTATATCTACTCGGCATTGTGGAAGATTTTAACGTATGACTAAGAAAGCTTTACATACAAATGACGGATTTCTGACACCTTGGCGCCTATCAAGAACTAATTAAGGATTCATGCATGAGCAACAGTCGACGTGCACTTAACTACATATAAAGGGTCTTTTCAATGTCGAATCAAGTAGTTTTTGATCTTAGCGTGATTGAATACACCATAATTTTTATCTGATTTCTCTTAATCTCGTAGTGTGTCAGCTATTAATCCAAATCAATTTAAAAATGTTTCAGGGCGTCTAAATTAGTATTCCTTGTATTTTTTGGAGGTACAGATAACTATAACTTCTTTTACACCACTACTAGGGTAGGAAGCTCAGCCCTGTATTAATAGAATTCCTCTTTAAAATCTCAGTGTTCTAAAGGAAATAGTTTTCACCACCTTTCCGTGCTAGATTCATCGCAATGTATTACTCGCTCTTGCCAAAAAATTCTTCAAAGGCATGATGCATCCAATCAGGATAAACCATATTATAACCCCGATAACTGCAATATCTCCTACCCGATCTAGTATTTCGGCCATTGTGGAATCTGAGAGGATGTTTGGGAATCTTTTATCTTTTAGGGTTGAGTTCATTGGAAATTACCTAGATCCAGAAATGAGTTAATAAACAAATCATCGAAAGTCGTTGAGGTCTTTTAATACTTACTCAAAGTAGAGTATCCTGGTGTTAGATCTCTCAGAACACCTTAGGAGTCGTCAGTTGCTTTTAACCTAGAGTAAGGGAATGTAGATTCTTAAGTAGGGTGCGGGTTAAAGGGATATGGGATTGTGTTGGTTTCTGGATATAGAATCTTTAAACAGGCTATGCAAGTTTACAAAGATCAGATTGAGTTCAGGCACAATACTATCTCCATCCTATTTACAGATGGAACTGCCATGAATCTGTCTATTATTGGGTTTAAGCGATCCTTCCCAATCATACAGATAGCATCTCTCACACACTTCATTTTATGGTCCCCCAGCTCCCACTGCTCTATCAGAGGAATATAAATCATTGACTCCTTGCCTTCTAATAGCCCTTGAAACTGAGCGAGGAGAACCGGCTTGTTTATATTCGAGGAATGAGTCGTGCAAATTAATTCATCAAAGTTGCGAATCTCAGCCTTTGCAAGTGTCTCGAGCCATTGCCGCTATAAAGAGTAAGATGAACTGCTGAAGAATTTGAGGATTGGGGAACCAACAGAATATTTATCGGGAGAGGTCACCAGTGCTCTTTCTCTCACTTGACTCCGAAAGCCATCCTCTTCAAGCCCGATATCTTGAAAGTCCATCCACGAATCTGAACGGTCTCTTTTCCAGCTGTAGACTTTGCATAAGTACAATATGGGCATACGTTTGCATTAGACTATACATACCATGTAAACCAAATCTTGATGAATCTGAGACATGACATCTTGAGAAGAATTTGCTTTGTATGAGAAAGGAAATTAACTTTAGAAGCAAGCCAAACCTTTAAGTACCCAGAGATGAATGGGTGTTCGCCATATTAGTAGCTTAGGGAAAATCAAACAACAAGGATAAATGATGCCATCTAGGAAAATAATTTATGGCTAAGCTGAAGTAAAGGGATGGGGGAGGTGATTATACATATGGTGCTTAATCTGTTTATGGCTTAGAACTCTTGGGAAGACAAGAGGTCTCATATTAAGAAGTCTTGCTACTTATACTGTCTCATTTATTTTAGACATAATTAAATAGTGTACCGAAATGACCGAGACTCCAAGAGTATTTGTTAAAGCTGCTCAAATAGACTATAGTCTTAATGATACTCGGTTTGGTCCTCGAGAATTTACCTTCGAATCTTTTGCAAAAAAGAATATCCGAAGTGAAAGGGCGGAACATTAGCAGACACTACAAATCAAATGTTCAAGACTTTTCCATTAACGACTAAGAGTAGATAAGATAAGTGAGCACGTGATACCCCACTATCCGTCGGGTCACATGGCGATAGGGTCGCAACTTCAGGCGCATTTTCATTTTTAGACCCCTCAATCTACTAGTCCAGCTCTCGGTCTTCCAGGGTCCTCCAGATTATACCCATCGAGAAAGAATCTGTTGCAAGAGTTCATCGGTTCATCTTTTCTCCAAAAATGCGATACAATCCAATCCCCCAAGAGTGGAAGAGCAATATTAATGCCTTACGACTCCTTATCGAAGGAGACCAAACAGATCATTTGAGGGTGAATAACCTTGGTTGGCAGTACGGTGGCAAAACATTCAACGATGCTGTCAATTTGCTGAAAGATGATATGAAAAAAGACCTCCAAGGCCAAGGCATTGACGTCAGTATGATATTACTTCTTCATAACCAATTCACTAACGAACTACCTCCATAGGTTGCTGGATGTACTGTGCGACATTTTTATAGAGGAGCGAATATTACCCCTCATGATCCAACAAAGCGATTATTGATTATTCCCATCAATGGGGTTTCGACTCTGTCCCCTCCAGGCCCTCCCAGCGGTGAATTACCGCTTGATACCTACTGCTTAATCGATGACCAACCGACTCTCTCTGGCCGAAATATTGATGTTATTTTCGTTGCATTCGACGCACGGAAGGAGAATCCATAGGCATTCAAATCAAATTCATTGAGAGCCATCTGTATGATCAAGAGACTGCTTGAGCTGAGGGTGTGTTGAACAGAGGAATAAAAATATCATTCGGTTCCAGTGGAGTATCATGGCTCGCTGTGTTTTGCCTAGAAGCAGCAGGCATGCGTAGCTCTGTCGTACTACAAGGGAATGAAGGTTGCTGAAAGGTTTGGGGTTCAAGATCTGGGCAGATCTCTTCACGAGGGTCAAAATCTGGGAAGATCTCTTCGAGGGGGTCAAAATCTAGGAAGATCTCTTGAAGGGGATCAAAATCAAGGAATATTTCTCCGAGGGGGTCGTTCTGTTGGGGTAAATGCGATTCAGTACTATTAGAATAGTCTGCAGAAACACGGCGAGCTTCTTGTGTAGTGCGGTCATTATTAAACCTATCGACTTGCGAAGTTATCGGTAAGCACGTCTTTTTATGATGGCCCTGCTTGGTAACACCACTAGACTCGAGCAAGTGTTTGCGGCTACATTGCTGTTTTCGAAAAATTTCTGTATATATGTGAGCTCTTGAGCTTATCAACGCAAAGAGGTTTTACTTACCACAAGACTTAAAGTACTCTGATTGGCATTCGGAAAGCCATCCTTCTTTCTGCTCGGCAAGATCTGACCACTCCTTTGATTCGTGGATCATTCTCGCTAGTGTGTGAAGATGCGAGTAGGCTAGGTCCCGAAATGCAGTGAACATTTGGATAGAAATCACGAGCCCTCCATGGCTTCCATAAATTTGCTCAAAAGCATGATATTTTAGCCCATGTTGTATCGATTTTCGGGTCTTTTCACCCTTAGACAAAATAGACAAATATTCAGTGATGTGACCCCGTGTCTTCGCCTCGGTATCTTTTGGGTCCAATTTCAAGAGCGAAGAACGAGAACAATGATAGGTTAACTGTGCCCAGTCCATGTAATCTTCGGCCCATGAGTATCGCCCCAGCCAGGCCCGGAATTTTTGGGAAGGGGTTGCGCGACCCTCAGAAAGTGCAATATCAACGTCGCGTGGATCATCTTCTGTCCAATTATGATTCTTGCATATTGCGTTATCGACTGACTTCTTCAGGAAAGATTGAATCTTTTTGGCATTATGCTGTAATTTCTCTATGAAGTGGATAACACCTGGCTCTATCACAGTATTATCAGACTGACCCAAATTTGGGTCTGGAGGTTGACGCTCAGATTGATTTTCGGATTGACGTTCGGATTGGTTTTCTGATTGATGTTCGGATTGATGTTCTGATTGATTTTCGGATTGGTTTTCTGATTGATGTTCGGATTGATGTTCGGATTGACGTTCGGATTGACGTTCGGGTTGACCTTCTGATTGATGTTCTGACTGACGTTCGGCTGATTGATTTTCGGATTGATGTTCTGATTGACGTTCGGGTTGACCTTCTGATTGATGTTCTGACTGACGTTCAGCTGATTGATTTTCGGATTGATGTTCTGATTGATGTTCGGGTTGACCTTCTGATTGACGCTCAGATTGATTTTCGGATTGGTTTTCTGATTGATTTTCTGATTGATTTTCTGATTGACGTTCGGATTGGTTTTCTGATTGATGTTCGGATTGATGTTCGGATTGATGTTCGGATTGATGTTCTGATCGACGTTCGGGTTGACGTTCGGGTTGACCTTCTGATTGATGTTCTGACTGACGTTCGGCTGATTGATTTTCGGATTGATGTTCTGATTGATTTTCTAGTTGATGGTCGAGCTGATGTTCTGTGTCTGGTGATTGGGAAGGACAGGCTGTGGGTAATGCCGCAAATTTGAGTGTATGCTTCAACGCTTCAAAGGCGACATATAGCTCTTGTCGTTGATGATGTGGTAGGTTTTGGATATTCAGATCTTGAAGATTCGTTGATAAGAAACTAGCCGCAAATAGAATTTCTTTCAGAATACACATTTTGGGTAGACATAGAACTTAGTTTAAGTGGGACGAGTGGGATAGCTAGAAATATTAAGACTCAGACTGTCGGGTCTTGGCTTTGGCCCGAGGGCCAAAGCCAAGACTTTTTGGGATGTTACTCTTCTGATGTAGTGGTTCCTGAATCCAGTGGACATTCCGCAGTACTGACCCCCTCTTTTCCCGGGCTGATCCGCCTAGATACGGCGAATTAAAAGATAGGTGCTGAGAAAAGACCCAGTTCGCTAGTGGGTCTATCTGCTTAATCCGCTACTATGATTTGTCTAGCGATATGTAGATATAATAAAGCAAGGTATGTATAGTACGTATGCAATGTGATGATGTGATGATGTGATGTGGCGATGTGATATGGATATCTCTTGGAGGGTACAGACTGGGATGGTGGCTTTTGAGTATCCGATCAACGCCCATGGTCGGACCCTTAGTATTCTAGAAAAGCGCACTACGTGTTTAGGTCTATGCGTATACCAGCTGTGTCCTTATGCTCCTGGCTTGCTCCGTAGAATTGCTTCGTATTCCCGATATTAAGGATAAATTTCAGGCTGGCTTTAAATCTCTAATGCCTATTACCCCGCTTTCTTACCATATCAAGAGAGTGCGAAAGTGACGATTATCTCGTGAATTTTTCAATGATTACAAATGAGAATGAACACCGCTGCAATCTTCATATTGTCCCTTTAATAGGCAGTGCACGGCAAGATGGGCCAGTATTGCCAGCATCACCAGCATTCCCAACTTGACGTCCTCAAGTGCTACTCAGGGCTGTAGGTTATTGGCGTTTACAGGAGCTTCCATTCTATTGGCTTGGGGAGCTTCACAGCTCCACTGGTCAAATGACAAAAGAGCGGTGAGAGGATCTGCTGACCTGTCTCATTTGTCCAACTGCAGGCTTTAGCTGATCCATATACATTTTAAGTTATAAATAAGCCTAGTTTGTTATTGAATACCCCTTTCCTCCTCCAACTATCTTCCTATCTTGAGCATCAGGAAACGAGTGATTTTGGTTACTCTAAGAAACTGCAGTGAATGTATGTATGTCTTGACACAATTTCGTTGCTAGAATGCTTATTGAACATTTTCCATATATTCCAGGCCATTTATGATGACCGAGTTCAAGCCATCCGAGTTCAAGCCATCCGAGTTCAAGCCATCAGAAGAATGGAACGCGAAGACACCTGAAAGAGGATATCATCATTGTGATGGAGTCTTCGTCAAGCGAAGTCTAAGACCGAGTGAATATGTCACATCCTATAAAGGTGGCCTCCATATCCCACGTCTAGGAATAGAACGGCTCCAGAATGAAGCAGAATCCCTTCGATTCCTCCGTCGCTTCAGCAATATTCCTGTTCCTACTCTATATGCTGCATTCGAAGTTGATGGAGCTTTCTTTCTTATCATGGAATATATTGAGGGCATCGGGATGTCCGCTTTGCCTGAAGACCAGAAGCAACGGGTGTGGCCTGAATTACAGCAGTATATTACGGCCCTTCATGAACTTAAGTCCCACAAGCTAGGAGGCATCGGTGATATTGTTATTCCTCCTTGTCGAGTTCTGGAACGTACCGGGAAGGACTCGGACTCTTGGCCCCGTAAGGAATCACAGAGTCAGGAATATGTATTCTGTCATAACGATCTCTCACAGCACAATATCATCGTTGATCCAGATACGTTGAAAATAAAAGCCATTATAGATTGGGAATATGCAGGATTCTTCCCGGAATACTTCGAGGCTTCTTTCTACAAAAGAATTGGACCATCATCTGCGTTAGATGGAGAGCCTGACGATGTACCTCTATTGCTGGATTTTCTTCGATCTTAAATTACAGAGACTTCTACAGTGAAGATTCATTTCTTAATAAAGGCTTATTTCTTGTAACTCAGTCAATTCAAAAGAATACAGTGGAATTCAAAACGAGCGGTTAACTGTGTCGCCTCTCGAATACATTGAGTAATCAAAGCCGGTGGTGACTATGGATGTTTAGTCTTGGAACATAATCTGAAGAGATTTGATCATACATACTAGGAATCATTTCCCAGAATTTCCAGACGCTCGAGAAGCTCCGCCACTTCCAGGCTTTCCAGGGGTTTTAGTGCCTGCGGGTGGAAGAGTACTGTTCGCTAGGTTTTCAAGGTGAACATTCGTACCACACATGGCACATTTAGCTTGAGAGGCCGAAACTGAGGCTTTGCAGCCGGGTTTGGTGCATGGAACAATATCAGGCATTTTTGTAAGGATGACCTGATTGTAAAACAGTCAGATAACACTACAGTAACACAGGCGAGGTGGGCACAAACCTCAAATGCTGGATGAATATTTTGTTGGATCGCAAAGGACTTATCGATAAATACTAGCAGAGAGGAAAGTAGCCCTAGAATAGAGGAATGGATGTTATTTATATGTCTTCTGTTTCAGGTCCAGGAGTCAGATCCATGTTGTCAAGAGAGTTTTGTTTGATTAAGACATCTAGGACTTAAAACCCCCTTCTCCTATTGTCAGTTAACCTGTGAAGCAAGACCTCGTTCTAGAAAGTACTAGGAGAGTTATTCTATTTGATCCATATGTATCTTTGATAAAGCCTCCAACCCGGCACTATATTATAGTCCTAAAAATTTCACTCAGCGGTGTTGAGTTTCCAAATTTTGTGATTTTCGCTTTGCGCCTTGCAACAGCACGACAGATTCTTTTCAGGATGGTGTGTCGAGTGGCTGGTATTTCATAAATGCGCAGCAGATCTATATTAATTTGGTTTATGCAACTGTGGCTCACTTTTGATATTCCTTTCCTTATAAATTTTAATTAAGGTGCAGATGACTGGTACACCATTTTGTAGACTCTTGAAGAAACTGCAATTAAAAATAATAAGGCATTAAGTACCATTGGCAATAATAGGGTCGAGGTGTTGGGACTGAAAATAATTACAGATGAAGCCAGACTAAATATCATAACTCAATCACTCAAGGAGCTTGGAGCTGAAAAGCAAGCCAGCCACTTCGGCTTCAGTTGATCCAGACGAGCCAACCACTACGGCTTCAGTTGATCCAGACGAGCCAACCACTCCGGCTTCAGTTGATCCAGACGAGCCAACCACTCCGGCTTCAGTTGATCCAGACGAGCCAACCACTCCGACTTCAATATCATGGAGCAGCGACTGAAAATCCACTTATTCAGATCGTCAGACGAGGGCTTGTTATCCAAGATAGCGTTCAAGCTTTTTCGACATGTTTGAATTCGGCCTGATCTGGGAGAATTCAATGAACAAAGTGCAGGAACAGAGCCACATCAGAAATGTGTTCTTCAGAATCTTATCCTGACCTACGATGTTCAACAGGGTAGACCTCTCGGGAAAATTCAGTTTGCTGGTATGGACGGTGCTTTTTTTGAAACTGAATTTTGTAATCTACCCAAGCTTTCCTCCTTGTTCCTCGACTCAGATCCTGCGTTAGCCTTTTGGGGGAAGTCCTAGGGATTGGCAGTCGTTGTGCATGAGATAAAGTATCGCACCTGGAGCTGACTGAATTATTCACTTGTCATTTCTTTTGGTGTTTTGATGTTTATCTTGGGGCATCTGGTAATGAGTCAACCGTCAAATTTGAGTTTATACTTCAAACAATTTGCCTCTTTTACGCTATACACACTTTTGGTCTACTCTAAAGAAAAATGTTTCTGTAAGCGGATAGCCTGATTGATGGATATAAAACCTCTCAAGTTCCTAAGATTTCCTTTAACCAAGCACTACTCCACTTGCTAGTTCCAAAGCCAAGTTTATCTCTGCCCCGCCACGCACCGTAAGTAACAATATACCATCCGATAATCCTTTTACTTACAAATCTGGACACAAGATGTGTATCTTCACTACCAATATCTTTCAATCCTGTCGTGACGACAACGGGGTATCCATCAGGCAGTATCGATTCTGGAATTGCCGTAAGGATGGGTGTTCGAAATGGAGCCTTGAGACCAAACGTTGGTTAAAGCCATGTAAAAATTGCGTCCACTGTGTCTATCTTGAGCATGCGGGATTTCCCGTGCCAGTAAATGCTACACCAGATGGCGGGATGGACGAGCTATCAGACTACTTGATACAATATGGCCTTGCTGAAGAGGTCCACAGGGAGGCCAACAAATCAGATCTTCCAACTCAACCCCGGAAGGAAGCGTGGTGGACCTTAGCAAGTTAATAGCAGTCGGGGTGTGTACACGGAGATTACCTAGCCCGACCCCATGTTCCTTGCGTCTTAACGCCTTATGTCTGTTAGTCCCTAAAGTAACATGGAAAATTCCTCAAGCAGTCTAAGCCAAAGTTTCTTCATTATAGATGTAGAGTGAATTTAGCCCTAGCAGCCACTACGAATACGTCGATTCACACAGAGCACTCTCCCCTATCAGGATTTCAAACGTTCCAGGAGTCTGTCCTGGTCACTAGTATCACTCCCAATCTAAATATAGTTAAGAAGTATCACAAATTTAACACCACAATGTCTAGGCCCCACTATTCATAAGCTGTTATGGAGGTTTCTGATTGTTATGGCTAAGACCCCGGGTCCTCTTGCTTGCTTCGTAATAGCTAGATGTATGAGCATCTCTTCTTATCTCCTTACTCGGCATGATCTCTAATATCTAGGAAAGTACAATATTGGTTAGTCGGTTCCTCACTCACTTATATAAACACCATGTTTATCCACTCCCTGAGATTCCACAATCCTCCAAACTTTGATATGACTATGGCCATGCCACAGGGCTCTGCATCTCCCCATCCATCAGAAGATATTGAAGTTCTGATGAAGATGGAAGGATTGGATGAGGAGTATCATGATCGCTCGGCGCTTGTGATGAAAGGCGAATGGCTCACAAGGATGCAGATCGGCGAGGTTGAAGGGCCTTGGAGAGAATTTAGCCAAAACTTTCTGAACTCGAAACAAGCAATCAATCATCCAGTTGCTCAATTTCATGGTATGTTCGAATCACACATAGACACCTTAGAAGAGGTATATTAAGAGCCTATAGAAACTCCCATTTCAGCAATCACCGAGACACACATTGAACAATCAAACCCTAGTGTCCCTGCTTGTGGTGTTCACTATTCTGGTTCTCCACGGACAAATGACTTCAGGGTTCACACGGAAGTATTAGGTGGCCAGACGGAAAACCGAGAACTCCTTGACAATATTCTCCCCTCGGTTTATTCGCAAAGCATGTTTATACCGGAGGTTCACGGTGGGATCCTGTCACAAGGGGCATTTTGCCCACAGCCTGCTAATACGCAAATCATGGGAATTGAAGAATCTGCACCCATTTACGTTGATTTCACTCAAGACGAGAAAACTCTTACGTCGATACCTAGGCCAGATTGGCCCCAAGATTTTCAGTCAAGGCAGATTGGTCTTCCAGCAAGCGAGGTCGATGAGAAGCCGTCTTTCTCCCAATTTCCCCCCAACTTCAATCGACTACAGAGCAATATGACCTCTGATAATCCGATCGGATCCACTTCTACCAGGGATTCAAGTATGGGGCTTCATCATCTCCGTCCTAATTTTGATCGACCCAGCAGAGAAGAAATCGTCAATTCAAATTCACACTCCCACTACCTGCTGCCTTGGACAGATAGTCACCGCGGTGAAAACCTCCAGGTAATTATATCAATGACCCGTCCATATCTTCCTATCTTCCGCTCAGTTAATCTTGACAATTTAATAGGAGTTAGAACACCCAAATGATTATCAATCACTTGGCCAGCCACATTTTGATCAAATCAACAACACTAGTGTTACGCGAACTACATCTTTGAGCCAACCCGAACCTCCAAGCATGCCTTATGCCAGATCTCCATCCAATGAAACCCTGGCGTTAATTAAGCTCCCATACTCAAAATTGATTTTCAATGCCCTCTCGAATGCCAAGGGCCATCGACTATGCCTCAGCGACATTTACGCTTGGTTTAAAAATAATACAAACAGGCCTCAAGGGAATTGGGATGGGTGGAAAAATAGTATCCGCCATAATCTCTCGGTGAATGAGGTACGTTACTCAATCTTAGGCGCTAAGGACCGCTGAATTTTTCTCAAGTCTAATCCATACAGGCATTCACATCAAGACGAATGCCGGACCAAAACGGCGAATTGGTCTGGTATTGGTGCCTGACTGACAAGGCGATTCGAAGAGGAACAGTTGACCCTACTTGTTGGCATCGGAAGGATAATGGCTATAAAACAAAGAAGCGAAAGTGAGCGCAATACCTTCGAGCCGACTGGAGAGGATTTTCGAACTGGGCAATGCATGTTGGAAAGTCTCCTGTAAAGGGAAAGACATATACCATGTTTTCCAGTACAAGATACTTCAAGAAGATTCATTTAATTGGACTGGAGAAGACTTCTGCTGTATTGTATCTAAAGCCAATGAAATTGATTTTCCGAAGTTTTTTGTGTCCATGAATGGACGTTATCTTCTTCAACCATATTCCTCACATGGCACTTCATGGTATCCTCTTACAATTGAATCCAGCGAAAGCACATACGATGGCAGCTTCGAAACGAGTCCTTTATCAGTTCTTAGTCAAACCCCAACCCTAGAGGACAACAACGTGGATGATGACAATATTATCAAAGAACGGACTGAAAGGGACAGGAGCGCAGGAGGACGCGAAGGGAGGGATTCGTTGCTCGAAAATAGTCCTGACCCTCTCCAATTTGAAGAATTCGCCGCATTTTTACCACGCAAGGGATATATGAACAAGCGAATAGACCGATATTTTAAGTCGGTCTCTCCGGTAATGTGTAGTTAAACCCTGATTATTCCATCAACTAACATGGATACAGGTTTTTTACTGTCTCTTACCGACGCAGTTTCAAAAGGAATATATGATATTTTGCCAAAGTCCGGAAAGGGTACCTCTCTCATGGCTATCATTACTATTTGCGATTTTGGCATTAGTGTGTCGCGCGGACGATACATCGGATGACCTCACTTGGGCCGGTTTTGACAGACTGGCGAAAATTTACGAATTGAAAGCTTTAAGTCTTTCCCTCAATGTGGAGCCGTCGACGAATGTATTAAAGGCGTTGGTGCTGATCATTTATGGGCGTATCCATCGAAGAGAGAATGTATCTGAGGACCTTCAACTGGCATGCAATATGGCAAATTCAGTGGCCTGCGTTGAATGTGCTGCCCAAGCTTCATTTTGTGATGAACATTGTATGATTTTCATGTGTTTAAGTATATTGCTTTTCATGGACAAGCAGTTATCCAATCATGGTGGGGGAAATTTCTCGGAAAGCAAACAATTCTTAAAGATGATGGACAAGAGGAACAATGATGGGAAATACAGCTTTGCAATGGATATGGAAGCAGGCGAATTGACAGAGAGAAGGTCTACGATGCTGCAATTTCACGTTCTCAAAATCTCAGGCAGGCTCCGTCTGGCTGCACAGCGGGAGGCAGAGAAGCATTGTGTTGAGGTTTATAAGCGGTTGAAGTCTTCAGAACTGGGATCTTGGCAGAGATGCGGTCCTCATACTTGGGAGTACATCATGAAGTTTACTCTGCTATGTGTTTACTTACCCTATCTTCAACATGACATTGATGAAAGCACCGCGCTTTCTCGCAAGTCAGCTACCATCAAGTGCGTTGATTACGCAAAGGATTTGATATCAAAATTGTCTAGTCAGCAATCCGGTGCTTTTGATTGGTATGGTCGAGGATTTGGAGACTACTATGCTGACCTGTCAAAGAAGATTCTCACCGGAGAATATATAGAGCGGGATCTTATCCTTTTTACGAGCGCTTTGAGTTGCTCTTAGGGCAAACTCAACCCCATACACGGGGAATTACAAGCTTACTGGTTGTCGGAAGCTGATATAAAATTGTCGAGATGAACTTGAATGGGCTCAAGGACATGTTAATAAAAACTATACATCTAGCTCTTTTGGAGAGGTAGCATCTAGACTATTCGAGTTCCTTCTGAATTTGCAGTCAGAAATTATCTGATAAGCCTATTTGTTCTGGCTTCCCGCAGTTTTAAGCAAGGCTTGGGCCGCAAACTCCCTCGCCGTGACCGAGTAGTGAAAGTCATGCAGCCTGCGCAGTTTCTCTATGGTGGCTCCGCCTCCCTTGCCTTGGAGCTAGCTCAGTCCCACACAAAATATTAGACCGACGCAGAATCTTTTGTTCTGAATGCCTCTGGGTTCCTTTCCTTGATTAAGCCCTGCACAAGTATCAACTAGAGTATACAGGTTCCACAACTAATATCTATGACTTTTGACTAGTATTTATCGAGCTATATAGGTTCCCTCTTTCTCCCAGACTTTTATGAAAAGTCAGAGCCTCTCATACATTGGCGCGGAAAGGCTCGCAAGCTTCCATCGGCCGGTTAGAAACGCTGTAAGTACAGATTATTCTAATCATACATTCGCCAAAAGACTGACATGAGTAGTGCACCAATTTCAAATGCAGAGAGCTTCGATTCAAAGTTCAAATTGGCCAAAAACTTTGCATTATGTGAAGCTGTGCTGTAAAATAGGAACAAAAACTGGCACAATACGTACGACGATCCTTCATTTTTACACGCGCTCAAATCTGATTAGCAAGCAGTAGTTTTCTCATGATGGTACCTCGCGGTTGCACGACATGCCTGCAGAATGGAGGGACGTGCGACTTGCGCGGACCACCTTGCGGCATATGCTACCGTCAAAATTCTAGATGCCAGTACAGTGGATTTCGAAAACAGATTACCCCCCCAGACACACACACACTTTCTTTCCCAGCGCTCCACTCGGACTGCGTTAAGCTAATTCTGGCTAGGTGGATCCCCTTTCAACATGACCCCGTATCATTGGCTATGGAAGAATCTAGAACCAGGGCGATCTGGACTAGGCGCCAAAGTGGGTCTCCGGGAGAGTAAAATATATATCTAGGGGGTAATCTGTTTTTGAAATCCACTGTATGAGCTGGACTATGCTAAATTGGGTGTGGCGCAACAGACCGCAGGCCCGTCCTCCGAAGCCCAGTCTTCATCGCCTTCAATCTCTTTTTCATGGGACGAGTCCGCATCACTCAGCAAAGATAGGAGACGAAAAGTGAGCGCCGATGCATCCAAGCGCCATCGCGGCCGTATTCAACAAATTGACAAGTTGAAGCATGAAAATGACCTCCTGAAGCAGCAGCGAGATTACTACCGACATTGGATGAATTATTACCATCGTCTTCTTCACATGGAATCCGTCGTCGCAATGCAACCACGTCCAGCAACCCCAGGTGAATGGTATACAGAGAACTTCTCATGAGTAGGCACTGGATGTCTCCGCCATCTAGCAAAAAGTGTCGCAAGCTCCAATATCGGCCGATTAGAGTCGCTGTAAGGTTATGCCAATCATACATTGATTAAAAGACTAACATGCATAGTGCACCTACTGTAGACGCAAGAGGCGTCGCTGCGAGATTGAAATTGGTCATCGATTTTGTACACGCTGTTGGCGTTTAGGCCTGGAGCATCAGTGTGAATTCGAACCCGTATGTTGAAAGACATTCGACACGAATATGTGGCAACGAGCCACCGGAGATGGAACGAACTCTAAACTCACATGTTTCCAGGTCATTCAAAAGCCGCTGACGAACAAATTTTCTGAAGAAAAAGCCCGTTTGGGTGATTCTGACTCCAATGTTCATTTAGAGCCTGCTTTTCTACACATGCCTTCCCATGAGGCTACTTACTCAGCAACTCTGTCTGACCTCAACCATGTCGGAGACAGAACGTTGCCAGGCGCCCATGTTGAACGGCCATATCCTCTGCGCACCCAAGAATATCTGCCTGACCAGGCTAAGCTGATCACTGAGAACCAGAAGGGTTACATTACTGGAGAGGATATGCTTCAACCCAATATGATGGCTATAAGCCAACCCGCACGGACTCAAGATCTACCTAAGATGAATCACAAGCCATTATTCACGGGGTTTGAGCATAGTAAGTAGAGGAATCTTTCCTTAATTGCACCGGCGCTGACAGCGCAGTCGTCACTCTATCCGATGATCAAGGTTTTTTCGTGAGACCATCGCCCTCTCTCCTACAAGCCTGCCTGAAGAAATATCACTTTTTGTCACCTACTCAGCCCGTACCATCTTGGTACTTCTACGTGGTTTTGATGGAAGAATCAGTCTACTATACCAGAAACAGCCCACTTGGGAAGACCCTCCTTTGCATGTTGTGCCAACATGCGGAAACAGCGCCGGCTGAAGGGTTCGCTTTCAATAAAATTGTCCTCTCTTTACAGGAAGAGGTTCTAGTACGATACGATGTTTTTGATATGGCGAGCTACGAAGGTGGACATGATGCTATCAAGAATCGCAAAATGTACAAAAAGCTGTGATGCAGCGTTTTGATCCAGTCTATGAGTCAGAAATGTATCCCGATGAGTGGCTGATCGAACTATGTACCTCTGCTTTCCAGAAAATATCGCTCCAAGGACCCCTGGAAGATCTGGCGCACTCATTTGAGGTCTTGCGGCACTGAGTTTAGAAGATATGTACGAAGTTGAATGATCCAGTCTCAATAAAACTATCGAAATAGCCACAGCCCTTTCGTGTCGACACCGACTTCCTGTGGTGTATTCAGCAGATACCAACAGAGGACTTGGCTAGAACGTCGTGGGCTCAGGACGCCGATCTGAAAATCGGGGAAGAGATGGAAGATAATGGAGGCAATATCCTAGAGCCTGGAGTTTCGATGTCATAATTATCTATGTGCGGTTATCACACGACGTATCACAATAAATGACATGATACTTTTCTTTTAGATTTTCACGACAAATCGATTATTATTATGGTCCTCCATAGCAACCACTTAAGGCCAAGCAAAGATATATACCCTAAGACGGCCTAGTGGGGAGCCTTGTCATTCCAAAGTATAAAAGGTACAAGTACGATTGCCCCTGCAATTTTCATCGCTCGTTTTTCTTCAGCAACAAATAAGTCCCCTTCTGTATGACGAAGAGAGATTTCGAAAGAGTCCTATTCAAGTCCATCATTTAGAATTAAATGCCCAAGCCTATTCTCGCACATCATCATGGAGACCATTATTTGCGCCATATCTGTTGCACTTTATGTTCTTGACCTAAAGATCAAATCCGATATAAGAGCCATCGAGGTTTGCCTTAAATCCCTTCTGGCAATTACATGGGCTGCGTGTTGGGTCTTATGGCGCAGAGGATCGAGCTTTTGTCTAGCCTGGATATGCCTTGCCACTGCACTTATTGAGGGATACCTCATACTGCGCGCACATGATAATGCAGCCTCGAACCGCCGGCCTTCCGTCTTCGTTGGATTTGCTATCGTTTTTGTTTTCAAAAGTACTTCGCGAATCTTCAAATACGGAGCTGAACTGAAGTTGGCATGGATGAACATAAGAAAGCTCTCTACTTTTGTGGAGCTTGTTCCTCTCAAAGACCGCAAGTCGCAGTTCTGGTTTGCAGTTCGCATTGTTTGCTGTTTCGGGAACTGTATTCTTCGCTTTTGGATTCCTCGACAAATATCAGTTTTCATGGAAAGCTTATCAGCAGAGAACAGCAGTTCTAGTCTGAAAATATGGGCTCTCCTAGACATTATTTTGAAGTTGGGATCATTCTCCCTCACAGAATTTGCGACAGCAAATAATGTTTATTTCTGGACACGCAAAATCCAGGTTACCACATTACGACATACCTTGAGCCTTCCTTTGGATATCAATCCTCCGCCAGATTTGCCAAAAAGGAAGAGTCCAATACATAAAGCTGAAATGGTTGCACGGCTCTTCGATAGTTTTCTTTTTCGACTTCTACCTCCCCTGGTTGAATTGGTGGTTGCGTACATCATCATCTGGAGTAAATTCGGGTTATTGATCTCCCTTATAACACTCTTGGGATGCTTACTTTATATCAATTTCGATACAACTACGGCAGAAGAGAGTGCAAAGGAAGACCTGATAATAGTGGCAGCAGGCGAGAGACACGAAAGAGCTACTTCCCTAGCCTTAACTCATCCTCTTCTGATGAATGCTTATAACGCAGTGTCTTACCATTGTGCTATTTTTGAAAACTCTCTTATTGAATGGCATAAGGTCTCATGCGATCATCACGTGGCCCAAATATTCAAAGTTTTATACCGCAAACCGATACTGGAGCTATCCTTTTTCTGGGTGATCATGATGCTCCACCAGCTCGGAGCATCGGGAGAAGATATTACCTTTTTGACCTTCTTCTGGGGAGCAACTATTGAGAGGATTTTACCTGTGCTTGGTGGGCAATTCAAAGGCGTGGTTAAGCTTTGCCTGCAATTCAATGACTTTTACAAAATACTGGAAAAGCCAATCATCAAGGATAAAAAGGATGCTCAGCCACTTTCTACAGGCCAGATCGTGTTTAAAAACGTAAAGTTCTCTTATGATGAGAAGGCTCTTTTAAAAGGCATCAATTTCACGACAAAGCCTGGTCAGTTTGTCGCATTGATGGGGCTGAGCGGCTCTGGGAAGTCCACATTATTGAAGCTCCTTACCAGACTGTATAATCCTTTATCAGGCTCGATTGAAATTTCAGGTGTCGATATTATGGATATAACCTTGGACTCGCTGCGCAAGGCCATAGCGTTTGCACCATCAAGGGACGATCTGTTTGATGAACTGTCGATAATGGAGAACTTACAATACCCCCAGCTGGACCCTGAACAAGGAATTGCGGATGGTGCTATCTTTGAAGCATGCCGTCGTTCAATGATTCACGAAAGCATTTGTGCTTTGCCAAACGGGTACAAAACTATAATCGGGAGTTTATCTGATGGACAGCGGCGCCGCGTCGGGGTCGCACGAGCTATTGCAAGAGTCATAGCCATGGGTGCTTCCATTCTTGTGCTTGATGAGCCAACCAGTAATCTGGATCCTGAAACTGCAGCAAATATCCTCCGCCAGCTGCAAAAATTGGACTGCACTGTAATCATATCTGTAACCCAGGTTGAGACTGCTCAATATGCGAAGAAAATTTTCGTCTTAGATGATGGAACGATTGATGAATTTGGATCACACTATGACTTGATATCAAAAAAGGGGAGGTACTGGGACTTTTGCCAGCAAGGCTCTAAGGCTGAAAATATCAATTACAATGATGTGAGGTGATAGCCGTCGGCTACCAACCCATGCTGCTTTATTCACATGTCCTGGAATGTTCTTTAGTCTCAAATACGAACTTTGCTTCAGGGATAATGCAATTCGAAAGTTCTATACATCTTCCAGCCTCTTTCTCCAGCTTATGATGGTCAGCTGCTGCCCTTCAATTAGGTTGCTGAGCTTTCTAATTTTCCTGAGTCTGGAACCACTCGAGAGATCAAAGCACCCCTGACGATCCTATCTCGTATTTTGACATGCGTTAAATCATGAGGGGATACCTGTCTGAGAAACAGTAGCCGGCTTAGGGCTGGATACATCTCCTTAGTACAATCAATTCATTGTCATCGAACGTTGCCTCCCAACCCCTTCAAAAAGAAGAAAAAAGAATTATCTTCCCAGGGTGCCAGCTCTGCTTCTAAGAATAGTCTGCACAAGCGCCTGTGCACTAAGGATGATTTAAGACCGGTCCGGCCGTCTTATTCGGCTGGCCATAAAAGAATTCTTTAATGGCCTGTGCACCTAGCATATTATAAAGAGCACTGATAACAAACGCGACTTACAAGAAGCTTTTTGGCACACGGGCATTTTTTCAAAGTACACGCGTCTATGTTTTTTACTCATTGATAAAATCTGTCGTTTGAAAGCATAAGAGGTATGACTTCCCCCTGGAATGACTTGAATGAGCGGCCACTTTTCATCGCCTGTTCTGAAAAGAAAACCAGATCACTTGGGTATTATGAAGGCCGCTTGCAAAGAGATCGCAGCAGGTATTGAAGCCCTTGTTTACAAAATATATGCCAAGCTGGTCCATTCAGAGGTATTCATGAAAATTAATTATCACTGGGCATTGCTAATCATTGACAAAGACGATAAGCGAACCGGCGACACGAGTGAATGGGGAACAAATTCACATCACCAATACAACACACTTAACAAAAGATAACTACATCAGAGATATAATGGCGCCTACGGAGCAACCAAGCAAGGGGGGGAATTCGTTTGAAATGAGAACCTTGCGAAGTAAACTATCGCAACGTTTTGCCGGTAGGACTACGCCACCTCCCAGCACAGAGTCCACACCGGCCAAAGCTACCAGGGTGCAAGCGATCGAATTCCACGATACAAAGACAGAATTTGTTATCGAGGTTGACGATAATGATGAGAGGACAGTACGCCGATATCATGCCTTTAATGTTCTGGACCTTGATGGGGCAGAGGAGGCAATTCAGAAGTTCCACTCCCATATTCTGCCCAAGGGAGGGCTACAGCCAAAGAATTGGCGAATAGAGCCAGGTCATGAGGTAACATTGCGCCTAGCGGCGGCGAGTAAAGCCCCTATTTTCATGGAAAGGGGAGTTGATGGCAACTTTTTCATATCAATAGCACCTGGAACGTCTTGGGCTCAGGAGAATGATCAGAAAACTGGGAGCCAGATGAAAGATAACGGAGACAAGAGCGCTCCAGAATGCGCAATTTTGACACCATAATTATATGTACGAGATTTATCTTGTGTATGTTGGAGAATGAATACAGAGTTTGAAAAGCCACAAATTCTTGCACCTTAGCCTCACAGAATGAAATAGATAGAGGCACTGAGCCTTGACATCATGATTATAACGAAGAACCTGCAGGAGCTTGGATGTGTTTCACGAATTTTCCAGCTGCATGATAAGCTTCAGCATATCGAAGGCCGCGCTCAGGACAGGGACGTAAACACAGCAGGCCCAAGCATTTTTGGTCTCTCACAGATGTCATTTCCCGGGCTCCGAAACTTCTTCTAGATGCAAGCCACTTACTGTGACTATGTGATCAACTTAAATTATTTTTGTCTTATTTGCTGGAGTAGTTGACCCCATGTATGCCCGAACTAATACCATTCCCCTGTCTAAATATCGTACGGTGACCGGGAAATTCCTTAGTTCTCCAAGGCATACATATACTAAGAAAAAGCCTTTGAAGCCCGCAAGCCTGCAAAGAGTTGGCTCTTGATTGACGCATAATACTCAACCCCTCTTTGTCACATGTATAGCACTGTGCAAAAAGTGATAATGAGGTCCAGAGTTCGGGGCTCATCCACTCCTTGTAGCGCCCTGGCATCGCTCGGGCCTATGGATGAATGGGTAGAATACAGCTACTACTCATGGCGATGTGATATTGAAGGTGATAGGGAATTGTTCAGACCTCGCTCTCAACTGTCCAAAGCTGGCTTTTGTAGACCTAGAAAGGAGTCTTTTGATGACCCTTGCAGATCGGAAACTAGTCCCGAATAGCATATAATTGGAATATATACCGCTCTGGCTCATGTCTGTCACTGAGAACTTTTGAACATGAGCAGAACTTACATCTCGGAGCCCTCCGGGGAGCTTCCCTTGATCCCTGGCCGCTGCTCGTTCTCTCAACTCCTCCTGATATTCTCATATGTGGTCGCTGAAAGCGGTTTATCCGCTGTGCTTGGCGATCACCGACAATGCTATGATCTTATTTCCCAAAATGAAGAAGACTGGGTCCCACGCGTGGGCCCGGAAACGTTTCACGAAATGAGACACAATGGTTGGGACCAGATAGACCAGGATACTCGCAACGATTGGGAGATAGTGCGTCTCTGGATGCACGAGAGCCTGATTTGCGACGTCTCAGCACAACAACTGCGCAACCATCTCTGCTGTCTCCTTACCCGCATTGAACAAGTCTCTGCACAGGGGATCAACGTGCTCTACGCCCCAAAGATGTTTTCTGGAACGCTCGACTCCAAAATCGGTGCACAGACGAGCTTGGCACTGATTTGTATCAGTCTAAGCGTGACTCCAACTACATACGAAAAGTTCTCACAATCAGCGATATGGTCTTGTCCTACCAAGCTGATGCGCTCCAAGTTGCAGCGTTCTCCGCTTTTCTCAAATCAGATATATCAATCCGACCTTGATGCTGCTACAAACTCCTTATTCATGATCCTACGCGAAACTGATTTCCAAATGAAGCGCGTTGGGCCGCATGATGTGGCGTTCCGAGATCCAAGAAAACATGAGATGGGGTATGCAAGACGCGAAGACAATCCCATCCCGTCATCTATCGACCTACCTGGACAAAAAGTGGACAGCGGACTCTGTGGAAACCGAATCAGAGGATTCAGCGCAGACTCTCGGCCAGGCCAAGACGAGAGACGAGGTCGACGGAAAACCATATAGAGTAGAGATCGCCAGGTAGAATCAATGGATATAATAAAATTGTCATCGCTCTTTGCGTACGTACTGGATGTATCCCATGTACAAGGACCCGTGTGTCCAACTAGGATTTGTATGTTAATATCGTGATAGGCCGACGATATGGGACGGTGCTTCAATCGCTCGTAAAAACCTGCTCACCGATAGCCAGGAATGCTTTTTCGGGTCATGTGTTCCCAAAGAGGTACCTAAAATTATAGGTGCCTCTTTAGGAACAGCCAGCATAAAGGGCCCTTAATATCCCTAGTAGCTCCCTAGTAGATTAACCCAACACGTCTTATGGTCCAAGCTTAAATAAGCGAAATACCACAAAGTAGAAGTTTTATCAATTTCCAACTGGACCTTATCCAGATTCATCCCTACTCCTATGACCGAGCCTAGTCAAGTAAGTATCTTGATACTTGAAGTCATTGATAACCATTACTGATTATATGATGATTAGAGTGATTCTACAATGGGTTTTCCTCCGAATCTACTATCACTGCCTCTCGAGATCTTGTCCATGATCACAAACCTCCTAGCTGCGCCAGATTTACTCAACCTGATAACTTGTAGCCGATCCTCAAAAGCAATTTTCATGGGGCATCTCTGGAAGAACCATTTTCATTTGGCTTTCATATGGGCTGCAAAAAATGAGTACGATGATACAGCGGCGTATGCGATGAAATTCAGACCCCCAAATCTCCATGCGTATACCGAGCACTATGCGGGTTATGAGGGACTCATATTTGAAAGGCCTTTTTTGTCAGAAGCTGCGGCCTATGGGCTTCCAAAAACTACATCGCTCCTCCTCGACCAAGGATTGGATGTAAACTACATCCAGCCCAAATTGAAACAGACAGCACTGCTTAACTCACTCCGTCTTGATCGTCACAAATATCGGATCGAACCAAAGGGGGCAAAATATTTCGAAGTTACCAAGCTTCTACTCGAGAAAGGGGCGAATCCTGAACTCCGTGATGAAAAGGGAAATACCGCCCTGGCACTCGCCGTCAAAATGGACAGCGAGCCCTGGGTGAAGTTACTGCTCAAATACAATGCAGATGTCAATTCCAGGAATGATTCAGATGAAACTCCTCTGGCCCTGGCCCTTCAATTCAATAATTACTCTGTGATAGAATTGTTGATAAGCCAGGGAGCGGATGTGACTGCACAGATTTCTTTCTACAACTCCAAGCTACCAATGATAGCTATCGGAAAGCTATCAGCAAGAACTACAAGCCTCCTGATTGAACATGGAGCATCTCCATACGGTGGATATGAGCTTTACAGGTCTTCTCTGTTTCATGCTTACTATAGCAGAAATCTGGAGGTTCTTCGTCTTATTCTTGAATGTGAACCCCCGGAAACTGAAGACTACTCACGCAAGGCAAAGTCGGATCTTATTGAAAAATGCCGGCATGAAATAAGATTCGCAAGAGATGATAAAAATCTGATGCAGGAAATGATCGCCCTTCTAGAGGGAGATTAGCCCTATTGGAAATGCAGACTCGTTGGCAATGTTCAGACATCTCCAGGTGGACCAGGGCTTTATGAAAATCACTTGATGCTTGAGACCCTTGACATACATTCAAAGAGAGAGTTCACATTGCTTTTGAACATGAGACAATTTCCACGTACAATATGATTTCTTTTTTTCTTTTTTTCTTTCTAATTCATTCATTTATCTATTCTACTCGAGGACTGTCTTTATGTGGAATAATACTAGTTATTCATTTTCTAGTGAGGTATCTCCTATTCACCCTTACTCGGGTCTTTAATATGTACCAGTGCCAACCTGTCAGCGTCAGACTCCGCTCCATAGTCAATTCTCCTCCTTATCCTTGGTCTTCCTTCCCCGTCCTTCCCTCGGATACGAACCTCTTCAATATCCCTATACTTTCTTTTCTTATTTTTCTGTACATAGCCTTTTAATGTCTCTACCGACATGGTCATGCCACCTTCCTCAACCATTACTTTTGGGTGATTTATTCGTCCAACCAGCAAAATTCGTCGATCCAGCGCCGACTGTAAAACCTCATTGACACCTAGACTTACAAACCCAAACTCCGGATCTATACTAAAAAAATTATACCCCTCTGCCAGCGTCTTCAACGTAGTTTCTAGGGTGTCTTCGTCATCAAGTCCGAACTTATAATAGCGGCGAGACTCAAAGAGAAACAGAACTATCAGGGTGTGACCCTCTGGAGCCTGAAACCAGGTTTGCAGAATTTCTGGTACTGTTCTGCCTGTTGGGATTTGAAGCTCCGTTCTGAGAGGCCCCACTGGATAACTATCCTCAAACCCAGGAACAAGATTGAGATGGCCATTATTTTCGGACTCATCAGCTGGGGTGCTAACGGAACCTTCGTTAACTTGAGTAGGTATAGCCTCTTGTTCTTGAAGTGACTGATCCTGATCACTCTCATGGCCATTATCTGTATATATCGATGGGCTGTAGAGGTTTTCATTATTGGTCTCATCAGTGCCAGTGTCTTTTCTTGGTGAGCTTTCATCAATAATGGGGCTTGGAATCTGGACATTCTCATTTTCCAGGGGATCTTGATTCAGGTCAGGGGTTGTGCCCTTTTCAGTGTTGGGTTCAGGGTAGCTCTCATCTACCAAAGGCTCCGAGCTAACTGGATGGCTATCCTTTTGGGTTGAAAGTTGGATAGAACTCAGGTCGGAAATAAAACAGGCCAGAATGTCTTTTGTTATAACCCAGGATGTTGGATATCGTTCTCGCGCTTGGTCTTCTAGAACAATATTAGGAAGGAACAGATAACTGGCCTGTTCCTCCAATTCTGGGAGGGATGGCGCATTGAACCTCCGTCCTGTGCCTTTACTCCGCTTCCCTGTGGTCGTCTTCGGATGTTTGTTCCCTGAATTATCTGAATCGGCAAGATTCTCAAAAGCCTTTCCAATTTGGTTCGATAAGGAATCAATTATTTCCCGTCGGGAAGCCTCCGAATCGCCCTTATATAAGGAGCTAATAAAGCCTTTGGCTACCATACCAGGCACATTCTCCTGACGGGCACAAAGCTGATGGATATGCCGAGAGGAGAAACCAAGTCTATTTGCCAAGTCTCCTAACATGAATAAGCTCAGACCTTCGGAGCTCCAACCAAAGTCATATTTCACTCGGCGGAACTCATTTTGCTTTTGTACAAAGTGTCGTAAGCTAAATAGCCACAACTGCATAAAGCAGATCGAAAATGAGTCTTCAGAGAATGCTGTCTCTTCAAATTGGCGTTCAGACTTTTGTACCTGAACAGCTTTGCCACTTCCAAGAAGCTCCCAGTGACGCAGGAGTTCTTTTCTTAGACTCCCTTTGAATCTTGCAGGGCAGAGGAGATGAAGTGCCTTTGCGGGCTTTTCAAGAAAAATATTATCTTTAATCAGTGTGTGCAGGGAAAGAATCCTTCCACGTAAGCCAAATATTCGGTCAAATAGTTGGCTCCTTGTACCTTCCGGAACAAGCGGAAAAAGATCTCCATTTTCAATCAAGAGTGAAATACGTTCACGATCTGCAGCGAGCTCCGGTATAAGACCTTCTATCAGACTAATAGACCTGGAATCTAAAAGGCTCCCTCGTATCAAAACTCCAGACCACTGAAGCCTAATCCGATCGAGGTAGTTGCAAAGAATCTGCTTGTGTTAGAATTCATGGGACATAAGCTGCGATATATTGGTACCTACCTCGGGAGATTTTAATGCAAGCATTCGTTCAATCTGAGAACATTTTAAGGGCTTCCAAAGGCCTCTCCATGGTAGGAGATGATCAAAGGCCCGTAATAGAGGCTTATTGCGCTGGAGCCGGCGAATGTCTTTCTGTTTGCCTTGATTTCCCAGTCTTGCCCACCAAGTAGCCTCTTCTCTTTCACGTGCTGAGAGCTGGCATTCCCTCAAACAGCGATATATCTCACCGTCAGAGAGTATTTGGCTCTTTGCATCTACTTGCAGAGAGAGAAGTGCCTCGTACGGTATTGCTGGATAACCTTAGCTTCTTCGAAGGGATGAGTGGATACATTGCCGTACTTACATCCAAGATAAAGGTCAACAAGCCATGTAGTCTCACCACACATAGAAGACGCCTTGATACGATGCTTCCCGTAAATACACCTTAGCTTTGTGCCATTGCGGAAGTTTAGGAAAGGCTGCTCTCTAGGATCCATGAGTACCTCGAGTGAAACATTGTTATTAACAAGTGACCACTCAAGATCTGACTGGTCGATGGTAACAGCAATGCGGTACTCTGGGTAAAGGTTCCAACACCCCTCAATCTCGAAGATCCGTTGAAGCCGATCAAGATTCTTTTGGTCAAACTCTCTTTGTCCGACTATATCCTCCCTATCGAAGATAATGTGCTGAATAGGGATTACTGCGCTCCCCTTGTAATACGCACTTCTCTGAGCTGCTGCCTGATTTGCCTGCTTTCCAAACCCATTATCCAAGGAGTCCATTTTGTAGTATATGTTTGACTATTTTCAATTTGCACGCGATGAAAGTGGATGCAGGGATACAGGAAAAGGGAAAGCACAAAGCAGAAGGAATGGATGCTGAATCTGTCTCAAATCACCTGATTGTTAGCTAGGACTGAAACACGAAAAGGTATGTGTTTCAAAATTGATCCTTAAGGGGCGATACCCAATCACTCTGGTCTGGCTGGCCCCTCTAGTCTGGCGAGTTGTTCTAGTCTGGCTAGCCCCTCTGGTCTGGCTAGCCCCTCTGGTCTGGCTCGCCCCTCTGGTCTGGCTCGCCCCTCTGGTCTGGCTAGCCCCTCTGGTCTGGCTAGCCCCTCTGGTCTGGCGCGTCCCTCTGGTCTGGCTAGTCCCTCTGGTCTGGCTAGCCCCTCTGGTCTGGCTAGTCCCTCTGGTCTGGCTAGTCCCTCTGGTCTGGCGAGTCCCTCTGGTCTGGCGAGTCGTTCTAGTCTGGCTGGCCCCTCTGGTCTGGCGAGTCCCTCTGGTCTGGCGAGTCGTTCTAGTCTGGCGAGTCGTTCTGCTCGCCCGTCGGTGGCTATCAAATCACACCCCCCCATTTTTTGAAGAGATGAGATGTGGTTCATCGAGTATTGGAAGGGGAAAAGGAAATTCTCTAGTGGAAGAAGGACAAAACCAGGCGCAGGCGTGTGAAAGAGTCAGATCCGAGACTTAAAGCTTGAAGCTACGTTACTCAGCTTTCTAAGTTTCCCACTTTTATTGGCTATCTAGTAAATGCAAATGGGCTGTGAATTGAAAATACCCAAACGTGAATGACCAAAATCTGAAAATCAATATTTTTTCCCTAACATTATTCTAAAGCCCCACTGTCCCTAACCAGTTCAAAACTTGGAAGCTTGACATTACCTTTGAAGCAACTATTTCAAAACAGAATTGCTCTCGGTCATAGTTCCATTGGTTCCTCCTTTGGCATTGGTGAACAGGCACTCTCTGTGATTATTTCAACAGAGCCATCTGAACCACCGTCACTCCAGGCTCGGGACTTTGATTGCCGCGGTGTCTCATCTCCATTACCGCCCAAAGTCCCCTGAATGGCATCATCCAATGATATTTGCAGCTCCTCAATCATCTCGTCCCGCATGCGCAAAGTAGACTGGAGGCAAGCAATCAATCCACGTTGATAGTCATTCTCTTGCTGGAGTCCGACTAGGGAATTGGTTTCATAGCGCTGAGACGACTCTGATTTCACATTCGTAAGTAGAGCCTCGAGGCTTGGGTAGATTTCATTCAGATGTTCTCCAAGTTCTTTCGATCGAGTTCTTTCCAATGCAAGGTCGCGTGCCATGCCCTGGCACGCTTCTGAGACGCGACGAAGAGATCTTTCATGATCGCCTTGTTTAGCTCCGAGGCCGGCATTGAGCTTCTCGAGCTCGTTGCAATACGAGCGAAGCTTTAAATAAGCGGCAGAGTCGTTATAAATTCTAGACTCCAACATTCCCTGGTATTGCTTGGCCTGTCGATCCTGCAGAAGTAGCTTTTCCACAAGTATCAGAATATAACGTTCGCTATTTTCCGCAGCCAGAGGCCTCGGAGCCTATAAAAATCTTACATTAGATACTTGAAGGAACTGGCTTTTCATTGGAACTCTTACCAAGCCTGGACGGGAAGGTTGAGGAACTCCGTCGTATTGAGGTTTGAAAGACATAGTATGACGAATCTGTTTCCAAGTTTGTAAACGGGTTTAAGCCCAAATTCGTTGAAGGCAACTCGAAGGAGCTATGGTGAATTGGATGTTGAAGGGAGCAGTACTGTTTATGTACTAGTAATACTGTAATGAGCCCTCCAGGGGCGCTCCCGGGGATGATGTTATTCATGTTACTCACATGACTTATTCGATATGCGGGAAGTGGGAACCCCGCAGAGCACCCAGATCCCGAAGTCCCTGCGTTGCTATGACATGGCGTAACTAGCTGGGTGAGCGCTAGTGCAGCGACATGATTTTCCATGTCGCAACTAGCACCTGGGGGCAGAGCTTGGTGCGCGACATGGAAACACATGTCGTCACTAGCCAGGGGGGGGAACTAGTGCGCGACGTGGAAAAGTATGCCGCAACTAGCATCTAGGTAATCTTAGTGCGCGACATGCTTTTACATGTCGCAACTAGCACCTAGGGGCAGAGCTTGGTGCGCGACATGGAAACACATGTCGCAACGGCCAAAAAACCTTGGAATAATGTGCCGTGTCTGTTCCTGGGTGGGGAAAATTAGCGCTGTCTCAAAAAAGAGCAGTATGGAGTAGGCACCTGGGTGGAGTAGGCCCCACTCCCCCTGGGCCGCGACTTGGAAAATCAACTTGAATTCCTAGGACAACGGCCTCCACCTGCAAGCAAGCCAGGCCTCTTTACAGATATCATGATGCTGGAGAAATGCCAATGTTCAACTTGAAGTTTTAAGAAATCGAACCTTGGAATTTCAGAAATTTTTCAAAAATACTCCTTTCCGCCTGGTACTACCTACTATACAGACACAGTCTCTCTCTCTCTCTCTATCTCTATCTCTATCTCTATCTCTATCTCACCAACTTGAAAGCCCTGCCAGGTGGAGCTGCCTCACTTCAAGTTCTCTTACTATTCCAAAGAGATTTAAATTTTTCGCAATGAATCGATACTCCACTCCGCGCCTGGAGCCAATTTCGGAAGAGATCACCCCCACGGATCACTTCATCCTCTGCCAAGGTGGTACATCCTCAAATCTCGAACGACTTCCGTCTCGACTGGAGCGCTCCAAGCATCAATCACCTAGCCTCAAACGACAATTCGAAGATACTGCATACGAAATGAGCTATCTCAAAGCTGAGCTGCAGTGGCATAAGGAGAGTAGACAAATCTTGTTGAACCTGCGTGAGCAGGTTTTGGGGATTTATCAAGCTCTGGAAGAGTCTCTAGAAGAGGCCACAGTAAGACTACATGAGTCTGAGCAGCGGTATCTTAGTATTTGGGATAAGAATGAGAGCGAGGTTGCAATATGACTTGGACTACTTAGGACTGGGGATAGTAACATACGAAATAGCTATGTTGATATTTGCACTTATATATAGTCTAGGTATAGCAGAAATAAATACAACTTTCAAGGTTCACACACTGATTTAATCACTACTCTCCAATGCTTGAGCCAAATTAATCAGCTCATGTATCTTTTCCGATACTTGTTTCTCACGTTTAATAGCTTGATAATACCGGTTAATCAAGTCTGCAGCGGTTTGCTGCATTAGATGAAAGTCCTTCCGCGCATCATCCATTTTAGCTGAAAACAAGTCAACTTCTGCTGACAATGAATCAACCTTCGATGACATGGAAGATCGATATTTGGGTGGCGCAACAGAGATTCAACACACGTGGTATACCCGTTTGCTGCAGCAAACATTAGCGCCGTGAAACCAGACGGTCCCACATCATTCAATGCGATCCCCTTCTGTGAGACAAGAAAAGACACGATATCTGAGTGTTGGTTGATGACAGCTACGTGTACAGGAGACGTTCCAGTGGGGGCTTTTCGATTGATCTGGATGGCTTTTTGGCTCAACAAGCTCTGGACCGTGGCCAGCGAACCTGCCCGACATGCTGCCCACAACGGTGGGACGAGGCCCGATGTGGCATTGATGCATATTCCTGGCTGGCGTAGAAGAATCTGCAGGAAGCGAGGATCTTGATGCTCTGCTGCCCGCGCAAGAGGTGTAAACCCGCCATCATCGGCATCATTCAAAGTAAGATTCTCTTGGACCAAAAGAAGCTGCATGAGCTCTTCATGTTGCGCATCCACCGCATGCCACAATGCTGTACGCCCCCTGAAGTTCCGGTGATTGATATCAAGTCTTGGGTTAAGTAGCAGTGATTCCACAACCTGACGCGAACATTTCCCCTTGATGGATTTGACCGCGAGTAGGAGAGCTGTGTTCCCATGTGCGTCACACGAATTGACACACACATGAGGGTTCCGAGCCAATATCTGTACCGAAACATAGTCCGCTTTTCGGACTGCGCGACGTAGAGCATTCTCCCCAAAGCAATCTTCAGCATTTACATCCACGCGGGAATCGCTCAGAAGATGGCTAAAAATGGCGTGCTCGGCGTGATCGACCGCGTACATCAGAGCACACATACCGTCCGTGCATCGGTCATTGACATCAAGCGGTGGGTACTGCAACAGGCTTTCAACTATGGCGAAACTGCCTTTTGTGACCGCAATTGACAATGGGCCCCGACCTTGAAAGTCGCAGATGTGGGAGAGTTGTGGATGATATTCCAAAAGGAGATCAACGGCCTGTGAGTAGCCCATCTGAATAGAGAGCAGAAGTGTGCTTATACCACGATACTCGGAGTTGGGACTTGTATGATAATGAGTCAACAAAAGTCGCGCAATGTCTAGTCGTCGGTTGAGGATGGCTCGATAAAGAGGTGGCATCTCATCGTGCTGCAGACAATCAAAGAGAGCTTTCGTGCAAGGTGCTGCAGTTTCCCAGCAGCAAGCTATCAACTGAGATATATCCTTCTTATTGAGGCTTCTGCAGATCCAGAGTAAGAGTTCGTTTGGCAGTTTGTCAAGCATATTTCTTATGCAATATCAGAAGTGATGTCAGTCGACAGGAGCGGCGGGAGAAGCTTTATAAACATCGTTTCACCCATTCGGTACTGAAGGGTTCATGGTCCTGGGAGCATGATGTTAGGGCCTTCACATTGAGACTTCATGCTTGTGTCAAGCTACCGACGTCCAATCACAGATGCAGTCAGAAACCCCCAGTCTTCCTTTCCATTTTTGGGAAGACGTCACCCAGCGAACCAAATTTTTCAATGTGATCCTCCCACGAGTTAACTTGCTGATGCGGCTGAAACTCACTCCGCTGGATTGAAGTTGTCGATCACCAAGCGCAGTCTCGTCACGAGGCTTGGCTGAACGCCGAACTCTACCGATCAAAGTAAACTAACTTACAGGTCGGAGCATCCGATTTCCTGGGATACATAATAGTGGTCATGGATGAACCGGCAAACTCCGAAGCTCACCCTGCTAGATCCGCTCGTGCTTTCGACGTACCCCTTTAAGGCCTAGGATAGGGACTCAAAAAACCTTTTTTTGAAACGAAGGTCCCTCTATACTCATATTTGGGAAGTAAAAGAGTCAGAAAGTGGCAGGACTTACATGAAGTGTTTACGATAGATGGAGAATGCACCGAATTCACACGCTTCATTTAAAGATGCAAAGTACTCCTAGGACCAAAAGTATCATTTCCCCTGATTGGGGGAAAACTCAGAAAAGAACTCACATCGCTCTTCAGGGTCCCTTTTACAACAGGGCATTTTCTAGCCTTCATTCCTTCCATTGTGACCGGGCGCTCATCTGAACTCAGAAAGGATGCGTTGCACGATGTGATATACCTATCAAGGAATTGATGCGTGCGATTAGCATTATCTCGACGTAAGAGCCTCTTCGCTATAGGTATGCACAAACATGGAGCGCTGAAATAAATCACCGGTCGTTCAGGCTTGATATGAAATGAACGGATAATTAGGACTGTTCAGATTATTTCAAATGGAGATCCGCCCCTGGGAACAGTTTCTTCGCACAACGCGGGAAAATACAGTCACCGTCTCCTTTGGCCGGGTCTATTTAAGAAGTTGAAAGCCCACCAATCCAGGCCCTTCGCATTTTGTATCTCGCTAGTCCTGTTCCTATCCAGACTAAAATGCATGCTCGGTGCGGAATATCACTCAACCACGGTTGGCAAGGTGGTACAACTCAGTTGAAAGCAAGTCATTCGATATCGCCCATGCATGAGACCGAGCAACGGGCCTAGTTATTAGTCAGTATACTAGTAAGAGATCGAACGTGCGATATACCTACTCAAAACGATAATTTTAATATTTGCCTATCAATTGCGATTGCTTTGAATAAGATTACGCATGTGAAGCAGCTTCTGTGCCATTCTCACGTTGGTCTTTCCAGCTCGATAAAAAGCTCAGTAGCGATAGCACTCGAATTTCAAAGACACGACATCCTCCGCCAGCTCTTGGATGATTTCCAAGTCAATGCAAACGCCAAGGATAGCAAAGACCACAAACCATTGCATCTGACCATCATTTACGATGATCTGGTAGCGGTCCAAATTTTACTGGGACACCCGAGGGTTGACATCAACTGCCTCACTGCTGCCGGAGACAGTGCTCTGCTACTAGCAGCCAAAACTTGAGACCGCAACCCCGCCAGAAGTCAGATCCTGCATGATATTGTGTCAACACCTGACCTTCTACTAGGCCAGCGAGACCGCATGGGACGTATGGCGCTCTGGCATGCGGCAAACACCGGCAATATTCCGCTCATGATGATGTTAAATCAAGACTCTCGGTGAATTTGGCGTGGCAGACACAGACATTAGAGCCGCTAGACTCTTCCAATCCTTAATATATGCAAAGCATTCCAGGTGACGGGGGCGAATTAGGGAGCTTTGATGCAAACTGTCCTGGAACTTTGGAGGTCTTGTGTACGATGAATCACATCATGCAGTTGAGTTTGTAGTTAGACCAGAAATTCAAACAACCGGAGCGTTTCCCATCATACAGTACAAGTAGGTTGTAGTCAAGTAGAGAAGATACTGTTTGAGCTGTCCCAGACAGGATCCGATGTGACCAATGAAAAGTGGTCTGGATGGAGTGTGTACGGTCAGTAAGTCTCCAGACTTGACAGTGCTTGTGATCGCTTCCGGGAAAGGATTATTGAGGTTTCTTGGTAAATCATATTGCCGAAAATCTCGCGTTTCTAAAAGAGGACAAGAGGGCAACGAGGACCAAGTCTGTCAATTCCCGGCAGAGGCGATGGCGGATGGCAGAAGCTCCACCGGGCAATCCGCGCTGCCACAATCTTCTTCGGCCCGAGGTTGTTCCTCGGCTTCATGCTCCACTTTCCCTCTGCCCTTCAAAACGGGCTCACACGAGATAACGCAGAATAAAAACATGATTCTTGCCTTCGCCACAAATGAGAAACTTTTTGGATGCTCATACCCTACAGAAATCCGAATGCAACTGCCAACCATTCGAAGATGTCAGTTGACAAAACAGCTCCTGGCAGCCTCAGTTTTCGAGTCAGATCAGGCCTCAGAAACATTTGACGTTGAAACATCCTCTCCAGTCCGCCGCTGATTTTTGCTGCAGGTGGTGGACCTACGTCCGGAGCAGACGTGTGCAGGGGATATAAGTCCCTCAGGGCTTCATATCCACTGATCTGTATATGATTCCGGCGACCTGAGACTGCAAAAAAGAGACCACGTCCAGCTGCGTGGGTATGCACAAAACCGTCCTCTGTCGGCAATTTCGTGCGGTAATGCCACTTTATATTCCATCACATTTTTCGTGCTAAGCGCAACATTGCTCCGCTGTATGCTGTCACTAATCTGGCTACGCCAACGATGGAACAACCGTCAGCGGATGACCAATGAAACACCCTAATCTGCGCTGGCTTTGCTTCATGATCCATTCCAGGGACGTACAATCTAGTCCCACTTTGCCCACCGCATTTTAACACGGGCGCCGTTAGCAAGGCTCCTGGGTTCACTGCCATTTGTGTGAATAGGGAAGATGGTGTCGTTACATCCAAAGGTTGCGGACCCGCTCCCGGGAGGCTTTGACAAGTAACCTAACTCGGTTTCTAAAAAGGTGTAAATCAACATTGATCACCTCTTTAATACCTTACCACTGACTATTCCATAATCACGTCTCAAATTGGATATTCAGCTGGTTTTATTCATGAACACGTGATACTCCTAATCTACCAACTTTCTGAGGAGTTATATAAACAAGCATTCACAGATATTATAACCCAGAACATGCTTCACTATTACTGTACTAGAATAAAACAACCTACTTGGTCCAACTCATGGCGAGAAGACTGGACTGCTTGGTAGGACAGATAGCTTTCCTCCATTGTTTGCCTTGTTTGCAAGAATCTGCCAAAGCCATACACGCTCAAAACAGAATCCATTTTCCGGCTGCTTTAAACGCTTCCATCAAAATACTGCCAAGTCACGGGGTTAGGGCTACAGGAGCCGCAATATGTATAGGAGGTAGGTATAGTAGCTTTCGAAGAATGGCTCGAGACAGAATCTCTGTCTAGCTGGTGAAACTGTTTTGGAACCATGGTGTATTTTGGAAATGCCACAGCATATTCTTGATTGGACTCGGTCAATCATACTATTCACCAGAGATTGGGTCTGCTTGATCTCATGAGATGGCATGCATACTAGGTTATACTGTATCCATTAGCTTTGAGAACGACCTTATCGTGCTCTGGACAGAGCTAACTTCGGTCGTTACACACGGAAACTCTGAAAGTATGGAAACGTACTGATGCTGACTTTGATTTCCTGAAAGATGTGATAGGTGGGGTACGTCATTTTTCATATGCATCCACCCTATTGACCTGAATATCCCTGGAATCAAAGAATTTGGCTCCTAGGAGCGGGGATTTGGGACAGCCACCAGGGTTCACCAGTGGAATAAGTGGAATAGCCCATATTGTGGCAAATTAGTATATAAATTAGTTTGTCTTCCATTGATTTTCTTTGTCATGCCGTATCGCACTTATTTTATTCGGACCATTTTCATTCATCCTCTGCATCTGCCTTGCTAGGTGGCACAAAATGCCTAATCATCAAAACGCGGCATATTCCCACGATGATTTCCCTCTGAATGACGTCTTTAACAGACGATCTCTCTCGCGCAAAATCGCGAATGAAAGAGAACCAAGAATTGGTCATAATCGGCTCCGCTTTGAATGCAAGCATCTATCTTTGGGATAGGAAGGCCCTCCCTTTCTGGCGTGAGATTCTGAGGGAAATTCTCTTTATCGAGGTATGGCAGAATCTTATAGGAACTGTTCCCCTTGCTAATTTCTGGAAGTCGATTGAGGAAACCGAATTGTCATACTACCGTCCGAGTGATGGCAAAACAGTCGATTTAGAGATTATTGAGCATGCAAACATCTCCTTTCTTGCTACAAGTAGCACCTACTTCATAATCTCAGGAATCCGCTATTATCCTTTAAGCATGACTCGGGAAAATGAACTACAGTTGTTCCAATCACAAGGTTGGAATTTGGCCATGCTGGCGCACGGTTTAGCTCATAGTATTGGTTGGTTTTGTCAGTTCCAACTGGAAAAGTCTCAACCTGTTATTTATCGTGCCGATAGAGGTGTCGGTATCTCAAAGGTGGATAGGTCAGCGTTCTGATCCCTGTGAACACCTTGCTTATGCATCGAGCGCCTCGGGCGGAACATAAGGGGTTGCCGAAACTTTTGGATTGATCGCCTGAGCTATGTTCATAACGAGTGGCAGAATCGTCCATATAGTTTATTCTTGTTATATGCACTGGGAATATTTACAATCCACGTCATCCACGCCATCTTCACAATTTACACACACACAATTCATTAACGCTCGGCGGCTCAGGAAAAAGGACAAGGATCACTGGTTTAACGTAAATTGTCCAAAAATAATGCCCCGCCTCCTAAAGCCCCATACATGAAACAGTCACACTGTACATCATCTCGCTATCCCCGATATTTACGCTCAAGCTTATTTATGAGGCGTCTGGGATCCCCGGCATGGTAAGGGAAGATGGTGCAGTTACAAATTCAGCTGAAGCCTGTTAGATATCAAGCATATATGGGTAGCTTGGGTATTTTATTGGTCGCTGACCAAACATTGGGCATTTTCTGGCATGGTAGGCTAGTGGTTAAACCCAAGCAGCTACACCCCTGATATGCAGTACCCTATCGGAGACCGGGCTCCTGGGAATGTGTTGATCCTGGGAGCCACCAACCAACGTGACAATATGTGAAGCTGTCCGAGCTTGGCATGAGGTTTGCATTTTTTTGATTCTAGCAGTGCCCCAGGACAATCAGTGTGGCTGTGGAGACGATCAAGATCACTGGTGGACGAATACTTATGGCACGAGCACGACGTTCTTGAACCTTCTTCCACAGCACTACCAACATACGACTGGAATTCATTTGGCCGTCATCACCAAGCCCAATATATTACTGACATGCTCTACTTGCAAACCAAAATACCCCCAAAAGAGGTGCTATGGAAACGCGCCATCATCCTGCTCTGTGTCCTCATACAGCTAATGGTCGCGGCATTCAGTTCTACCATGGCGTACTGGACCACCCGACTGCGGCGATCGATGAGATTTGATCTTGCTGCTTCAGACTCTCCAACCCAACTCATCGCATCAATACAAATGGCGAATCACGTGCTCGCTGCAATGATCATGGCTGCGATCGTCTCTGCGGTTTTTTCCATTTGGGGGATCTACGTCGCAATTTGTCGGACGAGTTTACCGAAGAGCGATGGTCACTGTCTTCCGTGGGGAACGGGGCAATGCATCTACGGTCTCATTGCCATAGTTACGGGCGGCTACGTAGCTGACCACGTGGAAGGCTTTCAATCCTTGATTGCGACATTCATAGACGTTAAGGATCTGCCATACTACGAGATCGTCTATTACGGGAGTGTTGCCCAGGCTGCCTATGGAGCCCTGGTCATTATCGTGCTCGGTGCTCTTGTCGGGACTCTCTTGTTCTTGACAAATCGCGCACACCCATCGAACCTGCAAGTTGATGTAGGTCTTGAAGGTGATGATTGACGTGTCAGGCTCCCATAAAAGTGATCGCTGTTGATACAGTCAGAATTCTGACGGAGATCCTATCCAGAGACTCAACTGGTTGGGTTGGACCGCGCTGGCGGACATGAGAACATCAACATGCCTCAACACTCGACACTCATATGGGTAGAAGAGCTCAAGTCACGGGGACGCATGGGCTATATCGAGATGGAAAGGAGAAAAGTGCTCTCTGCTTCTGCATTTCATACTATACCGATAAAGAACCGCTACCTCTTGATTGAATCTGCTTTACTTTTTCATACATCATCATTATCTTCTAGGTCCTGAGCACGTTTGATTGCTATCTCAAACTTGACAAATTATTAATTGAACCTAACATACATGGCGATTAACCTTCCAGCCTGTCAATTTAACCAACATGGAAAATCGGACCGAGCACAAAAAATACAAGATCACCAAACAATGTCAATGGTCAATGATACATATGGACAAACAGACAAAAAAATCCCAATATCCCTATAGACCAAAATTTGGTCGGCTGTTCGCTCAGTGGCCGAGTAGATGACTCCCATCTACTCGTAAGTCATTCCTACGACTGCACAGTTTAGGTAGGCAGTGCGTAGTCAAGTCGGAACAGGAGCCCTCCCCAGAGTATCTAATGGCCACCACCCCTCTGGAGTGATTCGACCTCGATTTTCCGGATCAAACACAGCACTCGCTGGTTCCAGATAGGCGACGTACAAATTCCGACCCCCGCGCTTTCCATGTGTCAGGTAATGGACCTTCAGATTGTCACGACGTAGAAATCTCCGATGACAATAGGGCACCCAGCAGGCATAGGGCTTTACTCCGAGATGACCCATAAAATGTCGCTCAAGGGTTTTTTTGGCGTTTGAAGCGGCTATGGCAGCCCCCAAAAGTGCAAGCAAATGGTTTGTGAGGTATTCTATCGGTATTCGCCTCGCAGCCATGGGAAAATGATGCTTGAGTACTCAGCGTGGATTCATGAGTGCACATACTGGATCTGCATTGGTCTTGAGCATGAGTCCCTTGGGAAATATTGCAACAGTGGAGGTCGGAGCTGGTGAAGACTGCAGAAGACTGGGGTATATGGGGCGCGACCGGCTCTAGTGTTGAATTGCAGTGTGAACTCCAGTCTAGGCAGGGTACAGTCGATAGCGAAAACAGCTTCCACCCTTCTGATCGCTTTTCTTTCCTTAGGTCCCACTGCTAAGGTCTTAGCGCGGATCCTTTATTTACCGAATCGCAAAAAATGAGGGCCTCCGAAAAGTACGTACGATCTAATACCATGGCTGTCAACGGTTCACCACCCAATATTTAGAAGTGGATCCAACCTTACGGGCCAAGATACAGTTTCATACATCATGTATTATTCAATGGCCCTGAATAGAAGATCTATGCTAAGGCCTTGGCAGTGGGGCCGGAGGAAAGAAAAGCGATCAGAAGGGTGGAAGCTGTTTTCGCTATCGACTGTAACACGGTTATTCTACCTTGTTGGTAGTCCCAGGTGAGCAAGCAACCTGGACAATAGAAGTTTTGATCTTCTGGTTTGCCTCCTTCATCTGATATTGGACATCGTCTGAGTTGAAAAGTCCGTATGGCAGGAAAACCGAATGCGAGATCATTGACCGATGCTGGATTAGCATTGTCGGTCAAGAGAGCATTTTCTGGCCGGGCGATATCGTCGTCCACGCATGTCTCATGAGGCGATGGTGTAATTACCATCGTGGGTCCATCTTGATCCTGCACTGAATTCAGAATCCGTTGCATATTTCCTTCGAAGGATGGATAACGAGCGATGTCGATAAATGACGAGTGATAAAGACCGCAGTACATGTAAAATAACTTGAAAAGGAGTTGATATAAAACGGCTGCTTCTTGAGAAAGAGATCTCAATTTGGCACGGTCCTTGGGTTTGTAGTTATGAGCAGACTGAGGGGGGTTTCTCTCCGAGGTGCCGTCGCTTGGTGATTCACCCGCAAACAATATAGCATGTAATGGCTTGCCTTTGCATTCTTTATGAGGGACATCAACGCAACAGTGAAAGAAAGCTATCGGTTAGTTTCCATATCAAAAAAAAAATCTACGGATCAGCTGGAGGTGCAATTTAAGGTGGCATTGCTTTGTGTCAGAATCTGGCATAATTCAACGATGTTTTTTGAAATTCTACCCGTCTTGGCTCCAAAGGGTGCCCATTGTCGAGATAAAAGTCACCAATCGAGAACTATCAACAGCACAGTGGATTACCAAGCAATAAAAATGGAACATGGAGACTTGGGTATCTGAATTCATTTACAAGGAAATCATACTTAAGAACATTACCACACCCACAGTGACCGTTCTGGCTCACACCGTAGTGCTGTGCTGCTTCAAATATCAACATCATCCCAGTCTCAGGGAGTTTTCTTTTGTCCTGCTTCAATTTTTTCAGGGTCCACATCGAGAGATAGCTGGAAATGTCTGCACACCTCGAACGCGAATCATTTGAAGTACTTTCATGGTGCAGTGACTATGAAGAAGCTGAGTCTTATTACACACAATCTTCCGCCTCGACAGAAGCCACCGACGAGCTCTCAGAGACAAGTGAGGACCGTGCATTTGTGGTTTCTGATGGAGAGCCATCCAGGAGCGCAAGCAGTACATCGAGCTTCCCTGGGACCAACCAGCTTCCTAGTGTTGAACAGGATGGGTCATGTGTCAATGAGGTGAGTATGCGCAGTGAACCGAAATGAGTCCAAACTGATCGAATAGCAGGTCGGTCGTCGATGGCCTGTCGGCACCATAGCAAAGCGGCTGGTGAATGAGGACGGGCATCTTGTCGAGCAGTACCTGGTTCTCTGGTGCTCTTGGGAAAAGCGCATGCCTGCAGTTATTTGACTCTCGCAAGAGTGGCCCAATCTGACCATGTATCAGGAGGGTCTTTTTGGGCTCTGCATATAAGGTCTGGTCAAGCATATGTTCAGTTTCAGGAAGTCTGTCGGGGTTTCAGTATGGTTATTCTTTTCATTAAAGCTAGTCACTCGTGGAGATTGCGAATAGAATATCGAAATTGGCAGATATTGTTTGACGAGTGCCGGCAAAGCTCAAATAGTCTTGATTCAGAGCAATACGAGTAGATTATGCGTCTTTCTAGATGTTTTCGGATAAGCTACTCCCAAATTCTTCGAGTATTGGTATTGAAATTTACGTCTGCAGTTGCGGTAAGAAAGTGGAAAGCAGCTCTTCCATGTCTCACATAAAATTTGGCCAGAGGTTATGTACACAATCCGAAGGATGAAGAAAAGGTATGGTGGGCAATGCAGCCAAGGGGGACACGGTGGATGATGCGGAGTACGGAAACGACTCTACGCGTGGCCACAGGGATAAGCGGAAGTGGCAGCCTGGCATCACGCAAGTTGAACGATACACGATTTCAATGATCTCTTCTCGTATGTGCTCAAACTTCCAGGACGCTGTCTCTATCCGAGGGATGAAGAAAAAGTGCTCACCTGCCACGCCTCTGGTAAATGGATCTAGCTGCGCAAGGCGAACTTCCAACCAGCGAATTCTCTCGGACAAGCAGGCTGAAAGGTAGTGACATATTTCCTCTGACTCTGTTGAGGAGAGCAGTGGGCTTGGACTCATCCACCGGAAAGCATGATTACTTTCGGTGTTGGAGTAGAATAAGCATTCCACAATGGGATGTTGCACACGCTGTGCCGCCGTGCTTCCTGAATGCAGGCTTTCGGGCTTGGACTCGTCAAAGTCCATCGCTAGGTATGGGGGCGGTGCCGGCAGATCAGACTCGTTCCAAATTTGGTGGAGATCCAGATCAAAATCATTTTCTACTACATTGTCAGCAAAGGTCGCTCGGCGAGGCAGGCTATACAAACCATTCCAAATATATTCCATAGTGTTGCTTAGGTGCGGACGATTCGTTCTCAGAGCTCGCAAAAGAACCATTTGCGAGAAGATGGAATCTGGATCATTTATATGAAGCTTGGAAAGTGATTTTCTGTGTTTGTTTTGGTTCGTTCTTATGATTCAACGTTCAGCCTCACCAAACATTGATGAATCACCGCCATTGAAAACAAGCCCCATATATCAGTGGATTACACAATTTCCATTTTCATTCGCGGTTCTATTCACAGACCACAGGAAATGATGTGGCCGCTCAGTCCCCTGTGTCTACTTTCAAGCTCATTTTTGAGCCGTATACCGCTTTTCAAGGGGAGATGGTGCTGTATGAAGTCAGCTGAGCTTCACAAGCACTCCCAGGAGCAAAACACCTTATTCGGCAAATTATCAGAAGATTTTCTGAAACTCACTTATTCGAACCCGCACCCTTTTCCTTGTCGGCCCAATCCCACGGCCCAATCCCACGGTGGGAATAACGAGGCAGGGAATCAACACTGCAACGCCCTGTCAGCAACCGGGTTCCCAGGAGTGCTAGTCTTCTCCTTTCCTAGTATCATGCCTTCTGGATTGAAAAGAAGTTTTCCCATAGCTCCTGTGGACTGTCTCCCGGGATCGGTGGCAGTTCTCGTTGTATGTATGACTGAAAGGCGATCGAGCAAGACACTGCTTGTCATGAGCAATATGTAAGCTGTGATTTTTTCCACCGCTAATTTAACACACAACCGATGCATTGAGCGAGGATCTCCAGTTTCCCAGGACCACATTGCTCCTGGGACCTATGTTCGTCGTTCGATTTGTGTAAAATGGAAATAAGAGTTCAAGATCCGATATTCAGTACATCTTGCAGGTCATTTGGCAGCATTCTATACTCCTGCACTGATATCCTTCATTCACTTCCAGCCGAGCTACTTCACCAGGTCGTCCAACTCAGTATTGGGATGTTTCTTAGATTGGAAAGCGTGTACTCGCGATGTTCCCTATGGATAAACTCGGCACATTCTGCTGCATCAAACATCTCCAAGCTTCCAGATCTAGTATTCTCATGGAATCGTTGAAAAATAATGCCTCCCAAAGTCGGAGCTACCATTGAACCCTGAAGACTCTGTATTGTGATGAATCTTCGCATTATATATAACTGAATATCTGTTCAGTGTTCGGCCCACATATCAAGCCCGGGATGAGTGATACACCCGAATTTGCTCTAGACAAGCAACCGTAAGAGTGATCGGTAGATTTACTAAAGCAGGAAGAGAGTTCTACTCCCGAGTGAATAGTCCAAGTCCCTGCTCGTTGTGTTCACGGGGACCCACGGGTACCCATGCCTGCGATTTGGCGCACAGACCATCTATGAGGCGGGAGTTGGATCCATATTGACTTCACCACTCGTGAACCGTTGCCACGGTTCCGAAAGCTGTGCACGACGCCGAGCATGCCCCACATCAATGGATCAACGTTATCAACGAACACCGAGTGGTGAACCAACGTGAATCATCAACACATAGTCATTCAATATGCTTGCACAAACTGCAGGCCGTGGGGGTCACAACAAGAACAGTTTTGTCACCAAGCAAGGCTCTGTTGAGCTGGGTGGATCAACGGTTGCATTCAACACTTTTATCAAGTGTAAGATTGAAGTGGTTCAACTTTAGGGGTGCTCTATTAGTTCTGACCAAACATTCCAGGCTCCGGCTAAGTGAGCTGCAAAGTCTATAAATACGGCTGCTGTCTCCCTAGAGCCAGTCTTTCATTCACAAGCCAGTCTTGCGCTTCACTTTACTAGATATCATGATAAGTTATCCCACGCCTTGTGATCGTGCCTCTGCTGACATGAAACACACCAAGGATAAAAAGACCGGCTATCTAGCGTGCATAATTTCTGGTCAGAGACAGGCATAACGAAGATACAGTCGTTCTCGAAATCAGCTTGACCAGTACACTCTTCGACTATCTTTCTCTGCCCTACTGCCAAGCCTTTAGCGCAGAATATCGATTGGGCTGGACGCATCAAGCTGAGGGGCCCACGGTATAAAAGTTTAAAAGTCATCGTGCAAGTTCGGGGAGATCACACCGGACCACAACTTAGTGGTGTTGGCTCAATAAATAATGGACGCTAGGGCCTTGGCAGTGGGGCCGAGAAAGAGAGTCGAAGAGTACACTGGTCAAGCCGATTTCGAGAATGACTGTACCAGATGTGAGTTCGATCCGATTGAGTCTTACCAAGTGACTTCCAACCATTCGTAATGCATCTAAGCCTGCTATAAGCACTGGCCGGAATAGCCGATGTCACAGGTATGTTTTCTACAAGCCTTTATGTGAGGAATATTGTCAGAGCACCGGGTGCTGTATATTTGACATTTCGAGTTGTCGCTTTAGAAGCTAACATGCGTGGTTGCATGCTCTCCAGACACGTGTACGATATATTGTTGACCATTCTATTAAGCCCAAACATGTGAGTCATCCATTCTCACCGGAGATTGAGACTGACTGAGAATATGAAAATTTAGTCTACGAACAAAGACATATTGAGATAGTTGACGCGATGTGACGCTGCCTGCTGCAAAGTTTTGATCGCTGTCAATCTCGACAAGCGTCCCATGACATGACCAAGATCGTCCCTCTTGATAAACTCGTTCTTGGCCGATAATTTTGGAACACCAAAATGGGTCTGCTGAAATCACTATCTGTCCCTAGAAGGTCATATCGTGGACTGAAAGTATTTTTTAGAACAAAGGAACCCCATACCTGCGTCCACCCATTTGTTGAAAAGTGGCCAGGAATGAGCTAAGAAGCCAGCTCAAACCAAAGGTCTGCTGCAATGCCTGGGGACTATTACCGTCAGACCATTCTACCTGCCGCGGATGATCACTTGTCAATACTTGCACTGCTTTAGCTCTAGGTGCCCTCCCAGTATCCCATTTTCATATCTCATTTTCATTTTGCCTTTCATCGTCTTGTTTGTTGGCTGACATAGCTTCCCCAGCTCTCATTTGGCTTTAGCAAAAGAAGCCTACTGCTCAAGATGGACTCAGCTATATTAGACGGTACTGAAAGCTCACCACCGTTCGAAAAGGCCCACACCTTGGCCGCCATCTGGCTCCCTGATCCTCAAAGCATTATTGACACTGCTCACCCAAGCCTTCCATAATCCTTGGACCATCAAGTCCGAGTAGCTCATGTACCTTCACGACAATGCAACCTCTGGTGATCAAAGAAACCCTTCAGTGAACCAAGCCACAATTGCTGCATATTCGACTTCCGCTGAATCACCGAGACGAATCAACCCAAGTGCTTTTCTTGTCAATGCTCAGAATCGTGGCCAAGCGGGGACAAAATCTGTAAGTTGAATGCCGCGTCACTTCCTTTTAAATCTGAGTATGATCTCAGTGCGGAACATGCATACTAGTATTTGATTTCAAGTACAGTGTCAAATTGCTCGCGCTCAGCCTTGCCAACTCCTGAGATTGGTCTTGGCCGCCCGACTGCGTCAATATTCAATTCGCAACTCAAATGGTCCAAAGATCGAGATATTCAGAATGGCGACCGAAAGCTGCTTTGCAAGAGCCGCTACCAGAAGAAACAAACACCATGGTGACTGAGTTATTCAAAATGCACATCACAACAGCGGTGTAGGTTTGTTAATCTGAACTTGCAACCCGTCTCCCACCAGCGACATTCTTACTCGACCCGGACAAGATCCCCCATTCAAGGACCACTGGACTCCACTGGAGTCTGTTCGATTACACGCCTTCATTCTTCCCTATTGCGATGTTCCGTCTGGGGAATGTGTGGGTCTTTGAGGATTTTCTCTGCTGACAAAATCGGAGATGGAAGCTGCTAGATCTCATGGCGTGCCTTCGATTGGATCAGGTCCCAGTTCTGATCTCCATTAGTTCATCAGGATCCTGGTCCGGACACCGAGAATGCCGACTTTTGACTGCTTGTTAAACTCGAATCAAGTCGGATGGAAAATGAATGACAAGGGATGGTACTACGTTTTTTCACCATGCTCAACTCCTTTCTTTGCTGAGCGGAACCTCCGTCCGGCCAAAGGACAAATGAGTCGGATGGATTGGCTCTTGCAGACCTCTCGCTGACAAAAGCATGCCGGCGCTTACACATGCCACACTTCCCAGGTGATTCTTTCGGTGTCCAACAAAGGGTATGGAGAATATCTCTACCAACGTATTTGCTCATGTACCAATCCAAGTCGTGACACTCGTGGCCCTGTGTTCCTTATCAATGGTTCGAATGGGCTCATACTGATACCCGCCTATTGCCTTCCGATGGAACGGAGAAAATACCGCTCGGTGGCCATTCAAGCAAAACGCTATCATAAATCTCGCGGCTTGGCGTTGTTTGAAGACAGGGCTGGTTACCTACCGGAGTGTCCACTACCGTGAGTTTCAAGGTTCAGACATGCACCTTGGGCAGATCTGATAGAACTCTGTGCTGACATCTAGTCGAGGCTGCGGAATGGAATGACTCAATGCCTTGCTGTGGAAAAAAAATGAAAGGCTTCCATCCTTTGAGGCTTGATACTGCGCCCTGGTCGTACACGTGCAGTGTAGAAGATGGTCTTTTCAGAGGAATTCATTAGTGAATTGAATAGCATCAGTATATGGAAAACTCTGTCATTTTCACGCGATTGGAAACATCCAGCTCACTGCGCACCGCATGACTTTTGACCTGACAATGCAAGTTCAATGGTCATTCTGACCCAGAATGCCCATCATAGCCGCAACAAAGGCTCGATGTTCGTCATGTTCCTTGATGAAATGACCTTTTGTTTGCTTTGAGAGACAGTCCGGCGTCGCGTTGGCTTCCACTCTTCTGAGACGTACGCTCTGTCATAGGTGACGAAGACACTGCTCAGTGGATACGATGACAACACACTCTGCGAAGGACTCGAGTCCAGGTGGTGCACAGAATGTCTCCGATGAATACTCCGCGCTCGGGTAGCACCATGATGACCATCTGAGCCCTTTGTATCTCTCACGCCGACCTTGCGCGCCAATTACTGTCACTTCTCGCTGCAGCCCCGCCCCGGTTCTTTTGCTGGGCACGTCTGTGCGCTTGAGTAGATTGAAACTTGAGACATACAAGGTGCCAGTCCGTTAGCGTTCAGGTTTGGAAATAGTGCCAGTGAGGCGAGCTGCATTTGAGCAGCAACTGGTGTGAATGTGATAATTAATGAGGTTGATTGATTCATGCAGCCAGTTCTATCTGGAAGTCAGAGGGCGACAAGACGTGCTCTGGGAAGCCTCGCAACAATGGGGAATCTGGACGGTAATCGCCTCCCGTCTCCACCATTGTTCCTATCATCATGCAATTCATGATGACAAGCCATCACTATCGTCGTCTTTGGACGTGTGGCTGAGTTCGCTCGACTCCAATGAACTGCGCAATCTTCAGTTCGAGCCTGTGCATCATCTCGAGGTCACTTGCGGGCGACAGAAGTATCGAAAAATATGAGTTGACGTGTTACATCCTGCAACGCATTCGTTTGTTGGTTGGTATGCCTTCCGTCGATAGGTGTCGTGTTCAGCTCGCAGCCTCGAGAAATCGCCACGATCAACGCGTCCGACAGATCGCTAGGTGAGGTTGCTCAGACTCGATGGGCCGTGTATTGAGATAAATGCCAGCGCCTCCTGTGCGGCCATTCATAGCCTTCTGGCTTCCGTTCTTCTGTCCGATCGCGGGTGTTTGGAACAGGGATACAAATGGTACAAAGTCCGTGCCTAGTGGACTGGCCACGACACCCGTCAAAGATGTCGTGCAGGTTGACACGGCATATCGTACTACATAACACTTTTCACAAAGCAAGGTGCACGGCCACGCCCCTCCTGCCGTTGCCTATTGCACTCAGGTAGAATTCGTGCCTACTGAATCATTGCTAATCGAAACCAGCAGGAGCATTTGTCTATTGAACCGCCAAAGACTGCTTGTGTGGACGTCAGAGTGGCTCTCATCTTGTTGGAGATGAAGCTAAACTCTCACCGACAGAGCACAACGTGATCAAGCGAGCGGCGCAAACATCGTAGCGGGAGTTGTCAACGAGGAGAAAAGTAGATTTCATCACGTAGCTGAATGGCGCATGGTCGTCTGAGTAAAATATTGAGGCGGACTCGACCTGAAGGGTGGGTCTGAAGCCGTCTCCCTAACTTTGGTGAAAATATCTAGGGAGGCAAATAAGTTGGGGACCGATGTACATATCATCCTGGGGTAGTCATTAAAGCCCAGTAGTTGAGCAACGCCATACTCGACCGAAAAAGCCCTACGCCCCATGTTGCTTTGTCTCAGATACATCGTTATCTTCCAGTCTATCAGAAAATGGGCTGGGACGATGCTCCCTTATCTGTGGTTGTCTCGTAGTATTGCATGAGTCACAAGCACCTGTCTCCCGCTACCGTAGTATGAGGCTAGATCAGGAATAGAGCCGCGCCAAGAGAATTTGGCCTACAGATAAGAGCAAAACATGAAGCGAGCATTTCCGTCATACTGCCTCCAGATATTTGTGGCCCGCTCATGTAGCTAGTGGGAGGAGCGATACACTTTAAAGTGTGATGATTTAACGGACGCGAAAGTAGCGCACAATTAGCCAGGGCGTGAGTTAACGCGGTCATTCTCGGACGCGCTATGTGGGTCCGCGTTGTCTTGGCGAATGCCTCATGTCAATCTCCACGTCGCTCCCAGGAGGCACTTTGACAGGAAAATACCAAGGATTGACACGAAACAAGTGAAGCCGGACCCACCGCACACCTAGACAGAAGAAAGCTATCTTTTTAATCCGCTTACACTGTCTTTCATCCAGAGTTAAATGCAGTTTTTCAGCGTTGAAGATTCATCTGAACAGGCCCCCAACGCGAGCTCCACCCCCCTTTAAACTGATCAATCGGAATCCCACGAACCTGCTGTCCGGGCTCTGGGCGTAGGCTTTTCAGCTTCCCAAAAGATATCCCTGATTGCAGCCAATTTTTCTGTCTTGGTTTGATCACTTCATATGGATGAAGTTATATTGTCTAGAAGGACCGACCCAATCAATGTGTCCTGCCCTGCTCTGGAAACTGCAGCAAGCGCCCAATAGAGCATTATCACTCTTTCAGATCAAATTAAAGCAACTCAAGAAACGCTACATAGAGACTTCTTACGATTCCCTGAATCAATTACATTCTCCTGAAACTACCGTAAATCATGTTTCATTCAACTCCGATCACTCGAGTATCGAAGAGCGCGATTGAAATAGGGGGTTCGGGCTTTCTTTGACTGCTTGGCGGATGGAACAACACGTAATTTGAACAATGATCGCTTCAGCGTTTGTATAGATTCAAAGGTGGCATTCCTGATTGGGTGGATAGCGCGGTGGATGCGACTTTTGTCAACCGTCTTGATGATACTCTCTTTGCACGTGGAAGTCATCAATGGAAAGTTGATGGTACTCAGCTGATCATTTACAATTCGATCATGAGTTTTTCCGCTACCGCTGCATCTGTCGGAGAGCGCCAACTAGGTGGAGCCAGTTGAGCTTTCATCCGGGGACAGTCCCATGGTACATATAAGTGTGATCGGAGAGTTTGACGAGCATGAAGCACTGCTTCAAAGCCAGCTGAGCACCCTTAATCGCATCGTTAACGAAATTCAAGAACAATTTACTGGAATTTACTGGGATATCTAGTTTCCGCACTGACCAGTGAGTCAGAATGAGGAATAGCAGTCAGTTTAGAACGGACGTCATTATTGTCGTCGCAGCAATCATCCCACCCAAAGTATCCAGCAATGTTCGTGTGCGAAACACCGCCAGCCGGCATTGCATTCTCAATAACTTCGACGTCAACAGACGTTTAAGTAGAGTATCAAGTTGGGATTTCTATGGACCTGCATATGTACAGTGTCCACACGCCTGCAGTTCGCAGCTACTATGTCGGTTTTGACATCACAAGCTAGCGCGAGTTTATCAGCTTTTTCTTACTTTTCTAGACAGCTCACGTCAAAGAAGCGATCTGTAGGATTATTGCTAGAAGAAAATGTATGCTGGTCAAAAGAGCGAAAACAGATTGTTTACCCTTTGCGAATGATTAAGCTTTCAGCCCATCTCACGATATCTTTGGCTTAGCTCTGTGTTGTGGATTTTACATCCCGCAAATACTCAAACGGATGATTGTGCGAAGTAGGAATGATAAATGATCGTTTAAGTCACTCAGGAGATGTCATAGAAAAAACAAACTTGCCGGCCAGCTGGTAGCCACGATTCCATTCATATGTTAATATCGCTCGCCGGGCGAGCTATGTTGAACCTCCAATGATGGCGATTAACGGGGTCCTTCTGGTAAATGTTCAGCTCGAGAAACTTTTTATGAGCCACACATTTAAAATTTTTATATCTTGCGAAAGTCAGTTTCAACTCGACATTCTCATCACAAGATTCATGTGCAAACCAACGTATTTAGTTTCTGGAAGTTCCCAGTGATCAGATCTTGGTCTGTGACCTCTAGGAACTCACAGTCACTTGCTGAAAGACCATTTGCTGTCGGAATGAAATAACGTCTGGTTTCGACAGGACCATAATTTATTTGCTGAACGAGTTCCACCGCAAACTCGGGAGGCTTGCTGAGAGATTGAAAGTAGGAAACACAGTTTGCTACTGGCTGTGATTCAGATTGTCGAGCCCAGCTCATAAATCGCTGGAACTTGCTTTCATGCATCAGGCGAGCGTCTCTATAGGGCTGGGAGCAACAGAAGATGGGGGGGGCATGATTGGATAGATGGCAAACGCTAATCGATACGTGACTCAGACTTCGATGTTGAACTTCTGAGGTATGGTCTCCAAGGGATGGGGATCATTTTATATCTTTGCCGAGGCATCTTGATGTGAAGAGTGAGACCCTCTCAGTGTGAGATCTTGTAAACTGTTCATTTACTTTTGTCCAATACCGCACGCATCACATGTCATGGTACGCAACCGAGCATCTATTTATCCGCTATGTCTGCCTAGATCCTTATCTGATCCATCAATCGCAATCTTCCGATCGGGGGCACTTTGAAGGTTAGCCATGAAGCAAATTTTCTTTAGACTAAAACGGCCAAGACTGCATAACTCACTGCATATACATGCCCTGTGCTCTCGAAAGCAGTCTTTCAGACTCAAAAGAGCGGCTCAAAATGGTTTTTGAAGAGCGAGACTTGTTCGGATCGGCCGAACACATTGATGAAATTGCAAGACTTACTTTTGGTGAAGAGGCGAAATTGACAGCTTGAATAAGATCACGCTGTAGTATGAAATTCAGGACCGATGCGCCACAAAGCTGGAGGAAACGCATCAAGTAAGCTCTCATGCGTCGTACTGGAACCTCTTGCCTCGATCTGATCCACGATTTTCAAAAGCTCGTATGAAATAACAAATTTTTTTACTCCTGACTTGGCAGCCTGGACGTTCCACTGTCGCTCGGGCGGCCAAGTTTAACGTTCTTTATTGCCGGCAGAATTCAATATGATATAGACGGTGTGGGGTAGGGGCTGCAAAAGCTTTTGACCACTCACTGTACTGGTCTGAACGCTTTGTTAGTGTTCCCCTCTCTGCTCGCGGACAAACCCGATCCTGAATTTTGTTACCCCTCTTTTACCCGCCCTCAACATCTTGATTCACTTACCTCGTTTGCAGCCCCAATATCTTGTCAAAGCGGAAATGTTTTTCTAAGATGGCCGACAAGATCATTATTGCCGTGGACAAAGATTTACATTTGGTAACAGATGAATATGATGAAAGAGATTGGAGCTCTGACACTACTTCTGTTCAGTCCTCTTTATACCAAGGCTTGGTAGAGCATGGTCGAAAATACCAGGCTCTTAAACCCGACGAGTATTGCTTTCCTGCCGACGAAAAGCAGTTTGAAACGTACGATGCTGCTCATCTGGTAGCTGTGATCGCAGATGCAGACCAAGAGAACCCATTCTTTCGATCTCCAGTCAAACCAAGGAATGTCCTTGACATTGGGACTAGAAAGGGGACTTGGGCTATTGATGTAGCTGATATATTTCCTGAGACCGATGTTCGAGGTGTTGATCTTTTTCCACCACCAATTTCCTGGGTCCCCCCAAACTGTGTATTGGAAGTGGACGACATTTTGCAACCTTGGACTTATAATGAGAAATTCGATTTAATCCATCTCCGCATTCTTGCTTGTGCTTTCAGTCCAAAAGAGACAGACAAGTTGATGAAGCAAATCTACGATAATCTAGAGCCTGGTGGATGGGTAGAGCAAATGGAAATCCATCCCACGATCTATTGTGATGACAACAGCGTTCCGGCTGGTAACATTTTGTTCGACATAGGACCAAGGTATGTAATACATGCTTTCTATATGTGACGATCTTTTATAGACAAAGTTTTGCTCACCATTCAAAGATTCGATGCTGCCGCCGACAAGTCAGGGAAGCCAATGAATATTATCCACACGATGCGGGCATCCATTGAAAAAGCAGGATTTGTAGATGTGCATGAGAGGAACGTCAAATGGCCCATTGGGCCGTGGCCAAAAGATAAAATTTTGAAGGAACTTGGAGCGATTAATCTTTCGCACTGGCTCACCGGCATGGAAGGTTACACGATGTTCCTTATGACAAAATTTGGGGACCCTGAACCCTGGACTGAAACTGAAGTACATGTGTACAATTCTCAAATGAGAAAGGAATTATTGAATCCTCGTCACCATGTCTATCAGCGATCAAAGAGAGTTTGGGCCAGAAAGCCACCAGCTGATACCTGATTCAACAAGGTTACCAAGTGAAGATACTCATTACCACGGGTGATCGATACGTTCGAGTATATCAGCGCACAGTATCTTTCTTGCTCTTTGAACTAGAATCCCTCCTGCACCATATTCAATTGCAAGTGGCAAGGTTCCAAGATCCCCCATAATTTAAGTCACGTAAATCATGTCGTTCTCATCCTCGCTAGAGAGAAGCGCGTGGATTGTCGAGGAGTGAATGTGGTATGTCAGTCTGGATATGGATGGATTAGTCAGAGTAACCCTCAGAGACCAGCGATCGACGTGATTTCTTTATCTGGTTGTTGAACAGGGAGTTGAAGGTTGAATGGACTTTGGCGTTATAAAATGACATCATCAGTAGCGCAAAAAGTGTTGTAATTGATTTAAAGTTTACAGACTGGCTAGATAGAGCCCCCTTCCCTGAGGCACTACGCCGTACCATTGGTTGCAGCGGAATCTAGAACCAGTGCGATCCAGACTAGGAGTCAAAATAGGTCACCGGGAGAGCAATCTTGTGTCTGGACGGTACATCATCTGATTTGCAAATCCAGTGCATTTCCTGTGAATCAGCGCGCTGCACATTCTCGTTTTGTGCCAACAGTTCATCCATAGATCGAATGGAATGGTGAGGCTACTCACTCCCCAATTTTTACGTTCAATCTCAACCATGAGGCGCCAGGAGAAGGGAAGATGGTTCTGCTCCAAATTCAGCTGGCGAACATGCTCAGAGGAGCAAAATGGCTCTATCAATTCCCATAAAATCCAGATTTTCAAGACATGGGCCTCTGACTTCAAAGCTTCCAGACTGTTTTATCATCTTGAGCAAGCCTTGGAGTGCCACGAGAAACTGGCCTCTCAGGGACTGTTGTAAAACCCCTAACAAATTCAGCGGTAGCTGTGGGTTTCCGGGATTGCAACAGACTGGAGTTGAGACGGATCTATTCTCTCGTTTTCGTCAGAAATGCAGGCCGTGACCACTGAGTCTGCCAGCTGTGAAATAATGGCAGCGTATTGGTTTTTGTCTATCATGACGATACATACGGCGACACCAAGCTATGGGCAGTGCTTTGGACCAGCTTACAGATGACTGCAGAGTAGAGTGATTGCTGGCTCAGCTTAAGGTCGGAGATTGGCCAACGACATGGATGGTCGGGCGGAGCGGGATGCTTCAGGGTTTCTTCGAAACGCAGGTAAGTCTGTCCAGTGGCTCCTTGTGTTCAAGGTGTGATTGAATGTCAGTGGTCCGGCGCGTTACGCGTGTAGATATTGGACCACTGCGGCCATATACTCTAGCTCTCACTTGCACGTGGAGATCCTTCCCTCCTCACGCTTCCTTCAATACGTGTTTCTGGCCTTCTTCACTCGTAGACATCCAAATCCAAATCCTCCAACAGGTTATGAGCCCGGCAGCACATACCTGACACCTGATACTTGATCACCGTCACGAGCGAATACAACAGAAAACACCTCGCCGGCCCTGAGCGTCGGGCCGGATCTCTTACTTTACTTCATATCACCCACCACCAAAGACACACACTCTCCGGCACGCCGACATGGCGGATCGCCACAATTTTGATGGAGACGATGATGATGCAGATGGATGGGGTGCAGAACTATTTCGGACAGCAGAAAACAGGACACAAGCGGATCGGTTGCCGACGAAGACAATCACTTATCCGAAGCTGACCACCTGTCTAAATAGCGATGAGAACTTCGAAGAATGGGACAAAGATCTTCGGCTGATTCTAGCAAAGGATGGTCTATTAGACCTGATTGACGTGAATATTCCCAGACCGACAAAAGACATTGAAAATGAGAATGCTATGAGATGGAGGGATATCTCTGCCGACATGGCTGTGTGGTTGAAAGACAACATCATCCCCGAACTATGGCAAGAACTCGAAATATCGACTACCCGTGTGAAGAGAGGCTACGCAGATACACTCTACAAAGAGATTGTGAAGCTAGTGGAGAAACATAACACACTGGCAAGAGCGAAAAGAATTAGAGCCTGCCGCCTGATGTCAAGTTCTGACTTCCCCCTAAAGTCTCACTATGTCCGTGCATACGTACACAACGTTATTGAGCTCCGGAAACAAGGAATGGGGCCATCCCCATACTGGGCGTTTATTACTATGCTTGACGAGGTACCGGATAAGGTTAGAGAGAAGTGGTATGAGAAGCTAGACCAAGAGGATATCAACCCGAACGATTTCACCGATACAATGTTAATCCAACACTCAAAGAGCATTCGACAGCAGCTAAGGCTGAATGATGAAGATGGCGCTGTTCCCGCGATGCAGGCAACCGGCCGAGACCGCAAAGACAAGAATAAGGACAAGGAAAAGGATTCTAAGCCATACAGAACACCTCCAAAGGACAAGACAGAAAAAGAATGGGTCGAAATCGTCAGAAAGAGAAAAGACAACAGATCTGGAGGGTGTGGACATTGCAATCTCAAAGGCCATAAGGCCAAAACATGCTGGTATCTATGTCCGTGGCTACGACGTAAAGGATGGACTCCATTGGATAAATACTGGGCTTACAAACCTGGTCTGGACTGCGAGACATGTAAACCTCTATCAGAGACTAAGTCTACAGAAGAAACTTCTCCACCACCACCCCCTACAGCAGCAACAGCCGCAGCTGCGATAGCTACAGACGCCTATCTTGATGATGTCTATAACCGCCACTACCATGCGATGGCTATTGAAACAGCTAATTTGATGATCCCTGATGATCCCTATGATGAATACATACAGTCAGTTTACAATCGTGCATGCATCTCTCAGAACGAAGAGATGTTCGATCAACAGGATGAGATTCTGGATGAAATTGCAGATATGGCTGTGGACCAAACATCCCCTTTAAAACAAGGCTTATCAAGTGATCCGGACACCGAAGAAACTCTCATTAAGATCCCAAATGAATTGGGAGCACAGCAATGGCTCCTAGACACGGGCTCAGGCAATCATTTGTGCACAAAAAGAGATTGGATATTCGATTACGTCGAGTTCAAGGATGGTATTAAATATGAATGGGAAACCTCCTGTCCGGGAAACAAAGGGACTGCATGCGGATATGGCAAAGTTAAAATCACCTTATTACAGGATGATAACAGCCTACTGGATGTCATAATTCCAGTTATGTACTCTCCAGGTATGAAATATAACCTGTTGGGAGCTTGTAAACTACGCCGTGACATGCAATTCGCCTACAACGATGACACTTACGCCCTACATGACAGAGCCTCAAAGGCAGTAGTGGGACGCGTTTTCTTTCACTCAGGAGTGCCGTTTCTCAAACACAAAGACTGTGGCTTACAACAAATTGGCCTCTCCATGGCAAGTATTTCAGCCGAAATAGCCCACCGCCGTCTTGGACATGCTGGTGCCCCGAAAATAAAGGCCACTGAGAAGGATCTTGACGTCGAAGTGGACCATTCAGAACCATTTAATTGCACCGCATGCAAGCTTGGAAAATCAAAGAAAAGAATCTCTCGCATACCACAGGTCCGTGCAACGCGCCCAGGACAGATGATCCATGCAGATCTACAACAAATCCGCCCACAGGCTCTTGGTGGCTACAATTATGCTCTAATCATGACAGATGACGCTACCAGATGTCGATTTACGTGTCTTTTAAAACATAAGGATGAAGCTTCTCACGAGATGATTAAATTCGCTACGCAAATCAAGAATGACACTACCGCCTATCCGCAGGTGTGGAGATGTGATGGTGGATCAGAGTTCTATAAGTTCACAACATGGGCAAAAGAAAATGGACAACGAATTGAGCCTTCCGCCCCCTATGCACAGCAGCAGAATGGTCTTAGCGAGATATCAGGTGGCTACATCGTACAGACTGGACGGACAATGGTTATCGACGCCGAAGCCCCAGAATACATGTGGGGAGAGGCTATTTTGACAGCAACCTACATCATTAACCGGCTACGCCAAGCCCCTGGCTCACCATCTCCGGCAGAGCTATGGAATAAAGGCATGAATTGCAGAGAGCAGCCAACGTCACTAGCTCATCTCCGTGTCTGGTATTGCAAAGCTTATGTGAATATCCCTCCAGAGCGGCGTGTGAAGAGCCAAAAGATGCGTCCACGTGCATGGCTAGGCCACCTCGTAGGCTATATTGGAGAGAATGGTCACCAATTCCGTATCTATGACCCCTACACAAAGAAAGTGTCAATCCACCGAGATGTTATGTTCTGGGAGACCAAATCTGATACCCTGGTAGCTGGTGTTGAGGAGATCAAGATCTCTCAGCTAGGAAATGAGCAAATCAACCGTCAAATTGTAACAGGAGCAGTGAAAGACACAGACAGAGAAGATATTGCCCGCCTGACAGAGCTCTTGAAAGGTGCTCGCAATACATACAAGTCTCTACACCGTGAGACAAGCCGCTTTTACAACAATCAAAACAAAACAAATAAGGATCTCGAAGCCGCAGCTCGCATACATCAGCAACGTGCAGATATGTTGGAAAGACGAATTAAAGACCTCACTAAACAGCTACAGCAGTACCGTGAGGAGACACCAGCGACAGTGACATCAGAGTCCTTAACACCTGAAGTAATTGGACAATTCCCCCAAACAAATGCGCCTCTTAGAGAAAAGAAAAAATTCCATAACGAAATCTCTGGAGGATTTAACGCAGACGAATATGATGATGATGACCAGACACCAACACCAACTCCACAAACAACGACTAGTCGGTCTCAGTCAACAACTAGTCAGACCCAATCAGAAACTGAGCAAGCTCCAAGACGTTCCGGACGTGTCACAAGGGAACCGAAGCGCTTTGGAAACTTCGAAAATTGGAAGGATCTTGGCAGAAGCGTCTCTCAACCACCGCAAACTGATGGTGCAGACGATTTCGACTACATTGCAGGCCTTGAAAGTGCAATTGCGATGGCAGCTTTTACAGATAATGATGATGATTATGGCGAATCAAGACCTGAGACGGCAAAGAAAAAGGACTGGCAGATTAAGCGACCTACCACCCATAAGCAGGCTATCACCACTCCAGAAGCCTCATTTTGGCAAGCTGCAATGGATGAACAAGTGTCGAAATTGGAAGCTGCAGGTGCCTGGATCGAGGTGGATGAGATAACAAAGCCAAAACATTTGCAAGTTCTACCAGGGAAATGGGTCTTTGACACCAAGACAGACAAAGATGGCTATATCACACGCTATCGAGCCAGATGGGTAATCTGTGGCAACAGACAACGTCCCAGCATTGATTTCGATGAGAATTTCGCGCCAGTAGCTGCTGACCAGACCGTGAAATTGTTGTATGCACTGATCGCTGAGAAAGGTTGGAAAGCTCGCCAATTCGACGTGATAACCGCTTATTTGAATGCGGAAATTGATAATCGACGTGTCTACATGCGCCTACCGACAGGCTTTGCGAAAGAAGGAAAAATATGCCTGATTCAGCGTGCGCTGTATGGTCTGCGACAGGCTGCACATCTCTGGTGGACGAAATTTAGTGAAATACTATGCAAATTGCAGTTCCGACGATCACAGAGCGATCCATGTCTCTATGTCCGCGGGAATTCGGCCGAAAAGACCCTTTGTATGATTGCAATCTACGTGGACGACGCAAAGATGGCCAGTATGAGTGACGAGATCAATTCTAGTGTGATCAAAGAGATTGAAAGACACATCGAGATCAAAGACCTCGGTCTACCAACGAGGTTCCTAGGCTGCGACATCAGCTTCGAAAACAATGACATCTTGTTCTCTCAACATCAGTACATTGACGGTGTTATACACACTGAACATATGGCCAGTGCAAATTCAAATACAATTCCGATCGCCACAGGCTCCGACACAAGCTTACCAATGGAAAAGACTCTATCCAAGCAAGACGCTCAATCCCTTGCAGAGATCACTGGAAAGATTGGATGGATTGCAAAGAAAACACGTCCTGATATTGCATACGCTACAGGCGTCTTACAGAGGTGTAGTGCTTATCCATCCACTGAAGCCACTGCGCTTGCGAAACATATTATTCGATATCTCACAGGGACACCAAGACTAGGATTGAAATTCAGAAAGAAGGCCCCTATTGCAGTGAGTGAAAAGGTGCCGCTGAAAGGTCTAGTAGGCTTCGTCGACAGCTCTTTTAGCAATGACCCTTGGACAAAGAAATCTGTGCAAGGCTGGATATTCATGTACAACGGGACACCGATCTCTTGGTCTACAAAGCGACAATCCCTCATTGCGCCGTCGAGTACGGCAGCCGAATACATTGCATACGAACATGCATCGCAAGAGGCTTTATTGTTGAAGAATTTGCTGGTGGACATGCAGCAACTCGATCAATCCCCCGTGATAATCTACACTGATAGCGACAATGCATACACTCTTGCACACGGTATCGGCTTTAAGCCAGCGACAAAGTGGTTAGATCTACGCTATCACATCATCAAAGAGAGAATCGAACTCGGCAAGATCAAATTGGTGCTGATCGACAGCGAGGACAACGTCGCCGATGGCCTGACAAAGGCCCTGGACACCACCAAGTTCAAAGCTTTCCGGAAAGGACTGTGGATGGTGGATGCATAAAGAAGAACAAAGAAAGGAAGGCAAATCATGTGATCTATTATTTCCTAATTGGGTAACTACACCTGATTTTATTTTATTGCAGAAATGGACATTTCAGGAGGTCTCGGAGGTCTCCGTGCTGCGAGAGCTACGGGGGGTGTGTCAGTGGTCCGGCGCGTTACGCGTGTAGATATTGGACCACTGCGGCCATATACTCTAGCTCTCACTTGCACGCGGAGATCCTTCCCTCCTCACGCTTCCTTCAATACGTGTTTCTGGCCTTCTTCACTCGTAGACATCCAAATCCAAATCCTCCAACATTGAACAATTCAGAAATCTTTTGCATCTAAGGTGCAATCTGTACTAACAAATCACGACCTCTCTTGGAAAGTCCGATTACATATATCCGGGATCCACATGTCTGAAAGAGTGGAAGAGGTGGTCCTTAGTGAGAGCCATCCGTTTTTTTGTTCTAGTTTGGTCAATCAGGCAAAATAAGTTGTAAAAGTACAGGCAACAAGGATGCTACATGTAGCGCCAATAGTAATCATCCACTAGTCCGTGGCTTCGGCTGAGCCTATTAGCTCAAGCGCTTGAAGCAGATCCTGGTCCAGTCTGGGCTCGGAATAAAACCTCATGGCCGATGAGAAGCGGACTGCGCGGGCATTGGTGAGAGAGTATTAACGCTAGTGAGCACATTACTGGTTCTTGTCATTGCACGGGACCAGCGAACTGATGACACCAAATTTGACTGTCTCTGTCAACACTTCTACCCCTTCTCCTGATCCAACATCCCTTGGCCTTGCAACCAACACCTAGTGGAGCTTGTTTTCCCCACATCTAGAGGCAAAGTGACAGAAGGTTGTGGATTATGGCCATCAGATATTTGAAGAATAAAAATCCTCCTCAAGGTCGCCGACTCACCAGCCAACAGGCACCCGGGAGAGGGGCAGTGCAGGCGCGGACAGAACAAAATATAGCCATATGTTATCCTCATAGTATCTGTCACTCCTTCCTGAGTCACATTTTTCAGAAATCAAGTCACCGTTTATTCCGGATCAACTCCCTCGCAATAGCCAGGGAACGAGCAAAGGTATCCACGTGTTATTGACACTTCAAATTCCGATAAGTTGCTCTCTGACTTGAACAGTGAGCATTTAGCGGGTTGTTTGACTACACTTTACCGACCCACTGTCGAGGCCGGTGATAAATTTGCGAATCGAGATATGACCACAGAGGAGTTTTTGGAATTTGTCTACAGTGATGCTTGATGAATTTTTCTAGTAGTTCGAGCCCAACTAGTCATCTGGGAATGAAATACGGGGAATGAATGAAGGATGGAGCATTCGAATGCCTGTAGTGACAACAGGGGACTTGCATACTCTTTGGGTTTTTGGAAGGCTATCGACTGACGGATAGTATGAAGAGCGCGTTTCAAAGCCAGGTCCTGTAAAAACTTGGTTGCGGGTGAGTGAATAACAAACAGCAGTTGACGTCAGCTTCAATAACTTAGATTTGGGTTGAGAAGGGTTTCTTGTATTCATCCTGCTGCCTATTGATTTACCGTATGTATGAAAGGTGTTTTTCCTACATGGAATGATGCGTTTTTATGAGTTCTTTCTGTTATCGTCTCAACATCTGAAGATTCAGACATCTAGTTCTTGGGTCAAGCCGTATACTAGCATCCCGAGACCATTTTTCGGATCTCATATGTAGGACCGAAAGATCTGGAACCAATGCGATTGGAAATTCTTGAAGAAATTGGAAAATAAGATAAATGGAAGAAATCAACCAATTCAAACCATGGAACCATGCACCGGAATGACACTTCCAGGGAAGCATTCACATCCTATAAGTTACCAACCATAATCCAGATGATCAAGAGATCGACAAGTGGATCGTACACCCTTCATATGCGATGATTACGATTCTAAACAGCCACAATTCTAGAATCATATTTACTGGAAACCTCCCAGATCATGCCACTAGGCTCATTAATTCAAGTTAGTTGGCTTGAACGCACAGATCACCTAGCAGCATCGTGATTTGCATGAAATACATCTCCAATGACCTCGGCATTATTTTTCTGCAGACCAGAAATATCTCTAATCACCATCTGAAGCAGTTTCGTATGGTCGTCAAGGGTCTTCTTCAAATGGGCCATACGAGCAATACAACCTGTACATGCCGTACAGGCCTCGTATATTGTCTCTCTGTCATTCTGTCGATGAAAATGCATTTTTTTTCCTGATGGCCTAGAGCCTGCGAGGTCAACGCTTGATGCTCGAGGTCGCTTAGCTGAGAAGCTATTGTGAGGTTGAAGAATTTTTGCCGACCCATTCGGTAAGGCATGTTCGAACAGACTTCTAGGATCAATAGTACCTGGCTGGGAGACACTGGGCCTTTTGAGAGAAAAGAATCAGAACAGTCTCCTTCGGTGCAATTTGTGATGTGAAGTATAAATTACCTTCCAATATTCGCTTCATTAAAATCATCGAAGGCCTCAGTGGCAGTGACTTCATCATCCGGAGTCTGCACAGTTCCATCGACTGTCATTATTGAACGGAGTTGTTGATGACCCTCCCCTAGGTCTGAGTCAGGGAATCCACTTGGAAGCCAAATCTGAGGTTCCTCCGTCCACTGATCTGAGAGCAGAGATTGATTACTCGGTGAAGTCATTTGTGGCTGCTCCGTTGTACTAGGTGCCACATGAGTAAGAGAAGTATGACGCTGTCGCAAATCTACCAATTCCCCCATCGGGGTTCTGGGATGTGTCAATGTTTGCAATGGTCTTTGCATCAAGATCACCGTCATGGAGACAGTCTCATAATCTTCACGATTGGCATTACGAGCTTTTGCGGCTTGTTCTATTTGCTTCGCATAGACGCAACTCCAATCAACCCACGGGAACATCTCTCGATGCTCATGAATTAGCCGGTTGACATGGGCCTGTCTGATCTCGGATAAAGCCTGATATTGATGTCCCGCAGAGAATTTGTCGGCTCGTCTGTGAACCTCCTCGCGCAGCTCTTCTTGAGAGAGATCCATTTCAATTCGCTCGACCTTCGTCCACGATGCCTCTTGGCCTGGAATTGGGTCTGCTTTGAAGAATTTATAGCATTTGTATGACACCGAGGGGATCTCAGGAGAACTGCCAGGCCCTGTGCTCAATTGGTCAGCTAAAGATATTCGCAAAACTTCTTCATTCTCTCAAGACAAGCATACCAGCCTGCAAATGATTCACAAAGTCCAAATTTGCATCCCTTGGACGGACGTCTTCAAGGCTATCATGGATCCCCCGAGAAGTCATCTTCCGTGTAAGAGAAGGTAAAGAGAAGATATTTAGAATGCGGGATCTCTTAATAGATGAAAAGCTGACCGATGATGTAGCTGTGACGCTATTTGATGATTCCAATTTGAGAGCACTTGATCCTTCTTGTACCAGTGACTGTACAAGCCTTCGTCATGTACACCCGAGCTGAAACGCCACCTTCTTATAGCCTCAGCCTCATTACGGCATCATAATCGTATAGAACCCGGGTAATGAGTCGGGCGCAAAGCTCCACGGCTAGGCATGTGTGGAGTACGCTGCAAGTCGCGACGCCCACTTATTGATACGTCAAATGAGAGAAGAATTCGTGATAAGTAGTAGGCTACCACGATTTCAAAGTGAACCAATCAAATCAAGATGCCTGCTATCCGTTCTCTGTAACAATGTGACACGAACACCCGGGTGAGATATAGAAAGGAGTTGGGACTGATTTTCGCCGTGACAGTAGGCCCCTCAACATTCTTACGTTTCCCAATCATGAGCCACCGCAGACTAGAAATTCGCCCATGAGTACATGTAAAATGCCGTCAGTTTCTGAGGTACCCGCTGAAAGCACAAAGAAGATACAGTATGCACCACTCCTAGAAAGAGCCAAGATAGATTGCAAAGTGCTTGGGAACTCCATAAAATTTAACGAATGATATCAAAGGAGTTTTGGCCTGATAAAGCCCTCGAACGCAGGGTGAATTTGGTGTGGAGATATTCTGTTTCACTTTAACGGACAAATCTCCGGAAAATCGTGGTCTGATTGGCTCCTGTCCGGGTTGCTATCATTTGATAGGCTTTCACTAGCCCCTGATGTAAAGCTCATTCCGTTTGCAAGAGTTCCACTCCGATTGGCGCCAGTCTGATCTGGAATCGTCTGATGGCCCATACCCTGTGTGGAGTCAGGCCAGGTTTTGCACGAAATTCAATGGAAAGGGGCCGGAAAAAATCAATTGGCGGGTTTCATTCTTTCACGACCCATATATGATTAAACTAACGCGTAGATACCAGACAAATCGCCATATGACTGGCTTTGATGGATGCGCAGGGGCAGACCCCGCGTCATCCGCTATTTTGATTGATTTGGAGGTAACCCGGCTTTGTCCGTCCGGCGGATATCATTTGGTGCAGATCGCATTTGCATCAACCAGACTTGAGCTTCAAATCTACGGCCAATCATTGGTTTGAATTGCTGGATGCGACACGTTCTACATCAAACAAACTGGTCCTAAGAATGTGGTTTATCTTGGTCTGAGGTAGTTTGGTCCTCGTGGCTAACGAATTCAATGTGTTTTCCACATTTCAGCGATGTAGAACCACTTTTATTACACTACCGGAATGATACAAAAGAAGCTCTATACGTCCGTTAACCTGGCTGTGAATCCCATATGAATTCAGAAATCACTAAACGGCCTAGCTCTGCTTTATGGGGTGTCAATTGAGTCTTGGTGTGTGACTGAAGAGTTGAGAATGAACAAAGCTACAGTACTCATAAAATCATGACTCTGATCCAGGAACGAATTCCTGTGGGAACTAGTTGACAGAGGAATCCAGAGAAAGGATTAAAATCACGAAGACTGTTCTAACTCAAAGCAAATGGTCAACTTTGAATGCGCTCTTTTTCGATCGTTTTTGGCGAATCTCTTTGTGCACCAAAGAGATTTGCCTAAAATGGAATAATCTTGGAGGAATTAAATCTGCAAGCATTTTATTGGCCTTGATCGCAAACACCTCTACATAAAAAACGCGGAGAAATTGTAATAAACAACATTTAGTTGGCGAACCTGGTCCTTTGGGCGTCGCCGATGTATTGAACGCCTTGAATATACATTTCGACTTAGATTTACTACTAGCAAGACAGCTCATTATCCACTGCAATCTACTGAGGTAGAACGGACTGTGATCACGGAGGCTGACACCTGCCAAAGTCCGGCTCTGAAAAGTGCAGGTTTGATCTGCAATAATCCGGATCTACTAGACGTCATGTTCCATGAATGGCGGTGTCAGTCTATTATAGTACTGTATGCTGAAAATACAGGATATCAGGGAGTACATCATCAGTGTGTGCAGAAAAATGAAGGAACCTACTATGTGGTATTAAGGCTTAGTGAAGAAGCACGGAATAAATCTCAACCAGCGATCATCAATCGCCCTCTCTGGACATAATCAGGGCCTCGTTTAAGCTCGAAGCAATCATTATGTCAGACGACGAATGATCATTGCTCGTGTATTTATAAGAGGAATATTATCAATCTTCCATATTAACTATACGGCTCTGGCAGATACGGTAATATAGAATCGGCTACTCGAGTTGAGCCTGTGCTTGCGACCTGATGCAGCTTGATGTGGGGCACGCTAAAAGTCGCGCTCACTATTCCCCACCGAGGAACTCCATTTCCTACCACCCTGTCACCCTCTTCTGATAGGCCCTCAACTCGTGGCCGAAGATCTGGTTTCATGAATGGGCGCCGTGCGGGTCCACTCGCACTAGATCGACTCACTATACCAGAAGTACGTGTCTCAATCTTCCAATATCGGACTGGCCTAGGCCGTGCATCTTCCAGATCACATCCTGCATTTCAACTACGGAGTACATGTCAGGAGATTTGGAATTTTCGATCCTCAATATTCAATCCTCCATTATTTGAGGGCCTGTGTCGCCGCCCTAACTCTTCATTAAGTGCTGAAAGTCCCAAGTGCAGCCTGCCTCTTTGCTTTCGCACAGATTTGATGCCTTTTGGAGTCACCTTTTTATGTAACCAAATTGGCCCCCATGGACTTCCAAACTGCTCAAGACTTGTTGACATCCCTACACACAGGTTCCCCTGTCATCCTTTTCCTTGTCCATGCAATATCATTTGTATGGAAAATCATCGGTTCATCTAGTCACAAAAACCAATGTGAATTGCAGAAAGTGGGCGCCGGACAGAGGGTTTTCCGAAATCGGGAGGACTCAACGCTCTGGGATTTCGCGTCAACAATTGTTTCAAGTGGCTCTCCCTTAGTTTGCTTGTCACCTTTGTGCTGGATGGAGCAGTATATGTAATCCACGTGATAGCTGCATGGTCTCAACACTGGTGGAGCGGACCGTCCCTAGTGGTACGCGTTTTGTCGCTCCCTCAACTTATCAGCATGAAGTCTAACTACACACTGATATACTTTATTGGAAGAACATCGACGACTTCAAGAGTTTAACGACTGCTTGGTAAGCGAGTGTGATACCTTAATGCAGTGTTTTGAAGAGCAAGGCTTGGTACTGCAGGATCGAAGACAAGCCGTACGCGCGCTTCAGAATGGTGTCATCTCGGCCTTGCATGCCAGCGACCCACAGCCCTTTCCTATCTATGGGCCTGAGCAAGATCCAGCGATGGTTCATGAGTCAAATGGACATGCTGGACGAGACGTGCAAATTTGAAGTGAACGGAATATGTCTGAATACTAAACAGAAGCCTGCGAAGTTTCTCTTTCCATCCCAGTTAGTCACCAGTGTTGATGAGTTCAGTTATTTGAATGAAAAGATTTCTCAATGCACCGCTGCCAAGAAGCTCTCAATTATATTCCTTTAGCTGGGGGCGGTATCTGGGCAGATTTACAGTGTGTATCTAACAAATTCTGAAATCAACTCCCAAAACTTATTTTTGGCGTGGACTGTCGTTTTCAATTACTTAGTAACCCCTCGTGGAGTCGTTCAAATCCGTCCTTCTTTTTATTTCACTTTGGCTATACATAATATATTAGGGACTGGTTCTATCTCTATCCAACGCCAACTGACGGATCTAGAATGAAGCCTTGTCTCTTTCTTAGGTGGCTATAGTGCCCTCATCGCCACTTGAGTTCTTCTTTAAATTATGTACGGCGATACGTAATAGAGGACAGAATCCTTGAGACCCTGCATCAAATGAGAGGTTTCATTTGCGTTTTTTATACAGTATACAGGTAAAAAGAAATTGAGAATCAAAAAAACATCAGATAACCTCGTATACACTATTAAGCTTTCACATCGGTTGTCTATACCCCAACATTAGGCCCTATCACTCCGACTTCGCCCCCCTCAATGGAGCCTTGTTTCCAATCGCTGATGATGCCAGTCAGTCTCGCTCGAGATGAGTGCAGAGCGTGATCAAAGAACCGAAGATGAGATAGCTGCTCATCGTGGCGACGCTGGAGCTTTTCTCTCTCAATTGTTAGATGCAGTCTCGCTTTTTCCAAAGACTGATTTGCCTGAGCTTGCTTTTTGCAGTCAACATGCTTCGACACACAAGATTCCCACAGGCGTCGATATATGCCCAGAATACGAGCCGCTTGGAAAGCGAGCTTTGGGTCCTTGCGATCGAGCTCCGCCAGTGCTTCAAGGGTAGGTCGCAAAGGCTCATTCGCGAGAGATTCCTTCGATGCCTAATCAGCCTGTGATTGTTAGTCGTGAATATCCGGGTCGGAAAATTGACTAACATACCATATGATCAAAGGGTTGTGGGGCAGGTTGAAGCCCGGTGGTGTCTTCTTGACTCGGAGTCTTTCCCGGGCCATGACCTTCTTTCCCGTCGCTTTTGGACATTTCCCTCGGGCTCTCCATGTCTCAGGGATTGTATGTGAATATGTTCGATGGATATTCTGGTTTGCAATCGATGTTTGCTCTTTTATATCAGATCTTATGGCGAACAGCGATTTGAAAGAGGTCTCTCGAGCCCAGTGGACTTGACTTCCTCTAATCACTCACAACTCATGTCACCTTTGACTCACAAGGCTGTTCAGGCTCAACAAATATTGGTGATATCACTCATAATGTGATCTTGTTAGAGAGTACACTCAGTGGACCCTTATACTCGGAGGCTGGATTTTTATGAGGTCCATGGCTGTCAATCTCTCACTTGTACAGCCCTCGTTGTTAACCTCTAACGTTGAGATACTAACCAGACGCACTTTTCATTCAACTTAGAACAAACACCATCGCGAGGTACTTAGTTTACCAACTCTAGAGAGTAAATCTCGTCAATTCTGTCTGTTGAATATTTTATGCCACTACAACCCTCGATCATTCGATAAATATATATCCGTCGCTTTGGGAGCTTACCAACACTAAGCTATCCGGTGCACTTAGGAAATGCTCAGGAATGCAACCATAGGAGGGGCCAAGTAGATATGGTCGAGTAGAGAGCAGAAAGGGACGTCCACGTCCCGAGTGTATAGTCTAAGTCCCTACTCCGTTGCGCTCACCGAAACCCACGGGTACCCATACCCATGGATTGGCGCACAGACGGAAGAACTCATTTTTGGGCGCGAGGTGGACCCACATGGAACTTCACCAGTCGGTGACATCTGTTGCCAAGGTTTGCAAAGCTGGGCACGATCATCAACCGAGCATGGCCTACATCTGTGACTCTACGTTATCAACAACGATCACCGAGTGGTGAAGCATCATAAGTCGTCAACAGATAGACGGTGGTCTACATTCAACATGCTTGCACACATTCTCAATTAAAGGATCTACATCAATGACATTTTCTCCAACAACCAGGGCGCTTTCAGTTGCGTAGATCGACGGCATCGACGGCAGCATGCAATGAACAGTTTTATCAACTCCAAGATTGAAGTGGTCTATCAATACAGGGCTACTCGAAATCAGCTTCATCCCCCTGTTTTCTTCGAAATTCTTCAAAGTCTTGGCCTGACCCATATATTTCTCAAACGAGTCTAGCTCAGTAATGATTGTCAAATTAGAAGCCAGCTAAGGGTTCAATTACACGAATGAAAGAACATAGTGAAACGGATTTCGAGCAGACCTGTATCTTATACTCGATCCATTAAGGCTAGTATAAATTAGATTATCTCATAATTCCTTTTATTGCCTGGCAAATCAACAAATATGGTCTTAGCAAACCAAGAAGAGATGTTTTGATGATTAGATCGGCGTTTCGACGATAGCAAATAATTTAATTGAATCTAAAGAGACAAATTTAAATATCGGACCGAATGCGAAATATGAACAAGATGACCAAGCCCTCTCACTAGCTGATGATACAAACAATATATCCCTTGGAAATAAGTTGGGAAAAACAAAACGAATACTCCCATGTCCCTCTTGGCCACATTTTTGTCAGGTAACCGATTAGTCACTGAATGGGAAATCTCCGACCAGTCGAGATGAATTTCCTCCTACATATTTGGGTAGAAAGTGCGTAATCAATTCAGAACAGGATATGGCCGCTGAATATCCAATGGCCATCCCTCTGGGGTGATTCGACCACGATAACCAGTGTCGAACACTGGACTCGCTGGATCCAGAGTGGCCACGTATAAATTCCGGCCCCCACGTTTTCTGTGTGTCAAGTAGTGGGCGTTCAGATTGTCACGTCGCAGGAACCTTCGATAGCAATAAGGTACCCAGCAGGCATAGGGCTTTACTCCAAGATGAACCACAGAGTGTCGCTCGAGGGCTTTCCGGCGTTTGAAGCGGCTACGACAGCCCGTAAAAGTGCAAGCAAACGGTTTGTGGGGAATCCCATCATGAGTCAGCTCGTGCGTATTCCTTGAAGCACCTGACATGTTGCGGTCGTTATCAAGCGAGCTTTGAGTAACCGACGGGGATTCATAAACGCACACACTGGATCCCCATTGGTCTCGAGTATTGCATCCTTGAAAGATGCTGCAACAGTAAAGGCCTGAGCTGGAGCAGGCTCCGAATACCTGATGCATATGGCCGAAACACTCTGGAGGCAGATGAGGCGCGACCAGCCCTAGTGGTGGATGGCAGTGTGCACTCCAGTCTGGGCAGGGTACATGTAAGACGCCTAGTCTACCTTGTTCGCAGTCCCTGGAGAGCGGACAGCTCATGCTCCAAGAACAGTGACCATGTAGATTGCCTCTTTCGTCCGATGTTGGATATCTCCTAAGTGGAAATGTCTCCACGGCAGGAAAACTGAATTCGGTACCTTCCACCGATGCTGGACTAGCATTGTCGGTCAAAAGAGTATTTCGCTGCGTTAAGACATCCTTGTCCTCGCATGTCTCGTGAAGCGATGGCGTAACTGCCATTGTGAGTCCATGTTGAGACTGCGCTGAATTCAGAATTCGCTGCATATTTCATTTGAATTATGTCGAACGAGTGATGTCGATAAGTGATATAGACCCGCAGTAAGATAACTTTCGAAAGGAGTTGATAGCCGCAGCTTGATTGGAACAATGATTAGATGCGATTGATATAGCATATGACGGCCAGGAATTTGAGTTTCGAACAATTTAGGTCTGTATTTATGAGCAGACCGAGGGTTGTCTGTCCTAAGCGTCGTCGCTTGGGGATTCACACACAACCGCCAGTTGACTGCTGGGCGTAGTGGCGTGACTTTTCATGTTGAATCAGGGACGTTGATTCAGCGGGGAAAGAGCGCCATTCGTAGACTTCCATATAGGGGCATCAGAACGACCATCGGTGAAGCAGCTGTAGGTCTATTTTGAGGTGGAAGTGGCTTGTGTCAACACGCCGACATGATTCAACAGTGTTTGTTGAACCTCTACGCATCTCGGCTTCAAAAGACGTCCGTTTTGTCAAGACCAAAGGTTACCAATCAAAAAGTCCACAGCCCGGTACAGTATCAAACGATCACCATGGATCGTAAAGACTTGGGGATTTCAATGACGCAACGACTCCGTTCACAAAGAAATAATATTTAACCAGTACCCTTGCCAATCGGATTTTGCCTGTCCTAGCTCATACTGCAGTGTTGTGCTGCTTTGAAAATCAAACCCATTCTAGCCTTCTGGACGTATGTATCCTTTGTCTTGTTTATCCTTGCCTCGGCACTCGCGTCGTGAGACAGCTGAAGATGTCTATTCACCACGGAAACGAAGCATTTGAAGTACAGTCATGGTGCAGTGACTACGAAGGAACAGGATCCTTTCAGACACGGTCTACTGCCTCCACAGAAGCCGCCGGCGAGCTCTCAGAGACAAGTGAGGATCTTTCGTATGTGATGTCTGATGGAGAGCCATCCAGGAGCCCGAGCAGCGCGTCAGGTCTTTCTGGGACAAACCACCTTCCTAGTGTCGAACAAGATGGTTCCTATTCCAATGAGGTGATTACGCGTAATAAAATGGACTGAGCTCAGCTGATCAAGTGCTAGGTCGGTCGTAAATGGCCCGTTAACACTATAGCGAAGCGGCTGGTGAATGAGGATGGCCATCTTGTCGAGCAGTACCTGGCTCTCTGGTGCTCTTGGGAGAGACGTACGCCTGCAATGATACGATCCCAGCAAGAGTGACCGTTCCACCGATCAGTCATGTAATAAGACAATAGGACAATTGTCTTTTCCGCTCTCCATATGAGCCCCGGGCAAGGAAATGTTGAATTTCAGGAGTTTTCCGGGCTGTCATTATGGTGATGCTTCCATTCAAGCTACCCACTAGCAAGAATTTCAAATAGAGGATCGAAATATACAAATTCTCTATGACAAGTGGCGACAAAGCTCAAATAGTCTTGATTTATAGCCATATACATAAGTGGCTTATATACCTTTATATTGATCTCTAGGATCATGTACTCCTGACCTTCTAGAGGACTGGTAAGGAAATGTACATCTGTGATTAACAGGATTAACTGTACAGTCATTCTCAAAATTGGCTTGACCAGTACACTCTTCGAATCTCTTTCTTGGCCCCACCGCCAAGGCCTTAGCGTCTATCGTTAACTGAGCCTACCCCATTAAGTTGCGGTCCGGTGTGATCTCCCCGAGCTTGCACGGTGACATTTAAACCATGGGGCCCCTCAACTTGATGCGTCCAGCCCAATAGATATTCCGCGCTAAAGGCTTGGCAGTGGGGCAGAGAAAGATAGTCGAAGAGTGTACTGGTCAAGCCGATTTCGAGAACGACTGTACAGTAGGTGTGTACTAGTCTCATATTTAGTTGGCTGAGAGGTTCCGTACAAAATGCGAAGGATACAGAGAACGCGTAGTAGGCAATGCCGCCAAGGGAGATAGAGTGGACGAAACGGAGTACGGAAATGGCTCTAAGCGTGGCCACACGGATAACCGAAAGTGGCAGCCCGGTATCACGCAAGTGGCATGAGAGACAGTGTCAAGTATCTCCTGTCGTATATGCTGAAACTTCCAGGACGCTGTTTCTATCCGAGGGATGAAGAACAGATGCTCGTCCACCACGCCTCTGGTAAATAGATCCAGCTGCGTAAGGCGAACTTCCAACCAGCCTATTTTCTCTGACAAGAAGGCTGAAATGTAGACGAAGATATCCTCGGACTTTGTCGAGAGAAGCAGTGGGCTCGGCCCCATCCACGGAAAGCATGATTGCTTTTGGTGTTGGAGTAGAATAAGCATTCCACAATGGGATCTTGCGCACGATGTGCCATGGTCTTTTCCGCATGCGAGCTTTCGGGCTTGGTCTCGTCAAACTCTGTCGCAAGACACGGAGGCGGTGCTGGTAGATCAGACTCTTCCCAGATCTGGTGGAGATCCAGATCAAAATCATTTTCTAATACGTTGTCAGCAAAGGTAGCTTGCAGAGGCAGGCCATACGAACCATTCCAAACATATTCCATGGTGGTGCTCAGGTGCTGGCAATTCGATCTCAGAGCTTGCATAAGAAATAATTTACAAGAGAAGAGAACTTGCATTATTTGTATGAAGGTTAAAAAGTCATTTTTGTGGGTTATTCTTTTTTGGTTTCGTTCTCATGGTTCAACGTTCAGCCTCACCAAACATTAATGAATCACCGCCACTGAAAATAACTTCGGTGATCAATCAACACATTACACATTTTGCTTCTGGATTCTATCCCGAGACCGAACAAAATGGTGTGGCCGCCTAGCCCTCTATATGTTGTCTTTTAACCTCATCTATGAGGCATCGAGAATCGCTGGTGTGAAGGGAGATGGGTATGTTACAAAGTCGGCTGAGCTACACACGCGCTCCCAGGAGCAAGAAATGCTTGATCCAGTAGTTTCAAAGCATACATATGTAAAGACCCATCATCTGTGGCAATTGCCTCATAAGTGACGGTTTATTCAGTCAAGCCCGCACATTGCTAGTTATACATCCCGACCTCACAAATCAGGCAGAAAACCAACATTGTAGCATTGTAGCACCCTCGTAAGCATGTATCGGGCTCCTGAAAGTGCTAAGTAGCAAGGCCTAACTGTCATTTTCGTCTCTCGCCCTATTCAGATGCTGGATTCTAGCAAAGTATTCTGACAATGCCTGTGAACTGTCTCCCAGGACCGGTGGCTTATCGCCGCATGGTGGGATTCAAACGGAATCGTCCAACATATTGCTTGTCATGATAAAGGGGTAAGCTGCTAGAATGTGCGCCCCGATTCAACACATAGCCCATGAAGTTAGTGAGGAGCTTGAGTTTCCTTAGATCAAAGTGCTCCTGGGACCTACATTGGTCAGGTTTATATGCGGGTCAATGAAAAACATATAAACGGAAGCTTTATTGCACTTTCCTTGTCGTTTTGACCCGTCATAAAACTTCCACAAATATCTACAGCGAATATGCTTCATCAACTCCCAGCCGCGCTGCTTTACCATATTTGTGCATATCTCGACAAGCCCTCCCTATTCAATCTATGCTTCTTCCATAGAAAAACATACGCAGTTATTACAACAGCACTTTGTCATTGTCTTGGCTCTGTGAGAATCCCGCCACTCTACCATGCTGTTTCACATCAGAGACTGGATATTGCAGAACGATGGATCCTTCAATATGGTGCGAGTTTAGACTCCGAGTACGGTGGAAAGTCAACTCTCCTTCTGGCTATTAAGCTGAGGTATCCACAAGCGGTGGCTTTGCTCCTCAAACACAAAGCACATGTTGGCTATTGCTGTGACTTCAGAGGCCGCGGTCTTCTTTCCATTGCGACTGCCTGTGGTACGGTCGCCATAGTCAGGCAGCTACTCCAGCAACCGGATATCGATGTCAATGATCGCTGCTCTGCCGGCATGACAGCAGTCATGTATGCTATAGAGCACCGCCAGTATGCTATTCTTCAACTACTATTATTGGATCCGCGAGTAGAGCTCAACGTGGAGAACAATGTTGGGCAAACCCCTCTGCATTTTGCTATTAGCAAGGAGGACTACTTGTCTGTTCAAATCCTGGTCCAGAACCAGCGGGTAAATGTGAACTACCCTAACTTCGGAGGCGACACCCCCCTATTGTTGGCTGCCCGGAAATTCAGTGATCATAACTCCACCAGACTCGTTGAGTCTCTCCTTCTCAATTCAGATCTCAACGTGAATTACCAGGACTTCAATGGTCGCACAGCTCTTTGGCATGCTGTAAGTGGTAGGAAAGAGAGATTGTTGCGACTTCTTTTACGCCAGAATGGTCTGAAGCTCAATACGGCTGATAGATCGGGCGTAGCGCCACTAGCTTGTGCAGCCGAGGCTCCGTTTTTCAGCGCTGCCTATCTCTTGTTGCAACAACCTGGCATACAGCTCAATGCACAGTCTCGACGAGTGATTCCCCCACTGTGGTGCGCATGCCGTGCAGGGCAGTACCAAATAGTTCGACTTCTTCTGCGACAAAAGTCAATCGATGTCAACCAAAAGAGCCCCACAGGGACGACTCCACTCCAGGTAGCCGTCATGTTTGGACATTCTTCCACTGTTTCCCTTCTTCTCCAACACGATTCTGTTTTAGTAAATGAGCCTGGCCCTCACAAATTTACTGCGTTGCTCTTCGCTTCGGCAAACGGGTTACGCGAAAGCGCTGAAAATCTATTGCGACATCCTGATACTGATTCTACCACAATTGATGACCAAGGACGCACGTCGCTCTGGTGGGCACAGCATGGAGGACATTCCGAAATTGTTCGACTTCTTTCCAGATAGGCTTTGCATGAAATGTATCTACGGTTGTCTTGAGTAGAGTTGGGTTTGGAGTATCGAGTACCAGAGCACGATAGGTCTATAAGGTTTTGTGTAGAGTTTATTTGATGCCTGGAAAAAACTTCTCTGATTCTCAATCTTACCCACCCATATAGTAAATTGCGTAAACATACTACAAGGCAATCTCAAAAAAGTTTCTTCTCGTGGTAGATTCTTTAGCACCCAAAGCAGTATCCGTTGTCTTCGATATTTTCAGGGGATGGAATCTGAGTTGGATTCCATACATTCCGCCAAATTAGAACTTTCTCTAACCATCATGGTCATGAATTTCTTATCATACCAAAGAAGAGTCTGAAAATCTATAGATATATACAGAATTCCCGGAAATCGGTGTCACCCCCTAAGTTATGGTGTTGCTTGTTCATACTCCTCCTAACCTAGCAACTGCAGTTACCTAAACCAGTTATAATGGCAAGAAAAGTCTATGCCTGGCAGCGTAAAGGAAAGCTGCCCCTGTCGGATAACATGGTCATAAACTCTTTAATTCTTGTCAAGGGCTAAAGGCCACGGCTAGCTAAATACAGACTTCGTTACGTATTTGTATCTCCTCGGTACAGCAGTTCCACCTCGTCGCGATAGGCTACATTTAGTGGGCTAACAACGCACCAGTGAGAATGCAGCTACGCTATCTGCCTTCCCTGCTTTTCTCGGCGTCCTGACGCTTATGCATTTCCATTTGTTTCCTCGTGCCCCTGCCCGTTATTATCTTCCCAGTGTTATCTCTGAAACTATATTCCCATATGTGTTCGTCTGGATCCTCTCGGGAAGGGAAATCTGGGGCCGCCCGAGGCGGCAGATGAGGATCGGTCGTATAACGCCACTTTTTCTCGATTGTACGGCGTGCGTCTGGTGTCATTGCTGTTATTTTGTGTGCATATTGCTCCTGCAGATGGAGTTGCTTCGAAGGACCCAGGACTTGCCGTAGTCGGGACACGAAGGAAGCTTGCATGGATATGCCCATACGTGTCCGGAAGGGAGGTCAGCATCAGCATTATCAACCTTATCATCGAATTCGGAAGGAATAGAAGGGATAGGATTTGAGGTAGTCATGCTTTGTTCGCCAGCTTGTCTTGCTGGAGGGTGGGGAGCAGTTTTCTGTTACGCTTTGATTTCACAGCGCGGGGTCAATGACTTACGACAACACGCACGGGAACCTCGAACGAAGATGATCATGTGACTTGCTTCAATGTATTCTTGGCGACAGCCAAAAGCACCCTACCATATACTGTAACATCTGTCAGGAAGTTTACATGTTTGATGCAGAACCTGTAATTTTACAGTATCATGTGATTAGGGTTTGAAAGAGTAAATCCATGTCAGAGACATGGAAGGCAATAACAGGCGGCACTGTACATATAGCCGGGCTTTCTCCGAGTCTAAATGCCCTTATCAACGGCGGGATGCTTGCGCTTACAATCGGATAAGCGTGTAAGCCACTTTTGACAAAGCAATTCATTGCCTTCGCTTTCGTATTGGCGCAATTTCCTGTATATCTCTCTGTCTATTGAACCTTTCTCGTTTGAATACTCTTCGACAATTGACGTCCTGAGAGCATCGCTAATATCTACCGAAGATGTCAACATCAAGACGGAAAGGTAACTTCAAATACTCACCATGGAGATACAAATCGACGGTCCACCATCTTTCAGCAGGTGCCAGCACCTTAAACCCTGCATGCAAGCGGTGTCGCCCATAGAGGCCTTGTAGTTGACCCTTTGAGAAGGATAAGAATGGTATATCCTTTCCAGAGCTCAAGAGAAGCGAGCGAGCAGGGGTACCAGCTCTATTCAGTGCTTCTGTCAGAGCCTCCTGGGACAAAGTTGCAGGTACATAGTTGGAGAGCTCGAAACGTCGACAGCGACTTTTGCGAAAAACATCGCATAATCTTTTCACATTATTTTCATCTACCCACTGGAATTTGACGCCCCAAATTCAATTTCCGAAATCTTCACCCGAGCAGTACCTTGGTATTTAAGTCTTCGCTCGTCAGACTGTTTGACTTCATCTTCAGTAAAAAAGGCGCGCCGCATCGCGGAATTTGTTAGAACCTCTTGAATTATCTTTGTTTTCTTATGTGATTATCCAGACAACATTGAAAGGGGCTTTCAAGGCATACGTCAGTTCTAGAGGGGTTCGGCTGGTCTTTTAAATAACAGACCTATCGCACAGGAAAATTCAAAAATCTATCTTCGTAGCAACAGATTGATTGTAGGGTTGCAAGGGTATCACTAATTAATTCGAAGTTTGATGTATGGCCCCGCTTTCAAACTAGCAGGGATCATTTCTAGGGTCGCAGACACGATAAATTGCTTTTTTGGCATCATGTGCTCTGTGCTTCGATTCTGTATGATAACTAACTTTCATCTCCTCCGTAGTATTCCTCAAATATTCCACGAACCGATGGGTTTGTTTTTATTTGAATCGATTATTTCCATGCATTGACACGCATTTTCGTGGAGACATTAGAGCCCTCCGATTGCTTTCTCTCTCTCCTCCCCTTGTTGTTTTTTTTTCTTCAAAAAATCGCAGGGATTATGCCCACCCCTAAAGCTGCCAATATGCCGCAGGGCGAAAACAAACGAGTCACCCATTTCGACATCCCTCGAGATAAGAGTCTTGATGACCAGCATTTGCCTACGGGTACAAAGGGAATCCATTTGGACCAGAATCGCATTCGACTAGAACGCGAACTGAAACGGGACAACGGCCCATCAACATTATCCAGAAAACGAAAAGAAACCTCAAACGATGACACCTTTACAGGTATCGTAAAGGCCCATAAAAAGACTGGAATAAGTACTCGGACCGAATCACCTTGGATCTACTTCAAGAAACTCTACAAGTGCGATCTTGCCGGAGAAATGACGGTCGTAGTAGATAAGTCCAAGCCGGGAGAACTTTATTTTCTCACAAGCTTCTCTGTGAATAAATTAGATAAGCTGAGTGAGCTTCTCCACCGCCTTATTTTCACTCAACACGAGAATATTGCCTCGGCGATGACATGCTTTGTTACAAAAGATGGATCATCAACGATTGCTGATTTTTATCCCTTGACACTTGGGAATATTGTGGCTTGTCAACATTATCCTGATGAGGAGCAGCTGAGTGCGATCTTGGCTCAAGTTGAGAAATAACCACCCTGTGTTGATTTCCCCTTTTCTGACCTCAATGGCAGGTTTTAAGTGGTCTTTCATTCATTATCTCTCGGGGTTTACATCATAACTCCCTGGAAAGCTCCAGTATCTTAATGGACACAAATAGAAATCTCAAGATTGGTAAGAATCAGGTTCAGAAAATCTCTTTCTACCACTCTAACAAGGGCTTTAGGCCGGCTCGACGAATGCGTTTCTCGATCAAAGGGCCAGTCTCAAAGGGCGGATATAAAATCTGTGGGGAACATAGTAATGTAATTGTTACAAAAATATGTGAAGGACGACGGCAAAGTTGGCATCGACAACTTGGACCGCTGGCCGTCTGATTCACTTCCAGTTTCTTTCCTCTCGGTGACAACTTCTGCCGACTCGATAAAAACTCTCATGAAGGTGTGTCTATCCGAAAGCTTTTTCTCAAAAGAATCCCCGCTCACTCTTGAGTCTTGAAGCACCCCCTCATAACCAAAATTCGTTTTCGTAAAGAGGTCCTAGTGTCTCTCGCGTGGTTTGCTCTGCATTCAACACGAACCTTTTGGTTATACACGCCATCGTAGATCTATATTTTGATTTTTTCCATTTTATAGTTTGACAGTTCCTTGCAAGGAGTAGTACCCATGTCTAGAACATATTGCACCTCCAAAGTGGTCTACCACAACTGAAGCCACTCTGTGCTTACTAGTAGCTTAATTCAAACTTGAAAGAATATACATTGATAGATGCAAGTGCCTTACTGGAGTACAATTGTGATACTCATAATTGTGTACAATATATTCCAGATGTCACTGCTACATTTCGTTGTCTCTTTCCTGAGCCCTTAAGTTACAATTGGTACTCAAGTTCTGCCATGCGAATATCCTGGTCCAGATGGCCACGGATGATATTCCGCAATCGATCTCGGACTTGGCCTACCGAAGAAACTTTCCTTTTGTTTAGTCTTGACATCTAGAAGAAAGGAAAGAATTTTACACTTACCCATTATAAGTAATTTGCCCTGGGTGTCCCTTATACGTGATGTCTTATCAATGTTCTCGCCAGACACCTCCCCGGAAATAATTGATGAATAATCAGGGACTCCTTGATAGAGGAATGCTCGTTCATGTCTTCCGAAAGGGATATCACGCAGTTTAGCACCCTCTCCAACATAAATTGATATGCTCAGAATCTATTGCCGTCGTTAGATATTGCGTCGGTGTAAATATAAAGCTCGACCCACGTAGCCGTTATCCAATACGTCATCATCTAGAAGGTCATTGAGTTGTTCCTGTACCGCAATTGCGGTTTCTGAATCATTAGCGTGGTTCATTCTTTTCACCGATTGATAGCATACCGCGATTTGGAACTTGCCACAGAAGATGCACTCGACGAACATGAGAAGTGCATGTGTTATAACCATGGATCAGCTTTTTCGCGTAAGGCAACACAGCTGAAAGACCAGCCTCATTCGCGACAAGAAGGACAGTTTCGTAGCTTTCAACAGGCTCGCTGAGCCCATGAGGACCACTATACACAGCTAGGCAGGAATATCCCCTAGGACCCGCATTCTGTACTTGGTGTGCAAGCGTAGCGGTCAGGCCTTTTCGTGGCTGGATCAAAAGCTCTATTGACGATTGTGGCTTTTGCGACCAGGATATGATGGTGAATGGATGCGTCTGCATCCAAGACCCCATAGTGGCTGAAGGAAGCCACAAATTGATATACTGACCGGCCTTTACTGTGACTGGCCTTGGCAAAAGTAGACGGATATTAAATAGGGCGCCCGCTTTTTCTCTGTCTTTGACCAAGTCGCAGTTGCTGCTTGATAAAATTGCTCGTGGACATCCATTTCCTGAAAATATACCATTCCGGTAAAGCAACTTTATGAGGTACGTACTTGAAGTGGTAGCAAAAAGACTGACTCCTATCAAAATATAAAGCTCCGGAAGTAAAGAGTCTTTTGGGATATGTCTCCAAATACCGTAAACACAGACTATTGTCAGACCTTGGTGTACTCGAATGAAGATTTCAAACGAAATTCGCCGCACGAGTGGGAGAGCCGTCAGACCAAGGGCCCCTAAGCAGCCTGCAGCCTGTTATTCGGCTAAGAATGAGTCTTTGCGCAGTTTAATTGACATAATCACTCACTATAATCACAAAAAGCTTGTCACCATCTGAGACTGAACTAGAGATTTTCATATCGGAGTATAAGGCACCGGCATGGAGAATGACTAGTCCTATAGCCATCCACCCTGAAGCTCGATGTATCTTCCGGTAGAGTGTCAATGAAAGCCCCAAAAGGTCTGCTGAATGGCTTAAATGGCCTGCTAGCAAGGGAAAGATCATGTTCACAATGGAAAGAGATCCAGCACGTCGCCCAACGCTTTCTAATGAAATTGTATGTGAGTTGTAGAAGAGTACGACAGAGTTCAAAGTCATGTAGACTAGATAGAAACAAACAACAATTCGTGACCACGGGCCGAAAAAATAATGGCGAGAAATGACGCAAGGATAGACCATATGGCGACAAAAAAAGGCTCGAAATGCGTCTCTCCAGTGCGAAGCCATGTTTAGGAGTCTATGCGTGATCAACAGCAGAAGTAAAGCACCCACGGTTATTGCATATATCGTAAGTGTGTCCATTGCCGAGGTGTTGAGATATTCAAATGAGCTGTCAGCGTAGATTAAGAGAAAAGACTTAATAGAATTAACATTCACACGTAGCAGGGGATATAAACAGGATTGACTCACTGATGAATATTGTTATGGAAAAAGACAAACAAAACTGAGCTTGCATTATGAAAAATAGAAGTCTTCCAAAAACAATAGGTGGAAAGCCATGGTTTCAAGAGGATCCTTTTCTAGTAATTGGAAATTTCCTGTTTGAATACCTTTTCAGAGTTTAGGCTATCTAATTTACAATTTCTGGGTCCCTTTCTTATTCTGCACACCATGAAAGGGCGGGGACAAAAATTCCATGGTCTACTCCCAGATCTACACCAGTGACGGCCCGTCACGGTTTTCTGATTGTTCGTTCTGGCCCTGCGACATTGTTTCATGGGGTGCGGGCTGTTTATGGCCTGTAACAGTGATTCATGGATTGCACCTTTGCTCCATATTTCAAGTTGCGGTGTTCTGTCAGATAAAGCATTCCCCTTGAAGGTCAAAACGGTATAATTTCAAGTTAATCTTGCCATAGTCTAGACCTCATAGTGTTATGTACGAGCTTTGCAGTTGCGCTCTCTACAGATTCTCGACTTGGAAAACCTTGTCACTATTACGCCTACCCTAGAGCGAGCGATGGAGGACAAACACTACTCCTTCAGAATGAATGTTGATCAGCTCAATCCTTACAAAAGACTTACAAGGGTACTACTGCTGGGATCTGAAATCGAACCTTGGTCCCGGGAACAGTCTCTTGTGCCCAAACAGCGACAAGATAGATTTCCAGTATCTTCACTGGTGAAGTAACATTTAAACTTACTGATAGCCCACCAATACGTGGAGAAAACTTGTTTCACAAGCTTAGAGGAACACCCCAGACCCATCTCACATACATGTTCTGGTCATATAGATGATATTCGAGCACCGGTCTATGTCATCAATTATCAGTCTATCCTAAGAACGACAATGTGTGCTCAGTGTGGACCATCACTTCAGCTAGGCTGGCATACCGCTGGTGCCAAACGGATGAGAGCAAGCCATTTGATGCCGCCCATGCATGCGACCCAGCAACAAGCCCCACTCTCAGTCCATACCCCACTGCGAGATGGAAGCTACGACATAACTGCTCAGAACGAGACTCTTCAAATTGGCCTGTCGATCGCGATTGCTTCTGACAATATTGTGTTTGTGGAAAAGCTTCTTCACCATCCTCAGATCAATCTTTATGATACATCTTGCTCAACAAAGAGCCCAATAGCTATAGCGCTTGAATATCAAAGACATGACACTCTTCGTCTGCTCTTGGATCATTGCCAGATTGATCCAAACGCCAGAGACAGCCAAGGCCAAGCACCACTACATCTAGCGGTCATTTACGATGATCCGATAGCCGTCCGAATCTTACTGGAACATCCGAGGGTTGACATCAACTGTCTCACCGCCGCGGGGGATAGCCCTCTGCTACTTGCAGCCAAGACTTTCGACGGAAACAGGGCCAGGAGTCAGATTCTGCATGATATTGTGTCCATGCCTGACGTTTTGCTAGACCAGCGAGACCGGATGGGACGTTCAGCGCTCTGGCATGCAGTGAACACAAGCAACATTCTGCTCATAATGATGCTATACCAAGACCCACGGACTGAGGTTGGCATGGCAGATAGAGAGGGTATCACACCATACGTTTGAGCTGTATGAAAAGAAATGTTGCATTGTCAGACTCTTTCACTGGCTTGATGCATACAGAGCCTGCTGGTTGAGTAGGGGTAGATTGAGTATCAAGTGGCGTTGGAAGCTGATGCTTCCGCATCAAGCCCTTGTCCAAGGTTGGAACTATCTTGGTGGAGGTCAGTTTATGCAGCGACTTGGCACCTTGTAATGATTTGCTATCTGGAAAGGCACTACACTGTATCAATACCATTATGTTGAAAATGTTTGAAGTTCAGACCAGAGATCTTGCATAACAGGGAGCTTGCCCGCATTAGCCAAGTAGAGCGAAGTCAAAAGGAAAGTCCTTTCTAGATACGTACAGTCCACAGGGCTGAGTGGCCAGCTTGTCAATTCTCGGCAAAGGCGGCAGATGCCAAAGTGAACCCCCGTAAACCTTTCCGTGCCAGCCGCCAAGAATGTTTTTCGGCCTGAATTTACTCCGGGTTACCTTGATCCCCACGTCCCCCTCTGGTGAGCCTTGTAAACGAACATTATTTTGTGCAGGCCGGCCTTGTTGGCCACAATTTCACTAATCTTCCTCCTGTACGGCCTGCGAATATTGTACAGACTTGTGTCTTTGCCAGACTGTTGATTTCCCAGGATACTCGATCGCGTTCTCACAATGAGGGATAAAGCGCTCTCTCTGGGCAAGTCGTGCATACACATGGATTATTAGAAACGGACCTTCCCTGGTGACTGGTGAGGGGATTTCTGTACACCCGTCGATAGCTGCTCTTGATGCTTGTATTCACCTAATGAGGATATGATTGGACCTCCACGGTGAATTTCGCAGCTAGCAACTAATCAAATGGTCCCAGGTAGCCCAAGATTTGAGCCAGACGAAGTGTAAAGATTAAATAAACGTTGAAGAATCTTTTTCACGCTTTCCTCAACTATTATAGATGGTCATAGACTTACATCCAGGGCAGACGTGTGGCATATGATATCAGTCCCTCAGAGCTTCATATCCACTTGTCAACCGCAAAATATGACCGCAAACAGCGGATCATCTCGGCACACTTAGATCGATGGAAACCAACGAATTCCTCTGCTGGTCAATTTCTGCGGTAATGCCTGTCGCTTCACTGAGAGTCTCAACATATTGTCCATGCGACGTGCATTACGGATGTTCCAGCATCGCTGAAACAACTACTGTTGATCAATTCCCGATGGAATGTATAAAGTGACTCAGGCTCTCCCTTATTGGATGATGTTGGTCCGTTCAATCGAGATACAGCCCAATGACCACTGGAACCATTGCCCAATCAAGCAAGTATGACGCGGAACAAATGCTGGAGAATAAAAATTGATATCACAGGACACCACGGCTCCCAGGATCACTCCTAGCGGAACCTGTGCATCACGAAAGATTGTCTGATGGAGCAACATCAAATTTGATTTCTGCATTCCAGCCTAGCATCATTTCTGAATCAGTCACTGAATGTGAATGTCGGCTTTGGCAGAAGCCCCGGTGCACTTCCTTGTGGGATACGTCTACAGAGTACACTTCAAATCATCCACGGAACGAAGGCTGCCTGTATCAGGTCCAACATATGCCTTTTATCTACCAACTTGCTGGGGCAGATGATCATCATATGGCGTGGTGCTATTGTCTAGTATCACCCAGCAGGACCTCGGTCATGATACTCAAGGACCTACTGTTCAAAACAAGGAGGAGCATCCGAATTCCTGGGAGCTGGCTGTCGCGAGACCCTTGCTTCTTGGTGAAAGCCTCACGAAATCGCAATATAAATTCAGTAGTCACCGTAGTCGCAACATTAATTTGACACACCTCAAATACACAGTCCAGACATTTTCTGGTGGCTTAACTCAACTACTCTTTCAACATGACCACCCTGCCCTGCTGGGACCCCCTGACCCTTTGTGAAATGGGAGCCGGCCCTAGCGGTGATGGTTCGTTCTGCTGTGGGATAACAATCCACGGGACGCCTTGCAAAAACACCATACGGATGAAAGAGCTGAAGACAGGCCGGGATGACCTGAAGTGTCTCTCTTTTTATCCGTTTGATTCTTCGGATCTACAACCTTTGCTTTGCAGTATTGCCAAGAGCTTCCTGTGTACACGATGGCACCGAGCGCGACAAGCAGAGTCTCTAGGGAAGCAGTGGTATGATACGGCTATGCGTAATTATGCCATATGGGCTCTATCCCCTGCTGATCCTCAGCCTTCATTACCGGTATCGTCTTTGCATGGTATTGGATCAGAACCTGCTCCCGATACATCCCTACTGGACGGAGACGGGTCTCTACACTCAGCCGAAAACGAAGCCGTGGAAGTCTCATCCATCGAGACGTCGATAGTCACCGAGGAATCACAGACCACCGAACCGTATATCTCAACCACCATGGTCCGAGCAGATTATGTTCCACGGGACGTACCACCTACTCAACCAGCTATTCCCCCATGTGCTGGCGATATCCGTGCCGGCGTCGGGGAACTGCAAATCGCAAGTGTCAGTCTGAGTGATGAGGTTTCTGAAATTCACTGCACGTTTTGCTTGGCTGAAGATGGCGATCAGGCGGATGAGTGTGTGGTATTACGGTGCAACGAATGTACAAGCTTAGCCCACTTGGTCTGCGTGAAGGAGTGGCTGGAGAAAAGGGACTCGGGATTCGATCAATCTTGCTGCGTGTGGTAAGTGCAAGTTCCAAAATGGAAGACTGGTTGGTGTCCTAACGTTTACCAGCCGAAGAAGAGGGACATTGGATGCGCTGGTCCGTTCACCAAGGGTGCCTCTGGCATCTGGTGCATCCGAAGGATCATTCACGGCTTCAGTTGATGAAAACACACTCGGCCCCGTATATCCCGATATTTCGAGTCTGATTGACGGACAACAATCCGAGCCGGTGGTGACGAGACAATCATCTCGTAGATTGATGGATCAAGCCGTGAGACAAGGTACCCGTCGGTCGGCTAGACTGGCAATCCTACCGCACCACAGCCGCGGAGAGCCTCGCCGGTCTGAACGATTAGCCGGGCAGCGTCGTGGCTGAATTCAGATGTGAATTTGGATATATTCAAACTGACATGCGGGATTGAAACGGCCAAGACATTCTCAATGCAGCCCACCGTTCTCATGGAAGTGGGTCCAACACATGTGACAAGGTAGCTTTAGTGTGATACTCCTAGATGGGGAGATGTCAAGGAATATTCGCATGAATGTGCTCAATCAGATGCCGAGATATGGAAGACAGATTTGAATTTTCAAGTAATCCGCAATTTAATCGAGAGGTGATGCTGATACATAATAGCCAGCATCGAATCTGCTTGTGCCTATTCTACTGTAACGTATTTAAATGTAACACCAAACTCGGAATTGGCTTCTATAATCTAAGAAGAGACTCGGTACTTGGGACCAATAAGGAAATTCGAGACCAGGATTCTCATTCTCGCCCATGGCAACATGGTTGAATCCCCTATTGACTTAGCCTGTTTTTCCAGCCACGACACTGGGACAAGCTAGCTAGAATATGGAACGGGTCTGGAATACTGTATTAATATTCTTGAACTGGTGATACATTAGTTGAAAAGACCCGCAGAATTCCCAAAGCAGGCTAGCCGGCCTTGGCCCTATGGCTTGAAAGTGTAAGTCGTTGCGCCATGTTCGGGAGCGTTGTAATTGAATAAGCTTCTGAGACACCAAAGGCGTCGCGCATTAGCCAAAGATCGCTTCGAGCACTGGGCGGGAGCTATCCCAAAGTCATGGCAGATCTACCGACGGAATGGACCGAGCTCTCTCTCAACACCCAAAAATCCATAGCCTGCATCAACGAGGAAGAGACCCAGGCTGGGGCCGCTGTTAAAACCTACATTCTGTCCTGTGCAAATAGGGTGAACCCGAGCTCGAGATACCATCCCTCCGGCTGAACCTGTCCTGGTTTTCTGTATGCTATGTATTGAAGAGGGGAACACAGTGATATGTAACCAGAATACACGGGTCGAGGTAACATAGACGTATGCCAACAACAACCACCATCAATCCACATACTAAGTGTAGGGACTGACCCCTGGGGTCTGATCAGAGAGGTATAGGAGTGTGTATTCTTCACTAGTGCCTTACACCGCTATAGGCATCTAACGTACATAAATACATCCCGGAGGCACTGAGTGTCAAGGAAGACAAAGGAAACACTATCATGCAGATCTATTGCCGTATTGGCTATGGGATTCGGCACCAAGTCCGGCCACACATAGAGGGGGGATTCCTCTAGGGCCCGACTTACACTCCTCAAGTGTTAGTCGCTGTATCAAAGTGAACCAACTCCTTGTGCTCTCTCCTTAGTATATCTCGCCTAGCCCACAGGTGTCACCCTAATCTGACGAGTTCACTACACTGAGGTCACATGTAGTAGGAAGGCCATCCTTCCCTAGTACAATATGTATACTGGAAATTAATCTTATTGGCTTTAACTATATTTGGAGCGTCCCAATGGATCATAGGTGGTTTGCTTACTCCCTTTCATTTTGAAAAATAGATATATTAGCTAGTGACGGCTACGGAAAGCTTAGAAACAGGTCATAATAGGTGAAAGTCCTAAGAAGCGGGCTCAGAGAACAATGAAAAGAGGTGTGCTGTACAGTTCAGGTAAGCCCTATAAAGTACCCACATTTCCCCTGGCCAAATCTGCCAAGGTTACATGCACCCATGCGCTACCGTTCAATGATCGGGACCCCAGCAGCGGTCTTGTGTGCCTATTTAAAGCTGCATTCCTTGACGCATTTGACGATTGGTTCGAATCGACGAGAGCGACTATGGAAGGGGCCAAGCGTCAGCAAGCTAGATCAATGTGAAACCCAGAAAACATTTGTCCGCCACTAATGAGCACCGTCGCTCAGAGTTTGAAGGCATAATATACCAAGATTTTTCTTTTCGTATTATTAGTTTGTATTCTGTCTTGGCATGCTTGCGAGACAAAAGCTTCACGATGGTGGACTAGCTACACAAAATAAATTAGATAAACTTGTGTTACAGTATCTTGTGTTAAAAGCGACATAGTAGCGACAAACTACATGCGTATGGACTATGTATATATGCATGTTCAAAGAAATCCTAACTCGATATCAAATTAGAGAAATTGAGAATCCAAATATCCTGGCTTGTCTTCTATTATTTCCTATAGAACAAATACAGATACGTATAAACTCGTACAATCGGAACCAATTATAAGAGGGTTATGATATTGAAGGTGCTGGATCGAGTTGAGCGATCCTGCTAGTTTGCGGTGGCTAGCTGTATAGCCCGTACGAATGCTTCGGTCCGCTTTGCATACAAAGACAGTATCACAAGATCAAAGCACGCGCTGAATCATTAGTCCGAGAAAGAAAAGGTGGTAACCGTCTCCTGCAGAGTTTCATATTTCTTGTTATCCGGCAAAAGCTCAAGCAGCCGTCCATTCCATCCTTCGTATATTATCGTTTGGCATTACCGAGTTCCAATTTGAATTCCTCCTATCGCCTCTAGTCTTTGCCTATTGAAGCCTTCTCTTGCGGATCACAGTCCACCCGGTCACATATGATAATGGGCCTTCTTTTTGATGCATTGGATGTAGTTCCCACTTGTCTGCCTCTGGGGTACGCAGAAGCAGTTGCCAGGGACCTATGCTGGTCTTGAAAGTCAAGCCACAGATTGGACTAAGGTCACCTGGCATGGAAAGTCTATGCTTCACTCCGCAGACATCCGACGACTCGATCATCTGGATCTTTTTCAGCGAACTTGAAGTATATTGAGTCCTGATGGCTCTTTTGTCGAAGAGCCGTTTCAGCTCTTTCTTGGGAAGCTCAATGGTTTCTGTGGAGACCATGAGATTTTTGATGTAAAGAGTAATTCCTGGAACACGCAGATCATGCCCTGGACCTAACGCCAGAGTAGTCCGGGGAAGAATGACCTTGTGTCCCTTTTCAAGATAACGATAGTCCTCTCTCAGCGAATTGAAAAAGACATCCAGGTTATAGCTCAGATCACCTGTCCAATCGTTTGGTGCTAATAGAATGTGATGATGTTTTGGGTCTTTGACGTCTGGATTACCGATGCTTGATAAATTCTTGCCGATAAGGATAGGCCCCGGTGCTTTAACATATGGTGACTCTTGCAAGAGTCTCTCGGCGAGATTGAGCCATTCGTCTGTAGCAAAAATGGCCCTCCACAGGATATTGTCGGCGCACTCCCGCTTAGCACCCTGATTGGCAGCTTCTTTGGTGGCGTTTGGAGGGCTCCTTTTTGCTATCATATCGAATACCTCTTGGGGCAATCGGTGGAATAGGCTTTTGCTTCGTTGCATTTTTGGATAAGAGGTGTTAGTTTGATATAATATCACTGCTAAGGACGGAGAGATTTTTGACTATTCATAAGCTTTTAAGCTAGTAGAATTGACGCAAGCCAGCATTATTCCCAGAAGGTACCATGTCTCGTAAGTTTATTTATCGCTTTTCTAACTCGCGGAAGGTAAATTAAGAATGGGATCAATAGTAGCGGTGATACGAGTGTGCATGAACGATCTTTCCCGGTCGACTGCGCGCTCTGACGTTGATCCAAGATTATGACTCCACAGGCTATCGGCACATACCATCAACACTCACGAAACATCAATGCTCACCAAATATCAAGAAGTCCGCGGTGGAATCTTATCGAAGGGAGAGCACTAGAGATACAATCACTCATGTATTGAATCATCGGTTCCAGGCTCCACTTAAGACTATTTTTGTCAGCTTTCAAGAGTGATTCCGTGAATAGTACAGTAGCTGGAACGGGAACGGTTTATTGCGAGGATGGAGGTGAAGACCTTCGATTGTAGGTATTGGTCTGGCGGTAGGGAATGTTCTTGCGCCATTGGCGTTGGTTGGTTTGGTGTCTGTGTACCAGCGTCGGTGGTTAATTTCTTGGATGGTTCATGTTCCGCAAAATTTTGTAAATGAGAGGGGGGAGGCGTCGATTAAAAGGTGAAGTATCTTGGTAGATTCGAGAGTTTGTTCAGCTCGCTGTGCATGACCTCCCATACACAGTCGTTGACGTGTAAACGTTGTCTTCCTTGAATCCTTTGGCGCTGCAGGCTTGCCAGGCGTATGTACGCTTCACAAGCAAAGCAGTGGAATAAATCGTTGAAGGGTGCGGACATTTCATAGTAGTAATTTTTCCAGGCTATTGGAGGGGATTGACACCATTGACCACTTTCCTTTGGAATGACCGAGCCAAGGCTTCAAAAGTAGCATAGAGAGCTGCAATCAAGTATTTTTCTCAGGGCCATGAGTTGAGGGGCGTGTTTTCAACGGGGCGGTGGTGTTCGCGAGTTTGAGGCACAGGAGGGGGGCGGCGAGTACGCAGTAGGCTTTTCGTGCTCATTCTGGGGGGTTCCTTCTCGTGCCGACCGTATTCAACTTACAGTCCATTCATTGTCCCTCTCCTGAATATCTAAAGTTCCATCCTGGGTTACTTTTACACAATTTCCGGCTCTTAAGTATAGGCGCATGGATCACCAATTTGTGTAATAAACAGTTTGAACGTTCATACGCTCACTTTTGCTCTCTAGGATAGAAGGATTCACAGCCAAGGATCATTGCGAGAACTGAATATAAAAAGAATCAGAGGGACTGGGGCTGATACTGATGGATTCAATCTCTCTTCCTCTGTTCAGTAAGAAACCCACAGCGAATCCTTCCATCGGAAATATTCCTCATGAAAAGGCAGCGCATTCTGTCTTCTGGGACCGAACCAAGGCCAAAAAGAAAAAAAAGAAGAGATACAACTTTCCATCTCAAGACTTTACCCAGGGAGCTTCTTGATCATGTGATGTCTTTCACTTCCATATTGTCTTGGCCAAGTATCTTATCCGTTTCAAACCGCCAGCCATGGGAGTTAGACAAGCCCAGTATTTCACTCTGGTCTTCTCTTTTCAAATGCGAAAAATGGCTTGAAAAGATGGTCCAGGAATACCAGGCTAAGCCGGTTTTGGTTGGCTCTGGTCTTGACAACCATTCACGTGGCACCTACCTGATCCTTCACGTTTGTGCCGCTAAGAAAGGCTCATCATACGTGCGCTTGTGGAAACTGTTCAAGGAGTGTCTCCAAGAGCATACTATCACTGCAAACGCGGAGGTCATATTCAGTTCCGGCGCTACGCTCAATGTTCAAGACCTCCTGATCGACAGTCTTGATGGTCCTGTGCGAGTCCCGAGCGCGAAAAAGATCTTTCACTTCCGAGAGGGAAATCCAAAGATACAATACTCGTTTTATAAGGCGCCACGCGTTCGCAATCTCGACTTAAGTTATGTCTCCAGAGATCGTGAGGACTGGGACTGGAAGCTCAGGCTCATTACGAGTGATGAATAGGGGGTTGCAGTCACTGTTCACTACCGCATGGAGGTGAATGCGTTGAAAGTATCAGATGATTCGTTTTGGAAAGGTGTTATCCAAGCCGCAGAGAGACGGAATTAGTAGTAGTGGAATCGAAGCGGATGCTGCGAACGAAGGCACCGGGTTGTTTCTCTTTCATGTAAGACACCTAATTTGTCAGATTGATGCAGCACTCCTGTCTGGGTCTTGTGGGCAGCCATTAATTCCAGCGATATCAGAGCTCTAGCGCAAAGGCTCAAAAGTAAGATGGCAAACCCTTCTAGACAATCGCCTGGCCAGAGAGCCAACAACCAGGGATTTCAAAGCCGTCCCACTGCCGTGAATAATTGAGATCTTGTTGAGTCCTGTCGGAGAAATGGAGTGGTGCATTAGTAACTAGACCTTCCTTCGGCTGTGTTTCTAGGGAATAGTCTTTCTAGGGAATAGTCGGGTGCACCAGTTATCTCAGTCTTGACATTAGTTGATCATTGAGCGGACACAGATATAAACATCTTGCCAATGAATACCAAATTATATTCAATTTACAGGTAGCTGCAGCTCCTGGGAACATTCTTCGTCGAAAATTTGTGGCGGAAGTTCGAAGATACATTCTATACATACATACCGACGATCTTATGACATAAACACCCGATATTGATGCTCGAAGATGCCCTCTATGCGGCAGGTTATGCTACGTTTACCCATAGGGATCATCGCGAGCGCACGCTTCCTACGTAAGAAACATATACTGTGTAAGAAGACCTGGTCAAGCAGCTCGGCTGGAAGTTCATGATATTTGCCGTAGGTATCAGTGCAAGAATTCACGATAGTTGCCAAATGATCTGGAAGGTGTATGTACTTAATCTTGGATCTATAATTCTTATTTACAGTTTACACAAATAGAATGACCAACGTAGGTCCTAGAAACGTTTTGATCGTACCATTCACAGCATTCCTGCGAGAGTAGGGCCATTGAGTACCGGGTGAGGCAGTCTTGAGAATCCTTGTAAATTACAGTAGTCAAATTATCCTTCTCTGGCAACCTACACGAGGACCCTACGAGGACCCTATTATCACAGCTGTACATCATCCGTTTACAGCCCAAATATATCTGGAGAATGGGGCACTCAAGTGGCCCAAACTGTGTTCTTTTTAACGGTTGGTATGCCGCAACAAGCTCCATCGGTCCTGGGAACTCCGCACTTTTAAGCCCTTCACCTGATACGCTTACGTAACACCTCTGACAGACTACAATGTCTAATGCAGTAGGCGGTCGCCAATGGGATGTATCAACAGGTCTGGTTTTCTCATTCTGATAATTACGCACATAAATTCTGCCTGGAGATCACCTGATCGGTCATGTGATCCATTCTGGTTCGACCAATCAGAGCTCTCCATTCAATAGTGGTTTGGACTAACCCAATTGGGCTAGTTCTGCACCCGTGTTCTGTCAACCTCCCAGACCAACCTAAACACGACCGGTCGTCCACGGTCACACTAGGAACCTTGGCCTCTATGGAATCCAGCAATAAATGCGTCGACAGTCGCCCGTATACCTACTTTCCACCACTGCAGAGAGACAGCAACCAGAAATTGATCAACTCTGCTTAGGTCTCACAGACCTCTTAGGACACTGCAGTTCCGATGAATCATTCTGATGACATCCGGTATTACATAACCGCCAGCCTGATGCGGTTAATCTTTTGGATCTGATACAAAAGGGAGACCCACCATTTCGACAGTCCATCGAAATATCATCACAGACGCTTATCCAGCCAGTCAGAGAGCTCTATGAGAAACTAGTCTCTGGGAAGAACGGTGTTGATAGACAGTATATCAGCTCTGATCCAGACTACCCACTGGTTGAGATAAAGAGAAAGATCAACAGGAAATCCAGAGCAAGCGCTTTACGTCTCAATGATACCGAACAGGGTACTTTTTCAAATGCTGGAATTTTGTTCAGGAAGAACTCTATTGTGATGAGAAAGAGGCGACCCTATCTTCTGGGGGCCTCCTCTACGCCGAGACAACCCTATGTTCAAACTCAATTCTTTGCTCCTGGATCAGTCTCGGAGAGGAACGAAATTCTAGCTCACCGACCTTTAAGTCATAATCGAGATCGCCTACTCGCGGCATACAGCATACAGTTTGGGCCAATGTGGGAGGAACTGGATTGATCCAGGTTTGTCGGTGGTAAACATTAGATTCATCATTGCTTCCCTTATTGGAAAGCTGAAACTATGGCGGTGGCGTTGTTCAGGGAAATTGGAAGGAAACATGGCTTTGAGTAGTACTTTGATTTCACCCACGACACTTCCCATCCAGTCTCAGAGCCAGGACCAACAGTGCGCACGGTCTTTACAGAAGGAACGTCTAGCTCGAACGAAACCTTCTTCGTAAGTTGATGCGCAGAGGAAGCGGAGTAAGGGAGGCAGAAGACTAAGGTTGTGTCTACTTATCTTTTGAATGCATATACCATGTGCTAACTTATTTATTATTATTATATAATCTGACTAGATAAGTGTCCCGAGGTCCTTAGCAATAGTGAATAGATTTGATGACCGTGATATGAAATCAAATCTATGAATACCAAAGTATTGAGCTTGGCCCATCGCGATGGCGAATCATATTGAGGGCTGCCCTGCCTCTAAACCTCGCTTCCACTTCTAAGCATCAAAAGACGATTTTCTTGCAGGCCTAGAGGTTGATGGTCTGGAATTCAGTAATTTGGTGTTGTCGAGTTTCGAAGCCCAGAGTTTCTAGAACCAGCATCGTAGTAAGTATCTGTTTAACCTCCTAGTATTCTTTGCTACGTCACAAAACGAGACCACCAAAATAACGTGCCATTGAGGTAGGACTGTAGGTAGACGAGCTAGAGAGGGAGTCCCAGGAGCGGCAGCGGTCACCAAATAGGCAAAGTAAATTCCGCACACAATGTAAGATGATCCAATGCCTCGCATGCTTCCCTAAATCCAGCCATGTTGTTGTTGAGAAACGTCTTCGGTTTGATATGAGAAGCCTAGTTTGGAACCGAGCGGGATTTCTGCCCTCGCCCAAATGTTTACAGAATTTGACGGGAGATATACCTGTACCTATGTTGAGTAAGTATGAGAGAACTAAAGTGACTCCGGGACGTAACATGATTCACAACATCCCGATATATCACGATGGCACCTTAGCTGAGACCCGCCCCTACGTGAAAGTCTCCTCGGTAACAGCCCACGGACCAATAGGCACCTTCTCCGTCCACTCCTCTCGCGGAGGCCTTCAAAGTAGCAGAATTCCTGGCGGTTTACACTCGTGAATCAACCGTGACCACTCATCACTCGGGTTAGGCTTAATAAGATCGACATAAAGCCCCATAACTCTCCGGTACCCACACTCCTCATAAAGCCACCTTCCAATCGGACTACCCTCAATGAAGCTCTCATACCCCAACGGATCAACAATCGCATGTCCCCACTCCATCAATAAGCGCCCTACCCCCTGACGCCGATAATCCGGATGCACACCCATCGCATTCACCCCCGCGTGTGGTCGCTGAAACCAGCATTGCCGTGGGAAGAGTGCCTGATTGAGCACTCGCTCTGCGTACTCGGCTCGCTCCGTGCTTTCGGGGTACCAGGTACATTTCACAGGTTGCGGTCCGTTCGGGAATGGATTCTCATGGTAGATCAGCCATTCGCATCCACCGGCTACTCGACCCGTTTGTTTGTCGATCACGTAGACGAGACGCGAGAATGGGTTCCTTTCACTTGCGCTCCACCGGACTTCGGTATCAAGTGCTTTGTCCTGGGCGCGATCTTCGGCCGTGGGTCCGCTTATCGGATGCACGGCGGTAAAGACGGGGCTTTTAGTTGGAAAAAGTCAGGCGCTGAATGTCAAATTGGGAAGAGGTCTGGTTTTTACTTGTATGGGTGCATATTAGCTGCCCATAGCACCTCCACTAAGCGAGCATATTCTTCCTTGGTAGGAATTACTTTGACTTCGAATGAGCCGGTCGCAGTCATGATGGTTAAGGTGGGATGTGATGTGTGATGAAGGAAACGTTAAAAATGAGAAAAAAAGCGGTTTGGTAGAAGACACTTGGGACCAAGTGACTCGGTTTAAGTACAGTGGACGTTACATGCATGTATCTACGTATGTTTTGAATTCCCTTATTCCTACTTTAGAGCCCAGGCCATCAACAAAGATGAAGATTCAAGGCAGTATAGTCAAACAAGATAATAAAGTCTATGTCATCACCGGGCGGAAGTGTCGTGTTACTTCCCTAGTGTGGAAAACACAGGAAAACTCAGAGTAAGATATTGCAGTCGCTGAATCAACGGTGAACGAACTCCGTTGATACATGTTTGAACAGCAAAAGGGTTCTTGTAAAAATAGCATTTTATTGTATGTTGATGAGTGATGAGTGATGAGTGTTGAGTGATGAGTGTTGATGAGTGTTGATGTTGATGAGTGTTGATGAGTGTTGATGAGTGTTGATGAGTGTTGATGTTGATGTCCACGAGCGTGGTACAATTCAACCAACTGACTCTCTGGATAGGATCTCCATGCAATTTTTGACTGTATAAAGAGAAATTACTTTGAAGGTGGCTTGATACGTTAATCATCACGGTCAGAAGCTACATCAACCTGCAGGTCCGATGGGTGCCGTGCGCGATTTGCCATATAAGACAATCACTAAAAGAGCAATGGACAGAATGATCACCAGGGCTCCGTAAGCAGCCTGTCCAACACTCCCGTAGTAGGTAATTCCGTCGTACTGCAGATCGTCAGGGTCAATAAATGTTGCAATCAAGGATTGAAAGCCTTGCACGTGGTCGGCTACATAGCCGCCGGTTACGATGGCAATGAAACCGTAGATGCATTGCCCAATTCCCTACACAAGGCAGTGACCGTCGTCCGTCCGTACACTCGTTCGATGAATTGCGATGTAGATTCCCAAAATGGCAAAGATGGTAGAGGCAATGGCAATCATGATCATTGCGGCGAGCACGTTATTCGCCATTTGTATTGTTGCCATGAGTCGGGCTGGAGGATCCGACGCAGCCAGATCGGATTTCATCAATCGCCGCAATCCGGTGGTCCAGTAAGCTATGGCAGAGCTGAATGCAGCGACCATCAGCTTTATGAGGGCGCAGAGCAAGGCGATGACACGCTTCCATAGCACCTTTTGCGTGGGCATTTTGGTTGCAAATGAAGTATCTCAGTATGAATATTGGGCTTGATGGCAATGGCCAGACAAATTTGAGTCGTGTATGGGGAGAGCTGTAGAACAGGGTTTAAGAGACATCGTGCTCGTACCTTAAATATTCGCCTCACTAGTGATTTCGATCACCGATGTCCCCACCAGCCACATCACGGCTCCTGGGAGCTTCAATCTGTTTATTCTATCCAGCCCGTACATTTCTCTACCTCTCGACCCCCAACCAGTTTGGACAAATCAGGCAGGAAACCAACAGTGTAGCATTGTAGCACCCTCGCAAACAGGCATTGGGCTCCTGGGAGTGCTAGGGCAGCCGCTGGATTCTTGACAACTTTAGTGAACGCGTTTGGCTCACAATCTGGCCAAATATCTGTAATGGCATTGGGAACTTTTCTTGTCACTGGAGTAACATTTGTATTCTTTCTCGGGCTGACGGGATTGTTCAAGTTCTGGAAATTGAAGAGAGCGATTGAGGAAGATCCATAACCTTCAACATCTGGCAACACTTCCGAAGATTTTTCTTGCCGCAATAAAAGCAAATTGGCCTTTCAAATAATGACACATCATTTGCAAGTGCACTGAATCCAATTTAATGAGTATGTTGTGATGAATAATCGTTTCATTCTCGTCACTGAGCCAAATGCTTATATTCTAAGAGACATAGCGATGTAATTCATCGGGTTCTATTATACTGACTCCAAGAAGGCATAAAAACTAGAAAGAAAATCTTTTTTTAACTTGATCTAAATACTACACAAGTTTAAAGCAGCCGATTTGCTCTTGGAAACAGTATGATTCCCGGGCAGCTCGTACTCAATTCCTAAGAATCATGAGTGATCCAGGATAGGAGCGAGGGAAATGAGTCTGTCACCACATCGTACTATGTTGCTGCGCGACAATAGAGGGTTGGCTATGAGACTGTCTCGGCCACGGCAGTTGAGCTTCACTCAGCTTAAGATTGGCCCAAGGATTCTACACGCTCTTTTTGCCCGTGCATGCACACCCTTTTTTTCTCTCAGATCAGGCATTGATGCTTGACGGCGCTTACGAAAGTTGCCGGGGGTCTGCAGAGTAGAACCCTGGAAGGTACATGTACTCGGTACGATGTGCCCTGAGTTCTTCTTCACTGCGTCGTCGATATCGTGTAAGTCTGGGAGATAGGTATTTGAAGGATCGGAATCTCGAGATTGAGGAATGAAGCCGAAATCTTTTTTTGCAGAACATCCGCATGTAAAATGACTATTCTCAGGATTCAAAAAACCGAGCGTTTCTCCGTCTCCGCTTCTTCCTGCTGGATCCAGGTCGTATCTGTGAGAGTGAAAAATGAGCATTGTCTTTTTGGATAGAATACGGCTTAAAGCTTACCCGTGAGGTTCTTGAGTGGCGCTGAACTGCCGCAAGTCAACCAGCTCCCCCATCGGGGTCCTGGGATGCGTCTTGGTATATAACGACCTTTGCATCAGAATTACCTGCATGGAGACAGTTTCAAAATCTTCAAGATTCGCATTCCGCGCCTTCGAGGACCTTTTCCGCTCTTTTGCATAGACGCAACTCCAATCCACTTGCGGGTAGATCTGCTTAAGGTCGTGGAGAAGCAGATTGACATGGGCTTGTCTAAAGTCAGAAAGCATTTGGTACTGATGGGCAGCAGACACTTTCTTGGCCCTTTTGTGAACTTTCTTGCTCAGCTTGTCCTGAGATAACTCCGACTCAATGCGATCTACTTTAGTCCATGAGGGCTTTTGGCCTGGAATGGGATCGGCTTTGAAAAAGTCATAGGCTTTGTATCGCTCCAAGGGGCGACCAATGGAGCTGCAAAATCCTAGAATTTGGTCAGCTAGAAAATTTTACAGAATTCCCAGCCCGCGAAAGGTAGGCTCACCATTCTGCACGATATTAAAATCAGAGTCAAAATTGGAATATCTTTGACAATCATCTCCATACTCAGAATCGAGAATCTGAAAAGCCATTGTCAAAGAGATTCGCTGTATATTGCATACTCTGTTTGAGGGTGAGAATGATAAGGCTCTCTCATTGAAAAACACTGAGGACATCCATTCTTATACCAATTGTGCGTGCGGTCAGGTTTCCTTCGCCCCAATAATATTCTTGCGCTCAGCCCCATCAATCGCATAACCCGGGTTAATCAAGGTTCAGATTTTTCCAGCTTGCTTGTCCAATGGTCCCCACCTGCTTTCAAAATGTGGAGAAAATTTTAACCCGGGTGGAAATGCAATCAAATCAAATCAAATCCAGGTGGAATGGGATCAGAAAATAAACACATCAAACATAAACACGTCAAAACTCAATACAGACAGAAAAATACAAACAGAAAAATACAGATGAAAAATGACGAAGTAAACATGTCGGAGCAATGCGACACCGTATGGGCTAGTCACGTTCATGAGCGAATGGTAGTGAGGACAAGATCAAGCGGAACGTGGTTTGCAAACTGGCCTCGGGCGTAAGAAATCCAGGGGGTTGCATACCTGCATGGGCTTTCCACTGCATGGGCTCTCCACCCTAATAACGTGCAGGATCCTTTCAAAAACACGTCACACCGCACTATGACTATAGATAGACTAGACATATGGGGTTGCCTCACCTATGGAAATCCGCTTTCTAGCTATCTATAGAGGCAATTTATGACATACTGAACTTTTACAAAGCTACCACGGCAGCGGATCAAGTACAAGACACAAATTCATGGAAGACCGTATCATTCCAGGTGGAAACTTTCAATTTTTAGAGGTCAAGCTAATAACTTAGAAGCAGCAATTTTCCATGATTAGATAGACAATGACATCGTTTCACTCCCCACAATACCTGCACACACTCACATATTTCATCCTCGGGGAGAGATCATTGACTTGGCGGAGAGGCGCATATTCTTACAAAACGAGAAATTTTTCTTCTGAAGGCCAGACAGGTCGTGCAAAAAGATGTCACGAGGACATCAGCCAGTGAATCTCCCTGTCGGTTTGTTATTAATCATATTTCTTTTTAGTCCACGATGAGCTCACAGACGGTTTCATAGCTCAAATACCTAGATATCAGAAAGTTAGCCTCAATCAAACACTTTGAAGAATTCTACCGTATAATGTAAAATCATAACACAGTCGATAGCCCGGACCTGGTTTTCAGTGAAATATTATAATGGGATCTGCGGAATTCTTCGTTGTGGTTCGTGGCTTCAAGGGCGGCCAAAATTCATACATGATCTCTTCCAGCTACATTCCAAGATTATCCAAGCGAAGGAATTAGTACCTTGGGAAATACTGGGAGCAACGGAGCATTTGGATCGAGAGAAAGCGCTCTGTACCTTATGGCAATAAATCACAACAAGGGCTCTTCCTCTGAATAGTTGACTTTCATTCAATGCATGATAGAATGTCATAAGTGATTTATCCTCGTCACTGAGCCATAATCCTCACATTCTTAGTGAGGTAGCCATGTCATTTATCGGTCTCTAGGGAATTGACTTTAAGAGCGCAAAGAAAGAAAAGCCTTTAAATTGATATAAATACAACACAAGTCCGGACCACCCAATCTGCTCTTGAAAGCAATGTGATTCCCGCGCAGTCAGTATGTACTTCGGTCCCAATAATCACAAGGACTCCAGGAAGAGTGTGAGGGAAATGAGGTCTGTCATCATATTATACTGTGCCGCTGCGCCACAGTCGAGATTTGGCTATAATACTGTGTCGGTGACGGCAGTTGAGCTTTGCTGAGCTAGGGACTGGCCCAAAGATTCTGATCATAATCACCCGTGCTGGTGTGACCCCACAATAATGTTCTCGATAACTCGATCGATGCGGCCCCTGGGATGGGAGTAGGCTGCCAAACTTCAGGGCAAGTTGAGCGAGGTAGGAGAGGAATGAGATGCATGACCTCCACCACCGGTGGTGAAGGTGGAAGCAGGGGCACGAACAAATTCGATATCGCCTGCTTTGCCTCCTCGCTCAATCCACAAAGTAGCTCTCCGGCGCCATCTCCCTCCAATCCTTCCAGAGCCTCAGCATTGGCACGGTACACGAACTTGTTAGCTGCTCGTATAAACTCCTCCTGTAGCTTCTTCAGTTGGCTTTGCTTCCCCGACCAGTCCCAGGTGTTGGCAGCGGTATTCACTGAGTAGATCTCTTTATGATAGTCCACCAAGGCCTCGATTGTCTCCGGGGTCAGCTTGAATGCAACCTCATTCCGAGAAACCATGTCAACATGTACGACGTAGGCCTCGATATGGATCATCTGATAGTTAAAGAGACCTTCGATGAGTGGATCCTCATCCTCCCGTAGTTCCGCTTCGGGAGCTTTGGTAAACATCATGGAGCATAGGGTCCAGATCGCATTTGGCGACGACAAGGTCTCTGTCAAGCACCGGGTATGTTGGGTGACGTTGTTCAGAGGACGCTTGACCCGATTTACTTTCTTAAGAGTCGCCGTCAACCATGGCGCAACCTTCCTATTCAAGACGACATTCGGGGAGGAGCGTGGCGCAAAGGCCGCAGCGGAAGAGGGAAGTAACAGGGTTGGCATTGTATCTCTCTGCGAATGAGTAGACCTCCAATTCGAAGAACTGATCAAGGAACGAAAATACCAATTTGTGACAGATCAATCTTGTGCTCTTGGCGAATGTTTTTTGGAACCAGAAAGATTGTGTCTGCGTAATATTAATGTGCAGTCAGATGGGCAGGAGGAAGAGAGGATAGAAAAGCATATCATATGCATTTCTTGGCAAAGAGAGATGCGTCCCAGGAAGGGTCACGATCAGGGGGATTATTCTTAGCGTAGAAGACTAGGATTTTATACCGCAAAAGAAGGACCCCGACCCACCCACTTATCCCAGGAGCTGTTGGCAAGATATCTGAGAAGTCACATGGCTCTCACAGAAAAATACAATTGATTGACATCCTTGAGTGTTTGGTCATAAGCTTAGATCGAAGAAGAATCGTTTCAGACAAATGACACGGAGCATATTCGTGGCTTTTTATTGTTCTAAATCTACTTTGTACTTATCATCCCACGGTAAACCAGTAATTCTGAACACGGTAATGCGTCTGTGAGAAGATCTGTCTCATCGCTGATTAAATTTAATCATGAGTTGGGAAGATATCCCATACTTGCAGATGCTTGAACTACAGCGTTATCGGTCTTGAAATGACTTTTAACCTTTTATCCAGGGAATTTTTGGTTGTTTGCCTAAATAGCCATGTCCCTTCCTCACGCCGCAAACGCCGCAGGTTTATTAATTTGATAACTATATTCATTGTATCAAGCCTCCTCCAGCTTGGTGAATAATCTTTATTTATTTATTCTACTGAGGATTGTACTTTTGGATTTAATAGACCTATGAAACATTTAGGTAAAAATCTACAATAAGCGAGAGCTATTTTCATACCCAGAGCTACATTTTCGACCACTGTAGTAAAATTTGCGGGCGCTTTTCCTTGTGAATGTTGCTTTGCATCGCGGACAAACCGATTTTGGAGCTTGGCCGTTTTTCTCCCGCTGGTGTCTCAAGAGATTTCTCTGGCACGAAAAGGACTTTCCATTGCAACCATGGTCCCAGCATTGTGGTCTGTCCACTAGTAGCTCGTTGCATTCGGGGATTCTCTGAGGTCCATTCTTGAATGTCATTCCTCCATTTAAGTCAACCCGTGGTATGGAAGCTACATTTTGTAAAGCCTGAAGCGTGAGACTTCCAAGAGAGCTACTGGGCTGATGAGAAAATTATCTTGGCAACCACCTCGGAGAGATGATTGTAACTCTGTGACTTTAAGTGGGAAGATATGGTCGCCGCACGGCCAGTTGGATGGTACTAAGCCCCGGAGAGAATACTGGGACAGTCGGATAATCATTCGGATATCCTAAAATATAACTCATAGTTAGAATCTTTCATTATAGTCAGATTGGTAGGAGACATTGAGAGACGAACCTGGCTTATGATAAAGGTATAAGCCGCCATGGTGTGCCGTAGGATATATGTTCATTATGCAAAGAGTAAGAGGAAAAAAGGCATTTGAGCGCGAATCTGTGAATCCAAGGAGAAAGAAAGTAGAGGGAGCAAAATCACCGCTATAATTGATATGTGACCAAGGCAGAATTAGCCCTAAGAACATACTCATCCATTGACACGATAGTGATCCACTAGAAGAGATCAGGGCAGACCAATCCAATGGATTGCCTCCCTGATCCCTTAGATCAACCAATCGACTTTGACACTGTAGCCCGAATACTTTATCATTTTTCAATAGCCCACATATATAATACCAGTATTCAATACGCTCGTCATATTTGGAATTTTCTAGGCTACCCACCCAGTGCACTCGGCTCAGTCGTAAGCAAGGTGCTTCAGGTGGTCTCCCATTGCCAAATTCTACCAGTGGCGTGACCAGATTAGTGGACAAGTATCCAAAAATGACGCTCGGATCTGTCACAGCCTACCGAGAGAAAACCGAACGACGCGCGCAGCTCAGCAGAGGATGACTGCCTACGATATCACCCTTAGATTGCATTTTTCTGAATCTTATGAGATTATAGCCCCGATGGACAAAGAGTGATGGATAAAGTAGAGAAAATTGAATGTGTATACTGGATGTGACCAAGTCCTTCAAGCCGGTTGTGCGGGTGCACCTCGCCGAAATAACCACACTCACAGTCACGTATCTGAAATAGCATGCCTGAATCAAATTAAAAGTGGGTACACTAGATAGGCCTTCCCCGGAGACACTCCTGTTCAAGAGCAGATATTTGGGGATTTTCTTTCCATTCGAACTATTCTTTCCAGGCCATATGGGTCTGTGGAAATTGGGGCTACCGTCTTTTCCCTGTTATTTTACTCCTGATCTCAGCCTTTGCATCTCTGTACCAGTGTAAAAGTTTCCTAGCTTCGCATCTAACCAATCAATCATTCTCTCTCTGATTCTATCTATGGATATGTAAATAATCATCCCGAACCGTAGTGGTAGCAAGCCGGTTAATTCTCTGCTGAGAGAAAATGATTCTCAGATACCAACATATTTTTTAAAGGTTCTGAACCGTGGTCTCGCATAACAAGCAATGTGTGATCGGGGTGCCAAGCATTCAATTGCGGAGAGAAATTCAGGACTTGGGGTCTGGCCCTGACACTTCTGAAGGACGATTTCCTCTCTGTCGATCTGGGAATCGGGCGGAGCCACCAGGGGCAAACGCAGCACTTCAGGACAAAACTGCCGGAGAGCTCGTGTGATTTATCACTTGGAAGAACACGAGGTATCTAACAAGCTCTTTACTCCAAAGTCCGTTACCGTTTTATAAAGCGAGTAAGTATCCCCATCATGGAATCAAATCGTGGTACACAATCCCAATATGTTTTTTCATCAAATTTTTAAGTGGATTGAATCCAGCGTCCGTCTTCCCACCGCCATTACAAATTGCTGGACTCCGGTCGGAGAACCAGGTAAGCACCCAGGCTATTTGAAAAACAGGACCACCGCTGACGGATCCTTTGTAGATGAGCAGAATTCTTCTAGGACACTATCCAATCGACCAGCATCACATTTGGTTGGAGCCAACCCAATCCTTCCCGACCCATTCAAGGGTATCTCTCTGGCCAGAAACGAAGCACCCAGAGAAATCGTCGTTGAGCAGCCCAGCTCCCATGATCTTGTTATCCACAATCCCACGCCACCACTTGGTCCTGAACGTAAATATGAACCTGTATGAAATGGCTGTCACGCTCTATATAAATCTTCTCTAATCATTCTAACAAGTCAACGCGCAAGGTCCAGCTTGATTTTTGACATTCCTGTTTGTTTTATTGGGGTGGGCGAGTTCATATCATCTTGTACTATAATCAATGGAGCCGGGATCAGGAAGCGCAACCAGGTGAGATAAATAAATATCTGCCAGTATGCACAGAGTTTTATAATATTGCATATAAAGATATAGGCTAATTTTACATCTGCTCTATCATATCTAAATAATCCATATCAAATGGAGGGCTTTAACTTATGTGGTGCTAATGATCAAAAGCGATTCATGCGTCTTGGCGATATCCAGTCACATAAGTTGGCTCCAATTAGGGCTGGGTAGCCCGGTAAGAGTTTCGCACGAAATGCCCATACAGTACCGGCTCTATTAATGTAGGTCTGTGGGTCCGATGGTGGTACCGGACAGACCCACCTGTTCCCAGAAACAACACCAGTCCGTATTACGTGGTTTTTCAATACAGCAGAATACCATGGTTTTCAAGTACCATTTGGCCAGCGATACCCGCCCTCTTGATCTGAAGCACCTAGAACAAGTCACGCCATCTATTCATTTTGTACAGCGCCTCCTTTTCCTCTAACAGCGGAAAAAGCAGAAACATCAATAGATTCATTGACTTGGTAAAATGAATTTATGAAACAGGGAATGTCCTAGATATGGAAAACGAGACCGGCCACCCTGACGCAGGACTGGCGCTTTGGGCGCGAGACAAGTCAAACAGCCGAAACTTGACGCACTAATGAGTGGATAAGAGGCTGCTTGCATTTCTGAGGTCGGCGGCGCATGACGCGTCGAATGGGCTGATCCTGCTGCTTGTCTCTGGTAGCAGGGCCGCCAATAGCACCAAAGGAGATGGTTAACCAAGTATGAAGAACCAATTGATCGCTAGTTTGGGTACGTAGCTCCGCTGTAATTTATACTGGGTCTTATGTCCAGGTTTTCCAGCTATGGTCCTCTGCCGATCTTTCGCATCCGATGTGACCTGCCAGGAGAAACAGCAGCAAGATGCCGGGCACACTGTCCGATTGTCGGGGTCTAGGTCAAGCCCAGCGATCAATAGATTACTGAGGCTTTGTTGGGTTGATCGGCATTCCGTCCTACCTCGCTTCGATGGGTCCTTGCGACTGACCCACAAAACATTCTCTAGGAGAGGCTGTCCGAGCGAGCAACGCGTCAATGAGTCTCGGGCAACCACGGCCTCATATGGTTACGGGGATGTGATGCATTCGTTGCTCCACCCACCCATAGGATCAGAACGACTGGTTTTGCCTAAGCGTATCCAATGACTGGCCAGCGATTGACCAGAAGGCATACACTGACCCTGGCCCGGCAGACTTTGTTAGGGTCTTGGATCAAGGGGATGAAGGCGTAACAGGGTTTTGATCCGGAAATTCAATAGTCCATGGCAGTTTCCACATTTAGAAGCTTCTCGGGAAGTTTCCCCCTTGGGAAACGAACCGGAAGTGAGGGCGGCCAGCACATACCATCTTCAAACAACATCATGTCTGACGAGCGTCAGTTAAAGAAGCGTCTGTTCCCGTCATTCAATAGGGATGATAAGACATATATTGCGTACCTCGAATGGTTGATAAGTGGGGAATAGGTTTTGAAGACATATCAGTTGACTGGCCCTGTGAGTCAACCGAAGTGGATGAGGCAGCTAGACCACTTCACTCAAGACAATCTCAAGCTCGTTGCCTCCGATGATGCATGGAATGAACGGCGGGAGTCCTCCGGTGTTGCTACACCCGCCCGAAATGTAACGGCCCTAAATTTGATCCTGGGTTGCCAGGTAAACGCCATTTACGCCGATAATCTTCCCGCCAGAAACCCGGTCCTTGCGCCGACCCCCAGCGGTGATTACCATGATTTGGTCCTGAATGGGTACAAATATAGGGAATTCATGATCAGCTGCAAGCAAGACAGTGGTAGCCTTCCAGAACCTGGTGCTCTGTAGCTACTGTTTGGTCATTTCGGAAATCATGAAGGTCCAAAGACTCCGGCGCGGATGAGTCCACTCGGGCCATCAATAAGATGATGAGGGCCTATCTAGATGGATCGCAGGACGACAAGACTTTGAGAAAGTATCGTGGCGGTGCGAAATGGTACAATCGGTGTATGGCAACCCTCTTGGCAAATGGCTGGGGGTACAAGTCTTGGAGATCTTTCTGCTCGGTATGTGTGGAGGCTTCTCGGACTTTCGGCCACGCTGATGACCTATCCGACAGAGAAACGGTCATTGTCAATGTTCGGCCGCTTCAACGACAGTGACGCCGGCAGTGATGGCCTTCTAAGTGCCTGGGTAGGGTTTGGGAGAGTTCCCTGCTCGGAACGAGGCTGGATGCCATACTGCCTCCCCTGTATTGTGCACTTTCTCACAGGGCCTACGGTCGAGTAAGCAAACTGCCCCTTACGGTTGAGCCAGACTAATGCGACATTCTAGACTTTCGCAGATCTGTGACATTCTTGGCTATGGAACGCCCGATGAGCCTCCACTGCAACCGGTTCGCATCGCTTTCGACCAGGCTATACATCAGCTTCTCAACCCATCTGTGCCCACTGGCTAAAGAAATCCCTCCTCGCGGCAGGCGAAGGCTACCTATTCCGCCGGCCTTGCACGGCCCTCTCCACGATCAGATAGTCTAATTTCGGAACGCTGTCCTCTTCGTTCCAGACGAGCTTTTCCATGGTGAGCTGGATGAGGGCAATTCTGTGTTTGTTTACCCGGAAAAAGTAGCCAGCAAGCAGCCTTTGGACGGCGTTGGAGTGCCTGGGGTCTACGAATTCGGGAATGCCAGCGATCACGTTGATGGGAACGACGATGGAGCTGGCGGGGACGGGTTGGGTCTCTGAACTTCGGTACATCGTATAGGTCCACCCCTAAAGCTTGTTAACGCGGCCCGTCATATCTGACCTGCAGTCGTACCTCAATTGCATGTGCCTTAGCAGTAGCTCCACACGCTGCTTCGAAGTAGCTGTCTGAGAATAAGCTCTATTGGCCTGTCCCTCTACCTTGTAATCCTCTCCTGCGATAAGCTGTCCACCGGTCCATATGGCCAGCTCTTCTCGTGCCTCCTGAGCAGCCTTGGATAGCAGGTAAGGGCCCTCTACACACACTTCTCCCTCGGGGGGTGAACTTAATGGTCCCATCTGCCTCGCACAGGTCAGAAGCTAATCACGCCATTGTAATTTGGAGAGTAAATACCATCTTGTAGTCTTTTGACCGCCGGCCGTCGTGCGTCCATTTTCGGATGCGGGGCTGTGTGACTGCGGGTAACGGGATGACCCGCATCACGTCGTACCTCTCGAATCCAATCAATCGTTCGACGGTCCCTTGCTCGACGGTAAGGTTACGTGAATTCACAGGCCATTGAGAATGGGTTGTGCTCTATTCCAGAGATTAAGATGGAGAAGCAAAATGAATGGTGTTTCGTCCATGTAGTATAAGGCTGGTGTAGATCAAGAATGAAGCCCCGCCATCGGAGTTAATCTCCAAGGTACAGTATCTATCTATAAACAGCCAGATGACGTCCCTCGGAAAGAACAGTCAATATTCATTTGAACAACAACAGTGTATTTATCAACCAAATCATGTATGAAATCGAGTAAGTCATATTCATTTGCAGAAGGAAAGTCCTTTACGCCTAAAGATTCCTTGACTCCAGCCGCAGCTTTCTGGCATAGCACTCGTGGAAAGGGTCCGGGGTCAATAACCACGAACGTCAAAGAATCATTCCCAGTTGAATATTCTCACAAAGGATCAAAATGCAGATGGAGTAAAAGGCACACAAGGCATGAGTCAAATATCCGTGGGACGTACTCAAGATAAAAACAACAGCAAAGGAGACAAAGGTCCACAAGAGAGCAGATTGGGTGATATACAGTCATCTCAGCTTTATGTTCTGTTGAGATTCGCAAGATGCTGTTTCAAAATCTGTCCTCCAGCCCAAGATAGCTCTCCTATCTTCATAGTAATGATATACTGTAAGTTAGCCTTGTCCGATTCTGTAATATGAGGAATATTCCGGCATTGTTTAAGAAGATCGAAAGGGAGCTTGCAACCGTGTGATCCTGTGAAAAGGAAGTTAAGAACATTACATAGATCTATGTGAGTTAGTATGGGGATCCTAGTGTGTTGCGTCAGCTTACTTACCATCGCGCTCAAGGTTTGCCGGCCCCATATACCGAACAAACTCTGGCCACCAGATGGGTTTCTCTTTATAAGGTGCCCTTATGTCGCCAACCATGATACCACGCCACTTCCGCAGGACCCCTACGGTAACTCCTTCAGAAAAGATTTTAAAGCTGAACCTATAGAAGTCCTCCCAAATAGAAGGGACCAATCCCTTTCCCGACATGAAGGAATGCAAGCTACTCATGGCATTCATTGCGTCTAAATATTGGTTAGCAATTGCATGAATAGACTTATTTAATACTGACCTTGTATGAGTGGCCTCCCACCCATAAAAACCTCGGACCATTCAATGCAGCAGCTGTTGATCGCAGGGGTGGACTCTGCGCAGCCAAAATGCCCCATTTGATATTTCGCAACATCTGGGGCTTCCCCAATGCTAGAAGCTCGAGTGCCGAAGAAATTAGTCTCGATGTCGCATATCAGGTCTGGGATGATCTCTGGAAACTTCGCGTAACGTGTGATTGGGAGTTTAGTGCCTTTTTCAGTGGCAATTTTAATGGAGAATGCCCTTCTCATGTTAGTGCGGGCTGGATTTGTGGGTAGAGAAGACTCACAGATAGAAACGCTTGCCTCCACCGTTTCCAATCATAACCCATGGGATCCCGATTCGCGGTGTCTTCGCCATGGCTGCAGAGACACATGGCGCTAGGAGTCGCCTGTCGATATGAGCATTGAGTGGCGCTAGATGGGCACTTAGCGGCGCGAGATGGCCGCTTTCGTCCATAGAAAACCGGGAAGTAGCGTGATCCGGCCTGAATCTCTTAGTCTACGCAGGCAAAGACGGAAGGAAAAACTTACTGTGCCTCACCATCTGGCGAATACGACTGCGACTCAACAAAAATGTCAGAGGGATCAACCAAGGTTCCGTCACCCTGGTTCTGCATCCTGATAACGAAATGCCATTCCTGGTCAAATATCGAGCGGGAACCATTGGAAATGTCTTCTTCAAAATTGCAAATCTCCATATGCTGATCAATCTGACCGCTCGATACCTTGGGCTTTTCGGGGGCGCTAGACGGAACAGTCGGCTCAAAAGTGCTTTCCACACGAATTAGCAAACACCATCATGTCAAATGACACAACACTTACTAATTAGATGATTGTGGCGCTGCATAGGGTTTTTGCGACCATTGAAAGCTCTCATATCCGCATCTATGAACCCAGTTGTTAGGAGAAGACAGTCTACCTGAGTTCATGAGGGCGGGGTCAAGGTATTGAGCAGGTAAGTTCGCTGGAGTTGGCGGTCTATTGGCAAGAGGATGATTCTCATGAAAGGGATGAGCCCAATAATTCGAAATATCTGTCAAAGTTAGCTTGTCTGAATGGGCTGGCGAAATATGTGCCTTATGCATGTTCACGTAGCAGAATACTTCACGATGAATACGCACCATAGGGAGAATTACTATTCTGCATGGCGAAAAATAATGATCTGGAATGTGAGACGTTTTTGAGATCACTTGAAGGAGTCTTCTGTTCTTAAATAACTGGGTTAGTGGGAGAAGTCGTGGCGAGAAATGGAACTCAAGGGAGAACAGGGGAGATCCACCAGCTGTGGAGTGGTGCATAGATGGGTACATAGCAATTGCTGCACTATTGATGCATAAGTGATAGGCCATGCATGTGCTCAACTCGATTCATTCCAGGTTACCGCACATGATCCAGAATCGAACGCGCAACTCTCCCCTCAGCTTCCTGCTCCGCTAGGAAGGTAGTTTTAATCCATGGTATTCCGCTGTATTGAAAAACCATGTAATACGGGCTGGTCCCGCTTCTGGGAACAGGTGGGTCCGGTACCGCCATCCTGCAAGGCTATAATTGGACCCCAAAGCTTGGCAGTACTAATGTCTATGGAGGACGTCGGTATTTGGATGTACATTGTTCGGCCAGTCACGATCTATCTGACTGATGGCTAGGCAGATCCTTGCATAGGGCGCTACGCAAAACCGGGTCCGTTAACATACAAGTATATATAGGTTTAATTCTAGCAGATTATGAGAAGCGATAGGGCCGAGCGATTTCCGCATGTTTCTCCACAATGCTACCAATCCCAAGGAGATCTAGCTCAATTGGACTCATAAGGGAGCTGGGTCCAAACGAGCTCATAATGGTCAAGTATGTCCTAGGCATAGGCCTAGAACATACCCCAGAGCTAGCAGCATAAGTATAGTCACGGACCTTCTCTGTCTAGTGGCCATTGTATTGCTTCTCTGAGTTCTTTGTTAACTTTTCTTGTATATATGTTGGAATCAACTACCTAGTATCCTTGGGTATGACCTGCATCCTTTTATGTGACTTTATTTTTATGGCAATTACTATTCTTTCATTCTAGTGACTTGCTCCTCTTTATCCACGCAATCATTCTATTTGGATTGTGTTTATTCCTTTATGCTGGGTAAATGCTATATGGCGATGTATAACACTATTTGAGTTCTCGAAGTCAAGCTATATTCAGATCAACCGCTGCCTCAGTCAAGTCGAGCAAAAATTCTCTCATTCATCGCCTGAAAAAGCGATGAAGGACCAATGGAGTTCATAGACCGGGCACACCCGCCCTTGAAAATTAGACGCACTCTAGATCCCCCTCAGAATGCAGAAAATCAAATCTACTGCGATCATCCAGATTGCGACGGCACAAAGCCGATATTTCGTCGTCCCTACGAATGGAAGTGAGTATCTCCTTTCATCTCCTGCTTCTCTACTAATCTTTGCGTCCTCACTGACATTTTGCGAAGCACACACATGGATAAACATGAGCGCCCCTATAAATGCCCTGATCTAGAATGTAAATGGGCTACCAAGGGCTTTACCTACCCTCGTGGTCTAGTACGTCACCGGTAAGACGCCCACAAGAAAACCATAGAGACTAACAATAATCTGTTTTGTCATCACACTGGCTGCAACCGCAGCAAAAGAAATCCATTTAAGCGAAACGGAAACCTTCAAAACCATATTCATAGTTGCCATATGGGCACCGATGCTCTACTATCATCGGTCATGACTGAACCGGATCCGATAATCACCAGCAAGCTAAAAGAAATTCGAGCCATTGCCACAGGGGCCAAGCGTAAACTCGACTCGCCAGGTGGGGACCTTCTCGATGGGCAGAACGAAGATTTACATGGAGAGGTTGAGAGACTATATCGGGAAGTACAAAAAATAAATCGCAGGCTGGAAGAGCTTGAGCGCATTGTGGCGTGTGCGCAACAAGTAACGTCTCGGACTCCTTAGTTTGAGTCCGGGAACAAGTCAGCGGTACAATGATTTCCGCCTGTTCCACGAGTTGAAGCGCCCAAGTTCTCATCAATCTTTAATATTCTATCTTCATACTTACTTACTTGTGAGATACGATCGTCTTTCTTCTTTCTCTCCAGTTCCATATTCCCAGTCTTCTTTCTTACATTCCTCGCGCCTTCTCTCCTGGAAGGGCTTTATGTTTCCCTTTCCTTTCCGTTGGCCTGTGGTTTTTGAGTTAGTATTAGAGATCTGTGGATTAGTTCAAACTTGTATTCGTCCGTGGAGATTGCGTCTCGCTCGACCCCAGCGGCAAGATCAGGATTGTAAATAGGCTCCATATGCGCGATCAGACCACCCTTGAATCGATTGAATGTGGCATAAATTTCTGTGTGGTGGCAACGATAGGGGTTTAGTTTATGAGGTCGAACTGATAGAACGTCGATGCGAATACAGTGCTTCCCAAAACTAGCGCAACTACTTTCCACTACTCGGTTGTTTCTCCAGCCACAACGCCAAAGCTAGTTAGTGTGTTCTAGTACCCTGTATTTCAACCTACCATGTCACAAAATCAAGTGGGGTGGAGGATCGGGACAAATGAACGGGCCCAATCCCTGGTGCACGTATGCTGCATGACAGAGGGCGGTATTATTAAGGGGTCCGTGCCCAGGGCATCAGGCCCATTGATTAATGATGGCCAATCGCCCCACCTAGGTTTGTGACATGGTAGGTTGAAATACAGGGTAATCATAGGTTGAGCCAATCGGGCCTTGTTCCAAAAATGCGTGGTTCCGAGGGATATTCATCAATACACCGCTGTACTTATCCAAGGTAGTCTCAAGCTATTCAATCCAGTTTGCATGTACTAGTATTTAAATATTCGAGTTTTGAGTTTCTGCTCTTTTTCTCTCCTTCTCTATTTCTCCAAGTTCGTTGCCTGAAATTGAAATGGACCTAAACAATCTATCCTTCAATGAACACGCAACAAACTACTACCAGCATAGCGTTGGTGGACCTGTGTACAATGTGCAATCTCAACCGGGATATATCCAAGCTGCCGGAGCTCGGGAATTTGATGTTAGGACTCGGACCACTGAAAGTCAGGCAATTCAAGATGCTGTTAGTATTGTTTTGGCCAGAATTCATACCCACTGCTCACAGATGTGAACTTGTAGAAGTCAATTGAGTCATGTGATGCATGTCGACTACTCGAGTACCGATGTGATACAGCAAAGCCAAAATGTGGCTTTTGCGCAGATTGGAAAAGGGCTTGTTCATATTCCTCTGCATATTCTCTTTTCCGTCGAGCACAGAGGGTTAGTACTATCCTGAGCAGGACTTTAATCCTTCTTACTCTCGCTGACTTGAGTGATTAGGCATGCCAGCATTGTCGAAAAAGGAAAATCAAATGTGATGAAGAACAGCCGAAGTGCACCTCATGCGTTGAACGAGGTGAGGAATGTGTTTACAGGGAGCTTCCGGAACCTCCCAGGTTTGTTATTCCCGAGGGTTTCAACGCACTCAGTCAATGACTAATACCAATGGATTTTGTAGGAGACTGCAGCCTGTGTTGGATGCAATCGATGCTCAACATAGCAAGACCTTATCTCGGATTAAAGAGCTGATTACCATGAACGAAAATATCAATGCTGACCTTGAAGCAACGGGGTTCTCTACGCAGATTTCATACCTGACTGGCCTAGTGACTGAGATCCACGAAGCCTGTATACAGCAAGCTTGCTTTAAAGTAGGCGTGAAAGAAATGCATTGGAAGGGATCTATTTCAATTGAGCACGAGGCCGCAGCGCATAAGCTCTTGAAGTTGCCTGCAGTTCAAGAGCTACTTGGTTCTCAGTACGATGAAGATTACGCAATGACACTGGAAGAAGAGAGAGGCCCAATTTGTCTTTTCAGAAAAGGCGAGAACTGTTTTTCGGGAAACGCGTCATTGGGTAGCCATGAAACCGGCTCTGGCTACTTGAATCTCGATGAAGGGACGGCTCGGAGATATTTCGAAATCTATCTTGACCGAATACATGAACTGCATCCCTTCCTTGATAAGCAGGAAGTCTCAATCCAGCTTGATGATTTCATTAAGTCTTACTGTACGCGGTCTCTGGTGGAGCACTTGAATGTCCCCCAGCAAAAGCAGCTATTGCAAGTCGGTACAACCGTCGAGAACGCTCGCATACTCATGTTACTTGCCCTTGGGGCAATATGTGAAACAGGTCCAACTCTCTCAGACGTGGATACAGAAGAAGAACTTGATTACCGGCAGCAATACATCCCCAAAATCTGCAAGTTGCCATCCCCCAGCCATCCTACTCACTCAAATTCCAACAAATATAAAGCTTTCCCTGGTTTGAAGTTATACGGACATGCCACAACAATCTTGGGCTATTTTCAAGGGGGGGCCGAGTTATGTCATGTTCAAACGTGCTTGCTTGCAGCGCTCTATAGTGGTCAATTGGCCCATCCATTCCAAAGTCACAGTTGGATTCATCAGGCAGCTCGGGAGTGCCAAATCCTTGTGCGCCAGTATGTCTCACTGTGGAATTCTTTTACTCGTCTAAACTAATAGTGAATATTGTTATCTAGGTCACGATACCAAAGGATGGAAGAGGGTCGCAAAAAGGACATGTATAGCTTTGCCTATTGGACAGCTCTGCAGCTTGAGTGGTTGGTCTTCATACTAATTATCATTTACTTGATTAACCATTAATGTTTGTATAGTGATATTCTAGCAGAGCTCGATATCCCAGCAAGTGGGCTCCTACAGATTGATAGCAGAATACCAACACCAAAGGGAATTTTCACCCTTGCATCCCCTGCCGATGATCGAATGATGAGAATCCACTCTACGCAAATCTATCTTTGCAAATTGCTCAACAATATCTTTGCTGAACTGTACAAGGTTGGAGGTCAGTAAAGTTCCTATTTACTAAATTTTGATCTTCTTTACTGATTATATCTTAAAGAACCAGCACAGGATAGGAGTCAAAGCAACTGGTTAAGAATACCAAACATCCTGAGCGAGGGCCTTGAGGCTTGGCGCACGAGTCTTTCTGGTATTATTATCTGGGCAGACTGCGACCCTCCTGCAAATAAAATCAACGATGCTTGTTTGAGAGGTAAATACTACAGAGCTCGGTATCTTATTTATCGACCCATTTTGTGTCAAACTTTGAACTTGAGCGCAAAAAGCGCAAGCATGAAACTAAGTGATTTACCTTTGGCGCTGTATCATGCTTGCGAGGCCTGTGTTAATTCGGCGATATTGAGTATCCAAGCCTTTGATGGAATTGAAGACCAACTCATTGTCCCTGATATTTTCAGTACTTCCCATGCGTAAGTCTTCCTTGCAGGGAAAGAGATGTTGGAATTATAAGCTAATCCAAACCTAGGCAATTTGGTAATATGCTGATCCTTTCAGCGACCTATATGTCCTTTCTTTCTCACCTTATTCCGCGCACTACTCTTGATCATCTACTTCGCCGTACAATCAGGTTTCTCCTACGTAGCAAGAACATATCCCCAACCCTTCGAGCGGACGCTCGAATCTTGACAGAAATTCATGAGAGGATTTTTAGTCCCAAGGTCCCCTCCATGTTTGGCCCGTTTAACCCAGAATGAGTCTATTCTTATATCAGTTCTTTTTTTCTTTGTTGACCGCTCTTTGACTCGTTTTGGTTTTATATGAAATCTTCATCTGTTCCTACGTTATCTCTGTTCTTAGAGCCTCTGTTCGGTATTTTTATATGTTTTCTTTTTGCTTTTATCTATGGGTACTTCTATGTATAATGTTGGTTTAAGTTTATCATCCTTCATAAAGCCCAAGCTAAGCACTGTATTACCACTTCTTGAAGCGTCAAGCTCCACTGAGATCATCAGAATCGAAAAGGATCCAGAGATTGCAGAAGCATCAGGGATCCACTTCTGTGTCGATGTTAGTTTCTCATGCTTCAAAAACACGACCAGATTTTGGGAACACTGGCAGCAAGTTGATGACCAGATTCACCGAAGTCTCAAGTCAATCGATTAAACAACACTTTCACCCTACTATAGGGAAGAAATGAACTGTGGAATACGTCTCTAAAATCGAAACGTTGTCCACAAAGCACCTTACAGAAAATCAAACCTACTGCATCCAGATTGCGATAGCACAAAGCCGACATTTCGTCATCCCTGCGACTGGAGGTGAGAATCCCCTCCCCCCTGCTTATCGACAAGTGCTCGCTAACATATTAATAAGCGAACATATGGACAGACACAAGCGTCCCTATAAATGCGATAAGCCAGAATATGATAATGTTCAGGGCTTGACCTATTGTGGTGATCTAACATGCCACCGGCGCGAAGTCCACAAGATCACCGATGCCAAGACCATCGATGTCAAGAACACTCCCATATGTCCCTACAATGACTGCGACCGCAACATCAGAAAACCATTTACGCGTCGAGAGAACCTTCGAGAGCATATTCGTCGTCTCCACCAGAGCGCTGTCGATCTCCGATCATCAATCCCAGTCGGAATGCATCTAGAACGCACCAACTCACCCCTTACTACCAGGCCTAAGCGCAAAATCGACTTGTTGAGATCAGATGTCCTTGATGAAGTTGAGCGACTGCGTCAAGAAATAGAGAAAAAAGACCACCGGCTGGAAGAGCTTCAGCGGATGGCGGATGGTCTGCACCAATTACTTTCACGGCCTACTCAGTCTACTCCTGAAGCCCGGCCTATAACACAATCACTTCCAGTTTTCCAAGCTACTACACCTCAGCTTAAAGCTAATGGCCAGTGTCCATGATTAAGCATGAGTAACAATCGTCACATTCTCTTGCTCTTTCCAGTTCGTTGTTCCTAGTTTCCTCTATATGCATTCAGCGGACATATTCTCAATGAAAGAGCATCTAATTTTCGTTTCGTCCCTTCTGCCTGTGATTCTCTCATCTAATGCTTGAGATCATTTATAGCTAGATTCAAAGAAAGAGAGATGTAAAGCGTGGATTTTGATGTTGTTCTTTAGGGCACTATGCTACTTTGATACACCCACTCTTTGATATTCCATTTTGTTTAAATCTTGCGGATCTATTCTTGCACTTTGTAATTAAATTAAATCAGTGATAAGGATCGTTATATACAGTCTGAACTGCCTCTATAGTTTTGTAAGATTGAAGTCACAAGAACGTAAAGCCGATGCACACAGATTGGAAGCCTAGTTTGGATATGATAAAAGGAAATATTGATTCATGGAATTTAATAGAAAAGATGAAGCTGTGATAGTACTAATCACACCCTCCCGCGCATAATGCGATTAGCGTGCCAATGACACATTTAAGATGGCAAGAAAAAAATAATTTCAGATGCACCAATAACCATAAGAGGGCCACATTCTTGAAGCACAAGGCAAGAGTGAATTCGATCTCCCGTCTTCCTTCAATGTCAGGCATACTCGATCCCAGTCATCTATAAAGGAAATGGCGTTCTTTGATCGTGTGGTACTGAACGCAAGCCAGGGCTTTCAACACAGAGTCCCGGAGCTGTCTTGGTGTTATTTACTCTCCGTTTCTGACACAGATCTGGTTCATTTTGAGAAAAACTCGGCTGAGTCGATTGAACGGATTCGCAATGAATTGGATAAGCTTTTCAGCTGGTATCCCGCTCTGGCAGCGGAAGCCGCGAGCTAATCGAGAGAGTGCATGGATCTGGTTGGGACTGAGGCGGTCGATTAAAGGCGTGGATGCGGCATCAGAAGCATCGAGTTTTGCCAGACGGACTCTTTCGTCTCCACGATAATTCTTTTTCCGCAGTACTTGATAGGCTTTGAGCGACAATTGGACATGATGATTGGCGTGCAGCTTTGCCGCCTTTTCGACTTCTGGCGAGCCGAGGAACCAGATCTGGAATGCTTTGATCACTGCCGTGGCCGCAGCCCGCTCTTTCCACAAGACTGCAGATTCGTCAAGGTCTTGGTCCCTTGCCCTTGTCAGTCTCCGAGTAATCGCCATGGTAGGATGGAAAGAAGAGTCATGAAGCTGCGATTACAGGGGCAGACCATGCAAACGCGGCATCTTTATGTATACAATGCTCTGCCCTGCATAGATTGTGCACATCAACACAGGATTTCCATTGGTAAGATTGACCACAAAATAAATAAAAAAAAAAGTAAAAAAAGTATACACTCCTGGCCCTGGCGTATGTATTCAGCGTGACAGCGAGCCGTCGTAAGATGGAGTCTGTGCAAAAGACATTGGGCCCCATTCATTTGTCCAAGTCACCCAATCCTCTATTCTCTATTATTTGAGCAAATTACTAGTACTCCGTATCATTTTCATCCTCTTCCCTCTTCTAGTTATCTGGCTTCTCGGCCACCCCGAATGGGATGAAGCGCTCCGAGGGATGATGCTGAACCCCGCACTTGATTGGCTGAAAAAGACCGGTAGCCGCCGCCACTGGGCCCCTTGGCCCATTCCCATTTCTCCCATTCCCATTTCGCACCACATGCAAAGCGCGATTTGAGCAACGAGCCAAGCTATGGAAGCGAGGAAAAGGTCTCTGACGATCCCCGTACGAGCTGTTAGCAGGATGTTGAAGAAGCAATCGCTTAGACTTTGAGCGGAGTTGCTGGTGACCGCTTTAGCTTTGTAGGTATAAGCCGCTATGATATATTCGTGTCTTTCTAACTATACAGTATTGTTTGGACTTATTCCAGCATCTGCGGATATGAAGTTTAAGGACTTCTTTGTCCATTTTATATTCCTTAGTGTACCTCTGTGATGTTAGTATACTGAAAAGAAAGCCCCTGTACACCTTATTAATAGGATCAAATATCTTATTTCCAGAATACCTTGGAGTAAAGCCCAAGGGATATCTCTGTATGATTTTTCCCAAGGACTTTCCTAGTTTAGTCAAATGAATATGCTCTAATTGTTTGATTTAGCGGTTAAAGCATTTAGTTAATTATATATTATATTCCTTTTTGAAGTAATCCACCGGTAATCTTTAGCCAATATATAGTAATATTTCTTTTTTAAGCTTATATATAACTGTCAAGGAAGACAAAGGAAACACTATATTGAGGATCATGCAGATCTATTGCCGTATTGGCTATGGGATTCGGCACCAAGTCCGGCCGCACATAGAGGGGAATTCCTCTAGGGCCCGACTTACACTCCTCAAGTGTTAGTCGCTGTATCAAAGTGAACCAACTCCTCGTGCTCTCTCCTTAGTATATCTCGCCTAGCCCACAGGTGTCACCCTAATCTGACAAGTTCATTACATATATCATTTCCCAGTTGTCCATACTATACCCAAGAGCCATATTTGAGTTTATGATAAGATAAGCTATAATATACATTTACTCATAAGCTATTACGGTCTAAATATCTTTAGTTGTATTATCGGTTGTTGCTTTTGTCTGGCTAAAAGGGATCTGAGCGACTCTTGAGAAAACATTATTCGATAAACCCACATACTATAAGCCTATAACTGTTGGTCTAGAACGGAGTCTCAAGAAGGGTAACTGGCGAATCTGGCAAATTTGGCCAATCATTGATCACTGTTATTGCTGACCATTAATAGGGATCAGCAAATGCTTGTCAGACCTGACTTGATTTCAGTGGGTTAAAACCTGCCTTTACGGTAGGAAAATATACAGGAAAGTACATTGAGGGCATTTGATACCATCTGTGATGCCCGGAGAACCAAGCTTAATCCAACTTAATCCAATACATAAATCGTTATTTTTGTAAGACTTTTTGACTTTGCTCCGGAAGTCTTTTGATGGGAATGAATCACCAGAAAGAAGAGCATGGCCTTCATTCCTCTGACGAATCCATTCTCATTCCTCTCGAAACTGTTGTCGGTATTTTTCGATACTAGTAATTCCCGGTCATGAATCATATTTATACACATTAGGGATTGAAATATAAATTAACAACGCCTTGATACCGACGCGCATCGAAACACACCTGGATCGACCAGAATTCAGTATATCGACGGCCCCTATTTAAGACAGGGCTCGTACCCATAGAACGGAGAATGTTATTGGTGGCAGTAAGCGGCCCCACCTACTTCTGTTACATGGTGTTTTGAAAGATCATCTAACAAAAAAAAAAAGACGCGCCGATCGGGCCGCTAATCTCTAAAAGGAAAAATCCATCTACATCAGCTGGTGGTTCCTAGGAGCTATCAGTTAGACCATATTAGGTAAAATGTTAAGCCTTGCCCATTATTTGAGTTCCGACAAGTCCCAACATTTTTCTTGTATCGTACTATGGGGAAGCATGCCAAATTGGGGTCTCAAAGCAACCGATCGAAGAAGAACCCAGATCAGGCAAACTGGTCTACCTAATGGAAGAGACACTTGTTCGATCGGTCTTTTCATCTTTGGCACTAGCTGGGGCTTGATGTGGGCTTGCTTACTGCCTGCAGATGTGGTCGTCAAACCGCATAGAGAAACTCAGAATCTATATCCGGCCGGGGGAAATTGAGCAGGTCATTGGCTACACCAGATGCAGGCGTGACGCTTGGATAAAGATGTCGAAATCACACACCGATGAATTCGGCGAGCTAGAGTGGTCTTTAGTGGGTGGCATCTTAGGCATAAATATCCACTCTCCTCGAAACCTTCCATAACAACACCAGTGAGATGAAGCAGTCTTGAGTTGCATCAAGAAAACCTGCGCACTTTTAGCTTACTTTTTGAGCCTGATATTCAGCTAGCTCCAGTTGATTCTTGATATTCCATCTGTTCTTCACTTCCATATCTTGGAGCCCGGATACTTTAGAGCCCCTCAGCAACATTAGAAGAGATCCATGATTTCACCTCACGATCTTGCCAACTGGTATTTTACCTTGCGCTAAGGATATTCCCATGCCTCAGAACTCGGAAGGCTAACTTGTCCCGAAATATTTCAAGATTTTCCGCATAGATCTTTATCATCGCGACATCAGTCATCATGAATCCCCAACCAGCCTACGGTTTGCTGGAGCCCTTACGCACGTATTACCCGCTCCTTGTCTTGCCTCTGTTCATACTAGCCTCCGTAGTCGATGGCATGATTATTGCGAGGAGGATTGTTGGAAATGACTTCCAGCAAATTAGCCCCGGTGAGGGCCCGCTGCCGAAACGGACCAGGAGCTACAAGGCTGTCCAGACTGAAGAATGGTTCTCAGATGGCGATAAATTCCGATTAAGATGGCTTTCACTCAGCCTATGCGGTACATATCTTGCGGATGCGACAATATATACCGTCCACGTCATGATTGCCTGGTCAGAAAATTGGTGGGGCGGACAGTCTATAGTGGTACATCTTGAGAGATTTGGTGAATGCCTTTGATACAAACGCTAACCATCACAGATTTATATTGTTTGCTCTTTCTGCAACTATACAGTACTTCTGAGGCATTCTCATTCCCCAACTGCTGGTCATGCTGTCTGCTGGATCTTTGCCATTCCCTTCGAGCTCACTATAACTGGACTGTCTATATATCTCTATACCTCGCTTCATCACGAGCCAGTCGTCGGGGATCGCGAAGGAGGTCCGGTTCGTAATGGAGTCACAACCTGGGAGTTAATGGAAGCTGCTACCGCCAGTTTTCGTATTTTGATTCTGCTTGCCCTGGCTTATTCCTACGTTGTGACGTTCACACGCTCCCTGAATGAGGATAGGACCTTGAAAGATGGAAGTACCTTAACAGAGACAGCACCCCTGTTACGTTTCACAGACTTAGACAGTGGGTATAATGCAGCTGCAGATCTTGAGCGACATCCGTTCCATTACCAGAGCTGGCCGGGACCAATTTCCGCCTGCTCACTCCTTCTGTCTTATATGTGGCCGTCTGAGTCACGCTGCCTCAAGACAACGGCGATGGTATGTTTTCTTCTTCTCCTTATCCAACGAATAGTCAATGTCTTAGTTCCCGCTCAGCTTGGGGTGATATTCACGACTCTTGAAGACGAAAAGGAGGGAAGTAATCTGTTTATTCTGTGGTCAGACGTCGCCATATGGGTTTTCTGTTATTGGCTGCAGGGAATACTGGGCGATCTGCGTTCTGGCCTCTGGCTCCCAGTGCGGCAGTATGCCTACAAAAATCTTGCAACATCTACCCTTCAGCATATTCACCGTCTCGACTGGGAATTCCACCGAAACAAAGATACAGGTGAAGTCATGTCAGCACTGAGGAATGCCACACAAGTCACCGATTTCTTAGAACAAGCTGTCTTCCGGCTTTTTCCAACGCTGTTGGATTTGGTTATTGCAGTTTGGTACTTCCTTATTGCATTTGACGCCTACTTTGCCCTTTTGTTTGGCGTCTTTTCCTTCATCTATATCGGCATCACTATTCGTCTGGCTCAGTGGAGAAAAGAAAGCAGGAGACAAGAGGCTACTGCCTCAAGAAATGAAGATGCAGTAAAGTGAGATAGAATCACACAATTTGGAACCGATAGGGCAATGATGCTTACACCTGTCTCCAGGAATGATTCCATCGCGTCATATGCGGCAGTTAAGTATTTTAATGGCGAAAATAAGGAGGTCTGCCGATATCGCCACGCTGTCAGGGGATTCCAGTGGTTTCAGTCTCAGTCGTCGCTCCGCAGAATGCTGTTGAACACCACCCAGACAACCATCTTATCAATTTGTTTGCTACTTACGGGGCTTATTGCCGTATATGAGGTCTTTGCTGGTTTACGACCCGCGGGCCAATTCGCAACATTGGTTGCGTATATGTCGCAGCTCCAACGCCCGTTGACTTTCTTTGGAAAGTTCTACCTGTTGATCCAGTCTGCTCTCATTGATGCCGAGCGCATGCTACAGCTCATAATAAGACAGCCAATGGTGTTCGATCGCTCCCACGCAACGCATATGGGGGAATGTGAGGGCGGAATCAAGTTCCAGAATGTTGAATTCTTTTATGATGCACGAAAGCCTATCTTGCGAGGGCTAACATTCGAATGTCCATCAGGAACTACTACAGCTCTAGTTGGGGAGTCAGGTGGCGGCAAATCAACCGTTTTGCAGCTCATTTATCGGTTGTATAATGCCACCAAGGGTGATATTTTTGTCGGCGGCCACAGCGTACATGATGTCACCATTGAGTCTCTCCAAAGGCAGATTGGCATCGTACCGCAAGCCCCCGTCCTATTTAATGAGACCTTCATGTATAACCTGAAGTATGCCAATCAGGATGCTGAAGACAGTGACGTTTATGAGGCCTGCCGTGCTGCTGGGATCCACAGTCAAATAGTAGCTTGTCCTGATGGCTATGATACTAAGGTTGGGGAGCAAGGCTCTCTTCTGAGTGGTGGTGAGAAGCAGCGTGTAGCACTTGCTCAGGCCATTCTCAAAAATACCAAGTTCATATTGATGGATGAAGCCACGGCTGCGCTCGACACTGGCACTGAGAAGCATGTCCTGAAATCCCTGAGACAGCTCACTACTGGCCGTACCGTGCTTATTGTTGCCCATCGACTCAGCACTATCGTCGATGCAGACAAGATCATGGTCATCCATGGAGGCAGAGTGGCGGAAAGTGGAACTCACCAGCAGCTTTTGATGATGCACGGCCATTATGCCAAACTATGGTCATCGCAGTCAATGACACTTCCATATCAGTGATATAGGATTGGATGTATGGGTTTATATGTAGATGACAATGATAGGGAGGGGTTTTCAGTACTTTTGAGTGGAGAGACCATAGCCCTCACTCAAACTCTAAGGATTCACACACCTCCGAACCCAGGGATGGGAACCATGATCAGGGCCGATGATCTCAAGTGCGGAAGACCGGGATATCATACAGGAAAGATACTGTACATATTGTGCATGCATAGACCCATGGTCGTCATCATGAAGTGCAATGTATTACACATTGTCATGACTGTTGTATTCTTGTCCATTCTAAGTGAAAAAGCTATACAATTAACCAGTTTCCTGTAAATTTACTTCGAAAGGGCCTGGAAAATGAGAAAATATTTCTTTGACTTGATCTAAATACTACGCAAGGGTTAAGCGCCCGACTTGTTCCTGGAGATAAGATAAGCCTTATCCACATCAAGCATAATCATAAAAAAAGTACGGAGTATTTTGTTAGAGATTGATTACTTTCTAGGCGTATCAGTCTTTTCAACACCACCAATGAATCATAAAAAGCAGGACTTCAAAAAACAACAGCCATCAATTTTGTTCAGCCCCGCGATTTAATTCAAGAAGATCATACAACTTTTAGCTAAGTATGTATAGGTCAGCTTCTAGACTTAAGGATTCTATCTTAGTATCTGCTTTATTGCGAGCTAGGTATTAAAGAGGGGAACCGTGAGGCAGTGTATTCGAGATACACGGGTCGATCCAGCTAGACTGAAAGAACAACACCAACCAACAAAGACAATGTGTCCGGACTACCCGTAGGGTGTGTATTGTCTTCTAGTATCGAACGCCAATCTTGTACGTACAATAACACAACATAACATAACGTAAGGAATGAACAGTACCGAAATATCATACCCGTACGGTACGCGTAGTAGGGGACAGGGTACCCCACTACAGTATATATTAAATTATCTATTCCAGTTTTGTTCGGATTAAGAACCCATTAATCCTGCTTTGAGATATGATGTGGGGCTTAACTGCAATTACAACAGATATGATTGGATTAGTGTATGTTGACCCACCTACTAGATTAAACGTGTCTATGCAAATTATGGAAGCTAATTTCGAATATTGCTGTATTCCTTTTTCGCGGCAGTGACTCAAAGCTGCATCCACTTGGGAATATAAAGTTTTGCAAAGGGACAAACAAAGTCCTTTTTCGCTTGAATCAAAATCTTTCTGAAGACATCGTGCATTGTTTGAACGGTGGCCATAAATTACCGGTGGATTACTGCAAAAAGGAACGCAATATGTAATTTGATCAAATGCTTTGACCGCCAAATCAAGCGATCAGAGCATATTATTCACTTAACTAAACTGGGGAAATTCCCTGGAAAAAAACATGCAGAGCTGTCGCTTCTTCTATTCCAAGGTTTTCTACGAATGAGATATTTGATCCTATTGATGAGGTATACGGGGGGGCTTCTTTTTCAATATGCTACCATCACGGAGGTACATCAAGAAATACGAAATAGACAATGAAGCCCTCAAATTTCATATCCGCAGATGCTGGAATAAATACAAATAATCTAGTTAGAAAGACACGAATACATTCTGACAGCTCACATCTGCAAAGCCAAAGCCGACCACGAGCAGGTCCGCTCAAAGTCTGAGCGATTGATTTCCCACGATCCTGCTGACAGCTCTCACGGGGATCATCAGAGATCTTTCCCTCGCTTCCATAGCTTGACCTGTGAATCAAATCCCGCTTTCATGTGGTGCGTCACTGCAGCGAGCCCTTCAATTCAAATTCGAAAAGCAGAAGCATGCTAGCGACTTACATATCTCATTGCTTCTAATTTGTTTGATTACTGGCTGAAAATTGAAAATCAGGCTCTGAATGTCACTTGTCTTACAAATTGGTGCCCCCATTTACAGTGAGCCTGGCATATTTCATGAGATCAGCAAGGTGGGACCTCTTAGACTATTGTCTAAAAAGCAGTGATTCTACGAGGAACGATAGGTTGAAATAAAGACTTTGGTTAGGCGTCACTTTACATATGAGTGGATTGATTTTTGAACTGAATTGATATGTTATATAGGCATTCATACAAATTCAAGCCAATGCAAAGATCTGGATGGAGAGAAAATCAAGGGAAAAGAATCTGAAAATTGATTTCGCGCATTTTGGGCCTTAAACTCGCACAATATTTCGCCTTATCGCATCATTTCCAGGGCGGTGCTGGAGAACATCCAAATATTTCTTAAGGCCTCTTGGGTGGCAGCAAATACTCAGCTATCCTTGCGGTACGGAAGTCCGATGTCTACTTGGGATATTCTGATATGCACGCTCGCGTCTAAGCAGTGTAAGCCACTGATATATATTGATAAGCCTAAAGTACATACCGGTCTTATGGCAAAGGAATGATTCTTCTTTTTCCCGTACTTGATAAATCTCTTCGATAATTTTCAGCTTCTTGGAAGCTTGCATTTTATCTCTAGTCCACTCCCGAAGCTTTGCCACTCTCACTCTGTGAGTGTCCGGGAACCCGCACAAGATGTGCACAAGAAGATCCAATCTATCTAACACAATGTTAGCTGAGTCCTGAGCCCGTTTGGCCATACATTTACTTACCGTCCTTCTGTAAATGATCAGGTTCCTTATGTGTAACTTTGCGAGGCCACCATGGGGGCTTTGTTGCATCTGGGCCCAGATTCGTCCTTTTTCCGTCAATAAGTTTGTATCCTTTGTACGGAAAATTTGTTTGTTTCCGTGGTTCCAATTTCATGATCCAGATTTTGGCAATTTCGCGACAATCCAACTGCTGTATCATTTCGAACGCCCTTCTATAGAACTTTCGTAAGGTTTCTTCGTCCCCAACCTGAATGGTCATAGTCGATGACCGAGCGTCAGAACGCTCCATCTTCTGCTGTGACTCGCACAGGTCTTTTCCAGCTTGGCTGCTTTGGTTGTTCGGCTCGGTTCTCCATCTCAAAGACGGCGGGCCCACTTGTGCTTCCTCATTGGAAGCTGCCCAGTGCGCAATCGGAGGCAAGTACCATTGATATTGATTGCCTTGCGCTCAATATTAGCACACAATCGCAAACTAGAAGGATGAACTTACTGGGTTGTACTTGCGTTTGGACTTCCTTACGAGCAAGGGCCGTAAACTGATCCACCGCTTCTTGAGAGAAGATTAGCTGCTCTCGCCCACGTAAGGATGGGGAGACCTGGATAAAAGGCCGGCCATTTTGATCAAGGGAGATCGTAGCATAATGTTCAGCCCAGAAGGGCTGTGCCGATCTTTGGAAACTGAAGGGTGTCTGTAAGAGGAGCATTAATGTCATATCGCTACAGAGAGCTGGGGGTCGATCACCATAGTTGAAGGGAATGAACAGACAAAATGAGTTATTCATTCTATGCAGGGGCGATGGTTTAATCCAGGATATATGCTGCTACAAGAGGTGAGCCTAGGGCTGGAACCTCTGTCAGCCAGGAAAATGATGCATTCCTTCTTTCTTCTGAGACTTTAAGTGGGATTCAACGTGTAGCAATACTGCTCCGCTTAGTCAAACTTCAGATCTTGTATGTATGTTCTGGGAAGGTCTGTGCACCTGAACCAAATTTGCTATTGCGCCAGATGTGAAGGGTGTCAGCGAAAATCCACTTAAATATTTTGGGACTGGCGAAACACGATGAAGAGCTTTGAAGCGAGCCAGACGTCCTCCCACTAGTACTGCCAATCTTGGAGGTCCAATTATAGCCTTGCAGGATGGTGGTACCAGACGGACCCACCTGTTCCCAGAAGCGGGACCAGCCCGTATTACGTGGTTTTTCAATACAGCGGAATACCTTGGATTAAAACTATCCTTTTGACGGGGCAGAAAGGAGGCAGAATGGAGAGGAAATTTGCTCATCGGATCTTAGATTATATCCGGCCACCTGTAATGCATTGAATTTAGTGCACACAAGAAATATCACTTATGCATCAATAGTGCAGCAGCTGGCATGTATCCATCCTTGCACAACTCCACGGCTAGTAGTTTACCTCCCTTGAGTTTAATTTCTCACCAAGACCTCTCTCTTGAACCCATCATTGAAGGCACAGAGGATTCCTCCAAATAGCCTCGAGAATATCATGTTTGTCCTCAGATCATTCATTCCTGTGAAACGCCATGCACAACTTTCCTTCCCGCGGTGAGTTTGGTCATTGGGAAGTATTCTCTGCTAATATGCGTGTGAACATATTCGCCATCCCATTTAGAGGACTCGCTGGCTCTAACGAATAATTCGGATTATTATATTGATCCCACTTCTGGGCTTCCTCCCCTTACCAATCCACCAGCGAATTTCGGCCGAACACCCATCACTTCAGCTCAACAGTCCTCTCTTCCCCCAGCCGGGTAACATCTGGATCTCCGCGAATACCAGCTTGAAACGGCCACACCTGATACGTGACGATCGCGTTTTTGATGGTGATACAGTCTGGTAATTTGTGTGAAAAGTACTAACTACTTGCAGCCTGCATTTCTAAATAAAAATTGGATCCAATTATACGCTCGGGCAAAACCAGTCATTCTGATCCTGTGGGTGCGTGGAGTCGCGAATGCACCACGTTACCTCAGCCCTATGAAGCCATAGTTACCCAAGACTTACTGATATGCTCGCTCAGACAGCCCCTTCTAGAGAATGCTTTGTTGGTTAGTCGCAAGGACCCATTAAAGCAAGGTAGAACGGGAATGCCGATCAACCCAACAAAACCGCAGTAATCTATTGATCGCTGGGCTTGACCTAAACCCCCCGACAATCGGACAGTGTGCCTGGTATCTTGCTGCTGTTTCTCCTGGCCAGGTCACATCGGATGTGAAGGATCAGTAGAGGATCATGGCTGGAACGCCTGGGTCTGCGTAATATTAATGTACAGTCAAATGGGATCAAATGCCGCCGGAACCCGGACCAGAAAAATTGTTGCTCCCGGTGCTCTTTTATGAATCTTGAATGTCATTTCCCAAGGGAAAAAGGTAGTTAATCATGTTCGCGTCTTCATTTACATATGCACATTGTTCACATATTATTAGCTAAGGTTGCCTGTGAAGATTGCCGGAAAACGAAGGTCAAATGCGAGCCAGTCAATAACCATCCAGATTGCCCATTTGCTAGGTGTGACTGACTCGATCTTCCTTGTTCTAGAACCGTTCTTGCCAAGTCCACTCGATTGACGCACAATTGCGCCCCATCCCCTAAGATGAAGCCCATATAATATCTTGGCTCCCAGATTCCCCAATACGATCAGGCTACCGACAATTTGAAACCCTCCTTCAGAGTACACTCTTTGTCTTTTAGGATAACGGCAAAGGGTATTTCTTTGAATCAGCCAGAGTCTAATTTGAAAGCTAGAGAGCAAATAGTGAGGATGCGCAAATTACAGCAATATATCACTTATACAGCTTATCTTAATACTCAGATAGCTACGCTTGATGAATACTAGAAACATGCTGCATAATAGACCTATACGGTACTATAGCATAGGGCTCCTTGAATCTACTCGTAGATTATCTCAAGGACTAGATAAGATATTCTCAGGCAGAAGGAAGTAAATGGCGATTGCAAGGTCTTTCATTGAGGATATGACCTGCAGAATGGAAAAAGAAGAGACTAAAGATATGGAACTGGAGAGGGAAAGAGAGACGATCATTTCTCATGCGTAAGCATGCAGATTGGCTCTTGGTCAAGGCTGAGGTGTAGCAGCTTGGGTAACAAGTGGAAGCGATCGTGCTGTTGACTCCGTAGGCCGCGGGATTACTTGGTGCAGACTATCCTCCATCTGCTCAAGCTCTTTTAGCCGGTGATCTCTTTTCCGTATATCCTGGCGCAGACGCTTCACTTCAAGACGAAAGTTGTTTGTCTTATCAAAAAAATTTGGAATTAAACAAGTCAATTTCGCTTCTGTATATGAGACCAAAATACGCATCCCACGCACAATCGAGTTTGCTTTTTGTGATGAAAAATCAATAAATGAATATATTTTACCGAGATTATAAGGATTTCAGTTTTCAAATTCAAGTTCTACTTCAAATCCCTTAAATAAGATCGAAATTCAAGTGCCTAACAGCATTCCCCGCTCATTGATATTGGTACATAAGTGTTGCCACCGAGGCTTGACACCGCCTGATAGTCCAGAATTAAGCTCGGCATCTCTTTGAAAAATTGCTGCATGATCTTACCACGCGAGATCCTCCAAACACAGCCCTGTCCTCCAGAAGCATTCCCAGCCAGATCTCGACATGGATGGACTGAAGCAGTCGTTGGTAAAGCTCGTCCGTGAAGAATATTCCTTAGCTGGGTCTGTCATGGCCAACAAGGCTGCCCAGGCTGTTTCTACCACCAATAAGCAGGAAGAGAATGCTCTGGCAGTAGATAAGATTGAACTGAAGGATCTTAAATCGTTCGAAAAGAGGGGCCTCGTCACACCGATTCAAGAAGGTCATGGAAACGTATGCGTCACTAACACATTGTTTTCGCATTTCTATGAAAGGCTGACATAGGCATAGTTGGGACAAGGAAGCAAGCAAATATAAGAGAGCAGCGCCAGCGGAGGCCAACTACAGTCCGGATAAGTATACTAAATACGTATTCGTTGCGCGCGAATGAGTGGGTACGTAACGGCTTTGCCTGGCGGGCTGAGACCATACTAATGGTATAATTAGATTGGAATTCCGAGGATGTAACGCTGTACATGGACATCAAATCAGAAGGCCTGCGTGACATACTTCGTAAGGTGCTGCACGATATCAATTGAGACGAAGTATTACCCCCAAGAAGATCGCTGAGCTAGATTTAGATCAAGCAAATGTCCTTTTCCATTCCCTTTCTGAGCTTGAAAGATTTGCGGATCACATACAAAATGGTCCGGGCCATGGATTGGTATATGCGCAGTATCTCCATCTACTTATTGACGACCTTAAGCACACATATATTCCTATCTTGTAGCGTCTTAGGTCAATATTGCAGCACAGTCATATTACGTATGACCTTCTTTAGGCGCTTTTCAAGCCTGGTTGCCATATTTATACCACATATATCAGCACAAAAGAGCCACGGTGCATAGTCTTCGATGCAGGAGAAGAGCTAACACAACATGACAAGACATGGTTCAATCTCGAATACCGATTCCTTGATTATGACGGAGTCAAGTTCGGCAAGGCCAGAATCTTTCTGCGTGTGCCAAAGTTCCGACGGTCAAAGCTGATCGCTACACTTGAGGCTTACCCTCTCCGCCACTATTTAAGTCATGAGTAGGTCTAAAAACACCTAGTTGAGAGAGGCCAGAGGTTTCGGATTTTGCTGGCTCGCACATTCAGTACTATAATTAGTAATTCATGTTCTGTTTTATGGCTGTTAACCATTTGGCCGTATCATAATGTATCAATTGACTTTTCCCTTCTTCAAAAGGAAGAACATTTAAATCAAAATCATAAACACTCTGGGCCCTACTCTAATAGGTTCATCAAGCGGAAAAAGCAATAAAATAGAAGAGGGACAGAAAGCCAAAAGTATGACTTTGTTTCCTGAATCCTCATTGCAGGATTGAATTGACTGATTTTTCTTTCTAATATCAACATGCAAATGACTTTGATATTTCCAAACGATGAACTCAGATGCAAGTCTCAGGCTTTCAACTGTACTGATGAGAATGCGGTGAAATTGATCAAAGAGAAACAAGCTTCTAGGACAATAGACTACCAATCGACCAAAAGCTCTTTCATTTCGACACATCGTTGGTGCTCAAATCATCGAAGCTATCTCTGTTAGCTCTGGAATTTCAGGAAGAGATGAAAAGTACTTACTTTTTATTATCAAGGACATACCCAATTTCGAAACATTTGTGGAATGATCGGGTCCCTCGTCGATTCAGACCAAGTGGAAGGTCTTTGATCATTGAGCCCATCGCTATGTCATAAGCTCCGATGAAATCAGATGCCTCAGTAGACTTGAGCTTTACATGCAAGTTGTCGTTCTTCTCCCAACAGTGCTCTCTAAGATTTGTCATGCTGCTGAAGTGCAAAAATCCTGATCCGAAGCATTCGGGACAAACAAATCTCATCCCTGACGCGACGGCAATTTTCAAAAATATCTCCACCTGTTTGGCAGGTGAGTTCAAACCTTGAGACGCATTTGCAACCACAAGCTCAATTGCAAAATACGATTCGTCGTTGTCCAAAAGTGTGTCGCAAGTGCCCGGCTCGGAGTTTGTCAGATGCGTTTGCAAGTCAGAGAAACGTGTGAAAGAATGCCAACAGCTTGGACAGACGAAACCCTTTCTTGCTTCTTTCATGAATTTCCTCATAACAGTCAATTTTTTGTTGTCAGCCATGATTGAGCACTGTAGGCAAGCAGGGCCAGAGATGGAACCGGCGGAGAGGACTTTCTTGGGGCTATCAGTCCTAATAAAGCATCACTATGCACCTCAGCCTGTAGAACATGCCAATCGGATATTCCATTATTAAACCTTCGTCATGCATGTCCGAAAATAGAAGGCACTGCCTGTATATAGATTTAGCGACATCGCTTGCTACATGTTGGCCGAAGGTTTCCGGTGGACGACTTGAAAAGAGAATGCAAGACACAATTAACTGAGCAAATGCTTGGACCGCTGGAATGAAGCAGCCAGAGCATATCCACTTGGTGCAACTAGGGAAAAGTCTCTGGGATGCGTTCGGGTAGAGACATGGGCTAGATGTCCGTTCATATCTTTGTTAGAAAGAGATATCTTTTAGATACATTGATTCAGTATGCGGACTTTCTTCTCAATACACCACTATTACTGAGATACACCGAGGGATAAGAGACAGACAAAAAAGCCCTCAAATTTCATCTCGGCAGATACTGATACATGGATCATCGTGATGCGATCCGGATCGAAAGACATGAAGATGACCTGGCGGCTCATATTTGCAAAGCCAAAGCTGGTCGCAGGCATTTCTGCCTTGAGTCTGACAGCTCACACGGGGATCATCAGAGATATTTTCCTAGCTTTGCTAGCGTGGTCAGTGAACAGGTCCCGCTTTGCATTTAGAAATCTACGAGTTTCATGTCATTTTTTTTATTTAGGTTAAGCACGAAATTGTGATTCGTATCAAACTAAGCAATTGTGCGAAAATGTGCTGCAGCCTAAGAAGGGAAATACACGCCTTCGTACAACTGCCAAATTCGGATTGGTCTGGACCAGGGTGCCATGCCTCATTTTTCCGGGCGGATATAATATATTCCGTGTCTTATCCCACCCAACTCTCAACTGCCCCTCATCCGTCACGAGTCATTAGTCAACACAAGAGAACTTTCGCTCCATGCCGATGGCTACTATTGATTCAGCTCTGCGTTCAAATCTCACTGGTGATCTTACCAAAGATGGGTTTCTATACAAGCAAGATGCAGAAGCCGGCCACCGAGTTGAGGAAATGGAGGTAAAATCGATACCTTTCGCATCAGAGGCAGGATTACAGTTCTACAAAGTCAATATCCTCGACGACCCAGTATGTTTTTTTCCTGATATTTTTATATTACCCTCCTGACCATCTGAGAGTCCTTGAGGTTGATTACTTTCTAAGGGCAAACGCCAGATACTCGATTCCTGCTTCCAGTGGTTTGGTCTGGGTCTTTATAGAGCCTTTGGTGCTATGGCCGGGGATTATGCCTTCCGACAGAGCGACCCATCCTCTAAAACCGAATCTCTGTTAATTCAATTTTGGAAGAAGGGATCGAAGGTCACGTTCTGGAAAGGCTCACATCTTCAAAAAGTGGCTACCATAAAAGGCGAAAACAACCTGTGGAGAGCTCCTCGAGTGACTCTCACAAAGCTTGGTCTTGAGCCTGTTGAGATTTATTTCGAAAATGGGGGATTGTACGTTGTGAGATGAGAAGATTCTTAGACATAATCTGACTTGATGGAACAGTTCTATTCGCGATACCCGCCTATTCGTTGAAGTCTCGGCAGGAAGTGCTATAACATTTGGTGTTGCTGCAGAAGATGTGCTGAAAAAGTGGTGGACCCCAATGAAACTTCCGAGATCACTCCAAAGAGTAGTCAGCGACATGGATGGGCCCAAATTTGGCATGAATGTCACATACTTCGATGGCAGCTATCCTCACGGTCGACCACTAGGTGCCAGTCCACCACCCCTCGGAGACTGACAAAGTACTCTCATCTCGCCCATGGACTCCGCGGGATTAGCACTCTGCAGCGTTGAAGAAAATGCATATGACTCCTGTACCAAATCATAGCATGGTGTAATGGTGATATCTCCAAAAATCGGCGCATATGGCTGGGGCAAGAGCGGATCATAAGATTGGTCCATCTGCGCAATCGAATAAATGTTCGACGACAATGGTATGTTGTTTAAGTCATTCGATGCGTACGGAAGCGCGTTCATATTTTCTGGAACCACGAAAGGCGTTCGCATAATATCTCCCGCGTTAGGTCGGCCTAAGGACACGTGTTAGCCTGGATGAATGATAATATGGAATGTGAATTACCAAAAGCGTGATCTCCTATCACCATGGCATAGTCACTATCGTGCACCACGTTTATTTTCGACCTTTTGCAAGGGCCACTCGCTGGGTCATCAGAAACACGTCTAATGAGCTGTTTGCTTTGGTATGTTGCTCTTTTAAGCATGCACTCCAGTTTTTCAACAGATATATTTTTGAGTTGGGCGCATCGCTCCTTTCTGTAGAAGTCTTTAGCTTCATCATTGCTGCTTTGCCCAACAAGACATTTATGCCGTATGTATTTTCGTGTTTGTTGAAATAATTGACGACAATAAATGCAAATCTCGTAGCATTGGACATCTGCAATTAGATTCAGCATCAATAATCAATAAGGCGGTCTGATTTCATACGTAATTCGAAATGGCGCTCGAGTTCAGCTCTTTTTGGAAAGCCTTTCTTGTGTATGCATTTTGGGTGGGGACACCTTGTAAAATCGTAGGAATTCTGGCCGTTCTGCTCGCTGTTGTGAATTTCACTTTTGCCTTCTTCACTATCGTGCCAAGTGCCAATGGAATCGACTTTCTCATCACATTCATCGCCGGTATCCAAATCGCTGGCAATCCAACTCGTTTCGTTATCTTCTGATCCTATATCGCCATTTTTTGAGGACTGGTTTTTGCGGGGCAAATGTGCTTGCACTTCAAGTAGCCTCGCGGTCAATGTCTGAAATTCCAACTGTATTCAGGAGTTAGCAGCCAGGTTCTAAAAGCAGAACATCATCAGTGAGTGACCTGGTATTCTGCAATATGCTTGCGAAGCTCCTTGTGCGTTTCGAAACTTTTGAAACATGTCTGACATTCAAGGCCCTTTGCCCTGTGTTTTTTTTCAATTCGTTTGCTAGGGTCAACCGTGATAAAACGAGAGCTGTCCTGCATCTCGTTACGCGTGTGGAAGAGGAAAAAAAGATGTGGGCGTTGCCAGGTCACAGCATTGGCTGGCCACTTGTTAGGGGGCGGGGGAGAGGAAAGCTGTTACCGATTACCAATGAAACCCGGTTCGGGTATCGACAGTGGGCACTTATGGGCTATAAATGCTCCCTTTCCCCTTTTGATGAGTAAGTTTCCAACATCAACTCCTCCTTTCCTGCAGCAAGAAAACCTCTACTTCGCCTCCACGCTCCTGGTAAAATCGAAGAACACCATTAAAAAAAGAGGAATCATGCCCCCATGTTCTGAATGTAATGATACTGGGTGGGTCGGCACATCAATATGCCCCAAGTGCAACGGATATGGGGGGACAAAAAGATCATTTCTGCGTAAGTGTGATTCTGAATAAATTATATGCAAGTCTGACTCGGTGATAACAGAAAAGGAAGATGATATTCGAACCGCTATCCACCGAACGGGACAGTGCCGCCGAGTGACTTGGTCGTGGGTAGCGTGAGCTCCAAGTAATGTTTGGTAGCGCCTTGTTCGTATTGAACCACTCGTCGATTAATTGGTCTGGACCAATGGCGCTATGCACGCTTGCGCCGCGTTGTAAACCCCTCCCTAGACTTTCGAATATTTCTTCTTGCTTTTCCACCGCCCCAAAACGACTGCAAATACGGGGATTATGACAGGACTAGGGAAATGTCGCAGTGGGGACTGCTATCATAATAGGAAATTGATCAAATTTCGTTGAGCTACCGGATATGGAAAAAGCACAGAGACCGGCCATCGCCTCTATTAAGACTAGTGTCATGCAACCCCCGTCACGATCACCCCTGTTGTTGCATGCCAAGCTCGCTTGTCATTGGTCTGGTCAGCTTAGATACCGCTGGGGCTTACAGTAGATACCGCTGGGGAAAGACTGCTTTCCAATGATGATTCTTTCCTAATCAGTCATAGAGCTAATGTCGCGACCGAGGGGTCTATTCATGCTTGATGTATGGTTCTGTTCGATCTCCCGTTCTTTCGTACTTTGGACAATCGGCCCTGATCATGGTTCCCATCCCTGGACTCGGAGATGTATGAAATCCCAGAGTTTGATTCTGGAATAAAGTCTCTCCACCCAAAGTACCGGGCACTCCTCGTCATTGTCATCTACATATAAGCCCATGCATTCAGCCCTGTTTCCTTGAATTTCAAAATGTCTCACTGATCGTCATCGTATTGTCTCCTCGTCTGAATCTTGATCCCTCCCGCCTTCTCTATCTCTACTTCGCACCTGCTGACTTTTGGGTTGATTTACGTCTTCCTGTATCAATAAACACTCTGCATTGCCATACTCTGCTTACCCTTCTTGAAACTTCTTCCTGAACTGTGTGTGTTTCGAATGTAAAATCACCACCTCTTTCCCGTTTTGTTCAGCAGATGAATTCTTGTTGATTCCACTCAGGAACATCGACCTTCACTCCCATTCCACCATTACACATATCACGATACTTTTCTCTACGCATACAATCAATTGATCATGATGTTTGAAGTCACATGCTTGACAAATGATGAGATCCCACGCCACGGCTCCCTCCCGTGAGTTCCCCATGATTTATTGGTCTTTATCTTATTTGACGTTTTAATCAATTTCAACAGCCCTCTGAAATCAGTCATTTCCGGTACCAACGAGGGGATCGTTTGTAGTGCTCCACGGCCCCAGGTTACTGTCCAGTCTGAGTCGTCATGGTCTCAGACTGGCATTGATGAGATGGTGGTATCTCCCTCCTCGGCCGCCAACCTTGCCGAAAGCTCCTGGCAAGAGTTCTCCGCTACTCAGAAAGCTGCCGTGGTGGAGTGGTCCAACAATTTTTCTGGAGATAAGATTATGTCTTTGGTTGCGCCGATAAACCTTAATCGCAAGCAACCTCTTCAGCAAATCTGCGGACATAAGCGCAAGGGCAGCGCTGAGTATTCTGGACCTCATGATAAGCGTGAGAATCACCGTATTGCCGAGCGCAACCGTCGCAAGAATCTCAGCCAGTTGCACCGTGAGTTGGACAGTCGGATCCATGACTTTTTCCTGGAGCGTGCTGGCTGGAAACCGTCCAAGATTCTGCCCCAATCCAAGCAGCACATTGTTCAGGGTGCTATCTACCTCATTGACTTCATGATGGTTATCATTGTCCATTTGATCCGCCAGGACCAGGTGACTCCCCAGCCCATCCAATTACAACAGCAAGTCTCTTCCCTCAATCAACAAAATAAAGAGGCTCAGCAACAGCTCCACGATGCTCGGGCAGAGGGTGATCTCTTGACAAATCGTAATCGAGCCCTGAAATCCCGACTCAGATACTACGAACAAAGGCTCCGTTCTTATGAGACTACAAATTCTGGCCTCCTAGTCGGGATACCCGAGCGTAAGTCCCAAAAAGAGGTTCTTCCAGGATTCCAAGCCTTCCTTAGCAATATCAGGCCTGGCACCTATACAGCGGAGGAGCCAAGAGCATGAAGAGCCGGGATATCATATAGAAAGATGCTGTAAATAGTGCTACCACCGTGGGGATTCGAATAAAATACGCGCAAATAATAGAAGCCACATGTGAGATACTTTCTACAGTCGCTCGCAGAATTTGCTTCCTCCTTAAAGACAGCTTTTCTTTTGTGAAGGACTCACTGCCAAGGCCTTAGCGCAGATCTTTCGTTGATCGGCCGACAGTAACTAGCCGTTAAGGATTCTCTTCACGAAGTCGTACGAAGTGGCAGGGGGCCAGCATGTCCCGTGGGATAAGCTCCATATCAATTTCGATCGCAATGGGAGTCCTGATTTCCGTCCCGTGTTTGCAATTAGAAGTTAAGATTCAAAAGTGAGAGGCTCCTTGTGACCTATTTCAATACTTTTGCTGATGTTCAATCTCAAACTTAATGTTGAGCAGTTTCCAGAAGAAAGCATGCTACTGAAAATCCGTGCTACCTTGATTAAGGGAGCTCTTGAATCGGGTCAAGGTCATGGACAATACATCATTCCATCACTCCGAGCGAATCGAGAAGATATGTTCTGATCCTGGGGTGGAATTAGTCTATTTGCCCCCCATATTCCCCGGATCTGAATCCAATCGAAGAATTCTTTGGCGAGCTTAAAGCCTTCATTCGGTGGCAATGGCAATGATACGAAGGAAACCCAGATCAAGGATTTGATAACTTCCTCGAGTGGTGGGTTGACGTCGTTGGTGCAAGAACCAAGAGCGCAGAAGGTCATTTTCGACATGATTGATCCAAAATGGTGTTAGGTGTCTTTCGTGGTCAGTTGGCCCAGCCACCAACTAATCTGCGCCTTGGTTTAACAGGAACTAGGTGATCGGGTCTCTGAGCTCCGCGGTGGTCGAGAAGAAGGGCCATCACTGCTTCCTTTTTCTCCAAATTACAGCTGCAGCCTTGACTACCTCGTTTGTGATAGTGACTTGGTCTCCACGACGATCGAGAAGAAGTCTCATCACTGCTTCATCACCTTCGGTGTTTCAAGCTGCAGCCCTGACTATCTTTTCCGTGATAATGACTTCGTCTCCGCGGCGGTCAAGTAGACCATTCAACTTACATGTGTATTTTGAACGTCCAGTAGAGGCAATAGTACCGCGAAAAACAGGTCCATTCCCTTTGGAATAGCCATGGGCTTTTGCGACAGCTATTTTTCGACGCCAACACCGCATCATCGCACGGACGGGTGATATTCATATGAGCTTCGAGGGTTGTCCGGTGGGGTGATTGACCGCTATTCGGGTTTCATGTCACCGCCCCGAGCGAGGGTGTTGGGATTGATTGAAGCTTCTCCTAAACCTCTGCTGAATGCCAAAATTCTATTGCTATGCCTGGAAATGATCGATCCAGTTAGAATAAATGAAACGGTGGGCTGCCATTCACTTTGGAATCGCTAATACTTTCTTTTTGACGAGTGCGCTTGCTCACGAATTACGCTGGTGACTTATTTAAGCGGATTAACTGATACGCCGACGCTCTTCAGAAATTAACGTACTTCCCGGTTGACCTGGCCACCCGGTTGATCTGGCCACCCCAAAACGCATAGAAAATGCGATAAATTACAACTTCATATCTTAACAAATATACCTACTCAAGATAAAGTATTGAATATATACAATCTAAGTACTGTTCCCAATACAGTATACTAGCATAGTCTAGGAATATTACTTTGAATCAGTAGAGATATCGGAGTTCAAATCTACAAAGTCAAAGTTACGCTGTATTTTATGGTAAGGCATCGAAATAATAGTCTGAAAGGTCTACAATCCAGACATGGTCTTCATATACCCTGAGAATTGTAAATGCTTGAGCTTTACCAAGAAATGATTCTCCGGTGGTTGAAATATAGAGGGATGAATATTCAGTATTTGTATGTGTTTTGGGGTGGCCAGATCAACCGGGTGGCCAGGTCAACCGGGAAGTACGTTATGGCAGATCCCTTCGAAATACGAAGAGAGCTCTTCGCACGATTCCATCTTTACCATTCATTATTAATGTATCGTCAGCAACACCGATTTTCCTCCGATTGATTGTTTTGCCACGAGTCACACAACTCGCAAAAATTTAATCGTTTCGTGAGGATTGAATTTAGGTGATGGTCTGTGGCCCAACTCCGTTTCACGATCAAACCGAGAATTGAATAAAACCCCATGAAGTTATACGAGTGGGTGGTTTCCATTTCCGCAACCTAAACGCATTATGTGACTGCCAGAGCAGACAAACTACTTTCCGAGGTCGCGGTGGCAAACGGCGCTTAGTGTGTTTCTGAAAGCTTGTGTATTCGAGGAATTCGAGAAGACCTTGAACTGTTCCAATTTTTGAGAGATGATCAACTATTGTCTTGAGGAATTAATAGAAATATTAAAGAATCCACGGGAATTTGAGTGCAGTCAATTGCAGATTAGATTAATGTAAGTGGTCATCTAAAGCGGTTACCGAACTCCAGTGAATTAATTAGCTAGCTGCAGCTGTGAAGCCCAGGGAAGTAATTCAGTCAAATTTCTCTCTACAGTACTTTGAACAGAAATTAATCCAAAGGACCAATTTTAGGAAAACAGTCATGTTGACATCGATACCAAAGTTCTTGTACATAATGTTGGGTTTTCCTAGCTCAGCTCGGCGTCATGTTTTATTTTTTGATCAAATTGTGCGATTGGCGAAAATTACAGAACAATACCATACATGTTCTATATTTACGATACGATGTGCGCCCTGCCCATGATGTGGCTGTATATGTTGTATTGTGGCTGTGTTGAAACACAGTATGTATACCACACCAGTCTTGGTTGTTAAAAATCCTTCGCCAGTCTCACCTTCTAATAAGCTCTGACCGAACAATACACCAAAAGCTTATGGACAGCATTCACTGAAGCCGGAGTGTCTCTTGGATGGACTTACTGCATCAACATTGTTGTGTCAACAGGCCTATTTTCAAGTCTCAGTAGCTCTGCCGTCTTACGAAATGTATAGAATAGACAGAGTCGACATCAGTATATAGATATAAGCAATGAACATGACGCAGATTAGTTCAATTTGGCATTGGGACACCCCCATTTCATACATATGAGCACTATACTTGTGCCATGGAATTGATAAGTTTCAACTCACTATGGATAAGAATAAATGGATGGAAAGAAAATCGTCCAGGATATATGAGACATCATTTTCGATTTATTTGTCGCAGGTGAAAGCAGCATGAGGTGATGAGTAGCTTAGGCCAAATATTGCGAGTCGCATGAATATTCCAACTTATCTTCCTTGTCACACCGGCGAGTGTTTTGAAATTCCAACCCATTCTCAGAGCTCGAGGTCTTAATCGTATAGATGATCCTCATCTGCAGCGCATTTGTATGCTCCTTCCCGCAGGGTAGGAGTCAGCATGCTCCGTTGAACAGCATTGTTGGCTGTTTCCCTTCTTGCTATAATATCTTCGCATCTATGTTGCATAATTTTGATGGTGAGTCGAAGTGCTGCTCGAGAAGGATTGAAATCATGATTATCTGCGCCCAAATAACCGGAAACTTGCTCTAGGCATTTTATCACGTCATCAATAAACTCCACAGAAATCTTCATTTGCTCCTTTTGATATTCCTTTTTCTTTGTCTGAGCGAAAGCGCCTAGGGCGATTGGAGAAGATTCGTCGAGACGCCAATTTTCCCTAGCTCTCCTCAGAGCATCTCCAATGCTGTGTTCAATGGGAGCTTGGTTTTCAACATCTTGATCGATCGGCGTTGGCTGCCTTGAATCAACCAACTCAGTGACTACAGAAGTGGCAGGTGATAGATATATAGAAGCGGGTGGAGTAGCCGCGACTTGGTCACTGCGGTGGCGGTGTTTTTTTGAATCCAAAGAGTACTCATCAGGGTGAATCCGCGGTCGTTTGGAAGGGGGATGATCTGTTAGATTGAGTCAGCAGACCCTAGCTCTTTGGGTGTACAGTATGTAGAGTAGAATATTCAAATTACCTGCATTTTTCTGGATCCATAGTGTGTCAAGACCAAGAAGGATCGTGAAGCCATGCATAGAGTGAGAATTATGCTCGAGAAATAGGTCCTTTAAGTACACTTTCATCCCCAAATAATGCTGGGTTCGAATTTGATGATGAAAAACTGAGGGGCGGCGTGACACTGCAAACTCGGCTGGTTCCTAGGAACCATAGGTGACATGGCTCAATAAACATCTTGATCACCGCCATTCATAGCTCCTGGGAGATGAAGACTAAGCAGCCGATCCAAGGCATAGCAACTAGCTTCCTAGGAGCAACTGTGACGGGGCAATTAATTTCTTTGAGCCAGTAAGTAGTTGAGTTGAGGCGAGTGGCTTCTGGGAGCAAGAATCTACGCAGAGTCTGATAGGCCAGAAATCCTGATTTTGCACTGCTGATTCTCATGGTGAAGCGGAAAATGTGAAATGCCAGGACTATGCAGCAGGCCATCTCTTTCTAGATGGGAGATTGATTGAAAAGTAGGTCCCCTCATTTACACTAGCGCCGTGCGTTTTATTCGGGTTGCTAACTCATACTCTTGGCTCTCTTTGGTGCGATTGGTGGGTGAACCACAGGAGTGGGCGCAGGCTCAGTGAGCTCACTGATCCGCTCACTGAGCCTGCACCTGAGCTTACATAAGGCTCAGTGAGCCGGAAGCCGTGCTCAGATCTACTCAGTGAGCAAAAGCGGCGAGTCAGTGAGCACTAATCCGGAAAGAGGAACCAAAATCCGCCGGGGGAAATCCATTACCTAGGCGGTAATATGGAACGGGCGTTGCTGCCCAAGACTTTTGCCGGTACGTGGGTCGAGACCCATCCACATTACTTGACGTCAGCCAACATTGGACGAGGATTGGGAATACATACTGTACTGCTGCTGCAAGCGGCACGAGGTAAAAAAAGTACGGTCACATCTTTGGACTTAGGAATAATCACCTGGCTTGTATCGACACCATGCAAGAGCACCCTTGATTAGCTCGAGTAATTGCCACCTTTAACTATCGGCGTGTCAATTTCCAGCAGCGGTGTTGATTTTAAGGAAAATGTGACAATTGCACAGTCGATGCAACCTACTGACCGATAGGTGAACAAGATTAAGAAGGGCGCAAATCCTCTTTATGGATTCTCTCCTGCCTGATTTGATGTACATACACAGTGAAAATTCTTGCCTTCTTTAAGGATCCCAGATACGACAGCATTTGCAGAATTGCGGAACAGCAGAAAATCCGGAAATAAACCAGTTCGTCTAATACATGAGGCCATGCCAGTGAAAGTCAGCCCCTTTTTGCAGGTGATAGTCAACTAAATTTCAGTAATAAGAAAATATTAATAAGAAAACATTTGATTATCTCGTATATATAAGTCAACGGTCTCTATTTAAAATACTACAGCCTCAGTCTAAAATGAAGAAATGCTTCGACAGAAAATGTTTCCATCTCCTAACGCAGTATGGAGCCAATCAGACAATGGCGCAAGAAACACCGTTCTCAAACTCGTTCGGGACCATCAAGAATAATTCCAGGAGCTTGGTCAACTTGCAGATTTGGTTTTGTCACTCCCGCCCATTCATTTATATCACGTAGGAAACGACGGGCGGTTCCAATTTGAATTCCTCGCTGAACAAAGAAGCCAGCGTCTGGGTCTTCCAGGATTAGTTCAAGGTCGAGGTGATTTTCCAATGTTACTTGGCAGATTTTTCGGAAATCTGCTTTGTATTCCTCGTCGGTGGCACGTGATTCCAGCCACTGCAGTATTCTCTTACTGCTGCTTCCCGATGCCTAGGAATTGACAGATGCTTCTCAAGCATATGTCTGGGCAGGGACGAAGTAACCGTGGATGCACTTCCGGTTTGTGCTGGCAGGACATTAATAATGGTTGGAGGATATAGTGGCCCAGTCGATGCGATGTCAGCCTTTTTAGACTTTCTTCCTATCTGACTTTCCAGAATCAGGTCTCGACGGATATCGCTAGGGACATCACCATGACAATCGAGGGACCCACCACTATCAACATGCTCAATAAGTCTCTCTAGATGGGGAGCTCTCAATTTGTAGTGTCTCTTGTCCGTTGGGTCCTCCCAGCACCAATCAGACTTAAGCGGGCAAGAACGAATATTACACCGCATACGGTCATATACAGCACTCCACGTTGCAGTTCGCCCGGTTCTCTCTTCCTCATCAGCAATATGAGCCTCTCGCTCAGTCAACATTCTGCTTGTTGTAGACACACGCCCTCTCTTGTCGACCCTCTTTGATGCAGTCACAGAATGATCGTCATCTTCACTCCTATAATTAAATACAACGACTATAGTGAGTTTCTTGCCAATACGAAGCAGATTGCTCCATTTATGCAGCTGCTTCTCCACTGGTTTCCAGTCGATTTTAGCAGAATTGTAGAATTTTTCGATATTCCTCTGGGACCGGTCGTTCGATTTCATCGTAACGGCTGTGCCCTCAGATCGAACTCTCTGGTGACGTCTCTTTTTCAGTTGCAGCATGTCTTCAACTCCTGCTTTCAAAGTTCCCTCCCAATACTCGCTAGGAGCTACAACCAAATCTTCCTCGGTCACTCTACCTACCGCCTTATGGTTCAGTATAAGCTTCCACTCGATTGTGTAGCAGACGTATCTCGGTGGCTCTTCATAGTATTCGCCACCTTCATTCCATTCGCAAAATGGCAGGAAATCAAGTTGGTCCGACTGTGGCTGATCCGTGGCGCGATATGGGGCAGGGCTAGGAGAGTGCAGGGTTGTGGGTGTGCTACATGTACCGCAGTAGCCAGGAGTGGGGGCATACTGCCAATTTTCTTCCCATGGATCGACTATCCGAGGTTGATCTGCATCGTCACCAAAAGAGTTATTGGTCATCGTGATGATGTCCAATGGAGGGGTAGCCTAGAGCTGGACTCCGTAAGGGGTTAGCCAGGAATGTCTGATGCCCAATGATGACCCGAAGCCGCCACATGGCAATAACCGATTATAATCATGGAATTTATCTCACTGTCAAGTCTTGCCTGTCAGCTTGAACAGAAATGGACATTCAGGGCAGCGTCCGACCCCTCCGCAGTGAAGCAACTGAGGGATGGAGGGGGAAATAGAGATATTGTCAACAGTTACCTAGTTTGCATAGTTTGCATGGAGCCTTCTAGTCGTCCAGGCCCTATAGTCTCGTATCCATACAGATAGGTACAAAGCCGGGTATCATTACTGTGTATATACAAAACTGGTAATTTACGCTAAATCTATATAAGGTAAGCTCCTCATGTGATTAGGGTTTGAAACACTATCTCTGTGCTCTCTGTCATGGAAGGCAATTACGGTCGGTACTGTAACATTTCAAATGTTTCTGTCTAATTTAAAGGTTCTCAGATTGTCGAACGAATGCTGTTTCTCTGGATCCCAAGAATAATCTAGCTGCTTAGACATATTTAACGTACAGTCGATAGCGAAAACGGCTTCTACCCTGATGGCTGCTTTTCTTCTCTTGGGCCCCACTGCCAAGGGACTAGCGTGAAACTCTATTACGCGCGAACTAGTACTGGAATGACAGCCTTTGGTATTATGGCGTATTAAATACTAAGTTTACGATATTAAATTACTCGATGACTTAGTCTGGCACATCTACATGCGCAATGCACTATCTTGTCCGATTTGCCGTATTTGATTCGTATACCCTTTGGGATCGTACATGTCACTTCTCAATTCATATCATAGAACAATTGGCTGGTAAAGACCCATCGCGCGACCCTCAACTTACTGCGGGGCTGTTGAAAGACGCATCCATGCATTATTCACTTGTAATTAGCATTAAAACAACCATCAGCAAGTTAATTTCAATTAATTGCATCATGACAAACTTTTCGTTTCGACCTCAATCGAAGTTTTTGCTCTCTTCGATCATGATGTTCTATGCAGGATTGTGAGGGCCTCTATTATTAGCGGCTTACATCCTATCCTAATCGGGATTAGTGGTCGATCATCTTATGGAATACCCTGGAACCCGGAAGATCTACGAGCAAACAAGGCAAACACTATGCGCTGTCTGCGTTCCAGGCGTCCCAACCTCATCGCCCCTCGTAGGGCTCTGTTGCAACCGATCAGACCGAAGAGGACGGTTGTGTAGCCTATCGACGCTGTCACCAGATGCTGCTTATTCCACAGAGTTTTTTGGTTGTCTGTGCTCTCTTTTTAGCGGCTGCTTTTTCTAGGTAAGAATCAACGAGTATCCACCAAAGCGAAAGATCCCCCTTCCCCCGCGAAAGCCTCTCGATGCACGATGATCTTAATTATTGATTGAATAGCTGCATTAATATGCGTAGCCCATTCGACACTAATAATGACCCACTGTTATTTGATTCGTATGACTATCCCGGCCAATCATCGCTCTTTGCCCCGACCCCAGAATATGCCCCGACCCCCGGATATGGCATCTGTCAGACACCCTCGGTGATTAGTTCGATTAGCCCAGAAGACCGCCCAGATGAAGCCTTTTCCCCGCAGCGCCGGTCGCCTCAGACAAACCAGATCCAATTACTTCAGTTGACTGAGTGGGAAGAAGGAAAATTGTACGATGAGCTTCCACCCACCTGTATACACTATTCGATTGTGTGGAAGATGACTCTCAACAACAACAAATTTATTTGGAAAAGCACAGAGCAAGACCTAGTGTTGGCTCCACGGTTCCACTGGCGTCTTTTTCTAGGGCCCAAGTTAAAGGAAGTTGCAAGCAAGAAATTTGCGCAGAAAAGTGTTGAATTAGATGATACAACTGTCGTCGTATCGGTGAATCACCGTAATCAGCCAGACCTCACTCTCTCCTGTGACAAAACAGAAATAGATTGGTCCGCTGTGGAGAAACAGCTTTTCGTGTGGGGTGATCTTTTCCGTGCTGGGAAGAAACTAACACTAAATATGTCATTTAACTATACCAAGGGCAGTCACATCCTAAGGCTGAGTCCAAGAGGGACAGATAAAAGAGGGGCTTTATCCGCTACCTAGCTGATGTTACTTAAGCGGCAAGCAAATATCAATACAGAAGAACAAGCTACTAGGCAACCTACTACTTGGGACCATGTTTACAGCCTGATACGGTGCTCCAGTGGAGCATGTGAGCTAGGACCGCACTGCTGGCGTGACCCTATAAGCAAGAAGCATATCAAGCTAACAGTACAGAATCTAAGGGCCCTTGTGAGCTACACGGAGGAAGGTGGTCTGTTGAAAACCCACGACGACGTCCCTGAATCAATCCGTGAAAAGCTATATATCCAGGAGCAGCAGCGACTTGAGAGGCAAAAGGGAGGCACTTAGTCCACTAATGGCTATCCCCCTATCAACATCACCAATGTTCTTCCTGCGCAGGCGTCTCCTCTTTCTGTACCAACTACACCAACTCCGATGCCGACTTCGTGTCCAGGAAGACCGCCTCAGGGTTTCCTCGAAATCCCTGGTCTGCGGGATGTTGCTATTGCTGAATATAGTGACTGGCAGCAGTCCCAGGTAAATGATGACAGACTAAAGGAAGAGTTTCGGAAAGCTCGCGATACTGCCCTCGAAGATGGACTGGATCTTGTGCAGATCCACAAGGATCAGGACCCGGGATTTTTCATTAAGAACGGCATCAAAAGAGGTATTGCTCATTGATTTGTTGGAGACATTCAGTATTGGGTCGAGCATTGTAGGTGAAACATGGGAGATAGACTATAAAATGGAAAATATGTATTCTCGATTGTCACGGTTCGTCGATATTCCAGCCTGTATGTCGGAAATGGCCTTTCGTGCTTTTCTCCCTTGACCCAACTACATCGACACACCATTCAAGGTAGGCACTGAAACCCTGGCCCGGATTCTCTTCATACGTCAGCCAGTGTCGTTTAATGAAAGCCTTAAGCTCAGCAAAGAACTCCTCAATGGGGTTTAGATCTGGGGAGTAGGGTGGTAAGTACATCAATTTAACCCCGGCCGCGGAACAAATTTGCCGGATACCCTCCGTACGATGGAAAGAGGCATTATCCATGACAAGAACGGATTTCGGCTCTGGCCACTTGCCACAGTGATGTAGAAGTTGCCGTATACAATCCTCAAACACAACGGCATCAGTCGATCCCTGGAAAACTCGTGCAAAGACGATACCATCCTGGGCATATGCGGGAAGTATCTGGTAACGCTGCCTACGGTGAAATTGTGAAATCTGGACTTGCGTCACTCCCAGTGGAGACCATCCCGTCCGTCTGAAGCCCGTTCGTTTATCACACCCCGACTCATCCACATATACCAGGTAGTAGGATCGGAATGACCAGATAGTGTGAAGATAGAAGTCCCGAAGTTCAATACTCTGTCCCCTCGCTATCCGCCTTGCGGCTTTCTTAGACCATCCAACCGATGCGAGTGCTCTGCCAATGCTATATATGGTCACAAGGACGCGAAACTCATCCCATAAGAAGATCACCATCTCATCTTGGTATAAATCTGGCTTTTCGAGGAGGCGCTCACAGAGAGCTTCAAGCAGAGGTGGGGTAATTGTCCGTCGTCGTCCAATACCGTTGGGAGGGGCCCTGACACTGCCAAAGCATCGTAGGTTTGAGCGGGCTGTGCTGATTGATCGCGGGGTGCAATGGGCAGCTTGGGCTATTTTCGCGTTAGTATACGATTGAGGGTCTTGTATCATATCACGAATGAGCTTGAGTCGCCATGGTTCAAGTGTTGGTGCCATATCTACCCGACGGTGCTGCAGCCACCATTGCTGACGGGGTGCTCTGTTGTGCCACGTCACGGACCATATTGTCACGTGCGCCATCCTTCGCCAATAACATTCGCTCGCCTGCAGCGCTATACTGCTTCCTCAGCCTAGGCTGTTTACTGCTGGCGGCGGGGCTGCTACTGTCTGCCACGCAATGGGGCTCTTCTTTCCCTTCAACCTAGTCAAGGGCTCGTCAGCAGTTGTCGCTAATCAACTTTCCCTGATAGTATCGTCAATGCACCATTCCTCTCGCCAAACCACGCTAGACCTTCCACATGGCCCGTCCCTCACGAGATGCCTTCCAAATCGGCTGGATCTGTGCCCTTCCAATCGAGGCTGCAGCTGCTACCTAAATGCTAGATGAGAAGTTCGGAATCCTTGAGGAGCAAGATGCAGCGGACTCGAATACCTATACGTTGGGCCGAATCGGCAAACATTACATCGTGATCGCCTGCCTCCCTGGAGGCCAGTACGGAACCACAGCAGCTACCACGGTCGCAAACAACATGCTTCGCACCTTCTCCAAGTCACTTCGAATCGGACTGATGGTCGGTATTGGAGGTGGGATCCCTTCAGCTGCTCATGATATCCGCCTCGGCGATATCGTGATTAGTTGTCCCGAAGGCACTTGCGGTGGGGTGATTCAATATGATATGGGCAAGGTTATTGCAGATGGGGAATTTGAACGAACTGGCTCGCTAAACGCTCCCCCAAGGGCACTTATGACTGCACTTGGCATGATGAGAGCTGCCGGGCTGACAGATGATCCCCACTAGTTACCCGGAATATCTTCAAAACGTAATCAGAAGAAACGAGCGAACTCAGAAAAATTTTGGCCGGCCTACTGCAAATTCCGATCGACTTTTTCAGGCTATCCATGATCATCCTACTAGCTCAAGCAACTGTGACGGATGTCTAGCAGAGTGGGAAGATACTAGAGATAAACGCGAAGACGAGGATCCACAGACCCATTATGGTATTATTGCTTCTGGTAATAAGGTCATCAAGCACGGGCGGACAAGAGAGCAACTTCATTTAGAGACTGGGGCATTGTGCTTTGAGATGGAGGCAGCTGGTCTGATGCTGGACTTCCCCTGCGTTGTCATCCGCGGTGTTTGTGACTATGCCGACTCGCACAAGAACAAGGAATGGCAGGGATATGCTGCCCTGGCAGCCGCAGCATACACAAAAGAGCTGCTGGGCTATGTCCCGGTTGGTCGTGTGTCACAGGAGGGCTTGGTAGTAGATATATGCAGTAAGTAAATTGAATTCTAGCTTAGCTAGTCCTGGATTAAGGACAGCTCGCTTACAAGGCTCTACGTAGACAGGTTAAAGGCCGAAATTAAAGGCACAAATCAACGCCTAGACCATGCATACCGCCAACAAGAAGAACATCATCGCGAGAGGGTTGCGTTTGCTTTGACGGACCAGCAACACCGCTGTCACCAAACATTTAAGGTATCAACTTATGAGGAGCAAAAGAACATCAATCGTAGAAAAGCGGAAGGAACCTGCCTATGGGCTCTACAGAGCCCTGAGTACGTCCGTTGGTCAGAGAGCAGCTGCAACGATCTTCTCTGGGTGTCAGCCGATCCAGGCTGTGGGAAGTCTGTACTATCCCGATCAATAATCGACGACTACCTTAATGGCTCTTATCCAGAAGTAACAACCTGTTACTTTTTCTTCAAAGACAACGATGAACAGAATCATCTTGCTCCAGCACTTTGCTCGGTACTCCATCAGCTTTTTAGCCAGCGGCCTCAGCTGTTACGTCATGCCATACCATCTTGGGAAAAGAGTGGGGAGAAAATCCGACAAGAGGTTGACGAATTGTGGAGAATTTTTATAAGCGCCGTCTTAGCTGATGACTTTTGCAAGACAATCTGCATATTCGATGCGCTTGATGAATGCCGTGAGATTGATCAGAACCGGCTAATCGAGAAGCTCCAGTCATTTCACCGCCTACCACATCCACACACAGAGGATATTTGGTTAAAATACCTGGTCACCAGTCGCCCGTATGATGATATCCATAAGAAGTTCCGAGTGATCACGGACTCTTTCCCACATGTTCACCTTAAAGGGGAGGAAGAAAATGATCAGATCCACCATGAAATCGATCTTGTCGTGAAGATGCGAGTAAAAGAGCTCGCTGAAACAGCGCCGTTGTCACAGGAAATAGAGCAGCGACTGGAGCAACAGCTTCTGCAAATGGAGCACCGTACATATCTCTGGCTACATTTAGCCATGGACGACATTCAATCTACACTCGAGGACAGCCCTCGCCCAGCTGAGGAGCCAATCCAGGTGATACCTCGATCAGTAGATGAGGCATATGAGAAAATCCTTAGTCGAGTGCCATCCCGTCAAGTGGAAGTTGCGAGAAAGATTTTACAACTTATCGTAGCAGCACGGCGCCCTTTGACAACGGCGGAAATGGCCATGGCGCTCGGTATAGCCATCTCTCCACAATCCCAGACTGCAGCAGAGGCTGGACTCGAGTCATCCCAGGTCGACAAAAAGCTGCGTCGATTATGTGGCCTTTTTGTTTTCATCAACAACTCCAAGATCTACTTAATTCATCAGACAGCAAGGGAATTTCTTGTCCAGAAGAGTCGTTCTAACAGTGCCAACTACTTATACTGCTGGAGCCTGACTGATACCGAGGATCAAATGGCTGTTATCTGTTTGCGATACCTGTTGATGGAGGATCTGGAACGCGATGAAGAGGACTCAAGCTCTAACATTCGAAGCTTTCTAAATTACTCAGCATTATATTGGCCGGACCACAAAAGAAAGATGAGTCTGACCCAAGACCAAGAAGCCGCTAGTCAAGTTCACCGGATGTATGATACGAGCAGGAAAGGATTTTCGTTATGGTTCCCTATCTTTTGGAAGTCTATCAAGACTTATGGAAATCCACCGTCAATGACTGCTTTACATCTGGCATCGTTAAACGGACATGAGCGGGAGGTTGAGTTTTTACTGTCTCTCGGGGGAGAGGATATCAATTCGACGGATGATAGAGGAACCTACCCTATTATATTGGCCTCACTAAATGGTTATGGGAGGGTTGTGCATTTGCTACTTGAGAAAGGAGCCGAGATCAACGCCCAAGGTGGAGAATACGGGAATGCTCTCCAAGCTGCGTCTCTAAAAGGACATGACAAGATTGTGCAGTTACTACTTGCGAAAGGAGCCGAGATCAACGCCCAAGGTGGAGAATACGGGAATGCTCTCCAAGCTGCGTCTCTAGAAGGACATGACAAGATTGTGCAGTTACTACTTGCGAAAGGAGCTGAGATCAACGCCCAAGGTGGAGAATACGGGAATGCTCTCCAAGCTGCGTCTTACGAAGGACATGATAAGACCGTGCAGTTACTACTTGAGAAAGGAGCCGAGATCAACGCCCAAGGTGGATTCTGTGGGAATGCTCTCCAAGCTGCGTCTCTAGAAGGACATGACAAGATTGTGCAGTTACTACTTGCGAAAGGAGCTGAGATCAACCCCTAAGGTGGATTTTACGGCAATGCTCTCCAAGCTGCGTCTCTTGGAGGACATGATACAACTATGGAAATTCCCTATCACATCCGGTTCCTTATCGGTTCAAATCCTTTCTCTTCTGAGATGGAAGGCCCCATGACCTCTGCAATTTGTAGCCCAAGTGATTGCTGTTCTATAGTAATGATAATATAAATGTGTACAGAAAATTAGAGTAAAGATGTTCCTTTGCATAACACTTAAGACCTATTTCTGTATATTGACCAACCCCTTCTTTCGTACTATCGTATCTATGCTGGGGATTCTTACGCCGTGGTTATAGTATTGCGGGATCGGTTGTAAGGCACTTGTATTGTACTGTATTTGTAAAGTCATACCCAAGACCTCTTCATATTTTTGTAACAGTAGTGGAGTACTTACCATGCGCTAGTCGCTTGGTAGTGGGGCCCGAGAAAAGAAAAGTTGTCATCAGGGTAGAAGCTGTTTTCGCTAGCGTCTGTACCACCCTAATCTGGCACTTTCTCTCACACAAAGTACTTTATTATAATCTTTAAGCTCTAATTTATCCTAATTACTAGGATAGTTAAATACTACTCCACATATTAAATAATAAGAAGATAGAGTAATAAACTAAAAATATACTAAACTAGCTAGTAGAAAAAGGAAACTTATACTAGATGTAAATTTCGATTTCGTCCGGAGCTGCCAGAAACAGCGTCAGATGACGCCGAAGTTGGCGTTGCCGGCCCCCGGGCTTCATTCCACGGCCCCACGCTAACTCATCCACGCACCTGCCAATGCAGATTGACCCACCTAGTGCAGCACTCAGGGCGACCGGCGTCTCGCTCAGGAGCCCATCATACGTCGGCGATTCGCTACACACAACGCAGCCGTGAACTCGTCTCACCCAAAACTCACCCCCGGCTTACCTTCCGCACCCCTGTAATGTGGACATGCCGGTCGAGGCCTCCCGCCATGGTGGAAAAACCGTGGCCTTTGCGGCCTACTTCCGCTGTACGTTATAAATTGCGCTCGCTGCCCGGCCTCACTTGAACTGAACATGCTTAATCTCTCACCCCCGATAATTCAAATTCTACCTGTTTATGCCAATCTTGCCTAGATATTTCTCTCGTCAAGTTCAGATTCACAGACAGGCGGTATGACGAAGCGTCGAAGCCGGCATGACTCTGAGAGTGACTGCTCTCAACAATTTTGGACAGAGTCTGAGGCAAGTGACGCTGACTCAGAAACTGAAATTTCAACCCCGGAGTCCTCTGTATCGATCCGTAGGAAATTTCGCGTTTTCCCCGTCAAGAAACGGCAGCGCAGCCAAGGGTCGTCAACTTGCACCAGCAGCGAACCCGAGAATGACAGTGGTCAAGCTGTCCACAAGAGGCGGAAGAAGAAGATCAGATCCAAAAATTTGCCGGAGGGCGTAAGAACCGTTCAAGAACGGAACTACCGACAGGGAAATGACTCAAGCTCAAGCGATACGGACGGAGGGGATTCCTCCACCGATCCAGATATTGAGTCGGATGATATTTCATCTGATAGTGACAGTGATGGCTATGCTGATGGCACCAAGACCCAGATTGCGTTCATGAAGGGTCTTTGGGAACGGTAAGTGAATTAAAAGTATTGATATCTGTTTAAGCTCTATGCCTAATTCTCACCTAGATTCTGCCGCAAACAACATAAAACAAACCATTGATCCTTTAACTTGAGATGGAAGGACCCTCAAAATGCTCTTCGCACAGCAGGAAAGAGAGAATTTACCAAGTTTCTGTACTGGTGTTTTCGAGTAAAGCACGGTCAGAATGGACGACGGAATAAAGGTAGAAAAAGAGCTAGTACTCTTGACACATACTGGAAGATGTTTCTTCGCCATTACGAGAAAGCAAATGAGGACCCAATGTCCGCTGAGTTAGGTCGAAGAATGAGAAAGGTTCGGCTAGAAATTCTTTGTGGTATATCTTTCACTAACGGAATGATTCCAAAACAGAGCATCCGAAAGATCGTGAAACGTAAGGGGTTGATTACGGACGAAAAGGAGAAGCCACCGATGTATATTGAGGATGTGATCATTTTGCAGGAAACTGTTCTCCGCACAATGGACAAACGATTTTATATTGGCCTCCAACGAATGCAGCAATGTCTCTACAATCTTATGGCTTGCTTTACGGTGAATCGGATCAGCGCAATGAGAAAGCTCCAATACAAACATCTGCAGTGCTCAATCCAACGGGATCCAAAGGGAGGACCGCCGCGAATTTTGCTCGAAATCACCTACAAATTTGCCAAGAATCATCTTGGGGTGACACAAGGGTAATTTCTTATTCAGTAGAAACCACTTGGAGGTAGAGATCACTGATATTGAGCAGAAATACCTTTGTCATTCCCGAGATCATTCACGATCCGTCGCTTATTTTGAGCCCTCATGAATTTTTACTTGGCATTCTTTTCGACGACGATGCCTTCCGCGCGCCTGGAATGAAATCCCAGGATGACCTAAGAAGGCTTTGGCTAGAAGATGGCCGACAGCAGCTGCCATTACCGCTGAAATCAGAGAAATCAAACCATTATGTATTCTGCAAGGTTGAAGCAAGCCGCGGTACCATTCGCGTTATTCGGGATCAGCCAATCTCGAATTCAGCTTTAAGCAAGCAGTATCAAACATTTGGGGAGATTGCTGGTTTTCCGAACTTGTACACGCATTGCAACCGATACGGTGGCGGAACAATCCTGAATCAGAGTAGTAAGTCACTTGTCCCTCGACACCTGTTAGGAGTCGAGAAAAAAGGCTAAGAATGTCAAGGGCTTGTAAGCGATGCACAACAAAACTTGATCATGAAACATGCAAGTATTCGAACGTTTTTGAATCATTATCTTCCTCGTCGCATCGGCACAGATATGCAGGCCTTGATGAGAGGGCTCGAGCCCGACTCAGCGATGATGAGAGCGGTCACCTGTATGGGGAGATGGGCCGACACTCGACGGCCTCGCGAGCTTACTGATGAACAGAAAGCGAGTATTGAAACGATTCCGGAGCTGCAAGATGCGATATACAAACGCGATAGCTTCGCTCGGAAACCCGAAGAATGTGGCAAAAACAGTCGCAAAGGATTAGATCGACTCGAAAAGCTCAAGAGGAACGTGACGAACACACGCAGCCGGCTACTATACGATCTTCGCAAGCGCGTGAGGGAGGAATTTGACAGTAGTCAAGCTGTAAAGGACATCGAGCGGCAACTGACTGCTGGTACTGTGGTTCACAACGATGAAACTCGGGAACTGCTGGTGGCCAGAGAAAGCATGCTCCCGCAACAGATCTTTCTCTTGGAAAAGCTGATGACATGGCCAACTTCGCGGTCTTTAGAGCAGGAGTGGAAGCGGCGAAATGAGGCAGTCGAAGCTGTTCGCATGTATTGTGGCGTGCGAGAGGGTGGGCCTCGAAGAGGTCGACGTCCTAATAGGCCCATTCCTGTCAAGAACACCGCGACAGATAGCCCTGCCACACTAGCTTCCGCACAAGCTGTCTCACCGTCGTTGCAGCGTGAGGATGCTTTACAGAGGGCAGAAGCGCACGTCCAGACGGCCTTAAAGCCTCTAGGATGTTTCCAATGCTTTGGCAACCGAGAGGAATCTGACCAGCGCCGGTTGAAGCACTATTCTCGGCACAAACATCTTCTGCGCCATTTCCGAGATACGCATATAGATGACCGTCACTGCAACTTCTGCAACGAACTGGTCGACGATGAAATGATCTGGAGACGTCATACGCATCATAATCACAGGCTCAAAACATAAGCTAGGATGGCCGACACTACAGTATCTGCAATCAAGAGGTTGATGATGAGATGGGCTTGAGGCGGCATGTGGATGAAAGACATGGAGTAGAGACCTGAAATTTTTCTGTCTCCGCAGGGTTTCGGGGGATGTTATTGGCAAAAATAACCAAAAATGTATATTGCGTTGTGAGATTGGAGTACGCGTAATTATTATCAGTTGTTTCCTTTATGGCATTTCTATCAAGTTCGTCAATAGAACTCAAGTTTTGAGTGAAAGCTACGATGTAAAGGGATACCTGATTGTAGATTTATAGTTGTTTAGGAGAGGTTTGGATTGCTGTTCTAATGTCTTCATCGAGGAACACAAGTGTACAGGATGGATCGAAATCAGTTTCACCACTTGCACAGGGAGATTCTATTTGTCAAGGAACTTAACTATGTCAGCCTTACAGAGAAGGTCCCCAGATCAGGTGTCGAAACATAGCCGAGATCCTATTAGTTTCGAGACAATCACCGCAAGTGTTAGTCTCAGTATAGATTGAAGACCTTCCTACCTAATCCTACCCAAATCTCCCTTGATTCGTATACATCCCGTACTTGCCTCGCCTAGCCACATTGGTGCTACCCAAATCTAGCCACTTCATTACACTATTTCAAAGCCTCTTTCGAAACACCCTTGTAGTATCTGCACCTCGCCACAATTCAAAGGGTAATACCACAAAGTAATTGGTATTCAAGCTTTCTCTAGCGATTAATATTTCCAAGCGAGGGGAGGACCAAGAACGATCCTGCTAATTCCAAAAATTCGAAAAGAGTTCTTTAGGTCTTGTAAGAACAGCCAGGATTCGCATGTGGTCACCCACCATACTACTCTTCAGCCCTTTCAGCCCATTCGCCCTGAATGCCCTGAACACCACTATTTGACACCTAAATACACCTAAATACACCTGAATACATGAATACCCCGCACATGCCTGAAGTGCTGACGTGGCCTTCCCCTGCTTATGCTGATTTCTGCCTCCAGATGTGTTGTTACTGTCACGACTGTCTGGTCTGGACTGGGCTACCTTTTCTCTCGGGATGCTGTTCAAATCTTATATTAGGAAGACATGGTGGCCTTTTCCAATATAGAAAATCAGACCTATGGAATATATCCATTCTAGACTGCCTACTGCGACCAGACATACGGTCTGATAATACATTGCTATCCCTGTTGCTGCCTGATTTATGAACTTAAATACCTCGTTTCAATCGCGCCAATCATCCGGCCGCAACTAGTATCTGTAACGTTGACCGCTTTTACCTACCCCCTGCGATATAAGAGTCCCAGGAAGGTTAGCCCGTAGGCCAGTCTGCCCTTTCGCACACCCCTGTGTTAGACATGGACAAGCGTCTTTTCTTAATTTCCAGTCCTTTTTCTCTCCAAATTACCATATATATGTTGTGCGGCATTCACTCATGGCTTCCATAAACAAGTCCTCAGATTTTCTTTTATCGTTATTGTCCAGGTACCTTGTGTCATATGATATTCTTCTGTCACCGACCAGAATTCAAGAAATCTAATCTACTACAGTGCCTTGGAGACCGGAAAGTATTCGGATTTGACTTTAAGCTGCCAAGGCGAAGAATTTACCGTCCATAGTATGGTTTTATGCAACCAATCCGGATTCTTCGAAAAGGCCCTTAGCGGCCAGTTCCAGGTAGGTAATACGACCCTGACCGATGTTGGTATATACGCCCGCCCTAAGATGAATACTGGGCATCTAGGAGTCGCAATCCAGAGTAATCAATCTTCCCGAGGATGATCCGGACATTGTGAAGAAAATGCTCGATTTCTGCTATCGGGGAGACTATCTTGACAACCTCGAAGACGGGACCGCAGAGAATGCAGCTTCTACGTCTTGTGCCCCGTGTGAAGAAAGTTCTTTGACAGGGGTATCTTTGGCACCAGAGACGATCAATATCCACGTTTATTTGATTGCAGATAAGTATCTGATCGATCGCTTGACGGTAGTGTCTCAACAAAAGCTCCAAGCAAACCTGAGTGATAATTGGAATGATCTGCATTTTATCGGTCTTCTCGAAATCGTTTACGGGAACCAATTCCCACCACACTCGCAGCTTAAGGAATTGCTCCCTGAATATGCCATTGAGCACCTTCCGACACTCGAGAAATATCCAAAATTTGTGGAGTTTCGTAATTGCTCCTCAGAATTCGCTGCTCTGTTGTTGAATCTGCTTATCCAGAAACAAATTCAGAGAGCCTGGTAGGCATGTCTATCAAAGTTCCATGCTCAAGGCTGTCTTAATGAGTCTGTTTTACTAGCCCGACACGTTCTGCCGACCTGATTCCTATAAGTGTGGCGATTCCTCTTTACCACAAAGCTTATAGCCAGCCCCAGCGATATCATCGATGTACTGTTTGCTCTAGGAGCTTTGACAGTAGAACAGCACTTCGGCAGCATGACGTAGACTGTCATCAGTGGTGTACAGATTGTGGAAAGGCTTTTAAATCATCCCAGAAAGCTAGGAATCACCGATTAAGCTCTCATGGGGGGGTATTAAAGCTCTTCTCATGTATTTGCTACCCTATTCAAACTCTTTATATATTGGCTAGCTTGACCGTAATTTAGTCCTAAGGCAATGATGCTAGTGCTAAAAGTGGCGCAAAGTAAGGAGTCTGCTGCGTAGTATCATACCGGAGAAATCTTTTTCATAGATGTGACGGCCAGGCAACTGTGCAAGAAGAGAGGCACAACTTCAGATATGACAGGCGCGGTGCCAGCAGAGCAAGAGTGTACTTCACCCTCTCCTCTCATTTCTTGTTTTCTCCATACTCTTCCTCAAGCTTGTTCTTCGTTTACACTAGTAACCTCTAGGAATCAAAGATCTATTTCTTTTCCTTCCTCTATTTCTAATCTCTTTACAAAAGGAGGACCTAGGAGATGACCTTACTTTATACATCCGAGTACCTTTATGGTTAATTGGGAAGGCAAAAACCCCTCGTGCTCTTCGGGAAGTTAATATTCAAGCTCTAGGGTGTGTTTGGCGCTATAATGATGCTGCATGGATGCGTCATGATATTATCGAAGATTGGCTACACTCTTTCTACGGGCGTATTAGTATGGATAGACGAGTCTTATTATTATTGGAAAATGCGTCACCACATACTATTGGTGTTAGAAGGGCACCACCACCACCGCGTTCTTATTTTCGAGTTCCCAAAATCGTCCTGTTGATGAACCAGTCAAATTCGGTCCCCATCTTCGCTGATACATCGCCCTCGGTAAGCATCCAGCGAATGATTTCGTCTGTGGATCCGGGGCTTATTTTGTCGTTGTAGAAGTACGGTATCAATGCAGCAACTCTTATTTCAAATACTAGCTTGACCCCTGGCTTCGCGAAAATCTCATCTACACGGTCCGAAGACGCGTTGTCCACGATAGGACCGACCTTGGCCCTGGCCATTTGCCACAGTGTTTAGCGAAATCTTCAAGGACAGACATCTGTCTGCAAAATATGCGAGAGGATTATGCCATCTAGGTTATATGCAGGCAAAATCTGTTATTTTTTGTGCCCATGGTGAAATCTCTGATCAGAGTTAGACACCAAACAATTTAAGAAGAGTTAAATTCGGAAAGGTGATGAACATATTCATCTCACAAGATGTTACCGCCAGATTAGCCATACAGCGAGGATATGCAACGAATTTCATCGTGAGAGTTTCTCGAGCCTTCTTTCGAGACAAACAATCCGAGACAAACAATTCGAGACAAACAATTCCTATTTTAATTACTAACTTAGAACTTCTCGAAAATCTCCCCATCCATTCTTCTTACTCAATATCCATCAAGCCATACTAAATCCCATCTATTTTTATCAACCTACCTTCCTATACTACGTGGTGCCATCAAAATCGATTGAGTTTAAGCAGATTCTTATCTTGCTACCTTTCTTTTTGTTCTCTAACCATCAAAAAAACCTGCTTGTCCCTACATGATTATGTCGTTTCTAAATGAAGATCCCTGGGACAGTATCCTTCAAGCGTCCCGCTCCTCAGATGCTGCTCAGTACATCCCAGATCTCTTTAATGATATACCCCCTCTCAGAGTCCGTGTCTACCTGGATTGGTGGGGAAGGGATGGAGCCGTACCATATGAGAAGTCATTCCCGGTGGAAGTTTATGGCCCATGTGCTACGGACGATTTGATCTGGCAACTTTGCCATCGCTTGAAACAGCACCCCACTAACCACACGTGGGAAGCTTACATGACGCAAGACTGCCAAGGAATACTGCATCGCTACAATTGCATACGACAGCTGCAACAGGAGAATCCTTCTATGCGGCACCACCATCAACTACCAGTGCCACCAGTACGGAGACTCCTGGTCACACCGATATTTTCCGGCCATATGGATGTGGATCGTCTGCCACTGTGGCATATTCAGGGAGAGGAGCTTTGGGGGTACGATATCTGTTTGTTCTGGGGAATGGCTGCTCGTTTTCAAATGAATTCCCAAGAAGAACCAGTGGAATGGCATATTACCATATATCCATTGGATACTGATCGACTAAAACATCTTGAGGCGATATCCCTAGCGGCCAGCGAGCAGGTTTAATATCTGACTACAGTCCCTATGGTGTTCTGTACTTTCGTTCTTTATAAGATTGCCATTTCGGGTAGGTAGAAAATCCACACTCCTACACCTCTCCAATCCCACCCTATCCCGCACGGTACTCTGAGTAGTCTGAGTAGTCTGTTGGTGCTGGATCGACCCGTGCACCTAGAGGACACTTCCATCAAACTTTCACCTCTTCACTACGCACTGGATTCTTGTTTCCCTTTACGTATTAGTGTTTATCTCCTCTCCGCTTTTGCTCTCTGACAAGAGATGATCTACCATATACAGTCTTCCTCATGTAGTTGTTGCACCTCTTCAAATCGATTGGCAGGCATTACAGCATACGAAGTCCTAGAATCGAGGGGTCATGCGGGGATCTACTCACTCAAGCCAATGAAACCCGGGAACTACGACTAATCACAGGCTTTATTCAAACCGAGCAAACTAGACGGCCGCATTTCACTTACTAGCAAATCTCTCACGTAAGTTCCAGGGGGCATAAACTGTCGTTTCGCAGCCAAATCTCTGATTTCAATACAAATTAGTACAAGTACAATTCGCATTTACCAGAGCCTGACCGAAAGTGGCTACCCCGCTTGTTGGGTTTAGCGTCTGTCTGTAGGGGCCTGTTCCGGTCTAGCGTTTCCCAGATCAGGTATGGTGTGCCACGCTAGTCCCTACCGGGATCTGCCGTGGGTCTCCGCCTTCCTTGGTCTTCGTGGATGTCAGACTCGCTGTCTGGTTGTAGTAGGCGGTCTGTTCCACTGATGATGTCGATATGTCTGGTTTTCTATTTTCTCGTAACGCGTCCTTAGATACATGCAAATTCTGCCGGGTCACCTGATCCCGCTAGACCGGTTCTGGCTGACAGTGGACTATATAATCTTGCCGGTGCGTCGCTCGACGACCTCTGTCGCCCAGTCCAAAAATACGGGCCCGGACGCCATTGCTCCGTCTCCCTGGTCTCTCGGAGATGACCGTCTCCAATAGGAGCTTCTCCGTCCCCTCCTCTCCCTGCTTGTGACGCATGTGAAGGACGCTTACTTCGACCAACTTGGTACTGTGAGTCGCTGATCTTTTTTTTTGGAGGGCTAGAGTGACCTTATGGTGTGCTCCGGCCAGTTCGAATGGCGCGCTTTCATCCTGCCATTGGCCTTGTCGCCTGCGCACGCTCGTGCCGGCACATTTTCTGTCTTCTCTCGCTTCGTTGACACTGTCCAGGTCCACCCTACCTCAAGCTCTCCCGACGGAAGGTTCATTAATCTTCTCTTCTTTACATACATTGAAATTGTGTTGGTGTTCAAATGCGCTAAAATTTTTGGGGGCTGTGGCGCAATCGCCGCTGAATGCACAGCTCAGGCGGTTCGAGTTCTGTGGCGATCGTTTGGATTCACATGCGGAAGAAGGCGGCGAGCTCGACGCAATGATCTTGTCTTTGTGCTCCTTTCGAGGCCTGAAGCGTTTGCATTTGAAGATCTCGAACTTCCGAGAATCCTGTCAGCTGCAGGCTGTGATTCGACACCACATCGCAACCCTGAAGACGCTGGCATATCACGAGCAACAGCTTGCTCCAATTGACGAGAATAGGCTATGGTGGGACACCAGAGATTACGCTCCTTCGTGGATCTTTGATCGGGCAATCAATCTTCAGTTATATCACATGACCGCCCTCGCCGTCTGCGCGAGCCCGGTCTTTCTGGTAAGACTCTTCGCATGAATTTAGATGACACTACGTTGGAGGGAGCGGGAAGGGCGAATTGAGCCCCGGAAACAAATGAAGACGCTGCTGATTCCCAACTTAGCAACCCACTCTGGAACTAGGGGCCAAGAAATCCAAACTTGAAATCTTGCACTTCCGATTTATGGGTCTAGAGCACCTACACCGTGATATTCAGTCGGAGGTCATGTCACAGATAAGAGGCTGTCATTGGTACTGCTCATGTGGTTGCTGGGCTAAGATCTTTCGACGGAGTTCTCACCCTGACGACAGGTACGGTTTTGCAGTGAAATGGGAAGAGTCCTTGGCTGCTGAGTTGATAAAAGCATCTGGCCGCCAGGCGCCGGTAGAGGAGTCCTGGATGAACTATAGCGAAGCACGACAGATCGTGGAATTTGCGGACTGGGCATTTGGACCACGGGGCCTTCCGAGTCTAGAAGTCTTGGCGTTTGGGGACTTCTCATATGGAGAAAGGTATCAAAAGCAACGATTCTTAGCGCGTCGGAGGCAGAAGAGCGTATCCGACAATGCGAGGAAAGAATCAAGAATCACTACGGATGAGGAAAGCGACTGGGCTCTTTGTATATCCAACGAGGAGTCCCTTCTCGAGACTTCTTGTTTCGAGGATCATGATAGCTTTCTTTCGGTTTGCCCTGACGGAGGTTTAATGGAATCACCAGAGGAGTGGTAGGCAGGCGCTTGGACAAAACAGGCACGGGTGAAGAGAAAATTCCAAATCATGATCTTGGTGGAATCGACCTTCAAAAGTGGAGCCATTCCTCTCAGTACATGTACTAGCGACACCGATCATGTACAGTATTTCTTTTGTACAAAGGACCCAGAACGTGTATTGAATGAATTCCGAACTCTTCCAAAATGCACTGCCTTATGTCCTAGCATCTACCGAATGTACCTAGCAATCGCTCAATGTTGCAAGCTAAGAACTCATCCCGGGCAGCTTCTGGCTCCTTTTCAGCGATTGAAACGAGGTATGTACGCCGAATGGAAGACACGGACCCACATGGCGCATTTGGATTCCCCTGAATGCGAGGAAGCTCACGCTACGACGTGTTTCTAGAGTCGACCACGCCTGTTCCTCACATTTATTATTTATCTGAAAGAGGTGCTTCTCATCAACAGGAATATGAGACACTCACACCCCTCATACTTCTTAGTATATGTCTTAGTCTCCTGGGAGCTACTTGTGTCTCAGGAGCAACGATTGTCTGAATCAAGCTTTAGTTGCTCTCAGAGACGCGAGTTCTTTCCTGGGAGCACAAAATCTGGTCTTATACAACATATGCTATTCTAGGACCAAGTAGTGATGTAAGTTAGATGTATCCCTTCTTCTGGGAACGGATTCGAACCCCACGACTTTAACTCTCTTGGTTATGTCGTGTATTCTACCACGGACCGATTGTGGTCCATTATCCATGATTTATTAATAGGATGCTGACTTTACGTGCAAACAGATCAAACATTAGAGGTTATTGGTATGTATGTAAACAAAGATCAAACTGAAAAGAATTTTCAAGAATAAGACCTATAAATCTTTTGTTCAAAAACCAAGTACTGTATGCGAAAGTTTGAGAGTCCGGTTGTATGGAGCTTAAATTAGACCTGGACTTTGGACCATAAGGATAGTGATGGTAGTCTGCCAAGTAGAATTTCTTGCATGTTAACCATTTACCCAGGAAGACGCCTTATGAGGAGGTTTCGGCATTTATGGAAGTGGAGTGTAACTTCGAGGCTCTGACTGGTAGGTAAAGCTCCTTCTCGTTGGATCGAATGAAGGGGAGTTTCTGCTCTTGTCGATCTTGGCCGTCCTCCTTCAAGGTTGGTTTTGGATGTTCGAATCTGGGTGCCGGATGAGATTTTATGTCTTGCCAAAATACATGTCCCTCACTCAGAATCAGATGCTCTGTTCCTGTCCCAGTGACATCATTCTCCAATTGACTCAGACTCTCTGACATCCCTATGCCCTTTATCAAGGTACTTTCATAGATAGGCAGGGCCAGGACCAGTGAAGACCATAATACCAAACTAGTGACGGACTTCATGTGATGTTTACCTATGAATGGAATGACATGAAGGAAAGAGGACTTGGGGGGGAGAGAAGGTAATGAAGGAGATGTATCCGGGCTAAACCCCCGTCGGTGGTTTCTCGCTTTTAGTTCGGTGATCACCAGCGGCCATGCCATGTGGTCACTATAATCATGCGATTATGAAACAGGATGATCAATTGTATATGCATCCAATAGGTACCAATATGCTCCCAGAGCCCCTTAATTAGAGTTAATCAAAAGGGAGCAGGTATTCAATTAAAGACATCTCTATTTAACTTGATCCTCCACAAAGAAAGAAATTATGTGCAGACATACTTGGCTTCCACCCACTTTCACGAAACACGCAAACGTTTATTGCTTGACTCTTGACAATAAATCCCAAGGTGTCCTTTCACTGGTCTCGGTTGAGTTGGTCGAAGTTTTAATGTACAGCGATGAAAGTCAATGATCAGCGCCCGGCTAAGCTCTTCATTCCAGAGGACATTCTCACCCCGAAGGTCATCATGGATGATTCCTAAAGCTTTGATTTCTTTATCCGATTTGTGAATCTCTTTGCGAAGCCATGGCGTCAGCTCCATAGTCGCTATGCTCTCGCCTCCCCAGCCCATCACCAGCATATGGCGAATATCTCCGGCCCCATGGAGGAAATAAATTTTCGCTAGGTCGATTGTACCAAGGAAGACAGGTACAGCAGATGCTTGAGCCTTCTGCAAGATTCGGTAGACCTGTACTTCGCGTGAAACTTCTTTCCACAGGTATGATGTGGTTCCCTTTCCAATGACGGTGTACCCGTATGTGGCGCAAGTTAGTTTAAATGGCGCACCACATGCCCCGCAGCTTCCAAGGGATATACAGCGATCAATATTCTCATCTAGTTGTGCTTTCAAAGAAAGCAGCAATCCCTCTGAAGTAATAGGATGTGTACGGTCGCCCTTGTCTTGACGATGAAGAGTCACGTTTGGACAAGACTCATCTAAATCACCGCCGCTATGTAACCCAAGTAAACATCTTTGGGTACAGAATTGTGAATTGCGGTATCGGGATTGATTCCCCGGGTCAGTTCTGGTATTAGGCGGATGAGCGGGTTGTTGAACAGATGGCGAAGATGTAATTTGGCTGAAGCCCCTTTTCCGTGAGGCTTGGTTCGGCTCAGAGCCTGAGGAGTCTGGTGATTGCGAGCGATGACGTGGAGTTGAGGGTGCACAGCTAGCCTGGGATCTTGTAACTCGGCGGCCTTGTGTTGGAGATTCCGATGGGGATGAAGACGCTTGATAATCTGCACTTGGATCCATAGTTGACTCTGGGCTGGTGTAGGTGGTACTATCGGAATGTAATTGGAGCTGTTGCAATTCTGGTTTTGCAATTTGAGAACGAGTATGGTCGAAGCTGGTTTTCCACAGATAGGGGTTTGAGTATACATTGTTTCTCCATTCTTGGCTACGCAGAGGGGAACGGAATGCCATCAAGCACAGACAAAGGACCCGCGCAATAGAGGTCTTTGGCTCCTGAATATCCTGTTGAACTTCGCCCTTTAGTTCTCTGTTTGGGTCACAGAGAAAGTACTGCAATGTACCAGGCTTGTCGTAAGGGACGCGAAGAAGGACACGGGAAATTCCGTTTGTTAACCAGGAATACTCAAGTCCTTCCTGGATCATCACATGGTACTCCTGGACAAGAGCGGAGCAGACAAGCTTTTCAGCATTGTACTTCAATTTCCTCGCCTCTTCCTGGGGTATTTTGTTTGATCTAACCATTTCTCTCCATAAGTCCATTGGTCGAAGCCCTTTGTGGAGTATTTCGGTAGGAAGCTTGTGAGGTGGTTTGTATTCGACTGTAGTGAGGAGAGCAGTAGTGTTCCCATCAACCCGATGAATACAAAAGTGATCGGGCTTTGGATGGTGAACACTTGACGGCTGAAGTGTATTCGCTTCTGTGTGTGAATTAGGATTGAGAGAGTTGGTGTGATTGTCGAACTGGATTCCATCGCCAAGGCCGAACTCGTCTCGGGCGGCATCGATTTTGCATAGCTCCGTAACTATATCACGAACATAGCATTCCACTGCAATTTGCTCATATAGCTCGACACTCCGCTCACTGTTCATTGGGTCATGGCAAAATCGCCGAGCATCCTTTTCAAGGGAATCCAAGGACGTAGGCAACTGTGCTGGAGCTTCCATAGCTGGCTGGAGATATCTACATACAGCATTGTAGATTTCCTGCTGCTCATTCGGGCACTCTATCCATGGTTCTAGTCGCGTCGGGCAGTACTTTCCGGTTGGAGGGGGTATTTTCCCTGTTGTTGATCGAGACGGCGATCTGACATTAAGCGGTCTTGAGAGCAGGTTGTGACCATGGCGCATTAACTCCAAGAAAGTGAGCGGTCGGGTGTGTTCTTCAGCTTCCTTCCTTCGTTCCTCAGCTTCCTTCCTTCGTTCCTCAGCTTCCTTCCTTCGTTCCTCAGCTTCTTTCCTTTGTTCTTCAGCTTGCTTTCGTCTCTCTTGCTCCCTTCGATAGAGAGCTTCGTAATCTGTAGAGCTGCCGTCGGCCATCATTTCATCAGGGATAGCAATGGCCTAATGTATTTAATGTATTTCTTAGTCAGTATTTGATAGGGTAAATCATGTTAGTGCACATATCTTGAAGTATGGGAGTGGCAGGGACTAATCGATGCTGATGTTTAGTATGGGGATGTGGGGATCAAGTAACTGCCAGGGACAAGAGTAAGCGAGTTATCAATATAGGCGGTGTGATTTCTGCCTCTTAATATAGACCGCCTCCAACAAAGATACACTTACGGAGTACAGTGGCGTTAAATGAGTTTGAAACACCTTCGCTACCGCCTTTTATCCTGCCGAACTATTTTTGTGCCGAAATAACTCAATAAATTCAATAGCTAGTGTACCATCCGTTGCTCTCAATCACCTCCGTCACACGATGAGGCATGGTTATAGCTAAATTTTTTAACGTAGGTAGTTCAAGATCAGCCCAAGCCTCCTGTGCAGCTGCAGCCAATAGTTCTAGTTTCGTCTGTATCCCGTGCGTTCTGAAGCTCACTATGAAGCTGGTAAATCCTCTGCTTTAATAGGGCCCATAGGTTCTCAATTGGGCTTAGATCAGGTGAATGAAGAGGCCAGTCCATAACCTCAAAGCCCTGATCCCGTAGCCAGTTACGTATAGAATGAGCGGTGTGTACAGGGGCGTTATCTTGCATAAAAATTGCACCCTTAATACCACCGATTAGAGTAGGTAAGATACGTTGATATAAATCAAGTATTACCCACTAATTTACACCTCCACGAGGGGAATCAGGGTCACCTGATAGTGGAATAAGGCCTGTATGGCGCCTAGAGCCTGAAAATGCTGCCCAAAACATCTGTTTAACACCCTTATAAGATACCTCTTGGATATCACGTAGAGCAATTTGATCCTTTGGGCGCGTAAAGGTATGTTCGCGACGAGAGCCTTTACCACGCTCTACTGTAGATTCATCAGACCAAAAGACCTTTTTCCACTTCTCTGGGGTATAGTCACGTACGCGAAGTGCCCATTGAAGTCGTTTAGCCACATGCTCAGGCTTTAATTCAGGACGTTGAAGAACAAGCCATTTCCAAAGGTTCGATTCGCGTAATAAACGCCAAATTGATTGACGACAGACCTTATAATCTACTTCAGCTAGTAAATCATCATATTTCACACGTGGATTCTCTTCACATATTGATCTCAGTCTGGAGTTTCCCCCTCCAACTAAGCGAAGTTTAAGACAGATATTTAATTAGCAATACGTCGATGAGGCGGCCTGGGAAACACGCTCTGCTTTGGATGTGATTCAACTTTCTAACATACTTTGCTGCACATTAATCCCTAAAACGTCATTTTGCTCTTGTAGCATATGAATTATGGCGAAGTGCAGATACTTGTTTCAGGGAGAGGCATGTGGCCCAATCATATTCTAGCTCTAGCTCAGCTGAAAGGGTCATTGGCGGGTTCGCACGACGCAGAGTTATTCTCACCCGGCCATCACCCCTTGTCACCCTATCTATAGTGCACTCACCCCTTCTCACCCCCAATGACGTAGGGCTAAAGCAGCGCTCACCCCATTCTCACCCGGCGGCAGCCACCCGACTACTGTCTGTGTTAAGCCACACGCCGGCTAATAGTGAGTAGTATAGTGGGTGCGCCAAGATTCGGTTTGTCTTAGGCCAGGAACTGACATGAGTGTAAAATGATAAGTGGAGGATGTGAACCCACATAGCGTATCTGGGTCCCCCTGGGCGCTAGGAACCCTCTTTCTTTTGCTTCCTCACGCTACGTCTTGTACTTATTTAGAGTTTACTACAGCTTTCTTTAATATTGATTGTTCATCTGAAAGACACTCTCCTCATCAAGAAATACGTGAGACCCTCAAATTGGCGTTTAACAGGCCGACAAACGGAGATCCCAGGAGCCCTTTGATCCTGGGAAGGTGATATAGGTTCACACTTAAAGTACATCGCTAAGTGTACGATAGCTTTCTAGAGCTCCTAGGAACCCTAAGATTGTATAAGATTTACCTATGTGGCTAGACTCGTTCCACTTTCGTCATCGTGAGAGATATGCTCCCAGGAACACGACCATCCAGTATTAACTTAGGCCTCTCAATGGTCCGGTCCCGGTCCCAACTTTTGGGACTGGGGACCGGACCGGCGGTCTTTGGTCTTTTTTTGATATGGGCAGGACCCCACTACGGGGGACCGCGGTCCTCTTGGCGGTCCCCCATGGGAGACCGTAAATGCATAAAACTGCCAAGAGTTACCCTTTTTGGATGGATAATTTGCCGATTCATCATTTCTTTTAAGTTACATGTATTATTCGCTGTTTTCACTGTAGCCCCTTTATTTCTTGGTAAATAATCCCCTTCTTATTAAATAACGTAATTCCCGGTGTCGCCGTACACCCTACCCCACTAGAATTTTTTAAATTCAAATATTTCAATCCAACACGAATAAATTCAGTCATAAATACGATTTTTACATACATTGATCTTATGTCCAACCTCTCGACATCCACTACACCTAGGCTGAGCCCTAGGGGCTGGCTGATTCGGCTGAACAGGTAGTTCAACCTGGGTGTGTGATTCGACCATAGGTGCTTCAACAGGCAAGTCCACCTGCGTAAGTAGCTGTAGGCCTTCTTCAACATTCAAACCCTCTTCACAGGGTATCTGCCTAGCTGATCGACTGCGCTTCTGTCGTTTCTTCTCATTTGTAGCACGTAAATTGGCGTTTTCTTGTGCTAGTAGCGCAGTGTTGCGTAGCGATATACAGTGTCCCTTGATGATTTGATCTAGCATCAATTTCGACGGGCTTGGAGGGCTATTCGATCGCTGTTTTAGAAGACCTTTAAGCATTGAAGCTTGCTTTTGAAGCTGAATCATAGTTCTAGGTGTTTTGGGTGTAAGTTGACTAGATCTGCTGCTTGGTCGGCTACCTGGTGGTGTAGGTGTCCGTAGAGAAATATTCAATTTAGATAGAACTCTTTCAGCATCAATTGGTACATACTAATCCAGTAACTAAAAAGCTATTTTGGATAGTCTTTGGCCGAAAAGCCTCAACACGTGCACGTTAGAAATCAGCTAAGAAATCAAGCTTGTCGATATGGTTATAGCCTGTACGTGCAAGGTCGCTTATAAAACGACCATATGTACGTTTTAATACTGCAAAACAACCATCATCTAGTGGTTGTAAAAGATGTGATGAGTGTGGTGGCATGCAAAGTGGGATAATATTATTCTCTGAGCAGATTCGGTTAAATTGGGGCGTAAGGTTGAATTCGTTAATGGAATAAATAGCCTTTCTAGCCATCGTAAACCAATCTCATCAGTAGTCCAGCCATTAGCTGAGACCTCAAACCGCCAGTCTTTTGGTAGGTTATCGAACCAACTAGCAATAGCAACCTTTCCCTTAAAAATCACACATGGTGGTAATGAATAACCATCTACACAGATAGCTTCAATTGCCATCACCCATTCACGGTTCCCAGGCTGTAAAATAGCTCGCCGACCGTAGTATTCTTGCCGTGTTACAACCGTCTGTGTTGAAATAAGGCCCATCGCAAAGCCTGTCTCATCAAAGTTGTAGATATCTTCAGGTTGGCTCCCATTCTCATCGATGATATGTTGTACAGCTGTAAACCATGCTTTGATTGATTTAGGGTCTTCGTTAAGGGCACGTTGGTAGTCATATCGCCTAGATAAATGTGTCCGAATCTCTTCACGTCGATTTATAAAGGTTGATGGCCAATTCTTGCCGACTGTAGGTGGGGGATGGCTACCGCGTGCAGCTAATAGAATATTGGCCATATCTCGTACAGTAGCTGGCCTAGGCGCAGCTCCACGGGTGTCCATAGAGATAATCCATTCAGTAAGCGAATCCTCTTCCAACTGGGTCAATTTATGGCCATTTGGGCGTATATCGACACAAGATTGTACACCCCGCGCGCGATCGCGTAGTGTGGACTCAGGCACGCTAAATAGCCTGGCTGCCGCACGAAGAGACTTGACTTGGTCCTTTTGAATAGCCTGTAGGGCTAATAAGACCCTGCACTCTTGGCTGGCCTTTTTTTCGGCCGAAATATTGCGCTTTGGTGGCATGGTAGGTGTTTGAATTAGGTAGTGAAGAGGGGAACCGTTAGGCAGTGTATTCTAGATACACGGGTCGATCCAGCTAGCATGAATGGACAACACCAACCAACATGTACGGTGTGGCCGGACTACCCCGTAGGGGTGAGATGAGAGATGTGTAGGAGTGTGTATTCTAGACTAGTAACGACAGGCATTCTTGTACGTACAAAGACGGGACTGAAAACATGACAAAACAGAGATGTAACCAAACGGTAATTCCAAGTACGGTACGTATAGTAGGGGACAGGGTACCCCACTACAGTAGGTAGTGTAGTGGGGTACCATGTCCCCCTACTAGGTGTACCATACCGGGTGTTACATTTCGGTATTATTTGTATTGTCGGTTCTGTTATTGTATGTACAAGAATGGCGCTCGTTACTAGTTGAGAATACACACTCCTACACATCTCTGATCTGACCCCATGGGTAGTCCACGCGCACATTGCATGTCGGTTGGTGTTGTTCATACAGTCTAGCTGGATCGACCCCTGTATCTTCGAGTACACTGCCTCACGGTTCCCCTCTTCAGTAGGTAGAAAGACGCGATTTTAGATGGGGTGCGCGACGCGACCGGGTGCGCGGTCCGACCGGGAATCACGTTAACGTATCCCGTAAGCGAGCGGGTCATGTAAGCGGGCGGGTCAGCTACCTGCTACCCATATATATTTTATACTGTTATTCAACCAACAACAAGAATAATTAATTAAAATAACATCTCCTAATTAGGACAAGTATTTCTTCTATGTCCAATATTTCCACAATTCGTACACTTTGGCAGCGCTCTCCCAGTAGCCGATTTCCGCGCTTCCCGCCGCTCTGCATCGACCACCTGCTCTGCTTCTACTACCTCTCTCTCTGTCTGTATGCGCTGGTTTGCGTCTTTCACAGTCATTTCACCCTTATTAGCCAACTGCCTATGAGATAGGGCACGCTTACGTGCCTGCCGCCCATTCTCAGCACGTAATTGCTCAATTTCATGAGCAAGAAATGCACCTGTCAAGGAAGACAAAGGAAACACTATATTGAGGATCATGCAGATCTATTGCCGTATTGGCTACGGGATTCGGCACCAAGTCCGGCCGCACATAGAGGGGGGATTCCTGTAGGGCCCGACTTACACTCCTCAAGTGTTAGTCGCTGTATCAAAGTGAACCAGCCCCTCGTGCTCTCCTCTTAGTATATCTCGCCTAGCCAACAGGTGTCACCCTAATCTGACAAGTTCATTACAGCACCGTTATGCATAGCAATCTCACATCCCTTAATCAGCTGCTCAAGTGCTTCTTTAGCTGGGCTGGGAGGTGTATATGACCGCTGCTTTAATAGCCTTTTGATTGATAAAGCCTGTCGTCGGATATCGGTAGGCTTACATGGTGTATGGGGGGGTAAAGTTGCTGCTTCCACTACTAGGGGGTGGTGTAGGTGTATGTAGCTTTATATCAAGCTTCTCAAGCACCTGCTGCGAGCTAAGCGGAACTAAGCCAGCTGCTAAGAAGCTATTTGAAATTGTAGCTGGCTTATAAGCTTGGTCCTGGATAGATAGGTATATAGCAAGAAAATCAAGCTTATCAATGTGGTGTGTGCCATATCGAAGCTTCTGCTGGATAGCCTGCCCATAGGTATGCTTTCTCACACCAAAACACCCAACATCAAGAGGTTGAAGAAGATGGGAAGAATGGGCTGGCATGCATAATGGTAAAACATGGTTTTCCTCGCATATTTGATCAAATTCAGGTGTCAAGTGGCTACCATGACCATCCATAATCAAAAGCCGCCACTTCCCTACTACACGCTTATTTGTAAGCGGTAAAAAGTGATTCTGGAGCCAGTTTAATGTGATTTGATTGGTAGTCCAGCCATTATCACTAACATCTAATTGCCAATCAGATGGTAGGGCTTCGGCCGAAAACCAGGCTTGGTTAAACATCTTTGCTTTAAAGATGATATATGGTGGCAGTGCCCATCCCCGACTGTTGATTGTCTCAATAGCAGTAACCCACTCACGATTTCCTGATGTAAGAAGGCGTCTTCTTCCATAGTACTCAGCACGTGTAACAACATGGGATGTACTTGTCATACCCATAGCAAAGCCAGTCTCATCAAAGTTATAAATATCCTCATTAAGGATACCATATGTGAGAATAGTTTGCTGTACACGGTTAAACCACTCCGTTATAGTAGCTGGATCTTCACACAAAGCACGCTTATATTCATATCGACGTGATAGACGTGTA